AGACCTTTATATTTTGTCAGGCGTCCCATCGCTGGAAACCCTTGTCGAGTCTTCCGCACCTGGAAGGTCCTACAATTGAGTTTTTGACATAGAAGAGACATTTCTTGTGCCAGCGATTTTCTCATCCTCTGTGCCCCCCCTACTTTCGCGCTTCACCTGCCTTAGCGGAAGACTCTGCAAAATAGCCCGCCACAGAATCGACTTCGGAGCAAGCCCGTTCGCTTATCACCGCCGAAGAGGCGTCTTCATATAATGCGCACCATATCGATGTCTCTGGTCGCTAGTACTTTGTAGTGCTGTCAGAATACTTGGCTATCACACCAGTTTGGCCCTGATGTTGAGGTAACTCGAGTTAGGGACCAAGATGAAACGAGATGATTAACTCGTCCCATCTGTCACCTGCAAATGGTCGATCCCACGCGGCAGATCGTCGTTGATTGGCGTGGCTACGAACCACTGCGCTGGATGGAGCTTATCTAAGCGCAGGTTTAACATCCCCGTCGATGTCAAGTATTGAAGACTTTCCGAGCTTTCCACAAGCATTCTTTTTCGCTTTTCGGCGTAGCGCCAATGAGTACGATGGTGCGGTCGGGGTCGATAGATTATTGTTGCCTCCCAAAATTCGGTCCTTCTGAAGTCTGACGAGTGACCAGCTTCCAACCAATGACCGTCAGTGGTCAATATGGATAAGGCGTTATCCTTAAGCCACCGAAGCCACCATCACAGAAAAGCGGGTCTCACCAGCGGAGATTGAACCCCTCAGACCCATGGGAATTGAACGAGGCTACTCCAGGCCAGCAGATCCACCGCCTAATCAATTTTGAACCTAATCGCCAAGAGAGGGCTCAGGGAAGGCATTCCCCAGGCACGGCAGATGGTCGATAGCCGGTCTTGGCCTGCATGAAATCATCCAATTGTTATGGCGAACAAAAGACTGCCCCACAGCAGCTTACGCGTGCACATCCATCTTGACCAAGCTTTGCTCCCACGCTTTCCCTCTTCAGGACATCAATTTAGCTGATATTTTGAGCGCAAGGGTTCCCTGGGGAGACACTCAGTGAGGGGAAATCCTGGCTGCAAAGGGAGAATTGAGACGCATTAAAACAACACACCGGGTGGCGACGCTGACTACACCTCTAGCTCCTCCGTAGAGTCATTCCGTCTCATGATGGAATACGGAGTATGCATACTCAAGAGCGTACCTTTTCCCGTCTTGCTTCCCTCGGCTCCCCGCAGCAAGGAGAATGACGAATGATGCTGTCTTTCTGTGAGATCCTACCCCACACCAACCGCCACAATCCTCAGGGTGTGAAGCTAAACCAACCTGAAACGCGCTACATCCCCTCTCTGCCTCCGCATTCGTCCAATCTCAACAACGCCCACGGAGTTGGTCGGCCACTAGATGACAGGACTGCAATTAACAACACCAAAACTCTGTTAGCCTACCGAAACCCCAATACTATCATCTCAACTTTCTATTCTTGGAAACAACGTCCTTTTTACATCATATTCTTCAGAGGGGTTGGGGGCATCCTCGCATCGGCATCCCTGCCTTTCACTTACAATCACCTGATTCACGGTTCTCAGACCATGCTTCAAGCCGTATCCTGAACTACACATACTGAGACAGGAGGTCAGAGGTCATCTGGTCGCAACGACTCATCAGGGTGGTGTTCATGATTCATCCAGCACGCTTCGCTTGCACAGAAATGATCTCTCAAGGTTACAGTCTGTCAAAGGTTGAAACTTCAGGACTTTATCCTTGGAGCTTTGACTCCTGCCTCTTCAATGTATTATCTCAGGGCGGAAAGTGGATCCCGCAACGTTCTGCCGCATGTCAAGAGAAAAGTACTCCATCCTCTGGAGGCAGCCCTCCAACCGTGCTTCATCACTTCAATCTGATGAATCCATCCACAACTGACACTCGCAATGATTGGTTATGTGGATTATATGAGCCTCCCCGGAATGTCTCGAGTAGAATGGGCTTGCGTTTCGCGCACTTGCTTGTACGCGCAATGCAATGCAGGAATTGAGAGCTCAATGTCGCGAGCCACTGAGACCAACGCCCCTCTCTCCTTTCCCCTGTCTATCGATGGGGCTTGAAGGGACTAAGATACTGTGGATGGACCCTGCAGCCGGCTGCTAGCTCCAAGAGGAATTGAATCTCAGCGATCATTCTGAATATGGCAATCTCGACAATCTTCTCGAAGGATTGACTCGGGTTTTCTCAGCCTATAGAAAATGTACATCCGGGATCGTGAAACAAGACACTCCGAAAAGTCTCTCATAAGCTCAAAACTTGATACAACATCTGAAGGCGTCGATAACATGTATGAAGCAGTTTATCTAAACGGGCCCGCAGGGTCACAAAAGAACTGGGTCATCTTCGACGTTACGCTGGATTCTTTCCACATGAATGCTTATACTATGCCTGGCAAGATGGGTAACGCGCGGCACTGCAGTTATCAATTAAGATTGTACTTCGGTACCTGATCCTGATTTGTCCACTACCAGTGTACAGCTTTGGCCTCGTCTTGAGCGGAGCATTTCTTCAAGAGGGCCATTGTCCGGCTGCACGGTCGACGCGACCCTCGTCAACGAGCAGAAAGACTGGAACTGAATTCCATCCTCTCAGCTCGACCCAAGCTCTATCAAGCTGAGGTCCAGGGACGCCCCATTCGCTACACGGTGTCGTGTTCAAGCGTCTGTGCTAAGCACATACGAAGCCGATATGATGCAAGATGTAGGTGTGACTGTGACTGTGAAGGGAGTACATTGCATTGCAGGATGCGTCTTGTGGCTTGCCTCCAAATATCTTGGGCTTTCCGCTGGGATGCAGCTCGACTGAATCTTGCTTTTTGGTGAGCTGTTTGTTTGTCTATTCGATTCCACGCTAGGCAGGTACTTATGCTTGCCAGGTCCCATGGTTCGAGATAGAACGCCTTTCCGGCTCGATTGGGGTTGCAGCCGCGTCAGAAGTAATTAGGGCTACATGTCTTCACCAAAGACCAGGATTGGATGTTCCAGAAGAGAGTGACCCGTCCCTGTGGGCTATATCTCGGGTTCACTGCCTGCCACGAGCTCCACCTGACCTATCACCCCCTCTTCGCATTTGTTCGTCGTTATCACTTTTTTGCCATCTGCCTGTGCTCATGGACATGGCGTCTCAGGAGAAGAGGCTGGAGTGAACGAGAAAACCCATCCTGGAAAAAAAAAAAAAAAAAAAGAAGCAAAAGCAAAACAGGGAGTTGCGCCCAGCTCGTGGCACTGGTAGGGCGGGACACCAGGGCCACAGCGAATCCCCCCGGATTACCCAGAAAGGAAGCCACACGCAAGCCCCCTAACCCAAGCAGCAACTCGACCGTCAGCCTCACACGCCTTTCTCGCCCCAACAGGAAAATGAGCGAAAAGGGGCCGTAACGCCTAATCCAGACGGAGAAAGGTAACGTGGAAAAAAGCTTCCACTAACAGAAGTCACAATCTAGGGGTCCCCTCCCCTCAAGCCCCAGGTGGCTGCCCAGCCTGGGTCTTTGGGTCTTTGTTGAAGTTTGTTCAGATGAAATGGAGTTAACCACCACTAGTTCCTGTTTCCTGGGCCTTCTGCTCTTTCCGCAATTGTTTAGCAGAGAAAAGAAGTTCTCATCTTCCAGCGCAAGAAACTCACATGTAAGCCAACGACATCGCTTGCGCAGAGTACAGACTCAACTCCGGGACATACCGCGTCCCGGAATCCTCCTCTCCTCCCATCCGATCCGCGGCAATTCAAGAAACCCCCGTTCAAAAGACAGAGAGACCCTAGCCCAATAAGACCCTGACAATCCCGTCCGCCACCCACCACCATTCCAACCTAACCTAACCTTCCGTGGGCCACGAGTAGTCCAGGAAACGGGAAGCAATCACAAGCACAGCCCAAGAATGCCCTGCTGTGCTCAGTGCGCCTTTGGCAGCGCAAAAACCACAACCCAGGTTCCAACACAGATCCCCACATCCCCCCGCCAACCTCGCACCTGACAGGGGCCGATGGGGAAAGGCTTACGCGGCACATAACTCTCCTGGTCTACCCCCCTGTGCTCACTGAATGCTTGGCATACCAAAGTGTTTGTGCTTTTCAGCCTTTTTCTCGCCCAGCGCGGCGTGCCAGTCTCTAGCGCAGCCCACTGCACCCACCAAGGTCGGCTCACTCCGCTGACGATGATGCCGCAATGAGAATAATCCCTCGAGAATTCTCAACTCGAGTCTGCCCCTCTTCGCAGTTGCGCACAACGAACGGAGTACATGTCTCCTTACCCATCCAACACCGAATCTTGATTCCCTGGAATGTCGTTTTCCGGCCCCATGGGCGTGCGTAACTACTCCGCCATACGAGACCCCATAATCGTCCCTTCCTGCCTCTCGAGTTATCGAACTACTGGACAATTCGACATCGGGAGTACGAAAGCCTGTGGCAAATATTTCTATTTTAATTATGGCCCTCAAGCGAGCGAGACGTGGTTTCTGTCCCGTCCTCGCCCCGTCGACAACCCTTCATTTTGGTCGTGGTTTCTTGTTATTTTGGGAAGTTGATGCGGGTGATGACGTCGCATGTCTGAGCGTGAACTCTGGGACTTGACCTTGACCTGGGACCATGACTCCTTGAGGGAAAGGAAGCATGACGATGCTGATGCTAATGCTGGTGATGAAAGCGGCTGCTGCGTTGGATACCCGTACTTGTCACAGGGTCTGACGAGGGCGGCCAGGTTCGTTATCCTCTGATGACGTTGAACTGACTTTGGCAGTGTCTTACAGAGGAAGCACAAGGTGAGGCTGGAGGTTGGAATCTTACTCTGCAGAAAAGTTCATAGTTTAGGTAGTATACTAGTAGACGCCTTTAAAAACACGCCAGAGCCTGCCATAAAAGAAAACACAACACGCCGATGTCAATTGTACAAACACAGGAATATAGAAGAGAATAAAAAGAAAGCGGAATGCTCAGCAGAACTGTGTGAAATGCCATGAATGCCTTAAATCATCATCAACAACTCGTCCCTCTTGAGTCCATCGTCCTCCAATTCTGGGTAGTAAGGAACAATCGCGTCTGCGCTCTGCACATATGCGTCGTTGTACAGTCGCCAGTAGGGTGTGCGGACCTTACGAGCCGAGTGGAAGAGGCCTGCCCAGACGTAGTTCATCACTGTTCCTGTGCCGACCGCCATGCGGATGGCGTCGATGGCTTCAATGACTCGGTCAATGACATGGGGACTGGTCTCAAAGATGTTGGGGAAGACGAGGTTGAGGAGATGGACCATGGCGTCTTCGCATCCGAGACCAACGACACCTAGGGCAATGTGTTTGACGACCGTCGCGGCTGTCTGGCGATGCACTTGGTCGCGGTCGATGAGAGCGTCCTCGAGCAAAGGAGTAACGGCGTAGACGTAGTCCTTGGCCATCTCTCCAATGTACTCGAAGAGGAAGGTCATGGCCTTCAAGACACCGTTCTGCACATTCAGTTCGGGCACGCGGTATTCGTTCATCAGAGCAGGGAGGACGGTGAATGGCGCGCAAGTTTCGGCGACGATACCGATGGCGACTGCGGTACACACACGCGACTGACGCTCCTGCACGCGAAGATTGTTGAGCAGCGTGGCCAGCACATCCTGAGGACCAATTGCCTTGGCGATGAACCCGAATGTGTTGTTTGCGGCACGACGGATACCCTTCTTGTGCGCCTTGAGCATGTCCAACAGTTCGAAGCAAATGCGCATCCACTCGCGAGCGTTGACGGACTCTGGTCCACGGTCGGCGATACGACCGACGAGATCGATGGTGTTTTCTTGGACCTTCTCGTGACGGTTTCGTAGAATGGGGGTGAGGCGGGGGAGCAAGTCGCGAATGGGCGGCTGCATCTGGTTGATACCAACGACGGTAACGATGGAGCGAAGAGCTCCAAGGATAGAACCAAGCACCTCTGGGTATTCTTCACCGAGGTATTCGTAGAGCACAATACCTAGCTTGCCCATCAGAGCATCCTCTCCGCATTGTTTCATGACCAGAGCAATTCGCGAAATGAGATCTGCTGCTTGTTGACGGACAGTGGCCGACTTGTTGTTCAACCTCCAAAGAATGGTACTGACGATCTGAGGGAGGTAGGGCTTGCATCGCGTACCAAGGGCGTTCACTACCGTGCCGAAACCGTTCAGGATAACAATATCTTCGATGCTCTGCTCCTGGAAAGCATACAGAACACCATCGATAAGTCGTTCCTCCAGTCTCTCGGAGATGTCAGCAGCTCCAAGAGAAGCAATGGTCTTCTCCACTGTTTCCACGGTCATCTTTCGGTACGGCTCGCTCTCGTCTTTCAAGTTGTTGATGGTCCGCTCCAGGATTTCACCTGCGCCCACCTTCTGTCCTAGGTCGACCGTGGTGTCGACTACTTGGCGGTAGTTCCTCCGGTCAAGTGCCATACGTCTAACCCAGAAACTCTTGAAGAAATCGGTCAAAACATGTTCCTTCAGGTAGCTGGCCGTCACACCATCGGTGCTGGCGCATTGCGATACCACCTTTAGGACGACCTTCTTCATTTCCTCGTCAGGGGACGAGAATTCTCGGAGAAGAATTTCCATAATCTGACCGGTATAGTAGTTTGCATACTCCTCGTCCATCAGAGGAATAATGTAACCAACGGCCTTGAGGAAAGCAGCCAGACCTTTACCTCGCTGCTTCCGAGCACCAGTCCACAGAGGGTTGAGAATCTCATCGAAACTCTCGATACCATATGGATTGGCCGCCTCGGCAAGCGCACCGACAGCCAGCGCAGTAACGGTTCGAACCTTGGCCTGTTCATCACTGAGGTTATCGGCGATGCAATCAACAAGGCCTTTCAGATGAGGAAGAATGGCACAGCCCATAAGGATGGGAATCTGCTGCACGATCTTGACACCAGTGTGTCTAGCTTGCCATGACTTTTTGCTGCGGCACACAGCGCGGAGGAAGGGAAGGAGGGCGGGGATGCCGAGAGCAGATGCGACAACGGCAAAGGCTCGAGCGGTGGTGTTTCGTACATATTCGTCAACATGGTCGATATCCGGACGCATAGTACTAATCATGGTTGCGAGACCAGCGGCCTTGGCCAGGTTGGAGATGATTTCGCGACCCTCGACACGGGCGTAGTAGTCTTGATCAATAAGCAACGGCTCAATAACAACCAAGATCTTATGGACATATGGTCGGACAAGGTCGTCTAGCTTGTAAAGGACGCGATCGATGACCTTGACCAGCAAGTGGCGCTCCTGGTCCTCAAGGGACTTCTCCATGAGCAGCGGGAGAATCTGGTTGAACAACGGACCAGCTCCAAACTGGCGGGCGTTGTCGGTGAGTTGACGCAAAGCAGTCTTTCTCATCGGAGGTGTGCCGTTCTTGACTTTGAGCAGCAATCGCATAATCTTCCGCTCTTTCAGCTCGTCCACTGACATGCTTGATTCGTCACCAGCTTCCATCAACTTCCCAAAGTACGCCATATCCTCTGGCTTGAAGAACTGCAAGTCGCCCACTCCGGGAATTTCAGTGGGGAGCTGCTTGCCAAGGGATCGTGCGCTCTCAGGCTCCTGCATCATGAACCCACCAAGACCCGTCGAGCTAGCAGCAGGTGCTGGAGTTGCCATGAGCTTCCTCGCCGGTGCCCGGATAGGGGCGTAGCCTGGAGGCGGCTCCAAAATCTTGTAGCCCTCTGACGGCAGCATCATGTCGAGCTCCTCGTCTGACAAAGGAGCATTGCGGCCGGAGATATCGGTTCCAAAACTGGTTGGAATTGTAGGTACACCTACTTGAGAAGGATGCATGGGAGTCGCGAGGCCCGCACTACCATTGACGGGCGTTGCCGCTGAGATCGCCGGCGCCTGGTCCCATCGTGATCGGCGCTTTGGGGCTTCATCAGCCGCACCAGGAGCCGGGGTTTGGTCCCAACGCGACTTTTTTGCCTTCGCATCATCAGAAGCGGGGGTGGCAGCAGCCTCATCGGCCTCGGGAGCCACATCCCAGCGTTGTTTGCGTTTGCGACCGGTGACAACGGACACAGTCGAGCCGGCCTCCGCGTTCTCCTTATCGTCCAGGCTCAGGGTGGGCTCGTGTTCCGCAACGCCGTTCTCACCATGCTCCTGTTTCTCTGCGATCAGCTTCTGAACACGCTCTTCTTCTTTTTCAAGCTCACGAAGAGCCATAACTTCACGGTAAGTCTGGCCATCTCCTTCAAGGTTGGCATGGGTGTTCGCAGCAAAGGGGTCGGCCCGGGTGGGCGTCAACGGTCCGCGGTTGAAGCGTCGCTTCTGATAGTCCGTCTCTCGATCAGAGATCCTAGCTGCTTTCTCCCGTCCTAGCAGAATGTCCTCCTCTTCGACGCCATTTCCTCGGGCAAACTCATCGATCTGGCTTCGCGTCGCGGTATACTGTCCAACTAAGCGATGGCTGCCATCCGCATCCTCCATATCCTCGTCGCCATCGTCGACAGCGATGGAGGTACTATAGCCCGCGTATTTGTCGGCTCCATCACGATCGTAAAGAGTTGTATCGAATGATTCGGTCAGGGAGGCCTTGGTCGAGTTGTCAGTGCGCTGGCTCGACGGATCAAAGGTCCTAGAACCTTTTTTCGCAGCGGCTGCCGCGTTGCGCTCAGCCTGGAGCTTCCGAACAGCATCGAAATCCGCTTTAGGAGGTGTTAGTGGATGTCGCGATAATTTACGATTTGGGGTCCTACCGTCAGACATGTTGGCGAGTGCGAGGGGCTAAAGATGCGATAGAGAGCGGGCAATCTCTGGTTAAAGCAATAGCAGCCGCTACATCCGGATCAAAGGCCGTAAGAATGGCGCCACGGCGATGGTTCAGGGCGAGAAGCTGGTGTCTTGGGCTGAGCAGAGGCTGCACGAAAAAGGATGAAGTCAGGACTAATCATTAGCATGACTAATGGTCACATGACTATCAAGCGCCGCATGCACGTGTTAATATACTGGGCTCGGCAATTCGAGGTCTGCGTGGTTCAAATGAAAGTTTTGTCCTACTTCTGGAAGTTAGGGGAGGAAAAAAATACAGTGGTGCTCTTGAAATTGTAGGTTGTCTATGAATGTTGGTGGATTTGCCCCTCGCCGGGCACCGACCCGCGAAATATATACCTCAACCCAGGGAAAGGTCCAGGTGAGTGCAGGATGAGAAAGAGGTGTTGGACTATCTATTCACACCTAGACCTAAAATTGCTTGAATTACATCGCTAAGAACACCAGATATTTAATCTGGATCGATTGTTAAAGGGCTGGTGTGAGATGCAGTATACAGAAAGGTTCAAACAACTTGATTTGAATCCTTTTGCGAACTTCAACTCACTTGACGTTCTGTAGTTCCCACTGTATAACACTGTCACATAGTTTCAGCATCTCAATCTAGGGAAGCTCAGAAGGCTATGACTAAACAGTGACTGTAGGCCTTGCCCCCGGATCTTTTTTTTTTTTCGCCAGCTGATTCTAAGAGGTTCCAATGTGGGTGGCATTTTCTGTTTATAGGTGATTGATTAGGTATTAAGAAGCTTTAGAAAATGTAGTCTATTTGGAAGTGATTGAAGGTGTGCTTCAACCATGTCAAAACCATCACAATCCGGAGAAAGCAAGCCAAGAGTGGTACCAGAACGCCGAAGATGATAGATGGTAATAGCTTGATATATCACAGTTCAAAGCAAAGCAGATAGAGACAGCACCCGGCGGTCGTTGAAGATAGCATATATAGGACTAGCGGATGCGGTCCAATCTGGCACGGTTCATAGCAAGCTGGTCGTCGACGTTCTCGCTCTATAGAAAAGTATTAGCACCTGTCATTGACTGATTTGAAGAAAGATTCTTACCTTGTTCATGATGCGCTCCAAATGTCTGTTCTGCTCATCGAGCTCGCGACCCTGTGCCTTTGCTAGAAGATTCAGTCGACCTGTGGCACCTGAGATCAAGTTGAGGTTTTGTTCGAGTTCATCCTCCATCGCGTCATCTTCGCTGTCCGCTTCAAACTGGTACTTGGCACGTTCTGTGACACTTGCTTTCTTCGGCTTCGGGGCCCGTCCTGATTCGCGTTCAATCTCCCTGAACGTACGCTCCATCCGCTGGCTGGTTTTGAACGCCTCGCTCCGGGTGCCCGCCTGCGCATCACGCTCTTGTCGGTGTGTGCTCATGATCCGTTCGTCTCGTTCCTTTCTGCGCGAGGCACTGGTGAATGGGTTGGATACATGTACGGCGAACATACTCTTGTTCAAGGTCTTCAGCTCCCGAGCTTTCTCGTCTGCGATACGTCCCTCGACACCAGCGGCATCCAAGTGTGTTTCTGCGTCGTGAATCATCTCGCCTTGAGCGCCGAGGCGGGCAAGAGTGTCTCGAGCTGCTTCTTCGGCTTGCGCTGCATAGCGGAGAGCATTGCGAGTGGATGAAATATCGCCTTGCTTGATAAAGCGAATGTCCTGCTTGATAGCCTGGATCTCTTGTTCCTCCTCCTCTTCAGCTGTGAGTTGGCGCTCCTGATATGTACCGGTCGCATACCCGGAGCTAGCACCTCCATACCCGCTAGGCTGCTGCTGCTGCTCGGAATAAGGAGGGGGGGCACTGGTCTGTTGTGCTGCGGCTCTTTCGCTAGCACCTCCAAAGAGGGCATCTCTGTTGGCATCACGGGCGGAGGGGTCGTTAGGATCGGAGCTGCCCAGCCCACCATAGCCACCAGGTCCGTATCGAGATGCGGGAGCAGCGCCCGCGCTGCCGCCGTAACGATTCGCACCGTATCCACCCTGGTTGCCATATGAGTTGGGTGCGTAGCCTTGGTTTTTGTTGTCGCCGGGAATCTGATACTTGTTGTCCCCAGGTATTCCGCTACTCGGTGCGGGGTCACTGGGCATCTGCATGTTGGGAGGCGGGGCCGCTACTCCGGCATTGACCTTCGCTTTCGTATAAGGGTCCGCGGGGATGGGTTTTGCATAAGGGTTCGAGGAAGGGGCAGGACTCTTGCTCTTAGATCTGGATCCGAAGAGAGCAAGGCGGTTGGATGAGTCGTCGTCGCCGCCATCGGACGACTTCTTGAGGCCGAAGCGCTTCATGGTGTTGATTGAGGAAGAAATCGAGTGGTGATAGTCAAGTATCGGCTCAGCTGTGTGTGAAGAAAAGAATAGTATATTTGAGGGAAAGAAGAAATCAGCAAGAGAATTGAGAAAGGAGAGGAGACGAGGAGGATGAAACCTCGAGTGTGAGGCCTCAGGGGAGGCAGCGGCAAAAGGACTCCTGAGACGAAAAGGCAGCTCTGTAACGACTGTACGCAGGTTTATCGTGCCATTTTCGGGCACCAGCAGGTAATGACCGTATCTTTACAGGGGTGAGCTTTGGGTCAAGATTGCGCTAGTCCGAAGACGGCTAGTGGAGAGTGGCTGGACTTCTAAGCCTCACAACCACGCCTTTGCAAACATCAACGTCCTTTCCATGTTTCCTGGACCGCTTCACGGTAGCCATGGCGCCGTTTCCTGGGTCTGATGCGGACTATTTTAAGGACAAGGCGCGTAGGGACCTGCTGAATCTACTTGAAGGCGTGAGTAAGGCTCCTGGTTGCCAAAATCTCCCCTCGTTCCCAGGCTGAAACATTACCATGGTATAGGTCCGAGGAAAGAAGAACTTGGTAATTAGCCAGGGTCTCGCTGGGCCCGTTGGCCTCTTCGTCAAGTTCTCTCAACTTCAAGAATATGGTGTAGATCGCGTGTTCCTGCTGGAGAACGGCAATGTCGACTCTTCCCAGCGCAATGTTGTATTCCTAGCGTATGCCGAAAAGATCCGCCAGGTGCGGGCAGTGGCAGGTATGTCTGAACATTTTCTAAGTTCTATTATACCGAGTGGTCGTGAGACTTGATTTGCAAGCTATTGTTTGGGAAAGCAGTAGATTACGCAGACCGGTTTCCTACTCAACGTAATCACTGGAGTTCCCCAGATGGAGACATTTGTTTAGCAGCTCATCTCTAAGGCTTTCTTTTTCTGTGTCGTCCGATTGAATGCCATCAGTGTGAGCTGACCCTTCAACAGAGCAGATTCAGCGACTGCAACGGAACAGCAGTACAGACCATGAATTCTCAATCTTCTGGGTTCCAAGACGAACCCTCGTCAGCAACAACATCCTGGAAAGCGCAGGCATCATCGGCGATGTAAATATTGCTGAGCTGCCGCTCTACTTCTTCCCTCTGGAACAAGATGTCCTTTCATTGGAACTGGAGGACTCTTTCTCAGACCTATACCTGGTAGGCACTCTCATCTGGCGAAGGAGGCTCAGTTGATTAATGTTGTACAGCACAAAGACCCTGGATGTGTTTTCCATGCAGCAAAAGCTCTTATGGATATCCAGCAAAGACATGGCTACTTCCCCCGAATCGTCGGCAAGGGGGATCATGCAAGACGGCTCGCTGATCTGTTATTACGGATGAGGAAAGAGCTTGATGCAGAAGAGAGCTCTGGCTTGGTCGGGCTGTCTTCTCGAGGGCTCCTACCTAGTGCGAGCATTGAGAGCCTGATCGTTATAGATCGAGAGGTCGATTTTGGCACCCCTTTACTTACACAGCTCACATATGAGGGATTGATTGATGAGCTGGTAGGGATAAAGCACAACCAAGCAGACGTCGACACATCCATTGTCGGCGCAGCCTCGACTCCCCAGGCTCAGGAATCATCCAAAGCCTCACAACAGTCCAAACAGGGCCAGAAACGAAAGATCCAGCTGGATGCATCCGATCAGCTATTCAATCAACTCCGCGATGCCAATTTTGCGATTGTTGGCGACATCCTGAATAAGGTTGCGCGCCGCCTAGAAACAGACTATGAGAGTCGTCACACGGCGAAAACGACCACAGAGATTCGCGAATTTGTGAACAAATTACCTTCCTATCAAATGGAACATCAAAGCCTCAGAGTCCACACCAACCTTGCTGAGGAGATCATGAGAAATACCCGCTCAGACATCTTCCGCAAGATACTGGAAGTTCAGCAGAACGACGCTGCAGGCGCCGATCCTACCTACCAGCATCCTTTAATTGAAGAGCTCATCGCACGAGATGTCCCACTAAAATCAATCCTCCGCCTCCTATGCCTCGAATCCTGCATGTCAGGCGGCCTCCGCCCCAAAGATCTCGAAAACTTCAAACGACAAATCGCCCAAGCCTACGGCCACCAACACCTCCTAACCTTCAGCGCTCTCGAGAAAATGGACCTCCTGCAACCGCGCTCCGCCGCCGCCGCAATGCTAATACCGGGGACCGGCTCGCAAACCGGTTCAAAGACAAACTACAGCTACCTCCGAAAACACCTCCACCTCGTCATCGAAGACGTCAGCGAAAAGGAACCCGACGACATCGCCTACGTCTACAGCGGCTTCGCGCCCCTGAGCATCCGCCTCGTGCAGTGCGTCTTGCAAAAATCATATATCCTCTCTCTCCAACGAGGCGGGCCCGCGTCACAAGCGAATACTGCGTCCCCTGGCTGGCTTGGATTCGAAGACGTAGTCAAGAGCGCGCGAGGATCGACGTTTAGCATCGTTCAGAAGGGCGATGATAAGGCTGTTCGCGTGCGGCAGACGATCAGCGGGAATAGTGCGCCGAAGACGGTGATTGTGTTCTTCCTGGGTGGGATCACGTTCGCGGAGATTGCGGCGCTGCGCTTTATTGCGGCGCAGGAGGCCCCACGGAGGAAGATAGTCATTTGTACTACCGGGTTAATCAACGGGGATAGGATGATGGATGCTGCGATTGAGAAAGGGAGTTTTGCTTTGACTGAGTCTTGATTGTTGGTAGTGGAACGTCCGATGGACATATGATCGAGAATTCATTCTTTAAGGTTCTAATCTAACAACTACAACCATGGCCGCTACTAGGGCCTTGAGCGGCTCTTCCCCTCCGGCTCGTTGTCCCTATATCTCTGACCATACCAGGATTCTCATTGTAATCCCATAAGCAGAAGCGGAAACGGAAATACCTGGCTAATAGAGATATAAACTGCTGCTGCTCTTAGTTGGGCGCCCACCTCAACGGCCTCACATACTTCGTACCACTGTTCTGCTGCCCTAATGCGATTTAGACAATGGCAGCTGCATCAAGCGGGCCACTTCCATCCTAAGAGCACGTACAATGCCACAACCTAGTATTGCTCACGCATTTCCTGTCCTAATCCCTGTGGCACAGGCGCTGAGAAGGTTGAACCTCCTGGGAAGCTCGGGGGTCTCGGTGATGTTCCCTTCGGCCACACCAGTCAGTCACCGAGTGCTCAATCTCGAGTTTTGGTCTTTGATATTGTGGGAACCCGCTGTAGTGCATTTAAGATTATACGAGAACTGCGAGGGTTTTAGGGACGAGTCGAGACTGTTTATATAGGCGCCATGGCGACTCACAGCAGATGACAGCGCTGACAACGCCCATCCCCTGATAGCAAAGTATCGTTCGCTATTTCAAAGCATGCTATCATCCAAACGACAGTCATACCATCTACTGTTGTCTTGATAGATGGTTGTAGTGACCGTTCCCCAAATGAGATGGGGTTGGCTGTATATCGGTGCTCACTGAGGGTTGCCGTCGGATTTGCAGTGGGGAGAGAGTAGCCCACTGCCACAAAAATTACAAAACAGCTCATAAGGCTTGCTCCCCGCAGTTTCTCCTAACTAAGAACAACGGAATCTGTTTGAACATTGACCCTCGTTCTGACAACATATCTTCCCTGACCGGCCGCCATGTCCTACTTTCTGGCGCCGTGCCTTCTCCTGCCTCGGGTCTGGAGGCCCAGTTTGCAAGTGCGTATACACAGCTTAGAACAGTTCAAATATTGACTACGTAGGCCACGGTAACAGGCCAACAACCACAGATCTCGACGCCTCCATTTCCAATAACCGGAGCGGGCTCGAGCAGATCGCCTTCGCGTTCGCCACACTGGACAATCAAGTCGATTTGTTCAACGTCGACGTTCCGACACATACACTCACCGGCAGGGATCCTATCTGGGGAGTATCTGTATCTAAATGGGCACATGATAATACTCAAGTGAAGCTCCGCAGGGTGCCCGTCCGGATTAAGGTGTTTCTTCAAGGCCAGGTGTATTCGCCCAGTCCATTTCCGATTGTCATCCTAGGCTATCAAGACTCGTTCGAGAGCGGACTGGACCAGACGGTCTTCAAGCTTCAGGGGGACATCCTGCAGCTCCATCCAGAAAACATCACCCACTTCCTCGATGTCGGCTCTTCCCATGACCACTCGCAATCGTCGCCACAATAGCAAACCTGGCCCAAAGTCAGCCTACAAGCCGCGCAGGCATCGAGTTTGCCAAACCTGGCTTACTCTCCACCCCTCGAAAACCGAAAGCAAAGAAAGCCCTCTTATGCGACTTTGAGGCCCTCTCCGCAGTCCTCGGCACCGGCGCTCACGCAGACAACAACATGGTCGACTACAGCACAGGCGTCTTCTCGGCCGGTCGGCGCCCGCCGCCTTCCTCTTACCCTCCGCAAGTACAACATTGCCGATAAATTCACCAGGTTCATCCCGGGCCACACAACGAGGCACTCCCGGACGCCGTCCGCGGAGTGGTTCCGCTGGTGCAGATCGGATTGCAGGGGATGAGGGCGAATACCGGATCACCTTGCAACAGGAGCGCGACGTCCTGGTGAAATGATGGACATCGCGCCGAGCCTAAGGGGAAAGTCGCGGGTTATAGAGCACTGGTGTACCAGGTGCGCGAGAGCACTATCGAACTACTTCGCGAGTTCGGCTTCCTGTATGACTTTTCCTTGAGGGATCATGACTCGCAGCCGTACTTTTGTCCGCGAAAAATTTATTTCTGGTTCTGCTGTAGACTTCTCGAAACCCGCTGAGACCTGGGTGTGTCCGACCCCGGTGGCGGGGCTGGATGTTCCACCACCGGCTCGTGGTAGGTGTGGACCGTTTCAACATCGCAGTTGGGCGAGAAATGTGTTTCGAGCTCCGAACCAGGAACTAAATCTGGAAGTCGACCCATGAGGAGACGTTAACTGGAATCCCGGTCGGTGGGGTGTTCGTTGATCTGATGGCGGCTGACAGAGGGAAAAAAGGATCGCAAGTTGCTCGAAAAGTAAATAGAGGAGGGTCGAATGAGTGGCCGAGCTTGGATTCTGGGTCACGAGTGCTGCAGTGTCACCCCGCGGCTAGTCTGGAAAGAGCAGACGTGGGATAATGGCGAAGAGCGACACTTTCAAGTCTTGTGTTGGTCTATCTCTTGTTCGGATTGAAAGCATCAATGAACCAGAGCATGTTGATGACAAGTTACACAGTCATTTCAATCACCTGGCAGCCTAGTACTTGAAACCAGAATTGACCCCCATGAGTCTCCCTTGATACCGCTCCATCACCTCTCCCAGTTTGACCATGACCCCAGCTGACAGCGTCCGAATCTGTTCGCGAGGATCGCTCGAGTCCCGAACCGCAGGCGTCCGATCGAAGATTTCCCCAGCCCATTCCCGCAATTCCATTACCTGTGTCGCGAATTCCGTGACAAGCCGCTCTTCGCCGGAAGTGCCGGACTCAACGTTCATGTCGATCATGGCAAGGAAGAGCGAGAGTAATGCCGAGAGGATAGTTGGCTCTTCAGAGACAGGGCGCGCGTGGAGAGAGAGGAGGAATGTTAGGGTTTGCTGAGTGACGGACGGTAGGAAGGGTGTGTGTGGCCCCATTGTTGAGAGGACAAGGGTGAGGGTCTGTATGAAGAGGGCGAGGAGGTGCGGCACGAAGAATGGATTATGGGAGGGAGCGGTTGACCTGCATAGAGTGAAAGTTAGTTGCGTTTAGGTAGGTGCAAAGGGTTAGTCCTTCTTTCCCGCTCCGGGGAGACTTTCAACCGCGCCTTCCTTGACGGTGTCATCCTATTTAAGATGGATGCGACGTGGGTTGCCCCTTCCCTTGGTGACTGACGACAGCCCGCCCCTTCCCGAAATGAAGCGTAGGGAGAAGGCGGCAGGAACAGAGGGTTGGACATATAGGCAGTGGTACTCACGATGTGAATTGCAGCATCATAATCTCGAAGCGGCCGGTCAAAGGATAGAAGAACCCTTCCGTCAAGACTTTGTATAGATCTTTGACTGTGGACTTTTGCCGGTGGGCTTCGCGTTGCTGGCGTCTTTTCTCGACCGCCATGCGCGACGAGAAGGTGCGCACCTTAAGCGCATTGGGACCAGAGAGATTATCTGCTGCTTCTGCAGCCAATGGCTGGAGAGATGCCTGCGTGATTCCTCTCGTTATGGCCGCAATGGGAGATTCATCACTGGAATAGATAGCTTCAAGGCTGGGAGGAAGCTTCTTCGACGGAAAGGAAGAGTCTGATATTGCCGGAAGGCCTAGGGCTATCGCATCATCTGCTCCAACGCCAGCTAGTTCTCTGGCACTCAGTCCTAAGGCAGTGAGCACTGCGGATCGCTGGACTTGAGAGAGGTCTCCGTCAAAGAATACGGCAGTAAACCATTGGGCCATCTTCAAAGGCTGCGAAACGATCAGGGCAATCATGCTCTGCAGGCGTTGTTCATGGAATCTCGGAAGCTTCCTCTGTTCTTGTAGCCCGACCACCACGAGAGCTAGTTCTTCTATATGTTCTGCGAGCTCTGTTCCAAAGCCGGTTTTGCGTCTGATCAAAGCAGGGGCCACCGCAACGGCCAACTCATGGCGATCGAGGTTGTCTGTATCTCTTAGAGCGGCCACAAGATCGCGAATGTATCTGATTGTTGTCAGCATGGCTGATACAAAGAAAAGTGAACTCAACTTACACTGGAGCAGTGGGCTTCTTCCGCTGTACCAACGTTGGATCATCGTCGGAGTCTGATGGATCTTCATCAGGTTTCTCATACGGAATCAGATCCTCATCCTCATCTTCCTCTTCCTCTTCATCCGAGTCGCCTATTTCTTCTATCGCGACGATTTTTGAAGTCGCGGTCTGACTGGCTTTCTTGAAGGGCTGATAATTTGAGGTGAAGGTCTTGCCCTTGTCCAATTTCTGACTTGACCGTGGGGCGAGATTCTCTTGTAATTTGATCGTTTCCAAGGATCCGATACTATCCTCAGTGCGGATAAGGCTCAAGTACCATTCAGCTTCCGTGCTTTCCATTTCTTCAAGGTCGAATCGCATCGCTTTTCCCGGTTCCTCAATGAGCTGCGAAATCGCGGTGCCAATGAGCATCCCTAGGAAACGGGCTCTCGTTGAAGCGGCCGCTAGACGATTGGATACAGCATTAAGAAAGACGCTAGAGCGGCCGATGCTCATCATTTCGCCTGCGTCGAGACGATTCAGGTAACCGGCGGCTAAAAGAATGACTTGAGTGTTTGCTGTGGTAGTTTAGCGATTAACTCGGACAATAGGATGGGGACTAGCTTGCCTTCTTGACTTCTCAACGGAGCGTGTTGTATGTAGATTTTATCAGCGGACTGCTCAAGACTCTTGGTAAGTAATGTTGTTATGCGGTCTATTTGTTGTCAGCAAGGCGTATTTCTTCTATACTCTCGTTTAGATGACGGGAGTTACCTTTCTGATAGGCTAGATTAACTATCAGTGCCCGCCGTAGCGCTGGTGTCTGTATTGATCCACCTTGACCTTTGGAAAGCCAATCTATCAATTGGCTTTCCAGGTTAGACCGTTTCGATAAAAGGATGGAACACAGAGCCGCAGTGGCATTCACGGGTTGATCTGAAGCCGTAGTGTTCTCATTGGCGGACCCCGTAAGCAAGTGCTTCTTCTCGATATCGCGGAAAACAGATTCAAGCACCGCAAGCTGTTCAGTCCACCGAAGGCGATCAAAAAGCGCAGCGTATTGTTCCGTGGGTGGCTGACTGACGAGGAGACCCGAGTATATCTCTTTCACTACTTGATCTGTGAAGATAGCTTAGCACGACGAGCGAAAGCAACGAGTTTAAAAGATTACCTGTATATCCAAGACTGAGTGCTCTTCCAGTGAGAGAAGCTAGTGCTCTCCATTGCTCCTCCTGGCCAGTCGCTGCAAGCTTTGAAGTCATATGACAGATGTTAGCTCCAAGCCATGAAGCATACTGCGACCCGTTTCCCAGCCATGAGAGTCTCCGGAATTCAGACTCGCTAGCTAGTGAGAGAGCTTCTGCTGCAGTCGAAAGGACCCTACTGGCGGCAATTAGAGATAGGAGCTCTTTCCAGGCGACCTGTTTTTGCATATCATTCTTGTAGAACATGTCAATGTCGGCACGCAAGCGCAAAACAAAGTCCTCGGGCTCCAATAGAGCTGAAGTAACCTCGAGGATGTGTCTGATTCGAATTCCACTGCCCGATGCGTCCGCTTGCTGCGAAGATGCGCGCGCCTGCGCGATTAGAGAGCGGAGCTGCGCCACTAAGCAGCTGATACCAGAGACACTACTCAGACATCTCAATAGTGCTGCCCGGAGCTTCATATATCCAGTCGATGGACCGTTTGAACCTGTGTTGAGAGGGTCCCAATGATCGGGCACTGTTATGGTGACTAGAGCATTGAGAATCTGCGCAGTTTTCGGGCTTGGAACTCGGATGTCAAAGTCGGGTGCAACTTCGCCTTTTCGAAAGGGATCTAGTATAGAAAGAGCTCGAGAGAGCTCATCCTGCCCAGGGTTTGCCCTCAATATGGATAGAATATCAGCTGATGACGCTGGACCGGTACTTGACACATTCCTGGGACCATGGTCTCTGGTTTCGCGCCCAAGTTTTGGAAATTTGTCCTCGCGAGCTCTGAGGATGTCATCTCGACCGTGGTTTATTGTTTTGATTTCCGTAATAAGCCCGTCCATCTTTCCGAGCTGTCATTATTGAGCTTTGAAGTGAGAAAACGCTGTTGTGATGAAAGAGGTGGCAAAGCTGTGCTTGCATAATTAGTAAGCAGCTTTTATCCACTGCTATGCTGATTCTTGGGACTATGAGTAGCCCCGGTACAGCCTTTACTTTCATCACTAATACTGATACTTTTAATACTCATCCGTACTAGATAGTGGGCTTCGCTTATTTGAGCGTTCGAAATAGGTAGCTTTGTGGTCTCGAAGGTTTTATCGCTGATGACCGGCTTGACCGTCCGTAATAGTCACGTGCGGGGTAGCTTCATTAAGTGGTTCCTCAGTCAACAACTGAGATGGAGGTTGCAACGATTTGGCCGTTTCTCAAAATCTTCATGTTTTCTCCAAACACAGACGACTGTATACTAGATTTGTAGACTTCTGGAAGAGAAGGCGTCTTCATAACTGGAAACGACTGTCGTGCGACTCAGGCTATAGCAGATCTCCTACACGATGGCAACTGCGGATAGATGGTGCGGCTCTTATCTGGCGTTCCCCTCCACTACTTACTCACGACTTTTAGGACGCACCTGTACAAGGTGCTGTCAAAATCCGGGCCCTTCTCCGACCCGGACTGGGTTCCCGGAGATGAGACAATAAAGTCTTTGGAGGAATCGAAGATCCTGTATGTTACGTCTCCAATTCACATGTATCTTGCGCACCGACTAATGTACGTCTAGGGTGATGTGAGTATAGGAGAGCCTTCAAGTTGAAGACCATGTCTAACGTTGGGTAGCGGAGCTGGAGGCTTGGGCTGTGAGATTCTGAAGAATCTTGCTCTTTCGGGGTTCAAGGACATTCATGTTATTGACATGGGTGAGACTCTCTCCATAATGTGGTGATGTCCACGGTGTCTAACCCTGACAGACACGATTGATATTTCCAACTTGAACCGGCAGTTCCTGTTCCGCCAGTCTGACATTGGCAAGCCCAAAGCAGAGGTTGCCGCTGCGTTTGTCAAGAAACGAGTGAAAGGAGTGAATATCACACCTTATGTTGGCAAGATCCAAGATAAGGATGAAGATTATTACATGCAGTTCAAGATTGTTGTTTGCGGGCTTGATAGCATCGAAGCCCGGAGATGGATCAATTCTACGTTGGTGGGCATGGTTGATATGGACAACCCAGAAAGCTTGAAGCCGTTAATTGATGGCGGAACTGAAGGTAAGCATGCTCACAGGTCTTAGACAACAGAGGTCTAAACAATGTGTAGGATTCAAGGGCCAAGCGCGCGTTATCCTTCCTAGTCTCACATCATGCATTGAATGCCAGCTGGACATGCACGCTCCCAGACCTGCTGTTCCCCTCTGCACAATCGCCACTATCCCTCGCCAGCCACAGCATTGCATTGAGTGGGCGCATCAGATTGCCTGGCAGGACAAGCGCAAGGACGACACATTCGACAGCGATGACATGGAGCACATCGGCTGGATCTACAATGCGGCACTGGAACGATCCAAGGAGTTTAACATCCCCGGAGTTACCTTCCAGATGACCCAAGGCGTTGTCAAGAATATTATCCCTGCCATTGCCTCCACAAACGCTGTCATCGCCGCCGCTACAACCTCGGAAGCGCTGAAGATAGCAACTTCCTGCAACCCCTTCCTTGAAAACTACATGATGTATGCCGGAGAGGAAGGCGTTTACACCTATACCTTTGAAGCGGAGAAGAAGTCGGATTGCCCTGTCTGTGGAAACCTCGCCCGCAAGTTGACTGTAAATGGGGATTTCACTCTGGAGGAATTCATTGAGATGCTTGGCGAGCGACCAGAGGCACAGCTGAAGAAACCCAGCCTGAGAACTGAGGAGAAGACTCTTTACCAGCGCTTCCCACCCCAGCTGGAGGAACAGACTCGGGCTAATTTGAAGTTGAAGCTTCGGGATCTTCTCACGAGTGGACAGGAGGTCGCCGTCAGCGACCCTGCGTATACGATTGATTTCCGATTCCAGTTGGTATTTGCTTGAGCCGATCTATTTGAAGATACAGTGGCGTTACGACGAAAGAATGATGATTATGACTAGATATCAAACAGATTTCTAAACCAGCTTTTTCTATCTCTCAAATCCTGATCCAGACTCCTAGTCGTGTAAAGAAAGGTATTCGCCCACTTTTCTCTCGTAAAGGTACATACAAGCTGCAAGAACAAGAATCCAACGCCGGGGTAATGCATAACAAAAACGTGCTGGCTGACAAAAGAAAATGCGCCGCGCTTTATCGCATGAGGTCCGTCAGGCCTCTCTTCCACCGGCCGCATTTCAGCTTAAGCACCTTGACGCTTTCGAGGAAGAGAACGTCACTGTCAAACTGCCCTGTGCTCTCGATGTTGAAGATGAAGTGATCGCGCAGTCGGCCCAGCTTGACTTTGCCCTGGAACTCCTCGTGTCTCAAACATTCTCTGCTGACAGTATCGTTAAAGGGATCGCTAACTACTGCCTTGAGCTCGCCAGAATGTCCCTCGTATTCAGAGTTTTGCCGCTCGTCCTCAGCAGTGATGGGCTCAAGAGCGATGACACCCTTGGGGAAGCACTTCGCAAATTTCTTCGCATCCTCGCCAATGATCGGGCGCAGGATCTTGATGTCCGGCATCAACCGGTAGCTCGCGGTCGCTACAGGCGAAAACTTGGCGTGATCCGCTCCGATACCCTTAAGACAGTGCATTTCCATTTCGATCTTCTGGCCCGGGCGCAGCTTAGCAACAAGGATATCGGGATTGACCGGTTGGATAGCGCCGTCTCCGGTGAAAAATTGCTCCTGACGTCCGACGGGGTGGAAAACAATATCCTTAGCATAGACATGGGCGTTTTTGTAGAGCTTGCGGGGATCCTGCTCGTCGCGGGACGCATTCGGGTTCTTGGTACATTCGATGTCTAGGCGCAGCACAACGGTATTGAAATCCGACAAGTTGCTACCGCTCTCAGGGTCGTCATCGGTTGGCTTTTTATACCAGCGCATCCAGTTGAGGCCCTCGACTGAACCCTTGAGGGGAATAAGACCCAGACGCTGCGCAAGAACCTCATCTTGAATCACGGAAGTGTTGTTGTGAACGTAGACTGTCTCGATAGCAAGGGTTGGGACTTCGGCCATTACAATTCGCCGAAATGCGTTCGCGATAGAGGCGTCGAGACCGATGAGGGAGAAGGAAGATTCAAACTGCTTGTTTTGGTGAAATTCGACCCGGAAGCCCTGAGATCGCAATTAATGGCTAAGATATCAATTGACAAAGACAGGACATACCTCTCGGAACTTTTCGAGGGACCATGCGTGCGACTCGCCTGGCCAGTGACCTGGGAAATCTGTGGAGGGAATATTGGAGACCGTCTCGGCATTGATGTCGACGATCTAAGCCATGTTAGAACCAAGTCTTTTCAAAGATTGAAGATGACATACCCTTCTGCGCTCAAGCTCTTCATGCGACGGGACGAGGGGCGCCATGGTGGGTGTTTAGATAATTGAATGCCTCAACTGGAGACTGTGACGGACGATCGAAAAAGTTCTTGAGAGGAACCGGCAGTACTTTTTGCGGGCGCGAGGCGGAGAGACTTGGTCAATATAATGAGACTCACTAGCAGTAGAATTGTTCAGCTCCAGGAAGTTATGCAGAATATTTGCTGCGGTGGCCCTAGGCTGGGTGTGGAATAGACGAATATGGAGACCAACCACACGCGGCGTGATGACCACAAGCTACTCTCTCACGTGACCGGCCAAATTGCACTCGTCGCAACCTCCCGAGCGTCACTCCGAAGCGAACCCTTCCGACGAAGACGAAGCTCTCCCATCCATTGCGTCCGGACTGAGGACCGTCAGCCCCTCTCCCTCAGCATCCCTTCTCACAGTCTCCCGAATGGCTGCCTCATTTGCTCGCCTGGCGGGCAATGCCCCCAAAAAGCTCTGCCTTCGCCCCTCCAGCTTCGCCAGAAACACGGTTGTCCCCAGATCACGCTCAATAACGACGTCTGTGCCTCGTCGAGCGGCAGAGCCTACCAGCTACCAGGCTACTCGATTGATCCCGACCGACCCGAGCTTTGCACACTTCGCCAACAAGGGTAGTGAAATCCCCGAGACTGCCGCCGGCCTTGAGTCTGAAGCCGAGGGTGTCGGCCGCAAGATCCGCCACTACACCGTCAATTTTGGTCCTCAGCATCCTGCCGCTCACGGTGTGCTCCGATTGATTCTGGAACTCAATGGAGAAGAGATTGTCCGCTCAGATCCCCACGTCGGTCTGTTGCATCGCGGTACCGAGAAGTTGATCGAATACAAGACCTATATGCAAGCCCTGCCTTACTTTGACCGTCTCGATTATGTTTCCATGATGACAAACGAGCAATGCTTCTCGCTGGCCGTCGAGAAGTTGCTGAACATCGATATCCCAGAGCGCGCCAAGTACATCCGTACGCTCTTCGGAGAAATCACCCGTGTCCTGAACCACCTCATGTCTGTTCTTTCACACGCTATGGATGTCGGTGCTTTGACGCCATTCCTGTGGGGTTTCGAAGAGCGTGAGAAGCTCATGGTACGAGGTCTTCCTGCGTATACAGCGTATTACTACCGCACTCAACTGACGATGGCTGTTTCAATAGGAATTCTACGAGCGAGTATCCGGTGCCCGTCTCCACGCTGCCTATGTCCGCCCCGGTGGTGTTTCTCAGGATATTCCCCTCGGTCTCCTTGACGATATCTACCAATGGGCCACCCAGTTCGGTGACCGTATCGACGAAACCGAGGAACTCCTCACCGACAACCGTATTTGGAAGGCCAGAACCCAGGGCGTTGGTGTCGTCAGCGCCGCCGATGCGCTGAACATGAGTTTCACTGGTGTCATGCTCCGTGGCTCCGGTGTCCCATGGGATATCCGCAAGTCTCAGCCGTACGACGCTTATGATAAGGTCGAGTTCGATGTGCCTGTCGGTGTCAACGGTGACTGCTATGATCGTTACCTCTGCCGTATGGAGGAGTTCCGCCAGTCTCTCCGCATCATCCACCAGTGCCTGAACCAGATGCCCGCAGGTCCCGTGCGCGTTGAGGACTACAAGATCATGCCTCCTCCCCGTGCCGCCATGAAGGAGAACATGGAGGCTCTTATTCACCACTTCCTGCTCTTCACCAAGGGTTATGCTGTTCCCCCTGGCGAGACATACTCCGCAATTGAGGCTCCTAAGGGTGAGATGGGGGTGTTCCTTGTCAGTGACGGTAGCGAGCGGCCCTACCGCTGCAAGATCCGTGCCCCGGGTTTCGCCCACTTGGGTGGATTCGACCAGATTTCGCGTGGTCACCTTCTTGCAGATGCTGTCGCTATTATTGGTGAGTCACACAGGCGCTATATTTACCATGAGCCCTGACTAACCTTTTCTTTCTCAGGTACAATGGATCTCGTGTTCGGTGAAGTCGATCGGTAAAATATCAGATTTCCACTCTTCTGTACAAAATGCAATCCATTCAGAAATAAGCAAATGAATCAAAAACATCTAGAAATTCAGCGACGATGAAAATGCCGCCTGGCTGACCCTGGGTGCGTTTGTGTGTTTTTGCCCTCGTTTCAGTTGCGATGGCTAGAGCTGGATATGTTATAGAAAGTGTGCTACTGTGTGTGGGAGATTTCTGGGGCCGAATACCTGTCTGTCTGTACCAGTTCATTATAATGGCGTTTCTTTATTCTTCCTATGTTTACTACCGTGGTCCGATCTACACCTCTATCCATCATTTTTCCTTACCTAAACTTGTGTATAGTGTCGCAAATCTCTGATTCGATAGCTGTATGCTTGGTATATCCTGGGTAAACGTTACATAGATTCTCAGTATAGAAAAGACGGGCGCAGTGGCCAGAATAGGACGGCATATGTACGGCATACACACTAATATGACTGCAAGGAGAAGAAATGGCCATTCTCCCGAAATATATGCAAATAAAGGATGCAAGCGAGGTGGAAAAAAGTTCACATCACCCCCTAACTCCATGGCTACCCTAGTAAGAGCGAACCCAAATTACCTGCAAAACAACGCAACTCTAGCGCCAAACCCATGCACGCCTAAGAAAGCCAATAATCCCACTATCAGTCCTTCACTTGACGTTTATACTAATATAGCCAGACTCACGGACCCCGGAAGAAAAGAGAAGAGAACAGAGGTCCAATCCTTCTGCCTGCCTACCTGTCTGCACTACACATTATCATCATCGTAGAGGAAATTTATATCCCGCGGTCTCCGCCGGTTGTATGTGACAAAGTCGCTATCTCCCGGCGGCCGCTCGTTCTTGTGATTTGCCGTCAGCATGCTCTGGATGCTCATGCAGATGCTCTCGACTTTTTGCACGGGCGACCAGCCGGCGGAGCCGAGGAGGTCGAGGCAGATGATTCCGTTGCTGTAGATGTGCGGGTGGATGGGGATGGGGCGTTTGGAATTCGGAGCGGACTCTGTGGCTTGGACTTCAATAAATTGGACTTCGGGAGGTTCTATACAGGCGCGAAAAGAGAAATGCGTATATTAGCTTCGGGACGATCTTATGATTTGCGCTCCCTGCCTCTGGAAAGCGTGGGGAAGGAAAAAGGGTATGGTATGGCAAGTATGTACCGATTGGATATCTTGACCCGAATGTGAACTTCAGTCTGTATGTCTCGCCCCGGTAGAGTGGGTTGTCGTCTAGGACTTCAATATCCATTTGCCATTCTTCGAGGTTCTCGGCCTTGAAGATTGAGATTCCGGGTGGGAGGTGTTCTTGCATCTGCAATTCTTGTGAGTGCCAATTCAGGAATTAAGCGTGCGGGATCTCGGAAAGTGGAAGGAAAGGCTCATGAAGGGAGGGAGAATATGCGCTTGTATAGGATCGGTGGAGAGTCGGTGAGCGGGGAGGAGGACAGATAAAAAAAACAGTCGTACCTTAATGAGCTCCTATTCGCAGCCAGTCAGTAGCTGATGCTTTTTGTAGCTGCGGGGAGAAGAGTTACTTTGCTCAGTCGCTTGCTTGCGAACATGATGTAGGGCGCCTCTTAGAGGCCTAGGAGACCCTCCGCGTGTGCGCGCTGGCTTGGTAAGGAGCGAACTTTGCGCGTTTTCTGGAAAAAAGACGTTGGCTGAGGCGGCGCAGGTCCGGAGTGTATGACGTCTAGAAAAAGTGCGGGGCGATCGGCAGCGGAGAGTAAAGGCTTTTGATGTCTGCCGGGATGATATATGACAGGTAACTGAAAGGGGTCTTGAAATAAAGAGTCTATGATTTGAAGCTGCGAGATCAAGCAGAAAGAAAAAGGAGAGGGGTGAGAGACCAGAGTGAGGCTGTGAGCTGTGCCCAAGGAAAGCCTGGGGGGAGGAGGAAAGAAAGGTACCTCAACCGATTTGATCAGGTCATTGGGACCCATCACCTGATTGGCTCAGAAGTCATACAGCCCGCCACGTGATAGCTATAGTACACATAGTAGTCGGTCATAGCATGCGCAATTAGTTCGTTTCAGTTGGGATTACATATGGGTTTGGTCAAGATGAAGTCTCGATATCTTGCATATATAAAGCGAATATGTGGTACGACTGGAAAGAGCAGTAGACACCAAGACGGAAGAAATCCAAACAAGTAAATGCTCGCCATTCGAAATAATACGGGGAATCACTTGAACAGAAGCCACAGAATGTTCATCTGATGGTCCAGGTTCCGAGAACAAACCAAACAAGTCATTGAGCTTGGATCCAAATCAATGCCGCTCAAAACTCTCTCATGACTGGGTCCTCTCGCGGGCCTGGCGCTCGACCTTTTCTCGCTCCTCATTCTCCTTCATTTCGCGGACCTTGGCGAGAACGACCTCTCTGAAGATGGCGCCGCGCGCAATCTTACTCAGACTCCGCTTCTTGGTGCCACCAGACTCACCTTCAGCGTCTGTTGCAGCGGGAACATTTCCGCCTTCTTTTGTTGAGAGAGCTGGGAACGGGGACAAGGCGGGTTTGCCAGAGGCACCCGTATCTGCTTGCACATCTACAACGCTGGGGATATCCTCATCATCTTCCTGCATCTTAAGTGCCTCAATACGGTTCGCGAGCTTAATAATCTCGATACCCCTCTTGAGGCGAGAGCGAGCAATGTAAGCACGGATTTCGGGCAGCAAGTCGCGGTCGCTGGCGGATTCTCCCTTGAGCCAAGGATGTTTCAGGGCTTCCTCAGAAGTAGGTCGTTGTGCGGGGTTGACTTGGAGCAGGCTGAGGATAAAGTCCTTGGCATCCTTTGAGACATCGCGCCAGTAGCGCTCGTGGAAAATAACGCGACCAGAGCGGCATTCTTCAATAAGATCGGTGAGGTTCTCGGAGCGGAAGGGAGAGTAACCGCATAGAAGGGTGTAAGTGATGACACCGAGAGACCAGATATCGACTGCCTTTCCGTGGCCTTGCTTGAGCATAACTTCGGGCGCGGCGTAGCCGAATGAACCAGCCATGCTAGTCAGAACCTCTGCAGGGTTGTCCAACATCTTAGCGATACCGAAATCTGCAAGGACTAGCTGCGAGTCGATGTCAGGTGTGAGGTAGAGCAGGTTCTCAGGTTTCAGGTCTATTCCAGTAGGGCATGAGTTAGTCGTATGGTGTGATGCAGTGGATGAGAAAGAGACGCACCTCGATGGACGATATTACGCTGGTGCAGATAATTCACAGCTTCAAAGACCTGGCGGATTGTCTGAGACGCATCCTTTTCTGTGAACTTGCCGTATTCGCAGATCCTGTCGAACAACTCTCCGCCGGTGGCTAGTTGGGTGACGATATAAAATTTATCCTATGGTGTGATTAGACCAGGTTGTTGAGGGGTATATGGTGAGAAAGCGTACCTTGGACTCAAACCAATCGACGAAGTGAACGATGTGAGGGTGGTTCATCTTCTGCAGCACCTCCAGCTCATCATAGACCATGCGCTCGTTACCCCGAACGTTTCGCTTCAGAATAATCTTGACCGCCACCTTTCCTGAAGAGCAGTCCGCTTCACGAACAATGCCGTATGTTCCAGCACCGAGGGTTCTCCCGAATCGGTAAAGAGCTCTGGAGGGAAAAGGCGTTAGTATTTAGGACACAACAGAGTAGAGGGACCGGCCGTACTTCTTTTCATAGCTTTCGGGCTGCCCCGAGAGCTTATTGAGCATATTTGCGACTATCATTGAGGTATCACGTATTAGCGACTCTGCTGGAACCAGAATATATGACCAAATAGATGTGAAAAGACGAGCGACCGAGCCAATCGTGATAAGATGGAAGAGAAACATGACTAAACGCTGAAAAGCGAACGATATTGTTCTCATAAATATACGTGGATGTAGGTACCGCAATGAGGCTGATTGCGGCTGAGTGCTTGCTGGGTCCCAGGATTCAGACTCGTGCGAGAATAATGTGTGGGACAAGGCTGCTTGGAGGAGCTGGCCGCATTGGAAAGGCATTCGGTGACCGACGGCGGCAAAATCCAAAGGCGAAAAGAGCCAATCTTATACTTACAACTCATTTTTGGTTGTGTTGCAGTGTGCTGGGGCAGATTTGCGTCGAGATGAAGGACGAGGTTGCTATGGCGGGGTCCAACCGGCGGACTGAAAGGCTCACGAACAACCCCGCACGTAAGGACGGAGGAGATAAGATCAAGGAAGGGAGATAGTTTGACCGGGCCTAGAGTTAGTATCAACTGGAGAAAAGAATCGAAGAGTCAATATGGAAATTCGACAAGGTCTGACGGTCAAGAGCGACTGCGCTGGCAGGTCAGGGGAAGCGGGGAACTTCTCGTGATAGCAGCGGGGATTGCGACGCCCTCAGTGCAGCGCATCTAGACAGAGAAAGGGATTGCTCTTCGACGGATGACAGGTACTCACCGATTCTGCCTTCCAGAAGCAGTCTCCAAACGGGCGTGCAGAGAAGGGAGGAAAAGGGAGGAGGAGCAGCAGAATGATGTATGACAGTTGGTGCCTGAGAGCTGAAGGTGGGCAAGGTCAAGAAAGTCTGGGCCGTCCATTTTTAGCTTCAGCACAGCCACTGGCGCGCGACCGCAATCTAACAACAGCCTTGCGGAGGGGACGCTAATCCTCAATTCTCACTTCTGTGGGTCAAGCGCGTTTCATAACCAATTCCAGCCTGGTTCAGAAAGCTTCCCTTCCTTTTTTCGGCTCGATTTCAAGTGCTGTTGGGCGTCTTCGCAAGGCGGACGCGACTGATTCGAGTCTCGGCGCTCAGCCCTGTCAGACACAACCACGAGTAGTACTAATCACCTTGAAACTCCGCTGTTACATTCGTTAGGGGTAAAGGAAATCGGACAGAAGAAAAGGATGTTTTTGGATCAGGAAGTATCCTGCGAAACGGGAGAAGAGCTCTTGAACCCTTTTAGATTACCGGGAAGCATTCAAACCGATATAGCCGTCGAGTAAAAAAAGAATTTGATAGCTGCATTACTCCGTATAGCATTGTGGCTAGTGCGAGCCTTGAGCATCGTCAGATCATTCTTTGCTTTCCAACTTTGCCTATTATTGGCTAATTATCTACCTCAAATGGAGTGCAGCCTTGTGTAACACACGCGGACATGGCTGATCATCTCAACCAAACCGAGTCACGTCAACTCCAAAAATCCGGGGCCCTTTCAAGCATCATCGGAGGTCAATATGCCACTTTAAAGTCTGAGGGCAAGAAAGCTGCAATGAGACACTTGATATTGAGGCTGTATGAGTAGTACTATGGCAAGATATATCCTCTTGAATACAACTGTATGACAAACTTCTTCGAAAAAAGTCTTGAATCCAGAAGACCCAACCCATCCCAATGCTATCTAAGCCAAAATTTCCTGAGCAAATTGCCACAGGAATGAACTTGGCATCAAACCAGCCCAGCCCTGACCCCCTCACCCTCAAAACCGTCTGGACCAAATCATACCCAAGTTTTCTATCCTGCTCACTAGCCAACAGATACGCAGTCTTGACCACATTCTTAATCTGTCTCCCATTGAGTGTGATTGCCGCCAACGAGTCAAGTTGATCGCTTGAGAAAGACTCGACGTCGATGCCACTGAGGAACTGGGCCCAGATCTGTCGTCTAGCTGCGATGTTTAGCTCGGGGTATTCAATCGCGACGTGGATGCGGGATTCGAAAGCGGGATCGAGGTTTTCGGCGCGGTTGCTGGTGAGGAAGAGGAGGCCCTAATAAGGTATCTTAGCTTTCAAGGGTTGCATCTTTGGGGCGAAGGAGGGAGAGCGAAAATTACCTCATAGTATTCGAGCAACCTCAAAAAGATCGAGACGAGCTCATTGCGATGGAAGTCAGAACTACTGCGCTCCTCCATAAATATATCCGCCTCATCGAGAAGAAGAACTGCGCCCCACTTGGGAACGATAGAGAGAATATCTTTGAGCTTACTCTCGAGTATGTGGGCTTGTGTTCCAAGGTCTCCTGCGCTGAGCACGTAAAGGGTAACTTTCAGAACCTCTGCCACGCTCTCTGCGGTCAGAGTCTTCCCAACTCCAGGCGGGCCACTGAGAAGCATGATGATACCAAGGCCCTTGCCCTGCACAACGTCGTCGAAGACTTTGCGCTTTTGGATTGCGCATTTGCAAAGGCGAGGATCAGCTGTTTCAGATCCTGCTGGGCGTGAGGAAGGACCAAGGAGTCAAAAGCCTTCGAGTTCCAGACAATGTCCTTTGCACCGTCGAGGTAGAACTCCAGCCATTGCTTGTTGCTGAGGGAGTAGCCACGAACAATGGGGGTGGCGATGAGGTGCTGCTCGTCAGTAAGTGTATCAGATATGGTAGAAGGTAACGGAGTCTGTTCGTTGAGCGCCCTTCTGTTTCTGCCGTACAAGCGGTTACTGTGGGCTGCGCGCAGTTGCATGTCATCACCATAGGGATCGTCCTGATAACCGGAATAGGTCACAGTGTTCGAAGCGAAAATGGGCGCTACGTCCGGGTTGAACGTGCTATATGCCTCCGTGTCGATGACGATGCGGCCTTTGACGTTGAACTTTGTCTCCTTTTCATAGTAGTAGCCGTTGGCGACACCTTCGTATTGCATGGATTGATAGCCCTTGTGCTGCCCCCACAGTGCTCCACGAGCAATCAGCTCTTCGCGAATCGTAGCGTGATCACTGTGGTATTTCAACGGAAGTACGGATAGCGAAGTGATAGGAGTGGTTCCTTCAAAGGCAGGGATTGAGAAGCTGTTTTCCATGAAGCCAAATGCTTTGCCGTCATAGTCAATGTATTTTCCCGTGATGACGAAACTTCTACTGCGAGTATCATGGAAACCCTTCTGGAAGACGAAAGCGCGCTGACGGCCACCAATGACACTGTAGATTGGCTCGTCTGGCTCAAACATAGCGTAGAGCAGGTTGTAGGTAATGACGGCGTTGGCAATGAGGTCGTTCTTCTGGGAGATCACATCACGAAGCTCTTCTTCCAGAACGGTATACAACAGGTCTCGTGGGCTTTGGCTGCCTCATCCAGCCCGTCAGCGTCCTTCGCATCGGTAAACTGTTTCCAACGATGGATAAAGGGCCTGAAATTGGCGTGGAACTCGACGCGTGCAAGAGCTAGCGTGTGGCCTGGATATCCCTTGAAAACATCGGCTAGGAACTTCTTGAGCGGCTCGCTCTGGAAGACGATCGAATGGATCTCGAGGCTCTTGGTTCCATTGTAACACTTGGCGTTTCGCACGACAAGCGCGTACTGACGGGATTCTGGATCTTCTGCTGGGTCCTCAGCGTAGTCTGGCAATTGCTTGGTCCATGACGTGAGACCGACCGCGTCATGTCTAGTCTGGTAGATGTTGTGCGCTTTGCAGATGGAACCTGATGGGGCGAATGGACCAGAAGACTTGTTGGGCTCCTTAGGCGTTTTTAGGAGACTGGAGAACTGCGAAACGGGCATTGAGGCAAGTCCACCGGTGTTGATAGCTTCGGCAGCGTCTGATTTAGGTCTATGGCTGTGGTGGGTAGAGACAGAGTTTGGAAAAAAAAATCAGGAAGAGAGATTATTAAACCCCAGAAAAGTTACAAACGATTGGAAAGAGTTGTTTGTTGTCGAAGATGAGAAGGTCTGGGGGGAGACAGTCGGAAAGGTTTGCAGATGGGGCAGTAACACAACATCAGCGCCCCGCACTGAAGACTGCCTCAGTTTTTAAGCCTCAGCAGAGCCTTGCACCTTCACTGGTGTTGTGTGGGTACATTAGGCAGACATCTGTCAAGTATCTAGGTAGCCTTGCTGACTATTGAAAGGTGACGGTTGAGAGCCTTTCACCTTGCTCTTTTTGGAATGTTCGCAACTCAGCTGTTGGATAATACGATTCAGACTAAACCCTATCACAGCTGTTATTGTCCTCGATCATCAAAGACTGCCCATTTTCTCTACTGGACTGTTCCGGCCCTATTGCAACATTCCCAGCTTCCAAAGGTACATGTCCATCTTGTGAGCCCTTGGGTTTCCAAAAATGGTAGTCTCCAGAACTCTCTTGGTTTTCCTTTGCTCAACATCGTCTGCCACGGCACCGAAGCCTTGATTGCTATCTTTCATGAACAAGACCGTCCCTGCGTTGTCTAGCAGCATTTGGGGTAGGTCCCAATGCAAAGCGACTGTAGGTTCCGGGCATAGATAAACCATCAGGAGCGATTCAATATAGTCTTTGTCTATACGCGGAACCGGGTCTCCTTCGTTGATGATAGAAAGAAATGTCGAATTTTCGCTGTGCAATGCTGGATTGCTCACTGGAGGCGATCCGAAGACAATGCAGCTGATTGAAGTGAATTCTGCCAAGGTGTCAATACCTAGTATTTGGAAGGGTTGGCGACTGACTTGAATTGAGATCAACCAAAGCGGAAGAGTTCTTTGACATCATGTGTGCATATAGCAATGAAGCAACGGCTCCGCCAGCTGAATGTCCAGTGAAGAGAAGTTGAATGTCTCTGTCGAAGCTTCCGGTCTCGAGTTTAGAGAGAATGGATAGTATGGCCTCGGAGACTTTCCCGACCATTGCCTTTGCGCATTCAAGAAAGCCGCCATGGACTTGGTATTTGCGGTCTTCAGAATCCTGCACATTCAGCAAGTGTTCACTCACTCAAGGGCTGCAATAAATATTCAACACCTACCACAAAGCCTTCACCTTCTGTACCATTGCCAATGTCATCAAAATTGATAGTCCAGTCTCGCCTCTTGGAGGTTGACCCTCTTATCGCGACGACAAGCAATAGGGAGGATGGCTCTGTGTGAGTAGAGATCATTTGGACCCGAGTGGCCTTGACTGTTCCGTCGCGGAACGAAGCGTCAATTTCTTCGATATGTTGTGTGGGCTGATAATCAGAGACCTCTTCCAACCGAGCGATGTGCCCTATAGGAGCTGTATCCGAAGCATAAACAGATTTTGCGCTCCAAGCTGCCACCTTGACCAGGCTTAAATTCTCGTTACTCCTGAGCATGTCAGCGGAAGTGATCACGGCTTACCTGAGATGCACTTACATTGCGTATGATACCACGCTATCAGGTAACGATCCGTTGGTGTACTTCTTAACTTTCTCTATCTGACGGCTCATGGAAATAATATCGAGATCGACCGCATCCCCTACAGGGAATGGGCATCAGCCTCTCAGCCTTTGGCTCAAAATCGCTGCTCTTACCTGTACGGTCGACTCGCTCGAGGTAATCATCCAGTCGAGCCGATAGCTCTCGGAGATTGCGAGACGTCGCAGCTGAGTGCGTGGATTGTGACACATTGGCAACGGAGGCAGACGATTCCGCGGATATTTGTGCTGTAGTGCGCGAGGTTTTACTCCGCGTGAACGAAGCTGCAAGTTTTTGAACGATGGATTTCCTCATTCTCTACGCTGGCGAGTAACCGCGACAGTGCAATCGGTTTCAGGCTGTTCGACCAGAGCAGACACGGGCAAAGACCGGAATCTCGAAAGCATTGAGAAGGAAGAACAATGAGCGAGGCCGAGAAAACACATTATAAGCCGCTTGCTGGTTTGGCCAGACTTGAGGAATGGGGACGGTCGTAGCGAGTCGCTTGAAATATCCCGAGTAGAAACGAGGGGAAGGGAGTGCGGCTGACTCGTGCCGTTAGCATTCGCAGATATAAGCCTTGTCCAGGGCCTGGAATTCCCCAAACTAACCGACCATTATGGCTTCGAGCATCTTCGACGACTTGCAGTCGCCAGTTTCATATGATGCCGACTTCGACAGAGGATGGCGCCAGATCTCGGAGAAAGGCGACGACCCTGTAAACCGCCTCTATGAGTTGCTGCGACGGGTATACTGGGACGCCGTGCAAGACGAGATGGCAAACGCAATCTTAGCCTTTGACGATTATAAAACCTTTGGTCCAAAAGGACTGCCGAAGTTGGACGAGGAAGAGTTGGAGAGCGAGTACCTGCGGGAGTTGATTGACCTGTGGGGTGCGCGCCTTCTTGATGTCCTTCTTTCCCACGAGAACACCCTTTCTGACAATTTCTGAGACCCTCTCGAGCTTCCAGAAGAGATCAAAGACAGTGTCTGTCAGAGTGTATCCGACAACGTCAAAGGTGAGTAGCTCGTGGCAGAAATGTTGCAGTTGGCATCTTTCTCACGAGTAACAGAACGGCAAAACGTCCCACAGGACGACTTGATCGCTCGCTCGCTGCTCCAAGCATGCGGCAAGATCCCATCCTCATCGTACTCCGTTCAGTATACTGACCGCATGATAAGGATTCGCCGATTACGACTATGTCCAGGAGTACCGACGGCCAACATTCCCTTCTTTAGGAGCCGCGCCACAAGGTACGCGCAACCTATACAATTTTATCAAGTCCCATGCTAAGTTTCTTAGTGGACCGGCGCTTCCCAGGGATTTACGAAGCCATCCAGTGTTCAGAATGCCGCGCGTGTATCCGATCATTTCACTTCTATCAATGCAAGAAAGGCTGCAGCGACTAGTAGGTCTCAATAATTGAGTGTGAGAAAAGAACCGATATCTGACTCGCTAGCCCCGTCCATCGGAGTTATATAAAAACGGTACCAGAAAAGTCAATGGAAGACCTCGGCCATATCTACTTTAACTGCGTGGGACTAGTACCTTATCGTTTGTGCTGCAACTGTATGGAGACATCCACCCATTTGAGGGATCATCTCAAGGTTACATACCGATTCAAGAGGGCGGGCGAGCAAGGTACATGCTGCATGGACTTTGCTACTGTTCGCCATTACTGACTGATTCTTAGACCATTATACATTCAGCCAGGAGTTAGACGCCCTCGAAGATCACAACAGAGGACAGAGTCTTATGTCTTTTGGCAATGCATTCCTCGACCATATCACCGCTGGTGGCTTGCGACGGTCGATGAATGCTCGACGTTTATTTCCCGCAGGCAATGCGCATTGTGCTTTGATGTTTGGGCCGCTGCTGATTGAAAATGGAATGACAATGTAAGGGTAAATCGATTGCCTTATTCACCCTATGTGGGCGCTAATACATACAGTCATCCTGGCGGTGCACTGATATCAACTCGATCGCTACCAACTTTGGGCCGTCATTTACCACGTGATATCTTGGAGTATCTGCGTCCAGAAAATTATAGGACAATCCAGGGCTGCGACGTATTTTGCTCACAAGTATATTCGGTATCCCCAAAGCGCCAGGTTTATGAGGCCATGAAGAAAGCTAGAGAGCGCCGGTTCCTCTGTTCGCGGAAGCAGCTGTCTGGTGGTCTATTTACCGACTACAACTCAAACCCACAGTGGAAGGCTGGGGAGGCCTTGGTCATTGACCAATTCTTGAGAGCGGCGGAAGTATGGCGAACCGAGAAGTCGCCAATGGTGCATGACGAGATGAATAGGGCAACTTTACGGGATCGCGCAAAACAGCTTACTAACGTAATGCAGTCATGTTTCGACGATGTAGTGAATCCCTCCTTATATTTGCTCGCCTCGAAACTCGGTAAGACGCAGAAACTAGCCTACAGCCGGATGAGCAACAACTGTCAAGATTTTTGCAATGGTCTTTTAAACTACGACAGCTACTACCATCCCGTATTTAGCACCATGTACCCGTTCATCCCAGTATCTCTATCACTGGATGTCGAGCGAGAGCCTGATGAGCGATGTCTTAGCTACCTCCAAAGCTTTGTGAAACCGTTGCAGTACCCCATCCCCGGATTCCGGAGCCAGCGAGCTATGATAGGCTCTGCTGTGACTATGTACTCTAGCTACGCTCAGAACGATGCCGATCTCATTGATCACGTTCATAGCGTACGGTTTGGACGCGACCGAGAGAATGGTTACTCTCTCGGATTTAGTTTCTCAAAACCACTGGGAGGAGACCCGTATCTTCTCAAGGATGAAGAAATGAGCTGCTCAGACCGGTTTGCAGCTGCCCATTTACCAGGAAGCTCTGGTGGTAAACGATGCACACTGGCAGATCATGTACTAGACTGCCCTGTGGATAACCTGTCGATTCTACAGACCCATCTGCACCGGAACGCCAAATACTACATTGACGAGAACGAAGACTTCCTGACCGACCTCGGACCAACAGCATGGATCATGAACAGACTTCAGATCCTTCGTCGGCTGAATATATTGAACGACTTTATGGCTGAAATAGCAAGCCACTTTCAAGAACTCTGTAGACTCGTCCCACCAAGTGACACCCTAAACGTCAAGTCTTTGCAGAAGATCTGGCGGCCAGGTGGCACGATATTCTCTCGCGCATTCCACATGGACAAGCGAGATGGAAACAAGCTGTACTATGCGCCCGACATCGACTTTGGTGAAGGCGAAATGGACAACTGGAGGGCAATCAGATTTCTGACGTTTGGGACCACATTTGCTCAGACGCACCGACAGGTCATGGGAGGAGACGAGCTGTTCATGACACGACTCAAGACAATGAAGTCCCTCATCGTATCTCGACTAGCGGGGAAGCAAGAAACCTGGTCGCCCTGGAAGATGTGTACGTGCAGCGAGTGCAAGATCAACGCCCTGTCGTTCATGTGCCGCCGGCTGGATTGCAATGCAATCGATAACGACGAAGCGCTCCAGCGAGGAGAGACGCCTGTTGTTAGGTTAGGGCATCCGGATTACGTCTCTAGTAGAGAACTTCTGGGATTAGTGAATAATCGGGAGTACTGGAAGGATGTTATCGAACCTCAAAGGCCTTCTTATGATTATCAAGAAGAGTGTGCGGCGAATTCGGGTAGGGAATGGATTTCGACGTACCTTCTCTTCTTGAGGATTATCTATGGAGCAGAGATTGCGGATCCGGAACTGCTGCGATGGCGCTTGGAGGGGTATGGTAAGTTGGAACGTGGAGAGCGGGCTACTGAGTAATACCTACTTTAACGCTTAATATTTTCATCTTTGGGTTATCGAAATTTCGAATATGATATATGACAATATTTATAAGTTGATCGAAGGGATCCCTGTCCAGACAACGCAACTCAAAAGTACCCGAGGTATTGTATTGTGCCTCTTGACTCCAACATTCCAGAAGCCTTTGAAAGAGGCAATCAATCTCAAACGAGCATCACCGACGCTTCCCAAGCGAGCAATAACCGCCAATCATCACAAAAGGCACCAGGTAAAGCTTGAACTCGCCTAAGACAGACAGATTCGAACCCCGTAGTTCTTTTGTCAGTCAACATTCCTCATGAACCAACACAGGGCTTCAAGCATCAAGATAAAGCTCATCCAAAACCGCCCCACAAAAGGACTGGTAGTACTCTGTCCCTTTCCATCCACGCGTGGGATTCTTCAACCCAACCGTTTCCCACCCCTCAGCTCGGAGCCGAGCGATCCGATCTTGGACACTTTCGTGACCATGGCGGACAGCAGACGACGAGCTCGAGACTTCAGGTGTAGACCTGTTCTTCAAAAACAAGGCTGAAGGACTCTCACTTGGGCTTTGCTCATTACACGGAGAAGAGAGACCTTCCGAGCTGCCCACCGCATGCCCATGTTTCACGGGGCTGAACGACCAGAATGAAACGGAACGCCGAAGACCACGGTTGCGGCGTAACATCGCACGAGAATGCTGAAGAGCTGCGGTGGATTTAAGTGCCTTGTTAAGGGAGGCGATGCTTGATGTAATCTGGGTGTTGAGGAAAGTGAGTGTTGAGCTGTGTCTCTGCGCAGATAAGGCAGTATCACTAGGTGGAGCTGGTGGAGTCGGTAGCGGTCTTGAAGTGGGATTTAAACCTGGAAAGCTATAGCCGTAGGAGGACCTTTTCTTCAGTGACTTGTTGGTCTCCGGGTCCACGCCGAGCTTTATGGGAAGCGGGATGGGAGGTGGACGGCTGCTCCTCTTGACTCGATCTCGGGCTTTATCCTTTGAAGCTCCGTTTCTGTTCTCGGTATCGAGTGACGGTAATACTAGCGGTCGAGGCTGGGCGGCCGACTTGCGAACATATAGAGGCGAGGGCATGAGACGCGGCTCGTTCTCGGGGGAGTCGGAGCCGGAGAGCAGTGGTTTGCCATCGCCGACGCTATCACCGAATTTATTCACTTTTCCACTGTCATTAGGGTTATCGGAGTCAGAGTCAGAAAGAAACGGATCTTCCTCGGGACAACCGAGCGTCTTGTCGATGATATCCGTTATACTGCTGACGATACTCTCCGTCGGCGAGGTAGATCTCGAGGCTGCAGAAGATAGTGGAGAAGGCGAGGGCGAAAGAGAAGCGATCCCTGTTGAGGTAAATGAGACAGAGAATGATTCGATCTCCGCTTGCAGTTTGAACGCGTCCCGTGCCATTAAGTTATCCTCGCGGATTTCCTCGGAGGGGTTAATCTTTGCCTCGGACCCTAGGATACCAGGCTTAGGGTCCTTTCCAACGGATAATTTCTCGAGGACTGTTATATCATCCCGCAAAACACCAAGGCACGTAACAAAGCAATCCAGTGCCGACTGAAGTAGCGGTATCTTGTTCCTCGAGTAATCGTGCGCGTATCTCCCCATCGCCTCGTAGCATATTGCAGTGTAAAAGTAGAGGAAGATCTTATGAACCGGGTGAATCTAGAATATACAGCACAGTTAGAACTGCCACTGAACTCCAATTTGATAGGAGATAGTGAGATAGGAGCCTCCAACCAGCGAGACGTACCGGTTCCGTGGCAGAGGAAAAGATAGATGACGAACGGGCGACACATCGTTTATACTGCCGCTGCATGTACAGCAGCTTTATTTCCTGGAGGGTCTGTTTCCACTGTACAAGCGAGGAAGGGTTTCCTGTAAGAGGACAGGATGTCTCGAAGATCGAGGTTTTGGCGGCTATAGAGGCCATGGTTTGTGGGTCATGGTGGGTGTTGACAGTGGTGTTTGATGCGACGAATGGCTAGAAACTTTTGACGGGAAGAAGTGACACGTAGGCAGACGCGTCGAGCGTCATGGCAACAAACACGGTCGTGGGTCGTGTATTGTGCTCGTTGAGAAGATTATCTAGACTGGGTGAGACATGGTCGTCTGACAGAGGAGTGTGACGGATGACATTTCCACCTAGCCACCAAGGCAGAAGGCCATAGGAAACCAGAGGTCAACTAATACCGAACAGGTATGCTATCAAAGTACCATCGTGCAAGCTCATCCTGCTGATTTGCCTTTTCATGGATCCATGTATCGCTAAGGACACCTTCGCCGCTGACAAAAGCGTCTATAAAAGAGAGAGGTATCCACTCGAAGTAAACATTCCTCACTGTCACCGTAGAGCCTGATTCCTGACCAGAGCTCAAAGCAGCCTCAACGCGCCCGACATCCTTGACCCCATCAGCCTTCCATGTCCGAAGGACCTCCCTCGGATCATTGTCTTCATGCTTCTCGTCGTCTATGATACCACTCTCCCCATTCACCTTTTCAAGCTCACTGAGGACAACAATCTTCGCAGATGGGGTGACGTGTTTGGCAGCAAGAACCAGAGGAAGGGATCCTGTTTTGTTGCTGACACCTTTTGCTTTAGAGATCCGATCTGCACCGAGGAGAACAATATCAGCGCCCTTTACGGCGATGGCGGCGGCGGCATCCGTGAAGAGGCTGACGTCTAGTCGATCCGTCAAGTCCTTGAACTGCTCGCGGAATTTTGAGAGTATAGACGACGCAAAGTTGACTCCCTCGAATAGCGGACGAGACTCGAGGATGTGCAGCTCCAGCGTCGAGATATCCAGCGAAGCAAAGGCTTCTATCATGGTATCGCGAATCGTCGAGCTGGCTGATAGAGTGACGATAGTAAGCTTTTCCCTCTGCCTTCCCTCGGAAAGGATATTCGACCGCACATAAGACGCAAATGTATCCTTAACTAAGCCCGCGCGGCCCTTTCGGCCTGTAAGATGATGGTCGATGATCGTAATCATACGCTCGAAAGTGTCTTCCGGATATGAATCCATCCGCCGGATCTCATCCATCTCCTCTAGAATCGCAAGCAGAGCATTCAGCGTAGCCGCACCCATACTTTCCCGGCCGTTCTTGACAAGATGCCACGCAGCCATCCGTGCATCGTCCCACCACTTTGCCTCAAATATGTAGTCCTTCGTTTGGGTGACATAGTCCCGGAATATCTCCAGCGCAATGGTAGTCAGCTCATGCGACCCGCTCGAGTGGTCCTTGTGCAACTTCTCCAACCCGGAGGCGAAGGCCTCCCCGGCCGCATCACTCAGTTCGCCTTCGAACCAGACCCTGCGCAGGCTTTCTCTGAGGTGTGGGACGTATTCATCCCCGGAGCTAGCGTTGTTGACCACCGTTGTAGGGTCGTACCAGTTCCATCCTTCGTGCTCCCAGTCTGTCTGTATGGCTTTCTCAGCTCCCTCCGCAAGACGAAAAGCGAATGGATGAATCGTCCATTCTCGACCGACGGACTCGTCAGAAAATGTGAATGACTTCCCTGATCGCCACAAGGAGAGGTTTGAAGAGGTGAGTTTCGTCTCTTCGGAGAGTTCGCGCCATGCCGCTGTGGGAGGGTCTGGATCGGTCCGGCTGATCGACCCGGAGATTGGAGCGATCCGATGTCTAAAATTTCACTATTTCAGCGTTCACTGTAGCAAACCAAAACACAAATCGAAGAAGACTTACTGGTATGTGCTAACTTTGGCACTCCTTCTAAAGAGAGCGACCTGTGGCTTTTCCGACGGGCCGTTGGGAAAATGGAAGATGAACGACGAGACTACAGCTCGTTTCTGAAGATTCTGGGTTTGTCCAGCCATTGTCACCTTGTAGGTAGCTTCGAGACAATGGAGGGCCAGTTCACGGCATATCGGCGACTAGCTCCTGAGGTTGGTCGGGTCATATGAGTGAGATTTGATATCAGTCCATGTCCCGCAAGAATGACGTAACCACTTGCTCCTGGTAGCCTCAAACAGCCGCTTGTATCGCTTTTTGCGGAGTCATATCCCTCGGTGTTCTCCAGCTGTAGGGGCGCTTTCATGGTTTGGATGGCCAAGTTCAGGCTCTGTTGCCAACAGTATGTCCTAGAGACGAGCGGTATTTTTGTGCAGCTGCAACTGAACGGTACTTTGAATTTGGATTGAGCACTTGCCTCAGTGACTCTGCATTGCTAGTAGATCAGGTTAATTCCCCATGTCACACAGGGTGCTCTTCAGTGCTCTAACAGGCGTTGCGCTCGGACACCGAATCCCCGCCTTTCTGGGGAGGTTGAGCGTTGCCAAGCAGAGACGCTTTCGACACTCAAGTGGGCTTTGATGCTAGCGGCCGAAAAGAGAAAATGAAAATGCGAATGACGCCGCTTGGGCATCGTCTAGTCCTGTATGCGGTCCCCGGACTGCGGAAGCCTCTGTCCAAAATCTGACTACGCCGCGATAAACAGGCCTATGATTGCGCTGAGAAAGTGCGTGAAAGGTATCGCGGCAGTAAAGAAACCAACAGCAAGCTCGGATAGAGATAGATTCAGGAATCAAAAATTCATGACTGATAAGAATAGCCAAGAGGTACTCCGGAAAATATCAAGACTCCAACAACGAGTGAAACGCCAGTTTCATCCAATTGTCATCCACCGTCTGCTTATCAATCTTTTTGTTCTCATGAATCGCTCATCGCATCTATGGCGCCACCAAATCGCGGGGCGGAGCGGCAGGCAAATCTTTCGACTTCCTCGCTCGTTTCATCGTAACGCGCAGAGGCTCAACGTAGAAGCACAAGATTTGCTGGTCCAAGCAGTGAGCGCACCGCGGTGTCTGACGATCACACTGCACCCCCCACGCCTGGCACGCGCGGCATGGGAACGGATTCTCGTGACGGTCGTGCTCATGTTGGTGTGATGCATCCGATCGGATCCCCACATCGGACGACAGGAGCTGCCTTGGCATCCCTGTCGCGCTAGTTTCAACAGGTGGGCCTGGGCGGCCAGCGCGAGAGGGCCAAAGCCATTTCGAAAACCAAGATGTTGGACAGGGATCGGAGAGCGCGGTCTCTTGAGTGAGTTTGTAGTTCGCGGTCATGGACGGTTCGAGGGACGTCGTCTGAACGGTTTGCGCCGCCATCGTGGTGGTCATGGTGTTTGTGCGCATTTCTGCTCGTGACTGAGGTTGAAATCAAAATTTGTCACATTGCCATTTTGTCATTTTGCTGAAGAGCACAACTTTCAGAGCAGCGACGACTTACCTTTTATATGGTCTTCCCTTGGGTCCAGGTGACGACAATCCTGTCAGCCAACCCCTTGCAGGACTCAGGTCGACAACACTTCGGCAGAGGGCAAAAGAAAAGCTGCCTCCATTCCCAAATCAAGGAACGCACGTAGCACTGTGTTACCGTGGCTGCCTGGCTCCGTGCTGTGTCACATATGTCGAAATGATCCGGTCTGACATAGAGCAGAGACTCGGTGTATATGAGGGGGGAAAGAAGGGGCCATGGGAAGGCGACGGCCGTGGAATGCCAACACACGACACACCCACGGACGCACACTCACACGCGCACTTGGCCGGATCAGAGTCAGGAAAGGTCCTTTGAAAACTAACAGCCAGCTCATCATTACCTCTCGGAATCATGCAGACATGCGAGGACAGCTACGTCAAAGCAAACTCTGATGCGCAGCTGCCACTCTCCATGGCTTGCTTCCTTTTTCCCTGGCTTCCCATTTGCCAGTCAGGAATGGGGAGCAATCCCCGAAAGCAAGAATCAAAGCCATCTGTCAAACAAGGCGTGGCAGAAGTACCAGTCTTGCTATAGGCTGGGAACTGTCGCCGGAGTCCATCAAGTCCACAAAATCGGGCCAAAACCCCGCGTTGGACACGTTCGCAGTGTCGGCTGCCCGGAACCCCGGCCCACGATCCCTTCAACGGTCAATCGCCGATAAATTCGAGACCGACATCGCTAAGTACCTTGGGGGTTACGTTACAGCTTACAACTTCACCAGGACATACTTGCTTCACTCGAGCACACCGCATACTAAATCATGCATCCAAGCTGCCTATGGCTTACCCTCCCACGCCTTCGTCACCAACTCTCTGACCTTGACCAGTTTAAGATCAGGAAACCTCGCATTTGCCCGCACATTCGCCGGGAAATCGAAAACCTTTGCGAGGACAAGCCTGTCCACCAAAGCCGTCGTCTCCACCAGCTCCGCCCCGCTATATCCAACACTTTCCGGCTGAGGAGGAACAGTGACATTTCCTTCCCTTACCTTCTCAGGACTGTCATAAACAACCTTGAACTTTCTCCCTCTAACCTCCTCACCCAGCTCAACGAGCTGGTTGTAGGTAACCCCATCCCCAACAATAACGCTAAATTCTTCCCAATCCTTTCTCTCCAGCAGCTGCGAGATAAAAGCCGCCATATCATACGTATACGTCATCCCGATCTTATCGTTCCCATCACCAGGGACAACAGCCGTGCAGCTCGCCATATCGACGCCGAAGGTAAGATGTTCGAGATGACTTTGTACATGCGGCATGGCCCAGTAATCCATGAAGAATCCCGGAATCACCCGGGTGAACTGCAGGTTCGTAGACTTCAGTAGGTTTGCCGCGTCGAGGAAGAGCTTTATGCTTGGATCGTGGGGGAGTAAACTAGTAGTCGATTAGTTCTGTATAATGTTCTCGGGGGCAGGGTGGCATACTCCTCCGTCTGAATGAACGAGTATTCGCTTGGGATAAACCTCTCCGTCGGACCTGCTTTCTCCGCAGCCTTGATCAGATTCAGCTGCGCTGTGCTATCCTCTTCAGAGTACAGTGAGATCGCCGAGATAACAGTGTGGATGTTATTCGCCTCCAAGGCTTTAATAAGCGAGTTGATGTCGGTATAATCGACCTCTACTTGCGTTGCGCGACTCAAGATCGAATCATGCTCTCGTGCCTGGCGAGGGTTAGAAAACAGTCCTGCCATGCTTCTATAGTATAAAGTATGCAGATTTCACCTTCCGCGTCAACACAACAACCTTATGTTTCGAGTCTTGCGTTAGGACGTCAACGATGGTCTTGCCCACGGCACCTGTGCCGCCTGCAACCCCGATGATAGTCATGCTGATGCTTTTTGGTGATATCAAGAAATGATAGGGTGTAATTATTGGTTCCAAGGTTGCGAATGGTATCTAGATGGATGTTCATTGTTCAATCAGCTCGAGGCCGCTCGTTCCAAAGGTTCGGAGATTTTGTACCCCGCCATAATCGCCATGGAGGAATCTCGGCAAATCAAAAATAGCCGATCGTCATTCTCTCTCCTCCGGTTGACCGCGGTGGATTTCATATCCCCAGTTGCCACCCAAATGATTGACACCACCGCTTGCCCTTCTTATGCTTAAGATAAAGCGAGGCCAACCACCATCCGCGAAGTGCTCACCACTATGGCAGAATAATGCCAAGGCTTAGTCACGCAGTGGCGCTGTATGAAATCCACCCCGGCCACCGCGGCCACCGCGGTAGACCGGAGTATGGCGCTTTAGATACAAAATTTATGCGCAAAGTTGAACAACGTTGGCGGTATAAATTCAGGAATGTATGCACATTCTACATTCTAAGACATGACCGAGATTTTCAGCTCAAGATTGTCCATTTGGATAATCAGCTGTCGACGACAAAACTCAAGACCGTGAAACTCTACCGTCGTCACTGGTAAGACTTGGGTCGTATCGATAGATAGAAATACCCCGAGTATTCTATAACATATGCCGAAGGAAATAAGAATGTAAAGAAATTAGTATAGGAAGGTTGAGCCTCCATCGCTGGTTGAAATCGTAAATTCGTCTTCGTAAACACCCAGTCTAGCGCGTTGAACACCTAGAAAAGAAACTTTTTGATCGTCTCTTTTGATCGTCTTCCAACTCTAAGCAGTGGCAAAATCTTTGAGGTACGCAACAAGCTTGTCAATACCAGCCTCGGGAATGGCGTTGTAATTTGAGGCGCGGATGCCGCCGACGCTGCGGTGGCCCTTGAGGCCGGTGATTCCGCGCTCGGTGCCGCCCTTGAGGAAGGCCTTTTCGGAATCATCGACGTTTCCATTCTACACCATGTCAGTGACTATGCATGTAGTAACAGAACGAGTTTTGGTGTTACCTTGATGACGCGGAAGCAGATGTTCATGCGCGAACGCACGCTCTTATCCGGAACGACACGGTAGACGTCGGGGTAGGCATCCAGTGTCTCGTATACTTTGCGGGCCTTGCGTTCAGCAACGGCTTGCTGTCCATCCACCTTGTCGGGGAAAGTAGTGAGGAGCTTCTTGATGACTTGGCCGGCGACGTATACGCTGTTTTTGTTAGCTGATACACCTAGCAATAGCGGAAGTTCAAGACTGACTCGAAGATGCTAAGCGTGTTGTAAAGACTGTTGTTCTTTGCGACGACGGAGTAGTCGAGGATTGTAGGAGCAACGGGCAATCCTAGTTTGCGCAGGATTGTAGGGGAGCAGGGGGCAGAAACGGGAGGAAGGAGGCTCTTTCGAATGATGACTCCGGTGATACCGGTAAGGCCGAGGTTCTTTTGACTATAGATTGTGAGCGATTATGAATTGTAGGTAGGTGTCAGGCAGTCATACGCTCCGAAATAAACGATCGAGAAGTTCTGTTGCGGTTAGCTTATCTCAACTGCGAATGGTAGGGAAGGGATATACCTCGAAAGGTATCCGTCTTGAGAGTATAGTGGAAGAGAAGTCTCCGATAACGATTGGGTCATCTTCTGAGCCTTTCGATTCGAGGACCTTGGGGAAGCTGGGGTATTCGACGCCGTCCACGGTCTAGATATGCTCGTCAGTCCTGCGAACTCCAGGTTTCCCAACTCCAACAAAAATACCTCGTTCTCGCAAAGGTAAACCATAGCAGCCTTGGGGCTCAACTTCCATGTCGACTCGTCCGCAATCTTGCCAAACTTTCCATCATTCACTGTCCGGGCATCGCTGGCGACGTTCACGTACTCGGGCCCGAGGAGTCGAACAGCTTCCTGGCTAGCCTTGAGCGACCATCTACAGATATGTTAGTTTGATGAACTCCATAGTATCTCCCGGGTTACTTCCGATCCAGTGACTAAGTAATCCAATCGCAGCTCAGAGTCGACCTTCTTGCGGAGTTCCGCAACGAGATCCTCCTCGGAGAGCTCCCCTTTCTCCTTCAAAATCTTCTGTCTTTGCTTCTCAACCCAAATCGCAGTCAGGTTATAAACCGTCGCATCGAATTGACCCGATCCACCACCTTGTATTCGTTAACCCAAACATTCCAAGTATCAGACAGAAATCGGCATTCGTACCCTGCATAAACAAGATCTCGAACTCGGGAGGGATATCGAGGAAGGTCGCGAGGTCGGATTTTGTGGTATTCAAGATTCCACCAGCAAGTTCACTGCGGTGACTGTGCTCTGCAACACCACTGTAGAAGTCAGCACGAAGTTCTCAAGGAAGCCAGGAAGCTCAAGAGGCCGCTCACAGTCCGGTGTTCTCATAATTCTGGAGAGCCTCTGCGGCGGTCGCGAGGACGTCTGTCGGAAGGGCCGCGGGGCCGGCACCCAGGTATGTGATATCCTCTCTCTTCATTATTGCAATTGCTCAATTGACTGTGTTTGAGTGGTTGTAAGATGGGAAGAGCTTTGGAGGGGAATCTTTTTCGAGGCCCCTCCCATGTGACTCACCGATATCGTATCACCACGTGACATAGTGTCCGCTTTCGCATCGAACCAACCATTTGTGTTGTCTATACTCCTCGCAATCTAGTTACAGCTTGCCGATTATTCTAAGATTCTTTTTTTACTCCTGAGTGACGCTTACAGGCTGACTGGAAGCTCACTACTTCTTAGCTGCATAAGGATGACTGTACTAATGGTTGGGGACCCCTGTTCCACCATACTCCCGATAACTATATATCTCGCAAACACAAAGGTGATGAGACAGAATCACAAATCAGGGATGCATATATCTCAACGTTCCTTCTTAGAGAAGCTATCCAATCGTCCATTTCTTTCTAATCAACTCTGCCACATGCTCCGATTTCTCCGCGAGCGTCGTCCCTCCCGTTGTTTTCTCGAGGACTTCAAAATACGCGAGGAATTCAAAACGGTACACGACCTCTTCCTTTTCAAGATCCTCGTCAATAGGTCCTGAGATCACAGCAGCGGGCAACGGCACCCTAGGGGCCAGAGCGTTGAGAGGATCCCAGAAAAGAACATATAACCGGTCTTCACAATCATCATCCGACTCATTGTCATATTTTGCACGGTCTATGCCCTCATCGTGCCGGGAGATCTCGATTTTAGCTGTGACGGCGTCTGCTAAATCGGTGGTGACGATAACTTTCTGGAAGTTGTCCCGTGTATAGCTTACCGGCAATGCGAGAGCAGGAAACTCGACGATAAACCCATTGCCGCTCACAATTCCCGGCGTCATATTGTCCGATTTCACATTCAGCCGCGTCGCGCCACAGTTTGCGAATCGATTTATCGCCCATCTCCAGCCGGGCTGGCTCATCCTTGGCCCAGCGAGGAACAACATACCCTGCGGGAGCTGTCTTTCTGTGGAGAGCAAAGCGTGCATGTGGTCTTTAAACTCGAGACCCTTAATGAGGGTCGTATCCCATCCGATCAAACTGGCGAAGCAGAGCATCTCGTCCTTTTCTTTACTAGTTGTGCGGTACAACGCTGCGCTGAATGCCTCCATGATCGCGAAGCAGCGCTTAGCTTCAGGACTCGCAAGACTTTGCGTCGTGCGCCGCACCATTCGGGGATCAGGGTCCGAAATGACATTTATGCGGAGAAGTCTGAATTTCCATTGGAAGCTGTCGGCGTCACGCATGGGAGTTCCGAATGTACCCTTGACGTTGGCTAGTTCAGAAGTATACACCTCCTTCTGGTGTTTCTCGGTCGCTTCTTGAACGTCCAGAAAACCGTCGGCGAACTTAATGACAAGTTGGTATGCGAGGACTCCTTCGTTTAAGGTCCAAAGGCGACGCATCCAGGCGGACATTCGGATTCGCATAAACGCTTGAGTATAGTCGCTAGACGAGCATCCTTGGATATCGGCATCTAAAACCAGCACGCGAAACGCCCTTTCGTACACAGCTTTCATAGATTTGATGGACTTGGTGCGCAATTCCTTGAGCTCTTCTGCAACGGGAATACACAGGGTATCCATCCAGAAAAGGAGCGAGGGCCCATGGAATTTCTTTTTCCAAAGCTCTTTGAAGGCTAGTCGATTGACAAGGTCGAGAGAGCTGATGCCAGAGACTAACCCATCCAACAAGTCTCGAAGACGAGAAAGCTGGCAATGAGGTAGAGTATTGGCCGTGGGATTACCGAGTCCGTCTGACCAAACATGGGAGAATGCGATATATTTCTTTCCCTCAGTGTACTTCTCTACCTCCACTTTGAGGAAGGGTTCCTTTTTGATCGGAGTGATGGATAGCAGTGGCACGCCTCCTGCTTCGATGATGGATACCACCTCGTTCATTACCGGCCCGTAATGCTGGCAATCACATTCATTATTTGTGTGGGCGGTCCGATAGGTCTCCTCATTGAGCTGCCGGGCTAGACATAGCTTGCTTGTGCAGTCTGGATGTTTCCTCTGGATTGCGGCTGGCGGTCTCTCCATCTGCGATATATAGTGCGCTGACGCCGAGGTGAATGTTTCTTCTACCATAGAGACCTCGCTAGGACACCATTCGGCCTCATTCATACGCGCCAGTGGAAGCCACGCGCAAGGAAACTGCAAGGATCCTGTGGAGGAACTCAAAACCATGTTGACACCATTCGTCGAAAAGCTCCAGGCAAGACGCTGACTCAGTGCTCTCACCGAGAGATCGATCTCCGGTGACAATGGCCAGGTTACAAACCCGGGTCGCGGATCGTCATCGCAAGTTGCTATACGACAGAAACGGGACACGGTTCTGAGGCTTGTTTCGATTCGATGGCCTATCCCATGTTTTGCAGCGGGACTGGCACTCCCAACATATAAAGGAATAAACGAGGAGAGCTCAAGAATCTGCTCGTCGAGGGAAGCGACAGTGATGATCCCATGCTCTGTACCTTCCTGCGGTTGCACGTAATTTGACTTGGCTCCTTTGCTAATAGGGCAAAATACTTCCCATAGTACACCGAAGAACAGCCAGTTCTGAAGGAAAGCTGCGGTTTCCTCTGCAGAGTGCTCTGAGAAATCCCCTGCGAACAGTCTGTCGATGTCCCACCCTGAGCGCTCCGGGTAGGTCAAGAAATCGAGCTCGTCATACGGTTCAGAGCTTAGGCAGGGGATTTTTAGAGGAGGATACGGAGAGTCTGGGGCAGACTCGATGTGGTCCATTCCGATGAGTCGCGCAGATACTGATTATATGTTCTGGTCTCGCTGGTGTGCGGTGGTGACAAGAGAAACAGGTGGGGTCGGACGATACGCGCTTGGAGTTTCAGCTCTCACCTTAGCTCCAAGCTGAGGCTGACCTCGGATATGCGCAGGGTCTCGGCAGCTCTTTGATATTGGTGGGATCTTCAAATTGTCTGCAGAAGTGGACTCTGTGAGACTCACAAAGGACATTCCTTTACCAGATACACAAACCAGTTGCTCTGGCCGCCCGAATTTCCTATTTTCACACCAAGGCATGGGATTAGTCCACAAAAACAGGTGCCCCAAACCGTTGCGATTCCCATCACAGACCAGACAAGACCGCAACACATATGCAAGTCTCTGAGGATACAACCTCCTGGTATCTTATGAACGGCCCGAGTCTTTCTATGAGGGCCTCAGTTCTCACTGCTCGTCCACAGGACGACAGTATGGGAGGATAGACGGATGTGAGGTTGATGGCGCGACGTCATCGACAAACCCTTGATTCATCAGACATGATGAGCTTCGCCAGCTGAAAGAGTCACCTTTAGTATACAGATCAATTGGCCCATTGTCCCAAGTAGAACAACAATCTGTACCGGGATTGCCGAACAAGGAAGGTGCATACTGCGAACTCAAGGAAGGAGCTGCCGTCCTAGCACCTGGCAACCTGTGGGTAGCTCCTTCCCTGCTTGCTGAGTTCCGCGACTGAGTCCCTGCCATTTTCGTCTGGCGCGTTTCTCAGTTTCTTTTCCTCAACCGCATCTTTTCTTCTGCAAACGCGGGCCGCAGAGAAAATCGGTCGCCAAGACAAACGGAATCAGAAGAACAGCTCCTGCGGTGCCTAAAGAGGCTTTGCTGGAAGCGATCACAAAGTGCAATGGCGAGGTAAGTTTCTCAATCAAAAAGCAACTATGGTCCTCGCTAACTCCACATATCTGTCAGAAGGCTGCCGAGTATGGATCGATACGATTATCCCATTCGCATTGGAGAGATTTCGCCGGAGCAGGAAAGAGCGAATTCGAAATGCTTCCGTGCCTCTCTAGAACCTGGCGTTCCAACGCCTCAGTCCAGAGAACGTGGTGATCAAGATGGCGGTCTCCGAAGCTTTGGAGGGTTAAATACCACGAGACTTGCTCCTGTCGCGTCGGGAAGAGGACACCAGACCTTTGGCCAGGTCTGGCAATCTTGGGGTGTCTGATTCGAGAGTGTTGATTGGATCATGGCAGATCTAGGGGATTTGCGTCTCTCCAGGCCGCACCTTTTGGTCTCGGTACACTTCAAGCATATTAATCCATGTGTCTAGATACACTTGATCCACTCATTGCGATTGGATATCGCAGGTGCCTATAAAACCCCTAAAAGTTGTGGGGAGGGCAAGGAGGCTAAGGAGCGGCGGAGGCCTCTGAATGACGATTTTAGCGCGGGTTAGCGGCAACGGGTGTGCTCATCTCTACAACGTAGATATCATTCTAGCCTCCGCCTTAAGTCCTCCCTGCCTGCGGGTTATGTCGCCCTTAGTCCATATCAATTGTGACGGTCAAAATGGCAACCATCACAGTCGCCCAGACTGTTCCTCCTCCTCCATTTCTCGAAAACCTCGACCGATCTCGCTGGAGGCTGAAAAACGAAAACGGTCGCCATACGTGGCATTATCTCGAAGACGACAATGCCGCTCGATGCTGGCCACAAACCCTAGCAGACAAGTACTACTTAGGGCTTCCTCTGGTAACCCTCTTCAACCCGTCAAGGATTGCATGGCCACTGACCTTGCCAGAACCTACCCCACCTTCAACCAGCACAAACCCCTCTCGATGCCGTCAAAAACGGCTTCACGTTTTTTGAGAAACTCCAACTGAGACCAGGAAACTGGGGTTGCGAATACGGCGGACCCATGTTCCTCCTTCCGGGAGTTGTGATAGCGTGGGTTGTGACAAACACGCCTATACCCCCTGCATATGCGACGGAGATGCGAAACTATCTCTTTGCGCGCGCTCATCCAACACAAGGCGGCTGGGGTCTCCACGTGGAAGGCGAGAGCACCGTCTTTGGAACTGCTCTCAACTATACCGCCTTGAGACTCCTTGGTGTGGACGCCGAAGACCCCGTCATGGTGAAAGCACGTGGCTTGCTTCATCAGCTCGGTGGCGCACTCAACGCGCCGCATTGGGGGAAGTTCTGGCTGGCGATTTTGGGCGTGTGTCGCTGGGAGATTGTCAACCCTGTCCCACCGGAGACGTGGCTATTGCCGGATTGGATACCTCTGGCCCCTTGGCGATGGTGGGTGCACATGCGTCAAGTATTTCTGCCCATGTCGTACATATGGTCACGAAAGTGGACAATGCCCGAAACACAGGTTGTTAGGGACTTGAGGAAGGAACTTTTTACTCAGCCGTGGGAGAGTATTGAATGGGCCGCTCATAGGAATACCATCGCTGCTGTGGACAACTACCACCCCAAATCATGGTTGCTCAACACAGTGAACTTTGTGCTTTCTGATATATGGTTTCCTTATCTCCGGCCACACAGTCTCGTCAAACGGGCCGAGGATTGGGTTAGTAAACTTGTCGATATGGAGGACGCCAACTCAGATTATTCTGACTTGGCTTCGGTTAATGGACCCATGAATATGATTGTTTGTTATGTTCGTGATGGACCAGATGCATACTCAGTCCGTCGACATCAGGAACGCCTCGAGGACTTTCTTTGGGTAAACAGTGAAGGTATGCTGGTCAACGGGACGAATGGCGTGATGTGCTGGGATACCGCGTTTGCCATCCAAGCAGCCCATGCTGCCGGTATAGCTCTGGATACCCGCTGGAGACCGATGTTGACACGCGCACTGGAGTTTCTCGACGCTCAGCAAATCCGAGAAGACTGCGATGAAGCCGACATCTGCTACCGTCACAAGCGCAAAGGAGGCTGGACATTCAGCAACAAGGATCAAGGGTACGCTGTGAGCGATTGTATTTCAGAGGCCCTTAAAGCGGTTATCCTCCTACAGAAAACTCCGGGATATCCGCAATTGCTGGACGATCAGAGGATTTTTGATGCGGTTGACGCCCTCTTGACGTACCAGAATCAGTCTGGAGGTTGCGCTTCTTATGAGCCAACAAGAGGGAGCCAATATCTGGAGATGCTCAACGCGGCAGAAGTATTTGGCGGCATCATGGTCGAATACGACTATCCAGAATGCACGACGGCTGTTGTTACCGCCATATCTCTGTTCAGCAAGTACTGGCCTGAATATCGAACTGCGGAGATTCAGGCGTTCATTCAGCGCGCACTAGCATACATTAAGCGAACTCAGCGCCCAGATGGAAGTTGGTACGGTAGCTGGGGTGTATGTTTCACGTATGGAACAATGTTCGCCCTCGAGAGTCTGGCGTCGGTAGGAGAGACATACCACAATAGCGCTCGTGTCCGGCGAGCATGCGAGTTTCTGATATCGAAGCAAAGGGAAGATGGCGGATGGTCTGAGAGCTTTAAGGTACGACCCTCCTGGCCTCTGAAGTGTGAAATCTAACGAGTGATATTAGAGCTGCGAAAAAATGCAATATATTGAGCACCCATCAGGGTCCCAGCTAGTGCAGACATCATTCGCCATTGTCGGACTCATGAAAGCGGACTACCCATTTGTCGACCCGATCAAGAAGGGCATACAGTTAATCATGGACCGACAACAGCCCAACGGCGAGTGGCTACCAGAGGCAATTGAGGGAATCTTCAACAAAAGCTGCGCGATTACGTATCCGAACTACAAATTCATCTTTACGACGCTGGCGCTGGGCATGTACGCGCAGAAGTATTCGAAGGAGGCTACGGCGCAGGGTTCTTGAGAGGTATATTCGATACCCGTATGGATTCAGGTACTCTTGCCATCACTATGTCTACCAGTCTGCCGGCCGATGTCCATCTGACTCGGCTAGACCTCAATAATAATGACTCAGTTGCGATGACACCTCCGCAGATCCTAATCCGGACCGAGGCACTTATTGCTAGCTCACTAGCGCCACAGACCCACTCCTATAATCCATTGAGAGTTAAGCAGCTGAGTCGCGCCCGCTGACACCGTTCTCCTGCCAAAATGACGCAGCCTGGCATAGACCATGTACTCCGGCGTTATGTCGGGTCGGCCGCCCTTTACGCTCGGGGCGGAGTTGCAGAGACGCATTTACGAGAGCCCCATATCCGGCCCCAGTCTGTCGAACATCGAGAAGGATACGAATGTTCCGATCTCACACCACCCTTGGTCCTGGAATTTCGAGGTTCTGATTGGCTGCATCTCCTCACGATCGGGCTGACTCGAAGTATAGACTTGTACCCCCAGGAGAAGGCTTGCCACGACCCTGCTTGTGTCATGGGATATATGCTCTTACTGAACGACAGCCTTCAGGCATACTATGATGGTATTATCACGTTCGTACCGAGGATGACAAGCATGCTCTATCCCGACATCTTCAGCGATCGAGTTGAATCTGATATGTACCCCGCTGCCTGAGACTGGAAGCCTTTTCATACGGCGAGATGTTCGACACCATGATCATCTCAGCACCGTCAAATCTGCCACCAACCTGAGTCTGTATAGGTCATTCAGAGTGTGTCCACTGTTGACCACTAAATCTTCGGAAAATAGAGCTCCCGATGGGAACAGCCCATGGCTATCCCAAATGACACTCACAATCAACATTCGTTCCTTGCGACAATATGACACCTCGACCTCGGCCTCAACCTCCGACCCTCGCATCTCATTATCCATTCTCGTCGTCTCCTTTTTCCTGATCGACCTTGTACTGCTTCTATCATGGCTAATAATTGTATACCCCTACTTCTACAGCCCACTCCGCCACCTCCCCCGACCAAAGGTACCTTGTTTTTCCCTCCCCAGGTCACAGTCATTGCCAAGCCAAAGGAGACTGACAGGCACAGGGCGAAATCCCCCTCCTCGGCCAATTCACACGCCCAAGCACCAAGCCCATCGGCTCAACGCACCTGCAATGGGTCAATACCATCCCAAATGATGGCCTGATAACCTACCGCAGCATCCTAAACCAAGACCGCGTCCTCCTCACATCGCCTAAGGCCATCGCCGAGGTTCTCGTAAGCAATACATACGCATACACGAAGCATCCGAATGAGCGATCTGTCATCCGAAGGTTTCTGGGAAACGGGCTGACTATCTCGGAGGGTGCGGAGCATCGCTTCCAGCGGAAGATCATGACCCCTATTTATGCCGTGCGGAATGTGAGGGGGTTTTATGACGTGTTCTTCAAGAAAGGGTTAGATTTGGTCGAGGCTTTGGAAAAGAATGTAATGGGGACATCGGACGGTACTACATGCGAGGTTGAAATAAACCAATGGGCCAACCGAGCGACAATGGATATAATCGGGCTAGCTGCGCTGGGAAAGGAATTTGGATGCCTTGACGGTGCGAAGAGCTTACTATTCGACACGTACCAGGAGATCTTCACCTGGGCTCCTGAGAAGGATGTTTTTATGGCGCTGAATCGGGTTCTGCCGAGGGGGTTTGTACAATGGTTGCCGTGGAAGGTTAACGAGAGGATTGACGTTACGAGTGCAACGTTGAGAGGGATTTGCTGGGGGCTTGTGAGGGAAAGAATCGATGAGTTTAGAGAGAGCGATGGGAAAGGTGAGGATTTGGTGGCGAGGATGATGAGGATGGGGAGCTGGGAGGCGGAGGGGTTGGTTGAGCAGTTGCTTACTATTATTGCCGCTGGGTATGTTTTCCCTCATTCCATTTGGGTCCTTGGTGGACTTCACTGATTGATTGCAGTCATGAAACGTCAGCGTCTGCATTTACGTGGGCCTGCTACCTCTTAGCCCAGAAACCGGCGGCTCAGGACCGACTTCGAAGTGAGGTAATAGGAGTATTACCCGCACTATCTACACAAAACCCAGACGCAGACTCTATCGCAGCGATCCTTGAAAACTTACCCTATCTCAACGCAGTCTGCAACGAAGTCCTCCGCTTCATCCCCCCGGTCCCGCTCATCCGCCGAGTCGCCACAATTCCAACAACCATACTCGGCCACGCAATCCCACCAGGGACGCAAGTCCTCCTCTGTCCTTATGCAGTAAATCGCAGTCCGGAACTCTGGGGTCCCGATGCCGGAGAATTCAGACCAGAACGCTGGATCAGCGCTGAGACAGGCAAGGCGAACAACGAGGGCGGCATGGGGAGCAACTATGCGAATTTGACATTCTCGCACGGGCCCAGGAGCTGTATCGGACAAGGCTTTGCGAAGGCGGAGTTGAGGACATTGGTTGCAATTTTTGTAGCGAGGTTGAGGTTTGCGTTGGCGAAGCCAACTGAAGACGTTGTTCCTGTAGGGATTGTTTCAGTGAAGCCGAGGGATAGGTTGGTTCTGAGGCTTGACAGGGTCTGATCACTGAGATTCTGGTTGTCGAAGCGCTCGGGGCCGCATTACTCTGGTAGAAAGACATCTATTACCCGCATGCCTCCGACAATCTAGGAGGGGAAGAGGGGGTTGGCGTTCGGAAACTGGTGATTCGTGTATAACTCGAAAAGCTGCTGTGAAATTATTGTAATTAGCAGGATTATAGTGATTCCATGATAATTAACTAAACTGAATCCTTAAAAGTCACTATTTCTATAATCCCACAATTCTGCCATGATTCCGCCTTGATTTCGCCGTTACTTTTACCCCCGGCCTCCCGCTAGGAACGGCCAGGAATCTGATTGATCAATAGGTTAGGTTCTGTTGAACCTTACAAAACTTCCAAGGAGACGTTTAATAGGCTTACGTTGCTAAACAGAATTTTGATGTACCACTAGGGCAGATTTAGCGCCCCGAGGATCACTGTGGTCAATGCACTCTCGTGTCCCGAGATCTCAGTGAGTATACACCCGTCCTATACACGCTAAGCGCCATTAATCACAGCAACATGGTCCGCCACCAGACATTCCCAGTCATCGCTACCGTAGAACACTGTATACCGGTCATCCGCCGTCTCGCCACCGCTAAGAGTATCGCCAAACTGCCAGAATAGATCCGCTGCTACCCCATCCGCCGCGAGAGCAGTATCTTGCCAGGCCAAATCGTCGGTGCAGTGAGTATCCTTGATTCCGTATTCCTCAAACAGGCATGGCTTGCCAAGGGACTCGCAGACGGCCGCGTGGTCCTGCACCCATTGGTTTCCCCAGGAGTTGTTTGTTACGCCCCCTGGTGTTCGTTTCTGGTTAGTATAAGAGAATGTGGAATATAGATTGGACGAACGTACAGTCTGTGGTGTAAAGATGCAGGGTGCCAAAGTCGATGTCGGGAATAGCCAAGTTCAGAGCAAAGTCGGTGCCTTCGGTCGTGGTGTAGGGGTATTCACTGCCTCCATCAAGGCCCATGCCCTCTACAACAAACGATAAGCCGAGTATCCAGATAAGTGGAGTAGCCAGTAGTTTAGAGAACCTACCATCACCAATCGCCACCAGATGGGAAGGATCGATAGACTTGATGAATGCACTTGTTTCAGTCGCCCACTTATGAATGACAGAAGTGTCGCAGGATGGACAGCGCGGTTCATTGCCCAGTTCCCACGCCAGAATAGCGGTCGAATCCACGTATCTAGAGACCACTGCCTTGATATAAGTCTGATATGCACCCTGCATCTCAGCATCTGTGTACCAGCTTGTCTTGTCAGACCCACCATATCCCGTGACATAGGCTTTCATGCCGCCGTAATCATCCCAGAAGTTGACAAATGGAATAACTAGTTTGATGCCCGCGGCTTCAGCTGCTGAAACAACATAATCCAGACGTTCAAGGCCATACTCCCCGGTATTGATAGTCGAAACACCGTCTGAGTGGAGCTGGAAGTACACCGTGCCATTGTCAGGAACGGTGTTCACATCGTTGAAACCCCAAACACGGAGGATCCTGAGGCCGGCTTCCGCCATATGGCTCATGGCAAGGTCAACATCGGCATCATTGGTGAGAAATGGGAGCCAGTATGCGTTTGTTCCAGCAAAATAACTAGACTCCCCATCAATGACGAACTTCAGTCCGTCCACTGAAGGGTTCGATCCCGTTTGCCTGGTGACGCAGGTTCCCAAGGCAAGCGATGCGATGGCCGGAAGGAGAGATAGAGCGGACTTCATCTTGTTGGTTGGTTTCCGGTGTTTGTGTGGCAAGCGGGCGTCGTGTTCCTTGTTGGCAGGGGGCAGTCTGGACCATGGCGAGCTTCAGCGCCTTTTATGTTCTTCTGGATGAAAAATTCTGCAACATGATTGCCTCTTCTGTCGAGCGACCTTTTTCTTTGCTCGTAACAGAAACTCGAGCATTATTTCCGGGCCCGCCGTGTTTGGGATAGAGGACAGTGGAGTTGGCTGATTTTGACATTTACTCCCATTTATTACTTGAGCTCCACATCTCTAAAAGCAAGCAACGCAGGCAGCCATCCATGTCCAAGAAGAAAACAAAAGACAATTTCAAGCTACTCGTCAGAGCGCCGCCTCTGAAGCAGGACATCTGCTTCAATTGTCCGATACGGACAGTCCCCGATGCTCCACAACTAGACAATGCAGTCCGTATGGAGAATGAGTATGGGGAACGCATGATCTCAAAGTTGACGAGACGAAACACGCAGATCATCCGGGGATTCCCAAAAGGCCAACGGAAGACTCGGAGTCCCGATGATGATCAGCACTCAGATTGTCTATTTTAGGCAGCAAGAGGCGGAACCCCGTGCTCCATTGGCCGTTTGGTTACAGACAAGCACATTGGTTCTTCAGGCTGTCTGTCATGTTCCTGTCATCCCACAAGCCGATGACACTTCGCCGCGAAAAGAAACCGGCGGTCAAGTAGAAACAAGTTCTACCGTATCTATCTACACACAGGCTGGGGCTTGGGATCGGGCTGCTCATGAGGCTTGTTTGCGCCTTGATCCCTCTGCGCTTTCCCCGCGGATCCGGACTCTCAGCACCTTTTGAGCGTGGAGAAAGGACCTGATGGAAAGATGTGCTCGCTAGGCTCCCTTTCGGAATTTCTCGTGGGGAGCATGCACGCTCAGTACCCCAGGCACTCTCCGTTGGAACTCCAAATAAAACCCAACAGGAAAAGACAATCCGGGGCCCTCCAAGGTTCGTATCATGTTCCAGGCTCTTCTCCGCTAAAAAAAAAGGAAGCTCTGGACGTTTCCCCCAAGAGTGGCGAGAAAAGCCCCAGAGTCATCGATACCCTTCAACACCAACTTGTGATGACTGCAAAGGGTCCAACTGAACTCACCCCTGTCGGAGGATGACTTCTTTTCCCACTTGTCGGCCGGGATCCCCAACCTGCAACGGCTGTCTGCGGGCGCCAGAGCAGCCACGAGGGTGGAGCAAAAGATGTCGCTGCTCTCTGGCATTCAACTCTATCCAGAGGCCATCGCGTGGTCGGTTGTCATCTCCTCAACCATCATCATGAAGGAATACGACACAACGCCTCTCGTCAGCTTCCATACTCTTCCAGTGCTGAGAGAGAAATACGGATCCCCAGACTCATCCCAGCCCGGTGACGTAGAGTTGGCAACAAACTCTTCCTTGTTTAAAGAGCCACCGTACCGCTTGTCCAACTCATCCGGGAGATTTCAATGGAATAGAGTGACTAGAGGTGCACGTCACGCCACGGGGCGGAGTCCTTCCGCTGCCTATTTGGGCCAGGCTGAGGCGGGCCTTCATACACTGTACGGCACCGAGCCGAAGCACGCCGATCCGGAAGACCCGCCCGAGGTAGGGTTCTCTTAGGAGATTTCCGTGGCGCCTCGACAGTCCCGACGGCTTACTCTTACTCTGAGAACTCGTACAGGTCATTGTCAGTGGGTCATGGCTCGTAAGCCCTAATTCCCAGCCGAATATTCTTCTCCACTATACCTCTTTTTAGATACCAAAGTGAAACTATCCCCTGCATTCTTGGGTCGACCATCGTTAGAGATTGAAACTCTGACGTGCGACTTCACATAACAAGAGACCCATAAGACGATGTCGAAGAAGATCATTTCCAATGTCTGCACGGTGAAATGAGAACAACTCCGTTCCTCGACCCACACCTACAACAAGTCGTGCAGGATACCGTCTACCATCCATATCACGAATATAAAAGGCAGCTCTGCCTTCCTTGTCCTTCCAGGTTTCATAATAGACACGGAACCCCGAATTACTTCTGCCACTCGTTATTTTGCAACATGCACCTCCTCTATCTCCTTGCTGCCGTGGCCTGTGTACCTGGAGTGCACTCATCTCCGGCGATGAAGCTCAGTGGCATCCTCGCCCGAGCGAACAGTGACCGCGGCAATGAAACCGTTGCCGGCCTCGGATCCCGCAAGGAAGAGGTGGTTAATGCGGGTGGTAACACCCGGGACCTGGCCATTGCTATGCTCGAAACGTCAGTTTCTTCTTCTTACTTTCTCCCGAAACAGATCGCGGTACATGCTTACTGGTTGCAGGACAACGATGACAACTGATTACACCTACGGTATGTACACGGAACGTGATCTACGCATGGCCAGGCAGCAGAGCGCTGATTATAGCTGTTTTGGCTCGTAGGAGACGGCAAGACCGGCGACGGCACCAACTTTGGCATCTTCAAGCAGAATTGGTACATGCTGCGCAACTCCGCGTCTGAATTCCTCGGCCAGACCGTTGACCAGGTTGACAAAGGTGCAATCCTCAAGTGAGTTGTCTATTAGAGGCTTGTTGCGTCCGCCCCTCGGTTAGGTATACTCGGCTGACTTGGAATGATCAATACCCAAGCTCCAATCTCGGCAAGGATATCCAGGCCCGTCACGATGGCGAGGAATACTTTGGGTACGATACCTGGTTCAGCGGCCACCGCAACGGCGAGTCCGGAGTCAACAATCCGGGCACAGATGATATCAACGGTGAGCTCCTTCCCCCACCCCATACATCAGAGCCCCTGATGTCTTGATGAACTCACCACGGCTCACATCATGAATAGCATACATCGACGCCGTCGCGTGGATTCAGGAGCAGATTGAAAGTGACGAAAAGTACCTGTCTGACGACACTCGGTTCTGGGTCGATGTTCAAGCTATCTAGAATGCCTGCCCGGATATCGGGTCTCACGCTAGTTTTAACCTGTCATTCGGTCTTGATTTGAGCTTCGTTTTCTGGTCCTTGCTTTAGTCTGTTGCCTGCCGCTGGTGGCTCGACGCCATTGATCCCGTGGTAATAAAATTGGAGGTTTGACATAGATCAATCTGATAAAACATAAAAATTAGATACAGCATCCTTCCATTAGTAATAATAGCCATGAAAAGACCAACTAAGCCAGGAGCCCAAAACTCAGACCCTTCCCCACAATTAATTGATCGATCTCGATCCCGACGTCAACCGCCAGATCCGACGGATCAGATAAGATGAGGGCGATGGCCCCGGCCAGACCCAGCAGAGTCGAAGAGCTCATCCTCGCGTCATCGTGGCAACACCGAGAGATATAACAACCGGCCTCTGGGAGCCTGCACGTTGGAAGTCAGATGTGAATCTAGTCATATGATCTGACTACGAGAAATCCATCCTAATAGTTAACTCATCAACACGTTGTTACTTGCACACAGTACAAATTGAAACCAGCAATATAAGACAGAACCTTGAATATGGCCCCCGCAAGCCTCAACCTCGGTGGCCAGCCCAGTCGGCGAGCTGCTAGGTGCGTCTTCCAACTCTCCTCTCCCCGTCTCTCCATCTCATCTTCTCCCTCGATGTCCCCACCACCTGGGAACCTTGACTAACCTTCTTCTCTGGGGGTTTACAGCAGCCGCAACATCGCCATAATGACAGTCCTCGGCGTCATCGGCGGCGGCTTCCTGCTCTTCCGCTCGCAGTCCCCGCGCAAGGGCGAGGGTCTAGTCAAACAAGACGATGAGGCTGCCCGCGATGGACCCGCGAAACTTGGTCGGTCGAACATTGTTTCCAAGGAGGATGCAAAGGCGATGCTGGGGGACCCGCCACGTGGAGCGGGAAATGTTCCGCGAGGGCCGAGGTTCTAATCGGGAAGACTTCTAATGATGTTTTCGGACTGTTATGGGATGGGATACAATGTAAAACAAATGTGGTCTGTCAGGATGGACGATGATGACGCGAAATGTATAGCACAACCGAACAACAAGCATTCTGTACAACAATCGCTAGCTATTTACTTCATGTACCTACACTTTCAGCAAAAGGAGAAAGATTCGCAGTTTCTTGTTCAGTCCAAGCTTCGCCTCCACGTTGTCCAGCGCGCCTAGCATCGCGCTGAATAGCTCCTCCAAGAGATTCATGGTGTAGCCAAGGCTTCCGACTTCTTTCATCTCGGCGAGGATAAATTGCTTCATTTCAATTGAGAGATCGGCCTTGTCCTCGCGGTGAAACATGACTCCGCGGACGATGTCTGCGTTTGGGCTATGTTGCAGCAGGTGCAAAAGTGGGAAGGAGAAATTGCCTTCGGAGAGGTCTTCGCAGAAGCCTTTCTTTGCGGTGTACTAATTCGTTAGTACATGATATATATACATAGTTGAATAGAAGACATACCTCATCGGACGCAAGGTTCATGTAATCATCACGAATTTGATAGTATCGTCCCAGCAGAGTCAAAAGATGCATGAGTTCTGGAACAGGCTGGGATTGCGCTTCGGCTCCTAATAGTCGGAGAACAAGGCGAAAGAAACCCCCGGTCTTGTTGTCGATCATGACGAGATATTGTTTCGTTGAGGGGCAGATTTTTTGATATTTCCATTGCAGTTCAAGGGCCTGGCCGAATGCGAGCGTTTCCAGTTCGTCTACCAGGGTCAGTAGGGCAAAGTGAGCAGGTCGACCTACCTACCTAAAAGGGCGTCTGCACACTCATCTGCATGCTTTACGCCTCTCAACCGGCGGGAACCCTTCACATAGAGATATGTTGCACTGTTGATGGTTTGTGCCTGGCCAAAGACCGCATGCGCTGCAGGCTTTCCGCGTCGAAGTTGGGATTCATCCTGAATGTCGTCGAGCCTGTGCCTGTTAGCGAGGATATAAAACAAGTCGGATAACAGACATCAGTGTAGCGTTGAACAGCATAGTTGTGATCTCTGAGATAATCTTGATTGACTCGACAGGTAGGCTGAACCATGCTTGTAAGCATTCTATCATCCGACCAACGGTTCGTTTCCCTGGAAGCGACTGGGTATATTTCCAAGGAGCGAGGACAACCTAGTTCGTTAGCTGGGGACTACTATGACTGCGGATGGCACAGCTTACTTCCTCGGCTGGTGCTTTCTCAAAAGGAGCCAGCAGGTCTTTCGTGATGAGCGAAGCTTGTCTATTAGTGAGTGACTCTGAGTATCCGTTGGTAGACTTGGTCATGGCCACTGGGACGGGATAATTCGGTAGTCTCAGTCCTGCAGTGTAACTCCTTCCAACCAGCTGGGCCCTATCTTCTACCGTCGTCGAAAGGTTCGCTCGTTGATAACGCGGCGAGAACGACTGCCAATAGCTTGCGCCTCCCACAGCGAGGATTGATATGAGCACGAAGTGGCGTAGCTCGTCTGATTTTGGTGCAGAGGACGATTTCCACTCTTCGTACTTCTCCATCAAGGTCCTCTCCGCCGACAGGATTTCCTTCTTCATAATTTCCTCTGCTTCACTTTCCTCGTAGCCGTATCGGCTCATGAGCACGGCCATTCCGTTGTGAATTCCGTCGAGGCTTCCAGCACGGGCGTGCTCTTCGAACTCTTTGTGAAAGCTGTAAAAGTCGTTGGATAATCCAGCTATCAGGTAGCAAATTTCCGCCAAATGCGAGACAGAATCCAATGCATCCTGGTCGAGGCGCAGTTTCCGCATCGACGGTATTAGTGCGGTTATTAGCCTGCAGAATTAGCCTGAGGAGCCCATGTAGAAGATTGGAGCGATCTACCTCCCGCCAATACTTGTCGTCCGATGTCTCTTGTACTCCTCCCAAGTGATCGTTTGCGGAGGTGGAGCCTGTCCCCGTGCAGTCGAGTCGAACACCTCCAGTCCTCGCTTGAAGTCGCCTCCGTCTAAATTCCTCCCTGCGCCCTGTACCACGAGTGCGAGAACACTTTGGATGTATATCCGATTCATCTCGAGCTCACATTGGCAATAGCCAAGCTTCATTTGCGATACTACTCCCACGCGAAAGTCCAGCATAAGATTCTCGTGCTATTATGGTCAGACTGTAAGTTTGCATATTCACATAGCTCCGCACTGACCGAGACAGGGTCAAGGATATCCGTGGCGTCTGTGCATAGTTAGCGAGGTTCGGGCGCAAGCAAGGCAACATACCATCCCATAACAAGAGAATGTAGATTAATCGTGTCACTGGCGCTACAAACTCGACTGGACATTCGGGAATCACATAGCGAATCAGATCGCTGGCGTGCCCTCCAACAGCATCAGGGACTCCCTTCCCAGTGATGGCCTTCCATTCCGCCACGACCCTGTCAATTGTACTCCCGCAGTCATCTTCAATGGTTCGGACACGGTAAGGAAGTGAGTTGAAGAACTTGGCCGGCCTCTCTGCTTCTGGGTTGGGAAGTGAAGAGTATTTGAACGGAAAGTCATCGAGGGTGTACATCGCAGGCAGGAACAGGGTTGCGCTTGCCTGGGTTTACTCGGGGGAGAAGTCCTCTTTAATACCAGGCTTTCCCCACTTCAAAGAAGCAAAGGTGACCTTGCACTTTCTATTGTCAAAGCGGGCAAAGTTGCCGAGCCTGCAGCCCCGTTCTAGCGGCAATTCTAGTTGGCTCACGCGGATGCCCCCTGCAAGATTTCGCACCAGCGTCAGGTTGGTGCAGATGGTGATTGCTCGTCAGCTTACGGGTCTGGCTGAGCTGGAGGCTTGCATGCCAATCGTTTTTTCCGGCTAATGCATCGCCAAATGTCGTGTTCGTGATGAGGCACGCGGATGCTCTATCCGAAAGTTTTTATCAAGCTTGACAGTATTGTCTGCGTCCATGCCTTCATCCCCGCGTACTCAGTTACTCAAAAGTCCCAAACAGACTTTCAGGTCGAACGACCATTCTTTAGTTGGGATACCCTCGACATTAGGTTTTGTTGACCTCACGGTCCCTTTGGATAGCTAGCCAAGCTCTCAAGAGCAGAGTCAGCACAGCAATATCCCCCGATTGTCGTGCAAGATCCACAGGTGTGTTCCCTTGATAGTCCAGCATTGTCGGGTTCGCACCTTTATCGAGGAGCTTTCGTACTTTGTCGGCTCGACTCCGCTGGGCTTCAACAGCGTAGTGCAATGGCGTACGGCCCCAGCCATCGCTCACATTCAGGTTATAACCGTCGACTGCATAGCGCTCGAGCCAGATATCCCAAGGCCCTTGGGCGTGGAACTTGGCCGTAAGTATCTCTTTGAGCATAGTCACTTTGAGGGGCTCTTCTGTTGACTCGTCCCTTGCAGGGATCCCTTCTGGCAGCGACTTGCGGAAAAGTCGGTATATCTTATCGCGGTCATCATCGACGCTCGGATCCAGGGACTTGATATCTGAATCAGTTAGCTTTTGCACGATGCGTTGCGGACGGGGGTATTCGGACCAATTCCAGCGTCAAGAGCGTTTGGAATATTCTCCGTCCGGGCAACTGAAACGCACGACAGAAGCTCTTTTGCATAGGCCGCTGCCACCGCCGCTGCATATGCCTGCCAGTCACTGTTCTTGTGCGAATCAGCGTAGTCGCTAACTCCCCGAATCACCAGGCATGGGAACCCGTCCATCAAGCCGGCAGCCTCCATTTCAAAGCACAGGGCGCCAAGCTCTGCCCCCAGCTTATCGCGTACAACGGCTGACTTGACCACCTGGTTACTGGATGCGATCAGTCCATAGTGAATCCGTGGATCCTTGGAGACGCGTGCGCCCCTAGAAATCACCTTCTTCGGATCGCAGCCTCGACATGTCCTGGAACCACCTCGATGCTCGTAGGAGGACTCGAATAGGATGTCTTCCGTATGATCCGGGTATCCAAACCGCGTCATGCCTGGAAACCTAACCAGCATATCACGAAAAAAGTGCGGAATCTGGCTCATCCCCATCAAGTGATTTGACTGAAGCTCCGACACGGCAGTGAGCACCACATTGGGCGGCTTGTTCAGCATACCAGTACGTTGTAACCGGCCCTCCCTTATAGCCTTCTCACAGTCGTATTGTACGACTCCGCCAAACTCTCCTCCAGGATTGCTCACTATCACATCGCCGAGTCTGACATCGTTATCAGCGCTGGGTACCCCGCCACCGATACCGACCATCAACCCAAAGCGAATACGAGGATACGTTGAAAGCATCTGTGTCGCAACAGTCGCAGCAGAGGCAGTTCCTACCACTCCTGATGGAAGGCACGCAATCACCACGTTGTGGCCGAGAACCTCTCCCAACGCGTATGTGTTGTGATCATGTGGGGGTTGGGCGAGCCTGGGGTGCGGCTTATCGAGCATGGCTTTGGCAGCAGCCATCTCAAGCGGCAGGGCGCATATCCAGCCGATGCTGTAGTCATCGTGCGAGTAGGTCATTGCGTCAGTCGGTCTCGAGTATGGGTTTGAAGTTTGGTGGACGGAGCGGCAAGGCTGGGCTGAGGACGCGCCTGCCCAGGTGATCTCGGGCGCAAGGCGCCAACACCAACACGGACTCCGATCGTATTTCCCAATGATGCCGCGGTGCTGATGTCCACTCTTTGCCGAAAACACTTTTTGTTGACAGAACTTCATCCACTCGATATATATTGCTGTGGGACCATCCACGCACGTTATACCAGTACCAAACTCCTGTGTAGTCGGACCGCTAGCTTCTCATCCAGAAGTTAGTTCATCAAGCGCAGCGATGCTAGAACTAGAACAGCTACACAGATATCATTGTGCTATACGCATAGCTGTCTCCCTTTAGGATCAAGCTACCCAAACAAGCCATATATTATCGATTGCATTATGTACACGTCTTCCCTCTCGCTCACTGTTGGCCCATGTGATCCCCCATCTACCTCAAAACCTTCCTCAACGCAGTCTCCAACCACAGCTTCGTATACTGCCTGTGCAACCACTCGATATGCGGCGGCATAGGCTTCGTCTCAGCCTTGCCCAGCCCCTGATAGAAGCAACTCTTCAGCCCAAATTCGGCCACACCTTCCTCCGGTTTCACAACGGCGGACATCTCGAAGAGGCCGTCGGAGGCTCGTACGTCTTGTCGGCGCGGAGAGTCGCCGCAGCGCACAACGATGCGCTCGGGGGTCTTTTCGACGACTTCAAAATGGTCGGTTATCAGAGTACCGACGTCGTAGGAGCTGTTCCGGAGGGATTCGCGCGTCCAGAGGTGTGAGGCTGTAGACGGGTCTTCGTATTTCGAGGAGAGGTATGCGCGCTGGAAGGCGTATCCTATCATAGAACTATCATTAGCATTCCCACTCATAAGTAGCCCAATTGCCGATCGGGAACCAATTCCCGTGCCCCAGCTCCAACACTCCCAAACACCATCAAAACAGAAAAATAGCAGAGAGATAACGCACCCCACCCACTCCAAAGCCCCGCACAAAACGCCTCAACAAGCTTCCCCTTCTTCTCGAGCAGACTCGGGTTGATATCGGACAGCGGCACGCGGCGAATACACAGGTCGTGCGTCGTCGGGTTCTTCTGCGGATTGAACCTTTGGTGCAGGGCGTGCGCGAAGATCGGGTCTGTGGCCGACATGGGCACGAAGCGGTCGTTGCGCGTGTACCAGAAGAAGGCGCCGACCGAGGCCAGGCCCGTGTATGTGCCGAGCTTTAGTGTGCGAGTTATGAGGCCCATTTTGTACAATTTTCGTATGGGATTGAGACGATTGGCAAGGCCACAAAGTGAGGATTGAATGGAATGGAATGCAATGGAGGAGAAGAGGAGTGTGGAGGTGGAGAAGGGGAGGTTGGGAGATCGGTCGGCGATGACGCCGTCACTGGCACCGTCACGAGGCACACAAGCTGGACCCGCCGGATCAACTCCGACAGCCTCAGCTTCACCACCACAACACACAACAAACCGACACCTCGTCTCGACCGAGCCATCTCCACCGACCAAATCATGCTGATTTCAATCTCGTTCTAAAAGATAAACGGAATCAACCTCGCCGTCCTCCGATGCCACACCTCCCACTTGCTCCCGAACCGCTCGCGCATCATCCTCTCCTCATCCCTTATCCGAACACCCAGAACCGCGAACCCAACGCCCGTCCCCAGCACCCCCAAAACAACCTGCCACTCCCTTAACAACTTTAGCACCACCGGCGGAATCCAGCACGCAATTGGCGTATCCACCCTCCCCACGATCAACCCCGCATACGCAAAACTCACAAGCACAAGCCCCGTATAGCTCGGGTGCTGCAAGAACCGATACACTCCGTCCGTGACCAGGCGATCGGGTGTCGCGAGCTGGAAGGTAAAGTTCCGGCCAAGGCCGCCGTACGCACTCAATCTGATCCCAGCGCCGAGGGCGAGGAGGGAGAGGAATCCGACCGTGCGTGAGTTCCAGGACACGCGGGTGGGGTTGAGGTGTGCTTGGTAGGGACAGAGGAGGTCGATGAGGGCGCGGTCGCGAGGGGAGGACGTTGAGAGGAGGGCTATGAGGGCTGTGTAGATTGATGCGAGGGTTGAGGCGTGGGTGCCGAGGGTGGAGGGCGTTGTGACGAGGTAGCGGATTCGGTCGGCGGCGTAGGGGGTTGAGGGGGTGTGCGGGGAGGTTGTGCAGAGGGCGTTGAGGTATTGAGCTGCGAGGAGGGCAAGGGAGAGGGTTGTTGAGGATGTGGTTGGCATTTTTAGCTACGCAGTAGAGTAGATACGTTGTAGATCCAGCGTAGTGTCGTAGTGTTGTAGTACCGTAAAGGAAGTTGGAGACGTCGGCTTATTACTGATGGCCTGTCCTTATAACCCCGCACATACTCAGGGGACAAACACCTGCACAGACGCTGCAGTCAGCCGACTGCCGAACCTTCTCGCTCCCCGAGCTTTGTACAGAGTACGGAGTACATCTACGACAATACACAGATACAAAACCATGTCCGCAGGAAACGAACGCTTCAACGACGAAGCCGCAGACTGGGACAAGAACCCCTCTGTGCAGGAATCCTCGCGGCTCGCCTTCAACGCACTCTCCCCGCTCATCACCTCCCTCTCCGCACAGAAACAAATAGCGACAGGGACAAAGACGGGCCTCCATGTCCTTGAAGTCGGCTGCGGCACAGGCCTGCTGACCCTGCGCGTCGCACCGCTCGTCGCCTCAATCGTCGCCATCGACCCGGCTCAGGGTATGATCGAGACACTAAAGGCAAAGATCGAGACACCTTCCTCATCATCTACATCCACATGTGAAAGCGACAATCGCGAAGCCGACGGCCCGCGGACACAGAAACCCAACAGCAACATCCTCCCCATCTGCCACCTCCTCAACGACCCTGAAGACCCGATTCTACCACCCGAGGACGAGGCTCCGAATTCAACGGTTCGCCGTCGGAAATTCGACCTCATAATCTCCCACCTCGTCATGCACCACGTCCCCGACCTCCGGTCCTTTCTCTCAACATTACACGGGTGCCTTGCGCCCGGCGGGAAAGTAGCACTCACGGATTTCGAGGATTTCGGACCGGAGGCGATCAAGTTCCATCCGCCATCGAAGCTCGAGGGGGTGGAGAGGCATGGGATTCAACGGGAGTCGATGGAAGGGCTTATGGGGGAGGTTGGGTTTGACGATGTGCGGGTTCAGGTTCGCTGGAGTTTGAGAAAGTCGGTTGAGAAGTGGGAGGGGTGTAGACCTGGGGAGACGATGGACTTTCCATTTTTACTGTGCGAGGGGTTGAGGCCTGTAGCTTGATTTGACTCAATTTGGGGGTGTTGGGGACGAGTCATCTGAGTTTCTAGACGGAGGAGTTGCAGTAGGATAGAGCGCTCCATTCAATTGACTTCAATAGAGGATAAGCTAGGACTTGCGGTGAATCATCTCTCCAGCCGTGTTCGGCGCCGTCAATATGACAGGACGGTTCCTGTATGTGATGCAGCGCAGTGGTACTTGTGACACCCTAAATCAATCGACCGCGCAGCGCATTTGCTGCAAGCCGCTGGAGCCACAAAGCATACCCTCCAGGCAATATCCGTGTCACATTTATCAGCTCTAGACCAGCAAATTTTGAACACCATCAACGCAAGGAGAGTTACACCATCTATCTTAGATTACACAAAAGTGTCAAAATGACATATCACCCCGCCACAAACCAACTTCCCCCCACCCATCTTCTCAGTCAAAGTTTCGCGTCATGTTGAGCTGCACCGGCGCAGCCTCGATGACAGACTCCATCCCTGGACTGCCACTCCAGATCCCGCGAATCTCAAGGCCAGCCGCCTGCAGCATCTCGATCCACTGGCGCTTGGATCGCTCTGCCCCGGATCCAATGCTCAGCATCTGAATATCGAGCGAGGCCTGCAGCAGTGGCGTGTCCGTATCGGGGAGCACAAAGTCGACGATGATGATCCGGGAGTGCGCATCCATTGCCGCGACAGTGTTTTGGAGGATCTTCTGGCAGATGTGGTCTGGCCAGTCATGGAAAATGGCGCGGAAATAGTATATTCGTGCACCTGGTTCATCAGTTCATCCCTTGAAAGCAGAATCTTTGCGGACTTACCTTTGACAGGCTGCGGATCAAGGAAACTGTACGCCATCGCCTCAATAGTCTCGCTAGTATGGCCGGCTACCACCGCGGGCAGATCTTGCAGAATCAGTTTTCCCGGGGCCTGCGGATGCTTCTTTCGGAATCTAACCAGGTCATGGCCTTGGTTGCCTCCAACGTCAACCAGCAGGACGTTGTTGTCGGTAAGAGGGGGCGTCATGAGGCGGTTCAGAGGATACACATCAAACCAGGCCGGCCTACCCTCGCGCCGACTCGACATGTAGGAGTTGAAGAGGACCTGCTGGTGTCGGCGTTGAGCAAGCCACTCGAATTGACTCTGCCCGACAGCCCAGCACATTGGCGATTGCGAGTAATCCTTAGGAGTTGTATAGTGGTGCTCGCGAAAGTATTCCGGTAGCCTTGCCAGTGTCGGCATTGTCAGATCATATCTGTCGCCGTCAGTCTTGGTTGATGATCTGCGACTGGGATTGACATACATGCATCGTACACCGTCTCTTCCAATGGGTTGAGTCAACATGAATGTCTTGCTATTGGACTGATAAACTTCTGGTTGCGGATTTGCACATAGGCCCAAGGCTGTGATAACCCGCATCAAGCGTACTGCGATCATCCATTAGCTTGCTGCGTGTGCATTGGCTTTGACACTTACCGATCAAGGCTCTCTCGGCATTGGTATGTGTGGAGAGCTCGCTCGCTGAGATTCCTTTCCTCCCTCTACTGATGAGATGGTCAAACACACCAAGGTCAATTGCTGTCCGGAGAGCAGCATTTTGCGGTGGCTGAGAATGGTTAGCCCTTGACATCGATTGGGAAAGTGGCCATCTCGAACCTGGTAGATGAGCCGAAGCACCGTCTCCGCAGGCGTCTCAACGGCGAGTCTTAACTGGTCAATAAGACTCAAGAGCCGACTGTGAGACTGTGGTGACCGGCAACTGCTGGCCTCTTCAACTGCCGCTTGTCCAAGCTCGTCTACCAGAGAGAGAAGTTGGTGCGGCTGTAAGGGCTCCATATGTACAAGTAGGATTGGCTTCCGGGTATGCAACGTTCAAGGTTCGGTGTGCAAGAGAAGAGCAGAAATAGTCCCAAGTCCGATCCGTCCTGCGACTCTGCGGCTTTATAGCAGCCTCGCAGGACAATTGGGTCTGAGATGCATTTTGTCCATAGAAAGGGATGAGCAGCTGATAATTCAGACGCCACAATCTCGTCAACGATTTCAAGCAAGTATACTCGTAGAGTTGACAGACTTTGCTAGTATGGCCTCTGCGCCTTGTCGTCGCTTGGCAGAGGCAAGGTAGATTGCATAAATTCGGTGCTATTGAATCTCCACACAACAGGCACTGCTAGTCGATCAGGGAGCGCCCGGGGGAAGCTGCCAGAGCCTTGGGAATCTGACGCTGTGGTACGAAGTTTTGGTGCCTTGGTCTCCAACTTGATTTGTCGCTGATACCGACGGACTGTCCGGTACCGTCAGCTTGTCTTTGAAAGACCACTTGATAGGCTCATATGCTCGGTAGTGGCTTTTTTTTCAGGCACATTAGTGCTTATGTGAGCGTGGCATCGGAATGACCGATGTTGGACAGGCGCAAGGGTCGTGGACGACTACCAGGCAGCTGCTGAAGCTCTGTGCTTGACGGACACTGTTTAGATCAGGACGATCTATCGTCATCTAGCGTGTGGCTTGCTGACTCGCGCGGCTAAAGACAGTGTTCAATTTTAGCCGTGGATGAATCGTGTGGTGGAAAAGTGGCAGATGGACTCGATACGTCTACTTCGGGATGGCACACACGTCGATTGCCGCTGCAGTTTGTTCTCCAACGCCTGTGGCTGGCTGATGAAGCCCCGAACACTCTGAAACATCCTGGCATCATCGCACTTGAAGATAAAATAGCCGAGGAGAATTATCAGCCCAGCGCCTCTGTCTGACGGACGCCACAAAGTCAAGGCAAGGACATTCATGGCTCGCACCGGTGTTCGAATTCTCCAGAGTTAGCCGTTCAGATTCCCATCAAAACGCGCCAGCCCAACACAAGGCGACTTTCGTGATCCGCAGAACATGCTGCACCTCAAGCTCAAGCTCAAGCTCCCAATGCAGGCTTTGGCGCCAGGGAGAAGGTTTTGTCACTGTCGGGGCCAAGGTTATGCAGCTTCTCCACAAGTCAAACCGACTTTGAGTCTGTGCAGATTTAGACTCTGCGTTAGTCGCGTGGTTGCCGGATCCACTCCAGACTCAGCGATAGAAAGCTGCATCAGCGATGTGGAGGAGGCGAGGAGCAGATGCCGCAATGTGGATTCACCGCCGAAAGCTGAGCAGTCAAGGAAAGCTGATTGCCGCGCCTAGAGTTCGGGGAGGCCGTTCCCAAACCATGAAGAGCCGGTAATCTAGCCAAGTGCTATGGCGGCCAGTTGCCTTGCTCGATCACAAATCTCACATTGGTTCAGAGCTTAAATAGACCAGGGTTCCCTCGGTCTACTGGCTCAGCAAACATAATCTATTCACTCTTCAAAAATGGGAATCCCTCAGTATAACGAGCCCTCAGACGATGTGCCGCAGGTTAATAGTGCAGAGGTGCTGGTTCAACGGTTTGGCCGACTCAATATCTTAGACGACTTGATCCGTTTGCGTGCAACAGATGTTGAGCAAGTACCCATCCTCGCATATCCCAAGCCATCTCAGGATGGCTACGAGTACTTTACCGGTGAGGACTTGGACTGCATGGTCGATCAAGCAGTCTGTGCGCTGATGGAGCTGGGCATCAGACCGGTAAGTCCTTCTCGTGAGCAAACGTGATGGTGACTGACGCCGTCTAGGCTAGAAAAGATGGAGAGATTGTTGCTCTCTTCACTCCATCAGATCTCAACATGGTTGTCACCTTCTTCGCGCTCAGTCGCATTGGTTATACAATTATGATGCTATCGCCACGTCTATCAGCTGCCGCATGCGTATCATTACTCGATAAAGTAGGATGCGACACGCTGTTGTATGGTCAGACAGCGAGCATCCGGGCGACGGTGGGCGAAATCCTCCGGTTGAAACTTGTGACATGCAGACCGATCATTCAGCGGCCTTCCTTGGAGGAATCTTTCGACGGACCCTCGGTGATAGTCCTTCGCCGAAGTCGGAACCGCGAGGAACAGAGGAATCGGATCGCCCTCATTCTTCATTCTTCGGGTTCAACTGGTACCCCAAAACCGCTGTTCTTGAGCCACAAAGCATTGATGACACATCCATTACGAGGACCAGGATTCACTTCATTCAATTCGCTCCCATGGTATCATCTTCACGGGCTTTCAACTGCATTGCAGGCAATGTATATGAGAAAGGTGGCATTCATGTGGGATGCTACACTACCATTGACAGCTTCATCTGTTGTGGCAGCGCTAGAAGCGGCTCAACCGGAGTCAGTCCAGGGTGTCCCTTATCTGCTTCAGCTTCTTGTAGACAGTTCCAGAGGCCTCGACGCCTTGCGGCAGTGCAAGTTGGTCACGTATGGTGGTGCGCCATGCCCTGATGGTCTGGGAGATAGACTGGTTGCGGAAGGAGTGCGTTTCGGCGGTTCTTTTGGTTTGTATGGATAGTCCATACCATTTACTTCGGCAGTACCTTGACTTGCTAACTCATCTTAGGACGGAGGCTGGACTAGTTGCAGAATCAATTACAAGGCCAGCAGGCGATCCATACTGGAATTATCTGCGATTCTTCGACAACATTCGGCCATACATCTGGATGAAGCCCATCGGCCAGGACTTGTATGAGGCCGTTTACCTGTCAGGGCATCCTGCACTGACATCATCGAATTCTGACGAGCCGCCAGGCTCGTACCATTCTCGAGATGTCTTTTCGCCTCACCCCTCTATCGCCGACCGGTGGAAGTACATTTCACGGCTAGACGACAGAATAACATTGATTAATGGTGAAAAGGTACTTCCTCTGCCAATTGAAGGATCGATCAAGCAGAGTCCCTTTATTGAAGAAGCAGTTGTCGTTGGCGTGGATAGGGCAGTGCCAGGTCTTCTGGTGTTCCGCTCCGAGGGGGCACAGATATTCTCCGATGAAGAGTATCTGAATCTGATCTGGCCGACGGTGAAAGATGCAAACTCGCGGGCAGAGCAGTTCTCACAGATTGCTCGAGAGATGATCTGTGTTCTACCGTACGGGTCTGTCCGGCCTCAGACAGACAAGGGTTCGATGATCAGAGCCCAGGTCTACATACGATATGCCGACGAAATCGAAGAACTGTACACACGGGTCGAGCAGAAGGCGGATGGTACACTCAAGGTAGACCTCACAACGACCGAGGCTCATCTGATGCGACTATGCCGAGACGAACTTCGGCTACCTATTCCCGACTCAAGGTCTGAGTTTTTCGCAGTGGGGGTCGACAGCCTGAAAGCCATTCATCTCCGTCGCTTGATACTGCGAGACTTCAAGATCGAGGACAGCAAAAGTCTGAGTCAGAATGTGGTCTTCGAGACAGGCAACATATCGACCTTGGCGGCGCATATTGGTGCTATCCAAGATGGTCAGATGATCGAGGAACAGGACCAAGTTCGCGTTATGCAGGAGTTGATCACCAAGCATTCGTCCTTCCGAGTTCACAAACCGGTTCTAGAGCCTAAGAAAAGCCGCAGGGGTGTTGTAAGTTCAATGAAGCCCCTTACTTTCTCAGCTAACGATCTTAGATTCTGACTGGGGCAACCGGTTCAATGGGCGCACACACGCTGCAAAGATTACTGAACGACGACACCGTATCTGTTGTCTACTGCCTCACCAGACGCGATGACCCGAAGCAGGCCGTTCTCGACGCTCTTGCTCAGAAAGGTCTAGACGTCCTCTCCTACCGCACAAACAAGATTGTTGCTCTCAAAAGTGCACTGCATGAGCCTGATCTCGGTTTAGACCAACTCACGATTGATGAGATGCGCGATTCCGTGTCTCTGATCATCCACACAGCATGGCCTGTGAACTTTAACCTTCCTCTCTCCAGCTTCGAGCAACACATTCAAGGGTTGAGTAACCTCATTGATCTGTCGTTGTCGGTCCGCATGCCGGCGCCAGCGGTCATGCTCTTCTGTTCTTCAATCTCGACAGCGCTCGGTTCTCCGTCAACAAACATAGAGGAAGGTCCGATCGACGACTTGAGCAGTGTCCTCGACATGGGTTATGCTCGCTCCAAGCTCGTCGGAGAGAAGATCGTAAGCAATGCTCGACAATCCGGCGCAAGAGCATTCTCACTTCGAATCGGCCAAGTATCGGGGCACTCGAAGAAGGGCCTTTGGAACGACTCGGAGGCAATCCCACTTATGATCCGGTCGGCACTCACGCTCAAAGCCCTCCCGGACATCAACACGACATGTTCATGGCTGCCAGCGGATAAGCTCGCGTGTTCGCTTCTCGAAATCGCCCGGGCATGTTCCATCAACTCGCTCGATGAAGACACCAGGGACCGAACTGCCGACGACACAGTCTACAACCTCTGCAACTCCCGGACATTCACCTGGTTAGACCTACTCAAAACCCTGCGTCAGCACGGGTTCGCGTTCGAGACTGTTCCGTTCAATGACTGGTTGAGGAAACTGCGGGAGAGCGAGGCCAAGGGAGAGGAGATGATCAACCCTGCTGTCAAGTTAGCAGACCACTACGAAGAAATGTATGGAGGCGACTCACCTCGAACTCCGAAGACGTTCCTCACCGACAAGGCCGAGCGCGATAGCATGACGTTGCGGAATGGGCGCTTGAGGATAGTTCGAGACGGGATTCTCGCGCGATACGCGCAGGATTGGCTGAAGAGATGGACGGCGGCCTAGTTGGCCATGTGTAGTAGTAATGAAGATAATAACGATGCTGATGGTGATCTATGTCGACGATTAATGTGGTGCTTTGCTCGTTTGTGTTATTCGACTTTGGTCCGTTGATTTGCGGTGTTGTTGTTTGTCTTTGCAGTTGTCATTTTCTCGCGCATGTTGTCCTGATGCTTCTGCTAACCTGTGCCTCTTGTGATATTAATAGTTCAAGCAAAATAATTGTCAAGTTTCAGCATTAAACTCAAGTCCTATCGAGGTCGGGTGTGGGAACACAAGTAACAACGGAAATCATTCAGCGTACGAAGGAGAGAAACGAAACAGGTCTCCCGCGGATTCAGATCTCGAGATACTGGATAAGCCTACGAGACTTGAGGCTCTAGAAACTGACGCCCAAGGGCAAGGGGAAATGCGTTGAGAAGACGAAAGCCCGGCCTGGGCGGCGTGGGTCACGCTTTCCTAATTGAGCAGCGTCACACGATATCCATCCTTTGATAACGGCGGTTAAGCGTGGGGAGTACAAAATAGATACTAGTTATAGACAACGTGCTATATACTCTACTATGCAATATCTAAGATTCATTTACATGAAAGCTTGGAAGCTACTATCTTCTATTTTGACATATCTAAGCTAAATCTAGTCCAGTTCAAGCCAAGCTACCGCACGCTACAGGAAAATCCTATGGATGAAATACAGTAAATAACACAAAAAAGACAAGTCTCAGAGCGTTGTAGCGCTTGTTGCAGTTGCAGTCTAGGCAGTAGATAGAGAGAGACAGAGATTTATTATACAAAAGAACACACAAGCACGCATGCACGCAGTCTGAGGCTGAGGGTATTGGTAGCGGATGCTAGGCTAATAGGGGTACGTTGAAAATTTGCGGGATGACGAATAGAAGAAAAGAGAATGCACAGTCGGGCAATGGGCAGCCTAGGCGAGCATCATCACCGCAAGCGCACCGATCACAGCGATTCCGCTGCTCACAGACAGCCTGCTCCCCGCGCCAGTGAACACAGGGCTCGAAGGCATTGTCGGCGTCCCATCCGTGTCGATGATGCTGGGCGAGTAGTCCGAGTAATCCGGAGCCTCCGATGTGGCAGGGCTAGCGGCCGTCGGGACAGTCACGAACTGCGAGGAGGACGTGACGATCGTCCAGGATTCGATCGGGGAGGTGTCGGGCGCTGTGTAGATGATGCTAGTTGGGGGCACTGAGGAGACCACGGGGTGTGAAATTGAGGGCGAGGGTGCCACTGTAGGGACTGTGGCTGGCGGGGCCGGGGCATCGACGACGCTTTCCTCCGTGGTTGGGGCAGTAGGGGCTGGGGCGGGAGGAGTTGTCGTAGTCGTTGTTGTTTCGACGACAGGCTCTTCTGAGACGGGTTCTGGGATGACTGCTGCGGTTTGCAGGCTCTCGACTGGGCAAAGCGTCGTGGTAATTGTGACGAAGCTGGTGATCTTGGAGACTGGTGCGTCCTCTTCGGCGTCGACGTCGGAGGGGGCACTGGCGGCGGGCTTCGTGGTTGTGGCGGTAGCAGTGCTTGTAGACTCAGACGTGCTGAGATGCTCAGTCTTGGTGACGGTGGTTGTGCTTGTAGTCGGCGGGAGAGTGGTCTCCTCGGCCGTCGAGGTCTGCGTCTTGGTGGAAGTAGTCTCAGGGACCTCGGTCTTGGTCTTGGTAGAAGTGGGAGCCGATGTCTCAGGGGCCTCGGCGATGCCAACAATACCAGTCTGGTAGACCTTGATGTAGTTGAGCTCCCAGTACGCCTCCTTGAACTGAGCAGGGTTCTCGGCGACGTAGTTGATGCAGCTCTGCATGGGGTTGCTGGGGTCGCTCAGGGGGCATCCGCTGTCACCATACACGGCTCCAGCCCATTCACCGCAGAAAGTGGTGTCGAGGATGAGCGTCTGGTGGGTGAAGCGCTCCTCAAAGTTGCAGCTTCCCTGGAGATGAGCCATGGGCGTGCCAAACTCGGACGTGTCGGGGTTGCCAGCGGTAAGCGAGGCAGGGATCGAAGCCCGAGGGAAGAACCAGATCTTCAGGTACTCGGCCTGCCACTCCATGGCGTAGACACCGCCACCCTGCTTGTTGAAGGGTGTACCAGACGATCCCTGCTCGCCCTCGACGACACAGCCAATGGTTCCGGAAGCCTCACCGCACTCGCTCGAGGTTAGGTCGCCGGACATTTCGTAGCCGCCGCCGACGTCGCAGGACCCACTAGTGTGCAGGACAATCTTGTTCGCTTCGTGCATGTTGACACCTTCGATGATATCGATCTCGCCATCGTACGGCCAGTTCGGTCCAACCGTCCAGAAGGCAGGCCATGTACCACAGATACTACCGGGCATGTGCTGGATATCAACGACGTATAGACCTTGGTCAAAGTACTCTTTGCTCTCGATACGGACGGACTCACGGCCCGGGCCTGAGGGTGAAAGAACTGTGTCATAGTCAACGCCCAGGTACAGGCTTCCGGTATCAGTGATCTTGGCGAGGCCGGAGTTCTCGGCGTGGCTCTGGTTGACGTAGGTGACGAAGCCGTTTGTCGGATCGGCTCGGTCGAAGAAGTTGAAGTGGTTGAGGATGTTTTCGCCTTCCCAAGACGTCTGCAGCTTGTAAGTGCCTGTGGCCTGGGCGAGGCGCGGGAGGACCATGGCAGAGGCGGCGAGAGAGCCCACCCTGCGCAGCAAGGATGAGGAAGACATGGTGGATTAGATTCAGTCGGAATAAAGACCGCTGTTGCTTTTGTTTCGAGATGCGATTTAGGTTACAAAAGAGGGGCTTTTTAGCTTGTGAACTGCGCTGGGCAGATGCAAGGAGATCGATCAAGATCTGGGTTAGAGAATGGAAGACGACCGTCAAGGCCGTGCGAAATCTGAAAGGAAAGAAAAATGCAGAGTCAATCTGCAATGACGAACAGGCCCGATAAAGAATGTAAAGGGCAAAGACGACAGAAAGGAAGGACAATGATTTGCGACAGAAGAGAAGTATGTGAGAGGGAGGATGGCGCGGACCCTGGGCAACCGCACATATATACGAACCCCAAAGAAAGCTCCCACATGTTTGGGATCTGGACTGCCTGCTCCATTGCAGCTCAATCAGGTAACAGGACCCAATTTTGACGGTGGCTTTAACCATTCCAGTGGTGTTACTGGCTGGTGAGTGGCAGCGTGGTGCAAAGTGTCTTGAGCGGTTAAAATTGATTCAGCGAATCAAAGCACAGAGTGCAGTCGAGGGCAAGAGACCAGCGACCAGCCAAGATACTTGATTCCTTGTCGAGCATGTTCGGCTGGTCCGGCGACAAAGTGAGCGCCGTGGCGGCTCCACAGTGGCAGACTCTGAAACGCGACCAGACTGGCCAGAGTCAACTTGAAACAGGGGATGCACCAGCACTCGGTTTGCGCCTGACCAGCGAGAAATGCCAGCGAGCTGCAGAACAAACAGTTCTCGAGCCATCTTTCCTCTCTTAATCAATGTGTCTGCTGTCAGTAATCTCTCTTGTCGGCCTGACAGCAGACATTGACAATGAAAGTGTCACGGCAACAAACATTCCTGGGGATGACGGATCATCGTGGCTTTGCCGCCACAGGGGAAAATCACCGATCGGGAGCGCCAATCCGAGCCCAGCGTCGCACCTTGAGCATTGCTAATTGCAAAGTGGGTGAGGTGCGAGCCGTGATTGACTGGTGCATCCGGTCGAGACTCTGTCGACGTGAGAACCTTTTTGCTTGTGGAGAATGACTTTTTGCTGAGGAAACCAAAATTCACACCTAAAATTGAGGCAGGGGAAGCGAAGAGAGGTTCGTTCGTTGGATAGAAGAGGGGAAGCCAGGCCCCAGCTTGACTGCTTGAGGGTGCGACGGAGTCCAGACTCGAGAGACTGCAACTGCAGAAGAGGGTGATTCTGCCGCCGCCTGAGGCATCAACAAGTTTCCTGGCAATCCCGCATCACAGCACACCGCGAAGAGCAACAGTTTCCTTATGGTCTCGGCCACATTACGCATAGTACAAGTTAGTATCAAACTAAACTTCTAATCCAGCCAGTTCCATGGATTCCACAACCCATCCATGGAACTCCCCTTCCTTCTTCAAGCTCATCCACAGTCAGCGCGACTTGGCACGGGAAGCTCTAGAATTATGAGCACAATCTTACTAAGCTTTTCATCCAGCTTCACAACACCAACTCCATACAATGGCTGATATCTAGGGTCATTGATCATCATTATGGGGTCCATGGAAACTACTGCCGGGTCCAAATCTTGCCAAGCCTCACGTAACTCGTTTCGATTTCAAATAAATATGTCCCAGATCCTACCGTGGATCAGGTTGGCGTACTGTAGCACCCGATCTAGTAAATATATAGTCGCCCGTGCTGTGAAAGGATCAAGCTTAGACCATCACCCATCTAGCACCTCCAGATGGTGATCCTTCTCTCGGAGAGTACCTACCATAATATTCTGATAATGCATCAATTAGCAGAGAATTGCAACTATACGGGAATATGGCCTTACTCTGACGCGGCTGTAGCGCCACTAGAAGGAGGTCAAGGCATGGGAAGTCAAAGCCTCATACCACGCGGGGCTGACGTATCACTATGGGTCTCTGTTTTGAGAAAGGAGGAACTGCCAGGGATTATCCTCTCATGCGAATTTGATTCCTTGAGGACGAGTCTGCTGCCTCTCACAGACCGTTATTGTTACATGGATATGTACAGACTATGTTTAGGAGACTCCAATGGTGGCAGAGAGCCCAAAATAGTAGACCGCCGAGAATAATTCTCTTACAGGTCTCTATAAAACCTTACTTCACCATCTATATAAGCCTGATAGGACGAGCCAACTCAATAAACAATATTACTAGGGCGCGGTTAGGCTGAACCTCGCTAAGCAGGCCGAGTTTAAAAGAGGTATGCTTGATGAGAATCCAAGTAACTAATAACACAAGATCTAGTCTATCCTTAGTCCACTAGAGTGACAAATATATCTTTTCGAGGTTACTTTGCAAGCCCATAGAGGCACCCGGGCCATTAGGACCAGATGACATTCAGAGACTGAAACCGTTGTGCCAACCTGCGACCAAGCATTCAGGGAATGACTAGAGGATGCCCTATTAAGGGCTTCTTGAAGCCAGCAACGGCTTTGACTTTCCATATCAGATATCACCGACCACTTGCAGGGGAGTCTGGAGTAGATCCGAGTCACAAGTGATATGAGGATGTTCAGCCCGGATATGCGGCGCAGCCAAAGCTGCTCGTCAAGCCCTATAGATTCATAGCCTGCAACCATATCCAAAGTAAAATCGCCATTCATGATGGTCATGGCTTGGATTGGTGGTGGATAAAGTTGATCACCCTCGTTGTGAACAAAACACGTGACATTGTTGTGCATGCCTCAAAGTGCAAAATCTTGCCGTACCTTCCAAATTCTCTGCCAATCAAACAACACCAGCGTCGGGCGTTTTCCTCTTCTCGAGACTTTCGCCCTCAATAACCCTTATCAATGATCGCGTGAATCCAGTCTGCTCAAATCCCAAGTCCACGTTGCCGGGCAGTGGGTCACAGAACCGCGCGATGGTGGAGACACAAGCAAAAACCGCTGCTCATCATCAAGCCGTGCAGAATTGGTGCAGAACTGGTTGTCGCGGATGTTGGTAACTTGGCCGTCTATCCCTGGCCAGCTCGAACGATAACTGTTTTGCGCGGTATCGCCCTTCCAGGCTCTCAAGTTTTCCAAGCTGTCGTTGATAACGGTCGAATTTGTCACCACCCAGCCGTCTCATGACTATTTGTGCACGAGTCTGACCCCGGCCAGCGCTACATCTCTCCACTTTGCGACAAGTGTGGCCGCTCAATTCTCGACGGCGCGTCCCCCGGAAAATTCCATGTAGGGGAAATTTCACGAGCGGCGAACCTGTTGTGTTGTACCCCGTTGTGGTGCAGCTTTACGTTCTTATAGTGGCAAATAATGGAGTCAATAGTCTGATCACCCATGACACTTTTTGACATCAATAGATCTTGGGTGACCCAAAGATTGAAGAGGAGAACTGGGTATTCAACTTCTGGAAAGAGCAGTTGACACGGACATTTGTTCGATCCAACTGGTCTGTGTTCTGAGCAATGACTTTGATCGCTGCTGGAGAACAAAGTTCGACTAGGCGAGGTTTACCGAAAACAGAAGGAGGCCTCTTGCGGCCTTGCGATGGCTCACTCTAGTCGCGCCGGACCCATACTTTATTTCTCCTCCTGCTTGGCATACTGCAACACAAAATTCTTCACCTTGGTTGAAGGGACACTATCTGCGTCTTGCATTGTTCGAATCTGGATGTCGCCTTGACATTGATTCGAAAAGAAACAGCAAAGCAGTGAACGTGCGGAGCCCCGTATACCGGATTTGCGGGTAAAACGAAACAAGGTGGAGCCATCACGGACTCAAGAACCTTGGTACCGACAAGACGCTACGAAAGTCTGCTTGCCTCTATCTGGATCCGGGGTTGGTCTTTGACGAATGATGTGCGACAAGGATTGGTGATAGGCGTCCTAATTGAGGCAACTCAAGAACTGAAGTCCCTACTACTGACGCGACTGGAGGCTTTGCGCCTAAACGGCACATTTTACCCTGGATGGGGAATGCGTGTCAGGAACACGTCGGAGCAAGTAGAGTTTAAATCGATCGATCGCCCTGGAACCGACCTCCTTATCCGTTTTAAAGGGAAGATCGATCTCGTCGAGGTGAATAAAGACTCGGACGCTGGACCGTCTGGATTAGAAGTGAAAGTGGTCAGTCGCTTGCTATCATGTCTTCAGACCTCGTTCCGGCGCTCCCCCCGCCACCGGGGAAGGTATCCAACTTTGTAAACCCAACAAACTGCGCTGCAAAGTTCATTGCTGTCAATGCCGTCTTTCTACCCATCGCCTTGACTGCGTTGGGTATTCGTATATGGACACGGGCTTTTATCGCCCGCGGTTTTCGTTGGGACGATGGTATGTACAGCTACCTAGCTTTCCAAGTGGATTTTCTATACTGACAATCTGAAGCGTTGATGATAGTCTCATTTGTATGCATTGCGCCTAGCTTTTGGAATAAAGTCTAACTAGAGCAGGTCATGTCAATCGTTTTGAGCGCTGTGACGCTGGATAGTAAGTGGATCATTCTTGCATGTTGTTGCATCTCGTCTAACAGTGATAGTGCTCAACTGGGGCCTGGCAGTACACATGTGGGATGTCCCTACCAGTGATATCTCGCCCATGTTTATGAAGGTGAGCAAGATATAACATAGATCCGAACCGCGGCTAAGATAACAGCTCAACCTCGTTGCCGCCATCGTCTACTGCGCCGGCACTGGATTTCTCAAGGTGTCGGTGCTGCTGTTCTATACGCGCATTTTTCCGAGTCGCAACTTCCACATCGCCATCTGGATTCTCGTATTCATTGCAGCTGGTTACAACATTGCAAGTGTGCTGGCCAATGTGTTTAGCTGCAATCCGATTGCGAAGAGTTGGGACCTGAGCATCACTCATGGGACATGCATGAACCGGCCGGTGTTTTACTTTGCCAACGCTGGACTGGGCATTTTCACCGACTTTGCCACTGTCTTGGTTCCAGTGTACGTATGCCTCGCAGCGATTATGAGCAAGCATGCTGACCTGTCAGACCATGGCTGCGAAGACTGCAGATGCCACTGCGGCAGAAGATTGCTGTCGGGGCTATCCTGGCAATGGGATGCTTGTAAGTAATACGATCGCTGGACTATCTGGCCATGCTAACAAAGACAGTGTCGGTGTCGTTAGCTGCGTCCGTCTTTCTAGTCTCTACACACTCCAGAACAGCACCGACTTGACATGTATGTCATCTTTCCCCGGGTCTCGACTTGAGCTGACAAGATAGGGACCACCACCAACGCACTCATGTGGTGTGTGATCGAACTCAATTTAGGAATCACCGGCGGCTGCGTCACTGTTATGCGACCGTTTGTGCGCCGCTACTTCCCCCGCCTCCTGGGCCTGTCGTCGAACAGCAGTGGAAATGGCTATTCCTCTCGAACAAAGTCGCATTCTCACCCCCTCCACTCCTTCCCACGCGACGAGCAGCCCGACTTCTCCGGCCACCGGCACAAATACTCAGCAGCTCTCAAGTCCGGCCCAGACAACTCGAGCGAAGAGCTCATCCTCGCCGGTACACCACCGGGGAAGGAGCTGGATGGGATCATTCGAACAGTAGAGTTTGACATCAAGAAGACGGTAGGGCCGTCGTAGCTTGCGCCGGCTCGTCGGTCGAGATGACGTCGGATGATATTGATTTAGCGATTTCTTTCATACCACATATAGTCTTCAGCAATAATAGTAATTAACCCCTCGAACCGCCACGTGCCCGACTGACCCGGCACACTGGAAGCTGCATCCTTGGCCGGAGGTTTATCGCAGCCACAACCTCTGCCGAACTGAAAGGGGCATGAAGAAGACCAGCTCTGCCAATGACGGAGCGAGGCCTGCGCCCGCACGGTGCCGAGGGTGGAAGCATCTCCACGGCACTATTCAAGTGTCGGCGCACTAGCGGCGAACTAGCCCTGAAGATTTGAGAAAGCAGCGTCTTTGCTCCACCACCTTACAAATGCAACGGAACATTCGAAGCTTGGAACTCTGGAACAGGGCAAGAATTGGTCTTGGACCGAAAAGGTAACCCACCGCAACCGTCTCTGAGCCCCGGCTCGGGACTCCCCTCTGGCACGACTGCCGGCCCCCGGGCTATTGTCGCCATGTATTTGTACCTGGCGATCGCGTCACTTTTCGTCCTCCTCCTTTCTCTATCACCTCTCGCTGAGGACTTGACTATCATCGCCATGCGCGTCGCTTCTGCCCTGCCCCTGGCCGGCGTCCTGTCGCTGGTGGCTTCCTCCTCTGCGCAGCAGTCGGATAACCTAGGCTGTAACACCCTGAGTGGCAGCCTGACTGACTCTGTCTTCTTCCCCGAGTCGGCAGTGTACCAAAATGAGTCGCAGAACTTCTGGTCGAATACGGAGATCATGTCGCCGTCGTGTGTGTTTCGGCCTGCGTCGGCGGAGGAGCTGGGTGAGGCTATCAAGTTGTTGAAGAGCGTCAATGCGCAGTTTGCTGTGCGTGGTGGTGGACATATGGGAATTCGGGTGGGTTGACCACACTACGTATACAGAGGAAGTGCAGCGATGCTGACAGACTAGGGCTCGAACAACATTGACAACGGCGTCTTGATCGTCATGTCGGCCCTCAACACCCTGGAACTAAACGACGACCAGTCGATCCTCTCCGTTGGCCCCTCGTACCGGTTCGTCCCCCCGTCTCGTCTACAGACAAACGCAGCTAATGGCAATAAATAGCTGGGGCGACGTCTACTCCTGGCTCGAACCCTACGGTCTCGCTGTCGCGGGTGGCCGTCTCTCCCCCGTCGGAGTCCCCGGTCTTCTGTTGGCGGGCGGCGTCAACTTCTACGGCAACCAGGTCGGCTTCAGCTGTGACACCGTCGTCAACTACCAAGTCGTGCTTGCCAACGGCTCTGTCGTCGAGGCTAACAAGGACAGCTACCGGGATCTGTTTTGGGCGCTTAAGGGAGGCAGCAGCAACTTTGGTCTTGTCACTCGGTTTGACATGCAGACGATCTCGTCGCCGAAAATTTGGGCAGGATCGTATACTGTTTCGGAGGAGTATGTTGATGAGTTCTTGAAGGTGGGATGAGCCGTTGGATTTCCAGGTTTTTGGCGACAAGACTAACGGGACAGGCTATTGCGACATACGCGGCCGACATCTCCGACCCCAAGACGCACATTGTTCCTGCGCTGGTTCCTTCGCCTGGCGCGGCGACGCTCGCCTCTGCGATTCTCTTCTACGATAGCCAGGATGAGCAGTTTCCTGCGGCTTTTAAGCCATTTACCGATATTCCGGCCGTCTCGAGCACGCTTGCTTTCAAGACTCTTTCCGAATTCTCCGCTGAGCTTGGCCAGATGGTCACTGATGGAATCAAGTACGTCCCCCAATTCCTAGTAATTATTTATTCAGTATACTCACAATCGATAGCGACATCTTCGTCGCCGGCACCGTCGTCGGCACAACCTTCAAAGACCTCCACCGCGGCATCAGCATCATCAACAGCACCTTCTTCGAGCGCCTTCCCAGCTTATACGCGCAAATCCCCGCCGAAAACATCGCCATCATCCAACTGGACTGGCAACCCATCGGCGCGCTCTGGATGGACGCCTCCGCCAAGGCCGGCGGTAACGCGCTCGGGCTCGACGCCTCGAAGGTGTATCTCGCGTACGCCGAGGTCGTCGAGTGGACGGGCGCCGAGTACGATGACATCGTGCTGCAGTGGGTTGAGGAGACGACGTATGCGATTAACAACGCGACTCAGAAGAAAGGGTTGTATGATCCGTTCAACTACATTGGAGATGCGGCGGGGTTCCAGTCGATTTTCCCGGGCTATGGCGCGGAGAACCACCAGCGGCTGGTCTCGATTGCACAGAAGTATGATCCCAATGCGACGTTTCAGTCGTTGATGCCTGGTGGGTTTAAGGTGTATTGACCTTTGAATCTCAATCACATACCTATCTTTCTTCTCATTCCTTGTATCTACCATGTCTTTGTTGTTTGTACATCCCATTCTCAGACCTGATTGACGGCCCCAAGCGCCACAATTCTGAAACACACCCTAAAATCTCCCGCAGGATCCAGACGCCTGCACTGTTTGGTCGACTGCTTTCCCTGCACCCGCTCGGTAATTGCCCCCCAGTCAATCAAATGATTGTCAATCCGACCCTGAAACCCAGGTGGCTGCGCTCCGCTCGGGCGGCAGCACACTTCATTGGCGCCGACGCACCGCTTGACGCCGGCACTGGGCCTGCGCTCATTAAAGGGCAAACGCTGCAGTGGACTTGTCGCTCACCTACTTTTCAGTGCCCGTCTTGGGAGATAACCACGACTAAGTCCCTGTCAGTCCATGTCACACTGCATACGGGAAGATTTATTAGAACAAGTGCATCGCAAACAAAACAGACGCTTGGCTGCGCAGCCACCTGTCGGAGAATTGCATCCGCCCTTTGTCCTTTATACTCCGGAGTGACACCTCGATTAATCTGAAACGGGCCCAGAGCTCGATCGATCAGATCGATGCGCTGGACCGTAGACGTTCAGTTGGTGAGGGATGCGTTCTGAAACGTCATGGCTGTCGGGCCACACCGCGCCTGGTCCTGAATTCAGGGCTGATGGAACCATCGCCATCCATGTCTCCATGTTCATTCTCCACTTCCAGGGTGCACCTTATCTTCGGCGCGTATAAAGCATTCGTCCCCTCCCTCCGGTCTGGTCGATTTGACTTTGTTGATCATCGCCTCATCCTGTTCTTTCTTCTTCTTTTCAGTCATTCCTTCTTTTGAATTTGACATTCATTCATTCTTTTCTCGACACTCTTTTTGACTTATTTTGATCTTCAACATGCGTCTCCTCAACGCACTGGGATTGATTCCCCTCGTGGCTGGCCACACAATTATGACGACTCTATATGTCGACGGCGAGAACCAGGGCGACGGCGTCTGCATTCGCATGAACCGTGATCCTGAACATGCTACTTTCCCCATCGAACCGCTCGCGAATGATGCGATGGCTTGCGGTACGCCTTCTCCTCCCCAGTATCCTTCCCTCTCTACAAATAATGTACTAATGGGTATGTACAGGCTACGACGGCGAAACCGCCTCAGCACGCATCTGCCCCGCCGCGCAGGGCAGCACCCTGACCTTTGAATTCCGCGAATACGCCGACGGCAGCTCGCCGGGCTCAATTGACGAATCCCACAAGGGCCCCTGCGCAGTCTACATGAAGCGCGTGCTGCACGCCGACGCCGACAACAACGCCGCGGGCCCCGGGTGGTTCAAGATCTGGGAGCTGGACTACGATTCGTCCGACGGCAAGTGGTGTACCGAGAAACTCATCGAGAATAATGGCTTTCTCTCCGCAAAGATTCCGCAGGTGATTGAGCCCGGTCCGTACCTTGTGCGCACCGAGTTGTTGGCCCTGCATGCGGCGCAGGATGACCCCCGTGATCCGCAGTTCTATGTTGGGTGCGCGCAGGTTTTTGTCGAGGGGGTTGTCGGGAGTGGAGACAAGGTTCGGCTCACCGAGGGGAACACGGTTACCATCGACGCCTCGACGTACGACCTCAGTGTCCCAGGGTTGACATTCAACATCTACGAAACCCCCCTGGCCCTCCCGTACCCAATGTATGGCCCCGCCGTCTACACCGGCTCCGCCTCCAATTCCCGCTCTGGAACCGGCAAAGTAATGACCCAAGTCCGCGGGCTTAAACCCGCCGGCTGCATCCTGCAGCGCGACGACTGGTGCGGCTTCGAGGTCTCGGACTACACCGACCAGGACGGGTGCTGGGCGTCGTCGAAGGAATGCTGGGACCAGGCGGACGTGTGCTGGAACACGGCGCCGCCGACGGGGAACAAGAACTGCCAGCTGTGGCAGGACAAGTGCACGAATATCGATGAGAACTGCGAGGCGGGCAACTGGACGGGGCCGCCGAACAAGGGCAAGGTGCTTACGCCGGAGCTCAGTAAGGTTGCGGGGTCGATTGAGCCGCTTGCCAAGGGGGCGGCATCTTCGAGGAAGCATCGGCGGTGGGGGCATTAGATGGCTTCCATAGCCTTTGCTTCTTGGTTTGCCTCTCGCCTTTGATCATTCGTGTATCCATATCATCTATAGACAGCAACATCAATCAACTAGTTAAGCCTGCTCTATCTCTCGGTCGCGGTTGCTCCCATTCTCGTATCGTAACTACCATTCGAGGGAAGGGCAACCCAATGCACCTGCCGTTCTCAGCAAGCTGGCCATGCGTCGTTCCTTGCCTACTTTTGAGATTTCTGTAAAAGGAAGGTACGTTCCCTCTGACCTGGGTCGCATCTTTCTTAGTTTGAGGTCTCGCTGATAATGTAAAGGAAGGAGCGGACCCCCCCATCGCGCCTGACGTTTTCACCAACTCGGTCGTGGGTCGCTCTTCCCTTACCACTGCCGTTCCACATTGGAGGGTGCGCTTCCTGTCAGCTAGCCTGGATATAGAACTGGAATCCGCCTGAAACGTAGGTGTTTATCATATACCCCATATGCCCCGTCGACTGACCAGATCCATGATTAGACCTCGGATTTTCTATGTTAATGTCTCGTAGAAGTGGTTAAACGCCCTAAACCTCTGAGCCGAAAAACACGATGGATAGCATACTGTAAGAAAGTCGGCGGGATCCCCGATTTCCCAAGATGCAACCCCTCGCGAGGAACATCATTCTTCCACACCGGCATCATCGCCATCCCCGCATCTGACACCATTTCTCTCGAGTTGTCGATGACGGGCTAGAGCATGCATAGAGGAGCCTACTCATAGAATAGACATAATGACATCCCTCAAATCCGGCTACTTCCAGACCCTCACCTACCCCTCCACCACCTCAATTCTCATAAAAGATGAGATCTACGGGGAGCACCGCATCACCGAGCCTGTCCTGCTGGACCTCCTCCACTCCCCACACGTCCTGCGCCTCCGAAATATCGACCAACACGGGGTAACAGGTGTCCTAGCCCTGCTGCCCAACATAACGCGCCTTGAACACTCCATCGGCGCATTCCTCCTCGTCCGCACACAGGGCGCCACCCTCCCCGAACAAGTCGCCGCCCTGCTCCACGACATCAGCCACACGGTCTTCAGCCACGTCATCGACGGGGCGCTCTCAGCACCGGGCGAGGAGAGTTTCCACGAAGTGCACAAGGACCGATATGTCCGGGGGATGACGGATCTACCAGAGATGATCCGGCGGCATGGCCTTGACCCCGACGAGGTCCTGCGCGAGGAATTGTTCCCGCTTGTCGAGCAGCCGGCTCCGCGGCTTTGTGCGGATCGCGTGGACTATGCGCTGCGCGACACGGTTGCGTTGGGGAAGCTGAGTCTCGGCCAGGCGAAGTGGGTTTTGAGGGCTCTGCGTGCGGTTCCGGACGCGAGGCATCCGAGACGGATATTGGCTCTCGACGACGCAGACGTCGCACTAGGATTCTCACGCGCATACATCGCGGTCGATGGGGCGCTTTGGGGCAATAGCGCGCATGGCGACATGTCCCGGCGGCTGGCGGGTGTCATACGAAATGTAATCCAGCAGGGATTGATCCCGGAAGAAGCGCTATGGACGCTCTCCGACCGCGAATTCTGGGATCTGATGCGGAACGTCGCTAGCGAGGAAGATCATGGTGTTCTTGAAGGACTGGAGAGGGAAGGGATCCCTAACAACGAGGGGCTGCCCTTTGTGGCGGGCACAAAGATCCGCACTATTGATCCGGATGTTCTGGTCTCGAACTCGGATGCAGAAATCAAGCCTCTGTCGAAGGTTTTGCCGGGGTGGGCGACTGAGCGCGAGGAGTATCTTCGCGAGCGAGAGAGGATGAGGGCAACGAGTGCCGAGGGCGCAAGAAGTTCCTCATAGGGCTACGGTGAGAAAAGCCGGTTGGTGCGATGATTTGGGCGTGGAAATTGAGTATAGACAAGTGACAGGTGTCGGACAGGCTACAGAGCCATCGGGTTATCAGGATAGACATGGTTCCTGAGGCGTTAGCATTCGTACAGGTAGCCCACATACCACTTCAACGAACGATGGTTTGCGCTAAATGACACTTGCGATAGCCACATCGCTTGGCCAGATCGCGTAGCGGATGGAAAAACAGCGCTTTTCACTCCAGTGCACAAGTTGTGATGCATCGCGGTCGGCCACCATAACTCCGCAAAAAGTCATCTAACAAGCAAAGTAGATGGTGGCAAGACTCTAGCTCACCAGAGGAAGGAAGTCTAGGGTGCCTTGTGGCTTCCCAGGGGACTAACAAATGTCTTATTTTCCTCGAGGTCACCGTGAAGAATGCTTGCAGGGACCAAACGCCACTACAAAAGAGCAGCCTTGTTTCTAATAGGTTTCCTCCAAGCATTATGGTCAAGCTCGCGACATGTCTACGGCAAGAGGTGGCCCTCTTGGGACAGCTTTACAGCACCAAGGTCAGTGGTGTTCTGGTTGATTTCCACGATGTAAAGCAAGAACTTGTGAATCCCTACTTCCAGTTAGTTTCGCTGTTTCTGGGATAGCCACTTCTATGCCCATATTATTATTACCACCCGCCAGCCCCTTGGAGTATACAAAAATTACCCTTTATTAACTCCTAGTCAATAAAATAGTCTGGTATTATTCACCTTCTAATCCTAAGCGCTACACAGAGCATATAAATTCTGCCATCAAGCGCTAGCATTCCGCCTGATACCGTGAGCTCTTCTTTCTAGGCTTTCGCGTAACGGGCAGTACAGGAAACTGCTCCGCCAATTCAAGCACGTGCGTACGACTAAATAAAATAATCTCAGCGAGTCCAGTGTGCCCGGGTCAATGTGCGCGCATGCACGCCGCAAGCGCTGGATAATAGGAAGGTCTAGCTGAAACCCCAATGCAGCGTCAACTGCACTCATTTCCTTGACAGTCATCAGGGTCAACGCCGCGGTCAAGGAGGAGGTCAATAATGGCGCTTTGATAGGACCGCACCGCCGCGACAAAGGCCTCCTCCTCGTTAAAACCATGATCAAGAAATAGTTTGAAGATCTCAAGACTAGTGTCCCCTTCAGCATGCTCCACCGCAAACGCAAGCATGTTGCATTCATAGCTATAGTGAGGATCCTGGCCGTGCTTGTCATGATGGATTGACAGGAAGAGTCGGACAATATCGGGCTTGCTCTCGATAATGGCAGTTTGGAAACCTCTGTGGAAGTCGGGTCCATCGTCATGGTGCTCTAGTAGCGCCCTGACCACCTGCTCATGGCCATGTCTGATAGCCATATTGAACGCCGTCGGCCCATCCCACGAGAATCCCACCTGGCAGTGGACGTCCGCCCCGCGGGAGAGCAGGAACTGCACCATCTCCACATGGCCGTATCGAGCCGCTGCAATTAGGCTGTCTGCCCGCGCTTCTTCTCTCCCCAGGGGTTATCAACATCTCGCGGCGAGGCGGTCTTTGCAAACTGTTGATAGTTGATGTCGGCGCCTCGTAATAAAAGGTAGATGACGAGGCCGATGTCGCCGGAGGCTGCTGCGCCAGGCAAACATACATTAACCGCATCAAGCTCATTAGGTGTTTTTTGATAAGAGGTAGTCAACCACCTCCCTGTGTCGATTGAATGCAGCCTCTTGAACTGGATTTACCCGTTCGCCCCAGAAGTGGGGATGTATTAGTGTGTCCTTCCAGCCAGGTTGATAAAGTAAGTCCTTTATAACTGAGAGGAATCCGTTACTTGAGGCAAAGTGTAGGGCTGTCTTGTGATCTTTGTCTTCATATTCCGAACTGGTATTGTACTTCAAATCCTTTTTCTGTAACCTCTGTACTGCGGATAGAGAGCCGTGTGCTGCTGCTTGTAGGATACATTTACCATGCATATTCTTGATGTTCCACTGGTATAGCAAAGGGACCACAAGGTAGCATAGTCGTCGATTGACGTGAGCTAAGGCGTGTAAATCATTCTGATCTTCCAAATGTTCTGAAATAATAACAATCAGTTCATTGGAGATGTTAAGCAGGGATATTCCGATTCACTGGTCGTTGCAAAAGGTTGGGGTACTGATGGAGAATCGGAAATGTTGGAGTCAAAATCGCGGAGTTTCCCTCTCTTCGCGTAAAAGTGCCAACTACAGTGGGTGATCACCTGATGCCCAGGACTCCTGTCGGAGCTGCCTGAGGCACCCGCTGTGACAATATTACCTAGATGGCTAAGTATTAGACTCCTAAAAGCCCTATAGAAATAACTACCAGCAGCTTACGCCGCTCGGACGCCGCATTCAAGCGGAGTTCGAATGAGACACATGCGGGGATCCAAGCGGCGGCCGTCGGGTGGCGGGGATTCCGCTTGGTGGGACGCGGCATAATCACGAGCATGGGGGTGAGAATAATCATGATGATGCGTATGGATATGGGTATGATGCTTAGAGCGGGTGTAATAGTTCGCAGCGCGGGATTTGGCAGACGAGGGAGGTTATTGTGGAGAGTTTTCAGGAGACGAAACACAGCGAAATAACGGCGGGGAGCGGGAGGGGATATTGTTCCGGCAATCTGAGGTGATACATGCAATTGTAAAGAAGGAAGTACCGCTAAATACTATATTTTGAGTTACGTCTTCTATCAACGATTGTTGTCTCAGATGATCTTTCTTAGCTCATGCTGCCAGGTGGGGCGTAGTCGCGCCCTGTCGGGGATCCTCCGACGCTCACCTATTTAACCGTGTTCCCCGCACAAAAAACATCAGTCATCGACAACTGTCAACGCAGGAACAGGTACAATGGCTGAGCCGATTGATGTCCTTCTCTACGGGCTCGGAGCGTACGCTTTTCTTACCCGAATTATGTGTATATGTACTGACAAACGCAGCATCGGCTCCTTCTACGCCTTCATCCTGCACCGCGCCGACCGCGTCCGGTTGACCGTTGTCGCGCGCTCGAATTACGATGCGGTTGTGAAGAATGTACGCCCATCGAAGCCCTCTATGATATGGCACACCGTGAAAGAGAAGAATGGGGCTAAGAGAATAGGGCATCCAAATCACAAGCATGAATCACGGACAGCATACTTTTCGTCCGGATCGAGGTACGCACCATACGTCCAACCTCATCCTTGACAAACCAGAAAGAAAAGACAGCACCGATCTAACAGGAATGAAAAGTAATCCGCGACCCGGCCGAAGCATCCAGCACAAACTTCGCCTTTGTCGTCTGCACACACAAGGCCGTCGACCCCGAAGGCGCAATCGTCCCGCTGGACCCGGTCATCAGCCAAGACACGACGATCGTCGTGCTGCAGAATGGAGTCGGCAATGAGGATCCCTTCAGAAAGAGGTTTCCGGATCAGACGGTTGTTTCGGGGGTTGTACGTTGGCTCCTCCCACCCCACCCTGCGTCCCATAAACGATATCTACGTTTGGAGAGGTTACAGAACTGATAGACAGAGGACAGGTCTGGGTCGGCGCCGCGCAACCCTCGCCCGGCGTAATAACGCACACGACCTCCGAACGAACCCAACTCGGCCTCTTCCCCAACCCGCGCCTCGAAACAGCCCTCGAAGAATCCCGGCTGCGCCAATTCACAACGCTCTTCACCTCCGGCGGAACACACTACGACGTCGTCCCGAACATCCAGCTCTGCCGGTGGGAAAAGGTCGTGTGGAACGTTGCCTGGAACGCCATCACCGCCTTGACGGACCAGGACGTCGAGTCCTGGCTGTCTTCCTCCCCCGACGCCGTGCCGTATACGAGAAAACTCATGGGCGAGGTGATTGTGGTGGGGCGCGCATGTGGGGTTCCGCTCGACGAGGGGCTCGTTGATGTGCTTATGGAGCGTGTAAAGGGGCTTGGGAAGTTGAGGACGAGTATGCAGGCGGATCGCGAGGCGGGGAGGGGGATGGAGGTCGAGGTTATTCTGGGTGTGCCGGTGAAGAGGGGGAGGGAGTTGGGTGTTGCGACGCCGTGTTTGGAGGGGTTGTATGTGCTGCTTACGGCGGTTAATAAGAAGATCCTCAATCCGGAGAGGTAGAAAGAGGATTTGACGCGGTGGTACGGTTGTCTGTAGAGGTATAGATGGACGATACTAGTATGACCGGACAGTTCGAGTCAAAACCAGAAGCAGCCTGAAGACCATTTTACCACAGTCAACAACAGCTGAACATAAGGAAGGTGCAAGTGGGGTTAGAGGGAGCATACATTCCGTCTCTATATAGGAATCCAAGTCGTGGTAGGAAACGAGCAACCCAGCCTGACCATTAGGGGTGTACCTTCCTTGTGTGAAACCTGCGAGGTCGAGGAAGGTGCGATCCCATGGCAAATTTGGCTAATCTGGAAAGATACCCTGGGGTTCACAGTTGCTCTTTCCTCTGGCAGTAGTCCTGCTGTAAGAGGAAGGAGCAACCCTGTCTTAAGAGATCCGTACCTTCCTAACTGGATAGCCACGAAGAAAGAAAAGAGCGACTCTGGTAATTCATGTCGAATATGACGGTAGTCCGGGGTTCGCTCTTCTGCGGCGTGCATCATTAGGGCCCTTGATTGCACGTAAAGGTTAAAGGAAAGGAGCGAACAAGCCATGTCAGTACTCGGCAGTATTTGAGAGAAGAATAATCAGACAAGGCTGCAAGCACAGTTTCCCTTCCTGCGTAGACGTGCTTTGATAGGGTATCATGGAGATTAGTTAGCATTCAACTGCATGGTGGTGGTTTCAAGCTGCCCAATAGGGAGATTGCATTCCTTCATTCCAACAGAACCTCTAATGCTGGACATGGATGATTGGTTCCTGCCCTGGGACGCGATGTCTTGAATGCACGCTGCCTGCGCCGCACACGTAGCCCACCTCGTAGCTGAGATTATGCCTCCTTCGGCGTACTTATAAGAGCCACGGCCTAGCTCTCTCATGCTATCCTATTTTGTAACCTGACCGCTATCGCGACGCCCAAGGCAGAGCCGAACAACACAGTCAGGATGAGTGAGCCCACCGAGCCTTCACAGTCAACCAACGAGACGCGACCAGGCTCAACTCCAGCCCCCAACCCTGATGTAGCCACGGACGCCGACAGAAACTGCCGAAGGGAGAAGAAGAGACTTGCTCGGCGGCGAAGAGAAGAAGCAAGCTTCATACTAAGCAGCTTGGAAGATACCGACGACGATGAAAAGCAAGTTATGTACCTGCAAGAGGTGCCGCGAGTAAAAGCCAGCCACTGCCGGGCGTGGGACTGCGCAATCAAAAAGGTAGCGCGCGAGCCGATCATTCGGTACCATTATCGCTTTGCACGGAAGGGTGGGAGGAATCTGTATGGTGGGGGTATGTCTACCTTTTTCTTTTCTTCCTCCGCCAATGTGTCGGTTTACTAGTGTTTATATGAAGGACCAAGACTTTATTCTAACTGCCCACCGGTTCTCACCGCAGAGCTTGTCGAGTACTACCACATCAGCTGCATCGAGCGCATCATCCCCAACCTCGCAGACCTCGTCGTAAACGGGCACCTAAAGCTCGACGGATGGGTTTGCGCGCCCCCCCAATACGAAAGTGTCGATCGAATCCTCTACAGACGCCATCAAGGACTGGTTCAAATACGGCGGGCGGACGTTCGACATCGACTGCTACGAGAGGTTCAAAAGCGACCACAAGGAGTGGCAGAGGGAGACTAGTGTTCGCAACATCCAGCATCAGCTCGCGCATACGGAGAAGCTTGATGGTGATTGTTGGTACTGTGAGGGTGGGCCGGCGGCGCCCGCTGAGCCAGCGAGAAGCGATTATTTCCCTACGGAGCCGACTGCAATTCAGCTCAGTCGGTTGTTGGCGGTTGCTAGTGACCAGCCGCATATTGATCGGTGGTGGCGCTGGCGATGGGAGGAGAGAACAGAGGCGTAAGTACCCTGGAAATGCGAACCACCATGCACTAGAGATGATACTTGAAACTCGAGTGCTAGAGAGATGGGTGTGGACACAGTTATCGAGGTAAAGTCTGATAGTTCAAGCACCGACGAAACGTCTTAGTTTTCAATGCTATTCGCAATCATAAGCTCTGATCTACCACTCAATCATACAACCTTCAACCGAGGCTTCATATACTCCACAATCCCCTCGCCCAACCGCATCAACTCCTCATCCCTCCCCGCTTGCCCAATAAGCGTAATCCCAAACGGCATCATGTTCCCTTTTGCATTCCTCCACTTGCCCACCGGCACCGCAACCGCACAGAGATCCAGCAGGTTCACGAAATGCGTAAAGCTCCCCATCAGCTTATTCCGCTGGATGGGATCCTCGTCGATCTCTGCAACAGTGAAGTGTGTCACTGTCGACGGGACAATGAGCACGTCGATGTTCTCGAGAAATTGCTTCTCTGCTTGGCGCTTGTACAGGGCGAGATCGAAAATGTCCTTGTAGGCGCGCACGGCGTCGAAGCCTGATGAGGACTCGAAGATTGTTTTGATGACTGGATGCAGTTTGTCGAGGCCGTGGGTCTGGATGTACTCGTCAAAGGCGACGAGGCGCTGCGCGACGATCGAGCTCCCGTAGAGCATGTTGTTTGCCGATTGGAAAGGGGTGTAGTCGAAGTCGGTTTTTTGCAGCTGCACTGCAACCTCTTTGCCGGAGCTGCACAGTGCACCGACAAACTGCTCAAATAACGCCCTGTACGGCTTTGAAAGAACATCCAACAGCTCCTCCGGCGGAACCCCAAACCTCACCACATCCCCAAAAGCAGGCAGAACAGGAACTTCCCTCCGCGCAAAAACATCCCCCTCATCAAACCCCCTCATAGCCCTCCACGCAACCCTCGCATCCTGCACACTCCCCGCAAGCACCGTAATACAATCCGCCGTCTTACACGCCGGCACAAGCCCGACCGTCGAAACCGTCCCGAGCGTCGGCTTCAACCCCACAAGCCCATTCAACGCCGCCGGCACGCGCGTACTCCCCGCCGTATCCGTCGCAATGGCAAACGAGACGAGGCCCGCGGCGACACCCACCGCGGACCCAGACGAGCTCCCGCCGGAGATGTATTCGGAATCAAAGACGCAGCGCGGCGTGCCGTATGCGGAGCGGTGGCCGACGAGGCCGGTGGCGAACTGGTCGAGGTTTGCTTTTCCGATGAGGATGGCGCCTGCGGCGAGGACTTTGGATACGACGGGGGCCGTTTCGGTGGGTGTGTATGCGAAAGAGGGGCAGGCGAGGGTTGTCGGGATGTTGGCGATGTCGATGGAGTCTTTTACGGAAAAGGGGATGCCGTAGAGGGGTGGCAGGGGGGAGGTCGTGTGGGCGTATTGCTTTGTCAGGGTCGTTGCAGCTGACAGGGCTTCGTCGCGCGGGATGAGGTGGATCCAGACGGCTTTGTCGGGGTAGGATTCGATGCGGTCGTAGATGTGGTTTATGAGGTCGGTGGGTGTGACTTTTTTGGTTGTGTATAAGTCGTGGAGGGTGGTGATGTCGAGGGTTGGCTCGAGGGAGCCTTCTAGTGAGCCCATTGTGACGGATATATGGAAAGATAGTTGGGTTGGAACGATTAAGGTGACTGTTTTAAAGATTACTTTCAAGAGACACGAACAAAGGCAAGAAATACCACGAACCATTTAACAAGCTGGGCAAGCCATGTGGTTCCCCACATTCGAGTTGGAGACGCAGGCACGCCTGATAAGAACCACGCCGCGGCCAAATGGCCCCTGGATCTATGACTCGAAATCCTTATCTGCTATCCTCTATCGGGACAGGAACAGCATGCTAAGTGATCTTATCGGTCCCTGTCCTTGACCTACTATTCCGCGGTCAGAATACGTACTGCAGACGTTCAAGTACTCATGCTGTGCATGTTTAAGCGTTGCTGAGTCGGAGACAATAATTCCAAAGCGAAGCACTATGCGAAGCTTGGAGAACCGAGTAAGAAGTGATTTGATAGTGTTGAGTTTACTGTTCTCGTAGCGATAGAGATGGTAATGATATAGATGATAATTTAGTGTTTGAAGTGGCTCATGAAGAAGTACTCGCGGAAATTGCCAGAGGGCCAGTGTCGTTTCTCAGCCATAACGTCTTGCACATGGTGGCATTTGATCATTTAAGCTCGAATTCATACGGAATAAACAATAGCCAAACTGCCACCCCCCGGCGGCCCTTGCCCCTCCCCTCCACCACTAACATACACAGCCGAATCTCCCACCAGCCCAGCCACAAGTCCTCCAACAGCCGCTCTCGCATGCCGCGTACTGTGGATATCACTGTCCGTGCTCATCGTATGCCGCAGTCCTCGAATCGACCCGCTGGGATCAGCCTCCGCCTTGACGAAAACTTGCACAACCTTGCCATGCTCTGCTTTAATCTTGTCGAGCATTTCCAGAAGGACCCCCGCGTCAATCGCATCCTTCATGTAGCCTGACGTTGCGCGGAGTCGGCCGTTTTCCACCTGTGGATCAGCAGCGAGGACCATGATGTGGCAGTTTTTCAGCTCTGCGCCGGAGCTACAGCTCGCTCGGGAGCTCCAAACGGGCTCGTTCTCTGCGTGCAGTGCAACGGCGACCTTGTCCGGTGTGATTTCACCTAGGGCAAGGGCAATCCCCACTGCGCTCGCATACCGCGAAACCGCCATGGATTCATACGTATCCGTCGTGAGAGGCGTCTGTCCCGCCGCACGAATCTGCTCGATATCCATCGACGTGAGCAGTGGGCACTTGATGAGAACTAAATGCACAGCACTCTTCCGAATCCCCGCCTCAGAAACCATCTTCTCAATCACACCCGCCACCTCGCGACTCTGCACCTCCGTCCCAACCTCGTTTGGCGCAAAATCCCTCGTCTGCCCCGAGCACGCAACAAGACCCGTCCGTTTCGTCGACCGAACGAGGAACGTAACATGTGGCGAGAGGACACCCTCCGTACCCCCGGAGAAGACAGTCACAGCGGACGAGGGGATTTTGGCCTCCCATACGTGCGAGCTGAGTGTGCGCGAGAAATCGTTGACGCAGCCGTTTCCTTCTGTTTTGCCAATTACAGCGACGACGTTGGATGCATCGTAGCCTTCTTTCTCGAGAAGCGAGAGCGGTGTTGTGTCTGCGGGGGAGGTGGTCGTGTACTTGCAGATGTCGACTGCGGCCATTGTTGTCGATCTGATCTTTGAACTCTCTCGACGCAACAGCTGTTACCGTTGGCAAATTTGCTGTTTATGCCAATCCTTGAGCATTATCCTTACCTGATAGCATTTATCCCGGATCTGATAAGCGATAAGATAACAGTCATAGCGATTGGTGGGTTGGAGTCGTGGCTGAGTTGGAGTAATCAGACCAGATTTCGCCGCGGGCCGCGGCGAGCGGCGAAATCGCTTGGTTCGCCAAATGAGTATAAGGCTGAGCTTATCGCTGGTGATATCAGATATCGAGGTACAGGATCGATAGCGAGTCAGCACTCCGTAGGTCCGGTACCGTAGATTGACCCAGAAAACACCAAGAACATGAATGAAGATGAGAGTATATATAGCTTCCTCTCCACCTCCCACGTGGAGTTTTAGGTAGTATTGCAGTAATCGAGTAAACATGCTGAAACTACGTCAAAGGATAACGGTTCATCCACCCCACTCTCAATGCCTCCCGGAAAACAGCTTCGTCAACGCCGACATGGACCCCGTCCCGTTCAAGGACCGGACCTGGGCCTGGTACGACGTGGGCGGGTTCTGGATCTCAGAGGGATTCCAGATTCCCATCCTGCAGATGGCTGGCTCACTCATTGCGAACGGGCTTAGTCCGGGAATGGCCATGGGAGCTGTCGTGGTGGGCAACGTCCTGGTCATGGTCCCCTGTGCCCTAAACGGTTACGCTGGAGCAGCAACTGGGGTCAACTTTCCCGTCATCAGTCGCGCCAGTTGGGGACTACACGGGGCAAAACTCGCCGTTGCGATCCGAGCCATAGTTGCTGTGTTTTGGTACGGGATACAGATATCCACCGGGTAGACCTCCCCCATGCATTCCTCATACTCTAACTGATAATCGTACAGAGGAAGTTGCGTCTACCGAATGCTCGCAGCCATCTGGCCCTCGCTCCCCCGGCGCATCCCCAACCACCTCCCCGCATCATCCAACACCACCTCCGCCGACCTCCTCTGCTTCTTCATCTTCTGGCTCCTCACTCTCCCCTTCCTCGCAATCCCCGTCTCCCGCCTCCGCTGGCTCTTCCGCGCAAAGCTCCTCCTCATGCCCATCACCGGCCTCGTCCTCTTCATCTGGGCCCTCGTCCGCGCCCACGGCTTCGGACCCATCTTCAACCAGCCCTCAACTCCAAAACAAGGCTACAGCACCGCCTTCCTCTTCTTCTCCGCGATAACATCCACCCTAGGCCCACAGGCCACCTTTGCCCTGAATATGGGCGACTTCTGCCGATACTCCAAGAACCCACGATACACGCTCTACGCCCAAGCGCTCATGATGCCGCTATGCCTAACCTTAACCGCCTTCCTCGGCGTCGTCCTGGCCTCCTCCTCAACAACCATCTTCGCGCTACAAGAACCAGAATGGGACCCGCTCTCCCTACTCGGCCACTTCTCCTCGCGCGCCGCGCAGTTTTTCGTTGCACTCCTCTTCGCCTTCGCAACCCTCTGCACAAACATCGCAGGCAACTCGGTCGCCTTTGGCAACGACCTCGCCTCCCTCTTCCCGCGCCACATCAACATCCGCCGCGGGCAGTTCCTATGCGCGATTCTCGGCGTCGCAGTCACCCCGTGGAACATCCTCAACTCCGCGACGAACCTGCTCAACTTTCTAAACGGGTACGCTGTCTTTCTCGGCCCGCTGTGCGGGATTCTTTTTGCGGATTACTGGATTCTGCGCCGCAGGCGGATCCGTCTTGGGCAGTTGTATCAGCCGCGTGGAGTGTATTGGTATACCCGTGGCTGGAACCTGCGCGCAGTAGGTTCGTTTTTCCTTGCGCTTGTGCCGAATCTGCCGGGGCTCGCGAAGTCGGTTACGCCTGGGATCACGGGGGTGCCGAGGGGATTTGAGGATGTTTATACGATGAGTTGGGTTGTGGGGTTGGTGATCGCCGGGGCTTTGTATCTGGGGAGCAGTTACTTGTTTCCTGGTCCTGAGAATGCTAGCGCTGGTGAGGAGGAGACTGATCTCGCGAGGGAGTGGTTGTATTCGTCCGGAGATGGCGTTGAGGAGGAGCGGATTCAGGCCAAGTCGGAGGGGGTGGAGTATATCTAGAGTGGCTGATTCGTTGTGGGTGAAGCTGTTGATCAAGATATTAAGACTTCGCAGGCCATCTTTCTCTGGGAGCTATTAATCCTGTGTATTTCTACTGAATGCTCACTGCAGTGTAAAGCTAGGCACACAGTCCGCTCAGATCATCATCGAAATCCAGCTCTGTTTGCAAGACCAGATGCATCGCCCTACAACGTAATATAGGACTTCTTTATGGTGTTTTCTTGTATACCGCTCGAACCATTCGATTACCCTTGAACAACTACGTCAGATCCTTGTCAGTGGAGTAGATGTAAGGCGCAGCAATTTCACCAGTTAGCAAGCCCTAACACTGATAACCTTGTAATAGTCCAACGACTACGACGGTTTCTGCAAGTACACGGTACTTCACCTAGAATAAGTGGTTAGATTGGCACTAATATGTGAAGATCCAGGCTTTACAAGCTTTTTTTGGAGATATCTGCTGGATCAACAATACTACGAACAATTCGCCGTCTCTCTGAAATGATTTTCTCACTCCCAATCTGCAAACCTCCGACTGACTCGTGCACAAATCTAACCAGGGCAGGATCTGCAGCTGGAATGGGAATTTGAGCCCCATCGCGGGCGCTAGCGGCACACAGCCAGCACCCAAGTTCTCTACAGGCACTGTACTTGTCGGGCTTCGAGATGCACATGCGGGCGAGCGGTCGCCAAGTCGGGCTCTTCGTGTACAGTCCATACACTTGGTGGACACTGCCTGCGAATGTGGAAGTTCAGCTCCGAAGCGAAAGGGATATAAAGAAGAGGAGAATTCCCACAAACACCGCCCACCATCCAAATACAACACTACTACAAAAATCCATCCTTTACTGCAAACCATCCTACCCCGGAAACCCACCATGCTCGCCAAATCCACCCTCACCGGTGCCGGCGCCACCCTCCTCCTCCTTCTCCTCTCCTCCCTCCCCTCCGCCCACGCCGGCCGAGCCAGCCTGACCCTCTACGCGGGCAACAGCTGCTCCGACACCGAAGTCACCGAGCTCCAGCCCACGCTGTCCGGCGACGGCGGCTGCGGCAGCCCAATTACCGTGACGAGGTTCCAGAGCGCGCGGCTGAACTGGTCGTCAGGTCTGTCGGCCGTCGCGCTCTGCGCGCAGGGGTACTCTTGTGAGGATGGCTCGTTGAATCTCATTCCGTACACGGGCGAGTGTGTGAAGAGTTATGGGACGTTTGATAAGGTGAAGCTTTGTATTAGCTGAGTGGGGAGCTGGAGGTGAGTTGGGCTGTTTTTTTTTTTTTCTTCTTTTTTGAGTGTGTTTTGTTTCGTGGTGTGAATTAGGCTAACGTGGAGTTGCAGTGTTGTATTGGAGTCAATGGCAAATGGTTCTCAATGACAGGGACGAGGTCGATGAGGAAACTGGGCGATGTATATAGTCTGCATCTGAAGGCGTGGGGGGCTTTTAATCTCATTGAATTCTGAATAGAAGATCATTTGGGCATTCTAAATGAGAATATGTAACTGATATCGCATCATATATGCAAGGGGGGTTGGTTAGTTATTCAGCACTCCTTCCTTTCCTGACCAAGTGAGTGCAAGAGACCGGAGCAACCAACCGATATACATCTAGTTCCTTCCTATTTCGTACCGTGAAGATGCACCTTCCCCGGGTCTCAACTTGGTATAGCTGGAAGGAGCAGCCGGCTCAATGTTCCTTCCTGTTCAGAATAGGAAGGTGCGTCCCTTCAGGGTCCGCGGTCGCTCCTTCCCTGTATGAGCCAAAACAGAGGACACGGAAGGAACGATCAAGCGCACTCGCTCCTTCCTATCCTGTTTTTGGAAAGTACACCATCTCTGTCCCTGGTCGCTCCTTCCTCACCAATTGAATATTACAAAATGAACGCGCAACCAGCACATATTCCCCGGCTACAATAAGGAAGGTACTCTCTTAATCTCGGCGCTATACTTCCCTTGTGTCCCTTCTAATCGATGTAAGGAAATATGCCCAGGATTCGCTTCGCTCTTGATTGTTCTGTCCCTGTTTAGGAAAAGCCATGTCGTAAGTTGCAGCGCCTGCAATATAAAGCGCGTGCAAGATGAAGTTGCAGCCACCCCCTCCATGTTAACTGAGTATCCAGTATACAAGTCACCTTTCATCTGGCTTGCGCTTTGTTCTCGAGAAAATACTGATACTGACTGGCTTACCTCCACGTGATCTGCGGGGAATGTGGTGTGACACGTCCATTGACAGAGCCTAAAACCAAGATACCTCCCCCGCTCGTCCATCGCTTTGCAATCTCATCTTGAATCGAACCACTTTCTGCACGTCTGGAAAGGAGGTGTGGGTTGGTCGACAACACCCAGTCATAATCGAACGATATTACCAGCGCGAATCGATGGACCCCAAAACATTGAACAAGTTGAAACAAGCACGCAGCCGCCGGAAGGCGAGCAAAAGGCCCAATACCAACCGCACCAGAACGAGAGACCACAAATGGGGCCTCGTACTGAAGAAGGCAGATGGCACAGGGGGAGGCAGCTCGCTCCCAGCAGGAGCAGCAGACGAACCGCCTATCATCCCGAGCTTCCCACTTGAAGGCCGACGGCTCGACGTTCACCAGCTCGCAGCGAGAACCCGTAGTCAGAATTCGTGGCTGAAGGACTACGAGTATGACCTCTCGCAGCTGAAATCCGTCCAGCGTACCTGGCAAATCCAGCTGACAAGTTTCCCGGATATCGGATTCGCGTTCCGGATCTATCTTCTTTGGGACTACGATCGGCTATGGGGTGTCTTCAACTTGGGCCACACAGAGGGTGCAATGCTCATTGACCCGGGCTTCAGGCTCTCATCGGCAGACGACGATCCGCAGCAACTATCGTTCACCTGGCGCGGAGTCCGCGTCAACGATCCGGGAACTTCCATCCACGACCCATCAATCGCAAAGGGCAAGATCTGGATGAATCCATGCCACCAGAAGCTCGTTGGATATTTTGACCATATCGCGGGGAATGGGATGGCCGGCGGAGACCGTTGCCACTTTCGCGGGAAGCCCGTTTTCGGGCCGCCGGTCGTGCCGTATTCGCTAGACGACGTTTTAACTGATTGGGACGAGTATGGCCCACCTGGCGAGGTGGCGGACATCCGTCAAGACCTGCCCATGGATGAATTGGAAGCGGAGTTGCGTAGACGCGATAGGAAGCATCCCAGGTCTGCGGTGCCGAGCTTCCAGAGGGGGACGACGACGGTCACTTGCTTTTCTAGTAGCTCCTAGGCGCATGGAACATTTCGAAACGGCGAGCAAAATGTATGCGATGGAATGACAACTGTAGCTACAGCTCAGGCCCTAGGTAGTATGAGGCCCGACTAGCTTCGTTCAAGCATAATCCGTCTACCCTGGCGAGTTTTCCATCGAGTCTGCACCGCAGCCACCCGTAAGCTCTGCAACTAGTCAGAAGACTATTGGCAGCTGATATGATTTGTTACAAGAGACTCATCGCCATCAGACGAGATGTGCGCATAGATGACTCAGCGGCATAATGGCCTCGTATGCATGGAAAGATAAGGCGCGGCTTGGCCAATCGCCGAGCTCGGGAGCGCGTGACAACGACATCACTTTGGACGAAACACGACCGCTTCAATTCTTCAACTTTTCTCATCATATCAGCCGCTGGGCTGAAAGGTCTGCCGGATTGGCGCAATAACTCTAGAGCACTACCCCGCGCTTGGTTGGAATGGCGGTGTCGATGCGACGCAATGCAAACATCCAAGCGCTCACGGCCCTGTGGGAACTGCCGCCAGCGCAAGCGCCGCTGCGTCGTTGAACCGGGGCAGACTATATGTGTTTTATGCCGACTATACGGCACCGATGGGTGCACATTTGATGGGCCGCCGCCGGAGCGCCCGGCGAAGCAGCAAAAGACCAACTCGCCCAACACCTCGTCTGAGGCTGCGGTTCCGGCCCGGGTACCGGAACAACGAAATACAGCATCCGACCGGCCGAAACCTTCTGAGCAGTCGATCCGTACAGTGGATGTGATTGAAGACTACGATACACTGCAGGGCCCGACGTTGCTTAAAAACAACCTTGGCCTGCAGCAGCACCAGTTCTCGAGATACAACGGGCTCTCCGGCCCGTGGACGCCGTTCCACTTGGACTACTGCCAGTTTGACGGCCGGGACGAGTATACGTTTCCGTCTGGTAGTAGTATCCGGAGAGTCTCTGCGAATACCAGCTTCTCGCTGAAGAAGTACTCTGGTACGCAGGTTCGCTCCGAGGAGATTGGGCTCCTGGACCAGATTGAGCGGGTCGTTGCGCCGCATGGGCCGCGCTTGGTTAATCTATACTTTCGCATTATACATCCGTCGTTTCCGGTACTCGATAAAAGGTACGTCCCTTTAAATTCCCTCGTCGGGGCTATGCTAATCGTGATCAGAGTATTCCTGGAGAAATACGAGCGCACCCATCGCGAGTTTTCTCCCGCCTGCCTCGGAGGCGTGTATCTCCTGGCGCTGGACTGGTGGAACTGGGATCCCTTCTTATCGGCGCAAGAGCGCCCGAATATGAATCTGCTCGAAACCTACGTTCGCAAAGGCCTGCACGATGTCATGTCGCGGCCAAAATTGTCCGCTTTGCAAGGCGGTATGCTCCTCTTACAGCACCGCCCGTTTGGCGATGATACATGGGCGCTGAGCGCGCAGCTTGTTGCGACTATGCAGGAGCTCGGCGTGCACATTGACTGCGACAGCTGGAGGATCCCGGCGTGGGAGAAGAGTTTGCGCAAGAGGTTGGCGTGGAGTATCTATATTGTGGATAAGTGGTAAGTGGTTCGCCAACTACCCCTTTTCTTGCACAATGGCCACTGACAAGTCAGGATGGCGCTCATCCACGGCCGACCTTCGCATATAGTGGATGAGCTGGACTGGGCGGTTGAACCGTTGACAGAAGACGACTTTCCAGAAACACCGGACGACGAGGACCAGGAGGAGGGCAGCGGCGAAATCGAGGCCGGACGGCTGTCTTTCCAGATGCTCATATCTCTCAGCGAAATCGTTAATGAGATCTTACGGGCGTTCTAGTAAGCCTCCTTGTCCCTTTCCCTTCTTGCTTCAAATAGTCCTGACCTACCAGCTCGGCGCGAGCCATGAAATCAACGCGAAAAGTGAGGAACTTGCTGCAAATAGCAAAGCCCATTCAGATCCGACTACGAGAATGGCGCCGCGACCTACCAACATCTCTGAACCTCGAATCCGCCAAGGCGAGGAAAAAGTCACCCATCGGATCCTTACACCTAGCATATTACGCAGTCGAGATCTCTCTCCACAAAGCAATAATTCTCGGCCTCCAGGGCTCCTCCTGTGACCCAGCAATCGTCAGTGTCTGTCGCGAAGCCGCGCGCGAACGAGCCGTCACGTCTATTGAATTCGTCAAGGGCCTAACCCCCGAGCAGATCCAGTCATTCTGGCACTTCTGTACGTGTCCTCAACCTACCCACCCCTCAACCTTACCTAGAAGACTGTACCAATTAACAAAGCAGCCTCCGCAATGAACCTCGTCTACATCGGCATCTTCACAGCCCTCCTCTACCTAACGTCACAAACAATCGAAGAAACGCAATCCTACAAAAAACACCTTGAAGAATACCGCTGGACGCTGCGCGTCATGTCCCGCGCCGCAAACTTTGTCGACTTTGCCGTCCGCCGCCTCGACATGTCCCTCCTCCACTTGGACCGGCTTTCAATCCACGACATCGTGCGGAACAACCACCAAAACGCCGTCGTCGAGAACGAGTCGCGCTCTCAGCTCGCTGCACATCCAACATCTACCTCCTCTGCTACCGCCGCCGCCGCCGCTGCGGCTATATCAGTGCCGAATTTCATGGTCGATCTAGACGGGTGGCACCCGCCGCCACCGTCAACCGATAATAATCTTTCAAACATGCCAATCCCCACGTCCACGCCCGACGACGCGGGTTTCGAGCACCAGCGGTTCATGGCAATCCTGGATGCAGTTGAGGCCGAGAGCCTCTGGTCCGATCAGCATATTTCACCCGTGGATATGGGGAATGCCGGGAGGCTGGACTTTTACGGGAGGGACTGGAATGATCTGGATCAGAGCGAGGTGTATCCGGCGTTGGATCCGTCCCCGTCGTAACCGCTGTGGTACCATCTAGTACTATATATATATATATGTCAGCTCTCTCCGTGTTTATATTAGATGATACCATTGATTCAGCTCGCTCGGACGTACTATATGGGGCCATTCCTTCATACGGTAGTGGCGGTTCAGTTCTAAATACATAGAACGCATACCAGCGGCCGCTAATCTCGAAGAATGGGGCCATTCTCAAATGGCGACAATGCCTCATAATTACAAACTCACAATGACCGCTGACTACCCTATCTACAGGCCCGCCAACATATTACCCCAGAAAGCCGACTCAAGGGAGCGATAGGTGGGGAGCAAAAGAGGGGGATGCAAGAGGAGCACACGCTAGTCTCATGGGGCTCCAATCAGCCGGGGAGAAAGAGGGACAGAGATGAGGCCAAAGTGGAGGAGCACGAGAGTCTTGAAGAGGAGCGCACGCTAGTTCCCGGTCCGGGGTCGGTCCGGCCATCGACCATCGGCTCCAAAATACGGCAACTGGGGGAGGATTGTTGTATAAAATGACCTCGGCCTCCCAATCCAAATAATGCAAGCAACTCAACGCCAAAATGTCCAAAAAGGTGTATCAATCACCCTTTCCCGACCTCGAGATCGAAGCAGTCGATCTTGTCTCAAAGGTCTTTTCGAACCCGTTCAACGCACCCCTGTCGCGGCCCTTATACATCGACGCCGTCACCGGCGAGCAGTACACCTACGGCCATGTCATTACGCGAACGCAGTCCCTGGCGCACGGCCTGCAGAGGGAGTTCAGTCTCAAGGCAGACGACGTCGTTGCCCTCTTCAGCCCCAATACAATTGAATACCCCATCGCCTGCCATGCCATCATTGGATCCCAGGCTATCGTCGCTCCGACCAGCGCTGCCCTCACGTCGTCCGAGCTGCACGCCCAGCTAAAGACCAGCTCTGCGCGATTCATCATCGTCCACACATCGCTCCTTTCCACTGCGCAGGCAGCGGCAAAGGGGACCTCTGTTGAAAAAGTCATTGTCCTCAACGGACAATCACCCACCCAACCAACCTGCCAGCAACTCGCAAGCACCTACCCTGCCACCCCCCTGCGCGAGATCCCACCCCGCGAAGCACCCCTTCGCACCGCATTCATCTGCTTCTCCTCAGGCACATCCGGCCCGGCAAAGGGCGTGATAACCACCCACCAAAATATCACAGCAAACCTGCAACAGTGGCGCGCACAACTCCTCGACTCCGGATCCCCAGTCCAGCGCATTGACCGCACCACCGCCATCGCCTTCCTACCCTTCAGCCACATCTACGGACTGAATCTGTATATTTGCCAGTGCCTCCTCTGGGGCACGCCCGTCGTTATTCTCCCGCGGTTTGATCTCGATCTTTATCTTTCGTGCATTGAGAAATATAGACCGCAGGAGCTCGCGCTCGTCCCGCCTATCGCGCTCATGCTGGTCAAGGACGATCGGATCAAGCGGTTTGACCTGCGCAGCGTGCGCCGGATCCTCTCGGCTGCAGCACCACTTACCAGCGACCTCGCGGCTGCCCTCGAACAGCGCTTCGCAGATCTCTTCGCAACAGAGGTCTTCTGCACGCAGTCGTGGGGTCTCACCGAGACATCCCCGATCGCAACGGGGATCCCAAACGACCGCATGGACAAGCGCGGTAACGGCGTCGGGTGCATCGTCCCGAACATGGAGTTCCGCTTCGTGGATCCAGATACCCTCGTTGATGTCCCGGAAGGTACATCCGGGGAGATCTGGTGTCGGGGACCGAACGTTACACCGGGGTACTATAACAACGTCGAGGCGACGAGGGGAACGTTCCATGTAGATGACTACGGGACGGCGTGGTTCCGCACGGGGGATATCGGCGCCATTGACGACGAGGGATATATCGCCCTGCATGACCGCATCAAGGAAATGATCAAGTACAAGGGGATGCAGGTGATTCCGAGCGAGCTGGAGGGGAAATTGCTGGGACATCCGGATGTAGTCGACGCGGCTGTTGTTGGGGTGTGGGTTGACGAGATGGCGACCGAGTTGCCGGCTGCGTTTGTGACGTTGCGCGGTGGGGTTGTTTCGAAAGATCGTGGGGCTACGAAGGTCGCTGAGGAGATACAGAAGTGGCTGAATGAAAGGGTTGCGAACCATAAGCGGCTGCGGGGAGGGGTGCATGTCGTGGAGAGTATACCCAAGAGCCCGAGTGGGAAGATTCTTAGGCGGCTGTTGAAGCAGCAGTTGACTGCCGCTAGGAAGGCGCGATTGTAATATACTAGTCACATGGAGCATAATCACCGAGTATCGTGATTGAACGCAACGTGTAGATGATGCTAGGTAGTATGCTTCTTGATTATGCGCAGCAGGCCGGCTACTTTTTCCTCTGCAATCCACTGACCCAGCACCTGCAAGCAGGCCGAGACTTGCTAAGATTGGTTTGGACACGCAGTCTGCCTTCCGAGTCATGTCATACGTGTACATATCGACGGATAAAAGACTGACGGCTATATCTTGACTCTCCATGGAGCTCGAGGACCGATGTGCTCGAATCAAGCTTCGAATATAGGCCTGCTTTCTTAAGAGTTCTCCCCAATTGTTCATTGGATCTTTTAGTAGGCTTGACCATCAACAACCCAAGCCAAGATTGCGGCCATGCCAATTGTTTGTGCAACCTTCTCCTCACGAGCTCTCCAAATCCCCGTGCGGGGAAGCCTGATTGCTCGCAGAAAACTGAGATTCGGGGATTGCTTTTTCACTGCCCCAGAACTCAATGCCCAGTGCTTTCAACAAATATGCAGGCAGCGCTCGCATGGTGTATGGGCTGGATAGCCTACTGGGTCAATACGAGATGGCTGAGCAGCACTCCTGTGATGCATATCTCTGCAGCCTCGCCAAAACAACAAACATAAAAGAAATGATAATGACTATTCCCCGCAACGATAGTGCTCGTTTCCTGCGGTTGGAGATTTCCAGTCATGGGATTCGGACGCTTTGAACAACATTCAAGGTGCGAAAGGAAGCTCTATTGAGTACATTATTGATATTGTTCTACTTCCGTGTACTACAATTACTAACACAAAGTTGTTCCTTGATAAACACCTGAAACCTACATAAAACATGCAGGCCACGAAATTTTACTATTTGTCATGTTTGACTACCCGTGGGTAACTGATGCATCAGGGCGAGGTCTAGTTCTAATTAGCGACAATGAAGAGGATGAGGATGAAAACGAAGATGAAGATAAAGGTGAGAGTGAGGACGAGATATACAAGGTAAACTTTGTTCCTTTGGGAGCTAATGTACCTCTTTACTATATCTTAACCTTGCTGGCGAGCTGTAGGAAAGAGACGAAAGAGTCTGGAGTGTTATAGAGAAGAATAAGATGAGACTTAGCCTTGACTACCTCCTTTGCTACAGGATAAAGAGGGTTACAGTCAAATGTGGAGGTCTGGAAGAGCAAGGAAACGTCCAAAAATTTGGATGACGATGATGTAACCTATGAAGGAATATTACATCTCTTATCTTGTATTGAGTCTTCATCGAGGATCTATAGAGCTATCTAGGGTAATATAGTAAGTATGCTAGAATGATAAACTAGGAAACGTGCATGATTTATGGCCATCTGGCCCCTATAGTCCTACATGCACTCTCGCCCCAGAGGGTCGTCCCACCGAGGGTCGTAAAAACGCGGCATCCCAGGGAATTGAGACTGAGCTATCCCGAACACATGAAGACTTGCCCTCCAAAAGTCACGGCTATCCATCCATCACACTTCGAGCGGGACTCCAGAAACCTGCCAACAGCTACTATCTAGGCAGCACATTCAGTCTTGAAGTCAGTGGGGATGTATTTCTTGACAAACTTTGTCAGTGTATCCAGCGGACACGCTGAGAATTCGCAAGCCAAGTCAGGATGCGCCGGCACAACCATTCCCTCATAAAACATTCTTACCACCTGCTGACGGTTGGCCTTTTGCCACAGCTCGATTATGACATTCGAGCCGAACGGTGGCCAGGGCAGATCCGGATCCGCTACAACGGACAGGAACATGTCCAAACTGGCATCATGTGCTGAATAGACTTCCAGTTTAGTGCTGCGATCGGACAAAGAAGTCAAGATATCCGCCAGCCAGGCACCAACACCCAAACGCTTTGTCTGTTCAGCTGACGGATTCTGACGGTAGAGATTGTGATAGGCGCTTGTACCCGGGATTACTGCAGTTTGGATGTCCTCCGGAGTGAGATCGCCTTTCAATCCAAGGCCATGGCAGTAGGTGTCCGATGCTGTGTCATACAAGGTTGCTGTTGTGTTATAGCCAGACAGGCCCGTGGTGTTGTAAGCCTTCACAAGCTTGTACTTAGGAGCCTCGCCCAGCGTTGTGCAGGAAAACATTTTCTGATGTTTCGCCATTCCGATTAGATTCTAAAGGTCGACACTGTCCATGCGTACCACTGGGGGGAGGAATTTTTCGTTGAGGTGGACATTGTCATGGCGCCTGAGCGCAGCCTTCGCGAGGTCCATGATGTCGCGCAAGAACTGCAAGACAAGCTTGAGACAGATAAAGGTTTTAGCCGAGTGTTTGTTCATGTTGACTATCGTAAGGTTCTTCTTGTATAACCATGTTATGACTTGTGTAACATGGTTAACCCTTTTTTTTTATTCTAGAAATATCGCATATCCCCGAGCACCGTAAGACCCGCTGATGGGTCAGAACTCACCATATGCAAACTTTATTGGGAGGGGTTGACTGATCACGAGGCTTTGAGCGGCTGAAGATATAAAAAATGCAATGTTTCTTTCTGCTGCTATATAATTGCAAGATAGAGTTGGCCTAAAGGGCTGGAGATAAGCTTGCAATTGGTCTCTTACGAGCAATTGCTTAAATGGCTATTGTGCGGTCCTACCTGGCTTGTAGGGGTCCTCGCCTACAAGCGACATGGGTGCCATATCCTCGAGGCATAGGACGCCGGCCGAGGAGCTTAACCCGAGTATCATCTCATGTTAGCCTTTACCTTACGGATTTGTCTCAGAACGGGGAATTGTTGTTAACAAGCTAAAAATAATTATAACCAGGGTCATTTGCGTCGTTCCAGCGAAACTTATGCGTAACCCGTAGGCACCTTATTGACAGGTGGTGAGATCGGAACCCGAAGAGCGTCATGCAGGACTTAAGTAGTTTGCATAGAAGCTTCCATATTTGAACGGTTCTATTGGAACTTGGAACGGGGAGATACAGATCATCCGTACAACATAATTTTATGCGCCGTACCATCAAGCTGGTAGATTACGCGGATCATAAAGCTGTACCCAACCAAGCTTCGTTCTAGGGCTTAGATTTAAGAGGAAGAGTATAACATTTGCGCCATTTTTGCAACCAAATGTAGAGTGACATATACCTCAGAAACCGTTTTATTTCCCATTTAAAGCACTAAAACCCGACGTGGTGGATTCTCGACACTTAGAATCTGCCAAACTTCTCATGTACAAGTAATTTTAAGTAAAAGGGCTCCATGCAGTTTATCGCCAATACCATCGCGCGGTTTCGAAGCCATAGTGGAAGCTATAATAGCTTCTAATATACTCTTTTGCCAAGTGAAAACCAGGAGCGCGTACTACAGATGCTGACGCCCTGAAACAACAACAGGTATTTGATGATAGCGGCATGGGAATAGGAATAAAGAAAGACCCATTAGACTTAAAAGCTAGAATTTTGAAAAGCAGACAGGACACCAAGCCTAGTACTACATCACGAGGAATTAGAATAGCAAATACTAAAGGGGAAGTATTACCAACCTCCTATCTAGTAAGGTCCAAAACATTACCTCTATATTAAGCGACTAACGGTCCTTAGCATAAAGATACCCACTTACAGATCAATATTCTCCTTAAACAGTAGCTCCACCGCCCCCTCATTCCCGTTCTTCGCCGCCAATACTAGCGGCGTCCAACCGCCATTATCTAAACTTTGTATATCGGCATTCTTCTGTACCAGCAGCTTCACCGTGCCCTCGTGCCCGTTCTTGGCCGCCAATTGTAGCGGGGACTGGCTTTTTATCCCTAATTTTAGTATTCGCATTCTTCTCAAGCAGTAGTGTTACCACATCCTCATACCATGGCAGAAGAGGATGACATCAAAATTTCCTTAAACTGCAAGGCCTTGCTCTGTGGGAATCAAACTCGATGGATCTTGGATGGGGCGGAGCATCGCCTCTCTCTATAGTATGGCCAAGCCAGACTTCCACCCATGCAGCAAACACGCTATTTGGCTCATATAAAGTGTATCTTTGAATTATCCTTCTTTGTTGTTCCGGTAGATACCCAACTATGCTCTTCGGGCCCAGGCCTATCTCAAGCAGTGATATCGGGGTCTTGTGTTTCGCAAGGAGCTTAGAGAGCTAAGGGAAGGTGAATTCCTGGTATATTCCACACGAGCCGTCTCGTACAACGCCAAATCCATTGCTGTACTGCGTGTGGAATAGCGGCTGCTTCAATGATGCTGGTATCCCGGTGGCTTTTTTTTTTCGCGGGGGGCGTGCTTGAGAAGACGAACGGGTTGCCATGGCCAGTGTTATTGGAGGTCCGTGAATGTCAATAAAGATCTTGGTCAGGAAACCTAGAGGGGGTTTCTGAAAACGTGCGGCAACTTACCCTTAATGTTCTGTATAGGATAGGGATAAATATAATAACTAGGTAGTAATAGTTAGGTTTATTACTAGTATAATATATAATATATTATAGGCCATGGAGATAATAAGGAACATATAAAAGTAAAGATAACAAGGTTAGATACTTTAAACTTGTGGGAAGCAGATAGGAAGAACCAAGGGTAGAAATAACCAAGCTAGCAAGTGACTAGGTAAGCACTGCATGTCAGAGTACATAAAAATACAAGCAATATTGAAGTGAACGAACGGCACATTGACATTACAAACAAGTTCATAATCTTCTAATGTTGTACGGGAAATCCAGTTTGCCAGAATAGAATAATAAAGCTGTTATAATCCTGGCCAAGCAGCATCGAGTCATGAAATGGGCACATTAAGCATGTCTAAACCAGTAGAGAGCCTTTGAGGAGATTAGACTTGGTGATCAACAGGTTACAGCTAGCATTAGTCATTCAGAAAGCTATTCAAATCAACAAGAAAACGTGATTAAATATATGCAAGAGAAAGCAAAATCCTTCCAAAGATAATCCAAATGCAACCCCCTCCCCTATGTATATACTCCATTTACTCCCCACTTCACCTGGCAGCCCCCCTCCCCCTCGCCGCGCTATAAAGCGCCTCAATATCGTCTTTCCACTGCTGTTCATTCACCCTCTTCACGCGGCGATCATACGTCATCAGCCCATTGATCTCGCCCTCGACGTCCGTCGTCTGCGTCCAGACCGCCGCACTGCACGAAAACCGCTGGATCTGGTCACGCAGCTCGCTGAGTAAAAAGTGGCCCCGGTAGTTCCACGTGTCGAGCTCCGCGCTGATCTCGTATGTTTCGTGGATTAGCGAGATTGCGATGGGATTGTTCCAGAGGCTGGAAATGTGATTTATTAGTGGCTGGGTTCCAAGTTGGGGGGGTGAGGGAGGAACTTGGAGCGTGCGTACTTCTCAATCGAGACGTTATGTCCGATCCCGCCGAATTCACCCTGGATCCCGATTCGCTCGGGGTCGTAGGGGCTTGCGGGGTAGGAGTAGAACGGTGTTCCGCACTGTGGGTTCGCGTAGTGGTGGTTGTCCTGCACTTGCGATTAGCATACCGGCCTTCTCCACCCCGCACCCAGCTACCTATCTAGGTACACGAGTCGGAGATTCCAAGTCAGTGGAGGACATACACTATAATCCCCGGCCCCGTGATCATGCCACCCACTAACGGCATTAACCAGCCGTGTGGGATCCAATTCGCGCACCCGCTCCGTAAGCGCAAACTCCGGATTCGTCGACACAATCTGTGACCAGCCCTCGTTGTAGATGACCCAAGACATGATACTCGGGTAGCTCTTGAGCTGGTTGACGAGGACGTCGAGCTGGCGCGCGAATTCGTCCTGCTGCGCGGCGTTGGGTTCCACCAGGGCCATGGATGGCATGTCTTGGATTACGAGGAGGCCCAGCTCGTCGCAGGCGCGGTAGAAGAGGGCGGGTTCGACTTTTATCTGTTGCGCGTCAGTTGGTATGTGGGTTTTGAGAAAGGGCGCGAAGGGGGAAGGGGCTTGGGAGGGCGTACGTGTTTGCGGACCATGTTGAAGCCGAGATCCTTGAGGAGTTGCAGGTCGTAGATCATGGCCTCACGATTCGGAGGCGTATAGAGGCCATCCGGCCAGTATCCCTGATCGAGCGTCCCAAAGATGAAGCGGAACTCGCCGTTGACGAGAGGACGAACCACGCCGTCAACCGTACCCTTGGAGATGGTGCGGAAGCCGGTGTAGCTGCTGATTTCATCGTCACCAAGAACGACGGTGAGGTTGTACAGGTTCGGCGAATCAGGAGACCACAGCTTGACGTCGTCGACGGTAAAGGTGAAGAACTCGTCTGCGGTTGCGGTGTGTGTGGCGATGGTCTCGTCGCCTTGCTCGACGCGGACCTCGACGGGGGCGCCGGAGCCTGACGCGCTGTGCACGATTGCGGTGACTAGAACATCAGCACATGCCTGTAATAAGCTGGATCGGAGACGTACTCTCGCCGTTCATGTCGGCGGTCAGGTCCAGCTTGGTGATGTACTCTTGGGGGACAGCCTCGAGCCACACGCTCTGCCAGATGCCGCTGCAGGGGGTGTAGAAGATGTGGCGGAGGTTGAGCGTCTGTTTGCCGATGGGGATAACGGCGCCGTCGCCATCGGTGGGGTCGAAGACAAAGACGAGCCTATACTGTTAGCAGGTGAGATTCAAGCGAGATGCTGTACGTACAGCTCGTTGTCAGCACCAAAGTTGACAGCGTCAGTGGCATCAACAGTAAACTCAAAGTACCCTCCGCGGTTGAAGCCGACATTCTGTCCGTTGATAAAGATTGTCGCCTCGTAGTCCACCGCTCCAAAGTTCAGCAAGACACGCTGACCCTCCCAAGCATCGGGAACAGAAAAGTTCGTCGATAGCCACGAGTAGATTGTGTGCTGTCCTTGCAGACCTGTTCTGGTTAGCACCACCACCAACCACCTCACACATACAAAGATAAACATACCTGAAAGCCCACTCTCCAAACACGACGGAATCATCACCTCAGTATCCAGCTCCTGCCCAAATGGCGGCGCCTCGAGAGCCCCCGCATTGCCGGCATTCCGATACTGCCAGATCCCATTCAGATTCTGCCACTGCTCGCGCTGCAGCTGGGGACGCGGATACTCGGGCCATGGATTCGTCCCGACCTTGTCGGTCCATTCTGTGGTAAGGGGAGGGGTCTGCGGCGCATATGGGGTGGCAGCAGCGGTGAGGCCAGCGGCCGCCAGCAAGGGGAAGACAGCACGGGCAAGAGAGTACATTGCCGACTTTCTTCTCCTGTTCGTTCTTGTCTATTCGAAGGGAAAGAGATGAACCGACAGTATCCGTCGCAGCCCTCTTTATACCCATCTTTTTCTGCTTTCTTTTTCTCCGGCCATCGGGGCCCCCCTTTGGCACCGCATCCACCCCCAGCTTCAGGGCCAAGAAGTGGATATCGGTCATTCTGCAGCCACCACCTTCCTATCCAAGCCCTCCCCGCACTGCGGTGGTATCGCACCCATCCAGAGTCCCCATCCTAGCGTCGCGCCGAGAGCCGTAATTTCTGGGCTTGCAGTGCAAGTGCGGAGCCATCACCTGCCCAGCGAGCGCAGCGGGCCAGCGGGCGAGCCCCTGAGAGGGGGATCCCGAGAAAACCCCGGCGATCACTATGGGGTTGGAAATTGGGCGCGTGACTGATTATTGGGAGAAAAGGACACCCAGGGGACAGTGGACACAAAAAGCGAAGGAAATAAATAGTCCATTGAATGGTTCTGGTCCCTGATCCGCGGGTTCACAGACTTGTTCCTGATTCTGAGTAATGGGTGGCGTTGTGGCTGCCCTGGATGTGCCGGATGTGCGCCTTTGTTGGCGATCGTTGCGGGGCCGAAAGGGGCGGAGATGCGCCGCCACTGTAACTGCAAGATGCTGGAACAGAACTTGGAAATGCTCGAGGTTGCATCACAGTGAAATCATGCGACGACAATGCCATCCTCGGCGGGTATGAGGACTCGCGCGCCGAGGCCCTCCAGCCCGGCTGCCAAATTGCCAATGCTTCGCTGGCTCTTGACAGCGTCACCGGTGAGCAGCAGCTGCCCTCGTCACAATCCATAGAACTCATCGGCCGTGTCACATGCATAAGGCTGGTGCAGTGGCGGGCGGACATTCGCTAATTTTCAAGTTCTACCATTAACCACTCTATTATAGCAAGTAATGCCATGGTTGTCCAGTCAAATCCATGCAGTCCCTGGTCATCCGGAAAGACTCGAATATGCCCACCAATGGCCGTTGCGAACCAAATTGTATTTCAAAGTCGGTCTGGAAAATTGTTGTCTGGTTGGGCAGGCATGCATCACATCCCTGGTTCGCTCCACATATACCATCCCTCACTGTATGTACAATCTCTGTCTTTGCCTTGATTCCAACTATTCTCTCACTTCCAGCCCCAACGCTCTCGCCTCCGCCCGTACAATATTCGGGATCTCACTCTCCAACGTCCCCTCCACAGGCCTCCACCCCAGCAACCGGCGCGCCCGAATCGCCTCCGCCCGAACCGCATAGTTGGTAATCGGCCGACCGGCGGGCCTGAGTATATCCCGGCTCTCCCTCTCCTTACCGAGCACCGAGACTTCCTCCGACGGCAGGAGACCAAGTCTAAACGCCTCGGATGTGATTCTTTTGGCAATGTCGCCCCAGTGGTATATCCCGCTTTCGACGAGGTAGTACCCGTCTTCATTCCAGGTCGCTTTCCCCCGTCCATCTGGTGCGATCGCATCCTCGACGAAAGAAACATACAGCCTCGAGAGATCGTAGACGTGCACTGCGTTCCAGAACGTCTTGCCATCGGCGAATTGCAGGCCCCGGCCGGACTGTAGAATCAGCCGCGTGTAACCGGGGATCTGGGCCGAGCGCTGAGAGACCAGCCCGCGGCCTGGACCGTAGACGGTCGAGGGGCAGACTATCGCGGTCTTTAGAGTGTCGGAGCCGGAGGAGAGCACGAATTTATCGACGTCGCGGTGGGGGGCATCGTCTGCTTGCGATATAAGCGTCCAAGACAATGGATGGGATATAGAGGGAGGAGGGTGTACCAGGTAAAGACCTCAGCTCACTAATCCCCTCCCAGTCATCGAGAACACGCACTCCATCCTCCGGAGGCTCTGGCCCTACCTGCGGATCAAGCAACACATCCGTCCCGCTCGTATGGATATAAATCCCACCCGCGCCGCCTCTCTTCCTCAACCCATTGACAATCGCCTGCGCAGAGGGTAAGTGGTCCGCGCTAACCGCGAAATGGAGAACGATCTCGTTCTTTGCGACTTCGGCTTCGACCGCCGAGGTGTCGGACACGTCGTATGTCGCGAAGAAGAGGTTCAGACTGGGGTATCTAGTGCGGAATACGCTCTCGTACGATCGGTTCCGGAGCAAGACGGTGATACTGCTTTCCCAGTCTGGGTGTGCAGCCAGCAGGGCGTGCAGGGCGTCGCCGCCGACGTAGCCGCTCTGAATGTCATTAGCCGTGGCTTTGGAGTAGAGTTACGAGGTGGGAATGGAGGTATGTATGTCGTACAGCTCCCGTGAGGAAAATCTTGGGTGCAGCCATTATTTCGATTCCTGCTATGTTGCTGTATTCTATAAATGTGCGTTGCGCAACGCTCGATCCACTGCAATGCATGCTGTCTGGTATGTACTTTATAGAAAGCCCCAAACCACCCCGCGGCTTGATTACCAATCGAGATTCATGATCTCTCCGAGCGGGGCTGACTTGCTTACGTTTACCTTCAAGTAGTCAAGTAGATATGAGATCATGCTGTTGCATTGAGCACGTAAGTTGTTTCTTGGCCTCGGGCTACTAGTGAGCCTGGGAATAGAGATATAGTACCTCTACCTAGCGGTTTGCCTGGGGGTTGGACCCTTTACTTACGAGGTATTAGTCTCTCTACTTGGTATTTTCCATGCCGTACTCCCACAGCAAGTCACCAGCTATAAAGATGTGATGGCCAGGCCTTAATAGACAGACGTCTCTCCACGCTTGTTCAGGGGTGATAGGCACTGCGGCAACAAAAAAAAAACATAAAAGAAAAAAGTGGACACTCCGGGAATCGAACCCGGGGCCTCTTCAAACGTTGATTGCAAATGAAGCGTCATACCCCTAGACCAAGCGCCCAGTGAGATATTAACGTATACACTAATATGGCCACACGAACAAATAGAGTTTAACGTTGTATCAAGCAGGTACTACCTAGTTATACTGGAAGTATGACTCAAGATGATAAAGGACCAGACAGCTTAACTAAACCTCCATAAATCTACCTGATCGTTACGGAGCCTCTCCTCCTACCCCAGACCTTCACTGCATGCCATCGTTGGGTCGATTAGAATAGCAATTTATCAATATCATTCCTTCCTCTGAACCTTCAACTCCCTCTTCTGCATACAGTACTCCGGGGTATAAGACAAAAACCACTCCCAACCTAGTATCCCATGTCCAACCAGCAGCCACCGCATTAGACATTAGCCTCCCCTGAATAAAGAACAAAAGAAAAGCAACCTGAAGCCCTCTTAAACCCCCCTCTTCCCCATCGCATGGCCCGGAAGATCCCACCCATTCGTCCCAGACAGCGACTCATTCGTAACATGCAAGGCCCCATCCCCCTTCGGGCTGCCACTCCCACTACCAGCGGCACTATCCGACCCAGCACGCACCTCCTCACTCTCAACATGCATCTCCCTCGTAACCGTAATCCCATTCCCGACCTTATCGCCCCCGGCACCGCGCGCCCCAGCCCCACCAACCAGAATCTCCTCCTCACTCCCCCACCCGCCCCCCGTCTGCGAAACCATCGTCAAACTCGCCCGGTTCCTCCCCTTCCGCCCCATCCCCAGCTTCGAACTCACCATCCCGCTCACAGTGCCCCCTCCATTCGCAGTCTTCAGCCCCGTCCCGCTACTCAGCTGGTGGCTCTCCCCCCTCCGCCGCCCCGACGGGCCCTGGTAATCGCTCGGCCCGCCCGAGTTGCTGAACAGCCCAGACAGCCCGATCTTGCTTGCCCCGCGCCGGATCAGCGGCTGCACGATCGGCAGGTTCGAGACGATGATCGATACGAAGGATTCGCGGCATGCCCATTTGCTGCCGGAGACGGCGCCGTCGGCGCCGGCCTGTATGTCACAAAAAGGTTAATATTAGAGCTGAGGTCTATTGGGAATTGGGAAAGGGGGAGGGGGAAAGGGAAAAGGGTGTGTGTGCGTACAGTAAGAATCGTCACTGCGCGAATAATCGCCGCCATGATGACGAAGACGGCGCCGCTGAAGAGGGCCATGAGGGTGACTTTTCGGCGGATGCCGATGCGGACGGTCCAGAGGAGCTATATAATGACTACCGGTTAGTACCTCCTCGATTTGTGTGCAGGTGGTGATGGTGATGTGATGGTGGTTGTGGTTATGGTTGTGATGGTGAACGAACCGGAAGAGGGATGGACATGAGATAGATATCGGTCAGGACATTCGGGATCATCACGACGAGGACGTAGACTTTGGAGCAGGCGGGCTGGCAGATATCTATGTGGCGCTGCGAGTTAGTACTTGGCCGTGGCTGAGGAGAGTGGGGAGGCGTGCGGGGGTGGAATGGAAGGAAGGGCGAAACGCACTGCCTGGATCGGGGCTAATCTGCCAGAACCTATGCATGGGCTGGCAGCTCAGGATGATGGTCAATGCGACGGCGAGATAGGAGACGCCGAGTAGGAGGTATGCGATGCGGACGCGCGAGGGGAGGTGGTTCAGTCCGGTTCTAATCAGCGTAGAATGTCAGTCGACCATGGTCCATTTTATAACCATTGCTCTCAAGTTCGAGCATTCCAATCGCAGATAGGTAAAACTGGAAAATGGGCGGGGGACGCACGTCAATCGCGAGTAAAAAACCGCCAAACTAAACTTGACCAGCCACAGCACCATCGCATACAGCGACCATCCGGCCACCTGGATCTTCGAGCCCCAAACGCGGTTATAGTATTCTCGGGAGGAAGGGTCGATTGCAGCGCGCTGCTCGGAGGTCATATAGCTATTCGTGAGGCCCTGGTATTTGGCGCCGACGAGGTAGGCGAGGGAGACTTCGACTGCGAAGACGGCCTAGACGCGAATCCTTTGTTAGCGAAATGATGGGTAGATACGCTCGGGGGGGTTGAGGTTGACGTACACCAGCGAGGGGCATGAGGTAGTCATCGAGCTGAAAATTCCCAGGCCCCGTCTGCGTCCATCGCACGTATATCCGGAGGAGAATCAGAGCCAGCGCGAGGGCAAGCAGCGTCCAGCTCTCCGCGTAGTCGTTCATGGCGAGAGACGGACGAGCGTATGTCGAGCAGAGGTGAGTCAGTGAGTCAATCCGTGGAACAGCAAACGCTGAAGCCTGGAAGGCATCGTTGCGGGTCGTCAGCAGATATAACTCTGGAATCAATTCTGCAGCATGTGCCGTGCACGGCTCCGCGCCTATCTCCTGACAATCATGCCTCGTCAAGGTAAGAAGCAAGCGCTATAGTGCAGGGCAGCTCAATGGTGGATCATTGTAGCGGCCGAATAGGAACGAGGTCTGCGCTGATCTTCAACGATCTGGAGTCGAGTTTGCTGCAGAATGCGCATTGGACCCACTATTGGAGTCGAGCGACAAACTCTATAAATCGGGACACGCGCAAACGGTGAAAACCTTGACAGCAGTATTATGGACCATGCTGGACCGTCAGTGAAGAGACTGCCTGTCACTGTCACTGTCCAGGGCGCCAACTCGAGATCTAGAATTGAGACGGAGAACACAGAGCTGCGATATCCGCTGGTCTCCGAACTTTGCGACGCAGAGGACAAACTCTATCACATACCACAATTCTCCAAAATCAACAAGGTTCAGTCCAGGCCAGTCCAGTATCGTGGGATCCTCAGTCCAGGCGCTTGGTGGCAATGTTCTGCCACGGGGGCTTCCAAATGGGAGATGGCATGCCTTGGCACGGTTGAGAGTCGGAGAGATTTTACAGTCTACGACCAATACGGTAGGTGGTAGTTCTCTGCAGCCCAGGAGAGTGAAGCGGACTGCCTCTAGCGGGCACCGGCGTATGCTTGACCACGTTAAAGGCTCGGCGTTTGTCCGTGAAGGATTTTAACCTGGCGATCAGAATCGAAACCTGGCCATTGAGCTGGTCTGCTCGACTTGTGATAATATGGGGGAGTTGATGGAGCTGGTAAGCAACAAAGAGGACAGAGTCGGAGGTTTAAATCGATAGTGAACACCTCTGGATGATAGTCAGGTATCAATAGTCAATATGACAGCCAGGCAGATCCAGCTGTCAAGTTCCCGACCCAAGATCAGGGGCAGTCCTTTTGCTCTCGGGGGCCTGAGTGGTTCCTCCCCGTTAACCGCGGCCCCGCCGGCTCGTATTCCAGAGGTACTTTTGGCGATCGGCATTTCCACTTGCTCCCTCTTCCCTCCGTCGAGAATATGAATCCCGATGACTGCTTTTGTGCTTTGGAGAGGCGAAACAATTGACAATAACAATTTGATTGTTGGTCCCAAGCCCCTGGTAACATTGCTTTTACTCCGGATATTGCTTCTGCATACCGGGGAGATCTTCTGCAGTAGGCCCTCCCTCGTGGTACGGTTTCCCCAGACCCCAGGGTCTTTATTTGTTACTGCGTATTCATATTGTAGAACTATCGAATCCTTTCCATGCTGAGAATGATGGTGGCGTTTTTGCCTTTCTCATTCCTTGTACATTGATGTAAATTGGCGAGTATAACAACTTCCGTTCATCCGACGCTATAACGGACGCGCAATGGAATAGAGTCTACCATGATGACCAAGTGTCCATCAACGAGACCCAGCAATTCGTTCGATGAAGACGCAGCGTGCAGAGATAAATAGAAATGCGCGGCAATGAAGCAGGTACAGACTCGCCTTGCCAGTGTCGACAGAGGCTAGGCCATATCCAAACAGTCGGGGGTGTATAGATGACTGATATGACTCACATTATCGACTCGAATCCAAACAATTCGGCAAGACAACCCCGCACAATCAATGCCAAGGCGAAGCATGTTATAAACAGAAAACTCCTCCGTATAGCAATGTGCCCCGCAAAAAGTCAAAGCGCACAAGGGGAAATTAAACACGCCACATTCTCGTACAACGAAAACCACATCCCCACTAGTCTCATTCGTCTTCCCAGGTTCCCCTTTCTCGGGTCCGGGCTGCTTCTTCAGCTTCCCCGCGGAAATCCGCCTCGAGATCTACCGTCTCCAGGTTCCTCGTTGTCCCTGCATATCGATCTCAGCCACCGCGTGGGTTGTTTCGGCCGGGGTGAACATTGACAAAAGCACGGGCCCCGCAACAAAGCTACGGGGTTTAAGGTCAAGGGTATCCAAGCTGCGACGCATATAACTTTGCGATCGCCCACCATTTGAGGATGGGCGGACGCTATTAGACTTCCTGGAGGCAATCGTCCACGAGAACAGGGCGATGATCCGGCCTTTTTCGTTCATCGCGCCGGTTGAGTTGTGAGTATCCCGTGTCTTGGTCGCTTCTTTTCCTGGTCGTGTACCGCCATACCAGACACTCGGACTAGATTCCGATGTTCCAGGCGGTTGAGGGCGTGTTGGAACTGAAGACTCTCGCCTTGATAAGGTTCGCTTTCGCTTTCTGCAAAAGGCTTCAGATGCTGGGTACCGCGAGTTCCGATCCGGGCCATATACTGCACTGTCCATTTGGATTTGGCGGTAAAGTTGCTGGTGCAAGTATGGGTCAAAATACCTGTGGAGGGAGGGACTCCCTCCATGACAGTTCGAGGACTCCAACAGCCAGATAGACCCAATTAACCTTCAAGAGCACGAAGCGGTATGCTCAACAAGAACCCGCACAACATCCTTGCGATTCAACCAGAGGGCCGTCGGAATCGCGTGCCCAAAAACACTCCGCGCCCCCTGGACAAACGCGCCCTCCGATATCAGGAACTCGGCGAGCTCGGCATGCCCTCCCGTAATCGCTCCCATCAGAGGACTATTCCCGCCGAGTGCCATGGGACTCTTAGGATTAATAGCGTGGCCATACTCTAGAAGCAACTTGGCCGTCTCCAGATCGCCCAGCGTACACGCCCTCTGCAGCACTGAGCCATACAGGGCGCTTTGGAAGTCTCTTCGGCCAGATTGGAGGAGGGCCTTGACTGTCTCTTTTCGTCCGGTCGCGACGGCCGTGTCGAGGCTGACTTCGAGGATGTCTGCTCCGCGGGCAAGGAGAAGCTCGGCGGTTTCATAGTTCTGGAGGGAAAGTGCGGTCTCAAGCAGGCCGGGCATTATTCCTTTGTCTGGGTGGACTAGTTCATCCTTGTCGAGGATCATAGCGAGGATCTCGATATCACCCTGGGCTACGGCCAAGGACAATGCGCACGGGAAGTTTGCTGACTGCGTATCCCCATCCCGCGGCGTCATGGGGTCCCGGGGATCCACAGACTCATTCAACCAGAACCCGACCATCTCAACGTCTCGGTGATAGATAGCTGCCCGGAGGGCATCCTCAAAATCTCCCGCACAACGACCACTCTGAGAACCAACCATGAACCGAACCATATCCTTCTGGTTCTTCCAGGCTGCCTCTCGGAGGCTCTCCCGCAAGAATGCCTGGTTACTTCTCAGATACGGCCAGACGGTCCTGAGGCCTGAAAGCGAGTCGTTGATGATCGTGAACATCCCCGAGCAGTAGATCGTGTCGCACGTGTCCTGCGGAAAGAACTCGAAGAGGACAGCGACGATATCGTCGTACTGGCGCTCCATTGCGTAGACGATCAGTCTCATCAGCCCATATTGGTTTGAGAGTTCGAGCATGATGGCTTCGTGATACTCTCTGATCCATGCGAGGCATGTCCGCAGCGCGCCCGCGTCGCGACGAAAGCTGACGTGGCCCAGCAGCTGGATGAACACCCTTGGTCTGGAGTTATGCGAGAAGTAGAGTGGTAGGATGTGGTGGAGAGCAGCGGGATTGCCATGCTCGATGACCATCTTGACTTCGTCATCAAGAAGGGCAAAGTTGGATTCATCCAAGATGATTTGGTAGTTCGAGTCTTCCGGGCGACGTTCGGCGTCTGTCTGCTGTGCCCCATCCGAGGTGGTACTGCGACTATCTCCGGCCCTTTCGGCGTTATAGTCCCGCGATGCGTACCCGGGGTCGGACTCTTCTGTCTCGGTATCCCCATCGTGAGTCACATGGAATCCGTAGTCGCCGACCGTATATTGGTTTGTCATCTCTTCGGTGCCCTCGATCGAGGCAGAGAGGACGTGTGTCCCCTCTCTATTTGCCAAGCAGAACTGAACAGATAGGATATACAGGAGAGAGGCCAGAATCATGGTTTGAAAGACGATGTACAGCATGGGCACGGGATTTCCGGAGCGTGCGCGCGGCAACATGGAACGAAAGCTCTCTATTCCATAGCTCTTCCCCAAGTTTAGCGATACCCTTCAAGCGCAAGGGTTTCAAGGAGCATACCTCGTGGCCACATCGGCATTCCATCCCCGATATCATCAATACTGCTCGAGCGCTGTGGGCGACGTACGACGATGCGAATAACGCCAACCAGTACGGCAGGAAGGGCCAGCAGCCCTGGCCGGCCGGTACCAGTTTGCTCCGGGTTTCCATCGGTGATCAATAGTCAACGGCCGAAGAGCGTGCATCACACGCGCAGAGACGCTCATCGTGTCGCTGTCCTCAATCCGCTATATAGCGGGCCTCAGCATCAGAATTCCAACATGAACCAGCCTCCCCTCCACCATGCAAGTGCTGCGGCACATACCAAGTACTGTCGTAGTTCGCGATGTCGAAACGCCAGAAGATCAGGCTGAGTGGTTTCATCTCACGGTCCGGCGCTTAGCGATCCCGCAGCGCACCAGCAGCTTCAAGCGAAAAACCAACACGACCAAAAATAGCGAAATCCGACCGCAGCCAGATTCATCCATTTCCAGTCAAAATACGCGCCGCATCCCGTCTTGCCTTTTCAGCAGCTGGCAACGTCGCACCACCCACCCATCCCCATCTCTATCTCGAGATCGAGGCCAGGGGGCGGCGGCTCTGCGCCTGAGCACTGATCACCCAACGACCACTCGAGCTAGATCAAGGAGACATGTGCGTAACAAGACATGCATGGGGGCCGTGCGTCGTTAGCTACTTCCATGGTATCTAGATCGAGTGGTCGTTAGACCATGTTTCACACTGACTCGGCACGCCGGGTTTCACCTTTCCGGGCGCGGCTGGGCCGGCTTGTCGCGGGTCGCCTGGATAAGTCTGGTTTGAGGGCGCCTGGTGCTGTAGGTGAGCTTTGAAAACTCTAGAGGTGGGAGGATAGTACTATTGTGGAATGCGCTCACAATGGAAAGTGAGTGCGAAATTACGTATTTTGTCAGCAGAGCCGAGGAGGCGCCATGTGAGGTGAGGAGGCCTCAGGGAAAGACATGCACAGGGACATTTTCATGACTCGGAAATAAAGTTCGACCGTTGGACGATATTATGTATCTATGAAGGATGGATGTATCCGTGGTGGCCGTTTCAGATCCAGATCCTCTGAGGTCAAAACAGATGAAGATTCAAGAGATCGAACAGGATCCCCCAGGTCGGAGCCACTGTCGATGAAATCAATCTCCCCAAGCGGATTCGCAATCTCGCACAAATGTCGGACCCGATCTTAGATGTGCCGAGAGATATGTTTCTTCTTGCAAAAATGAGGCACCGTGGTCTCAGGTCTGTGTAGTTAATCAAGTCCGTTTAGGTCGGCGCACTGCAGAGCTACTGATGTAATTCCGTATTCCCCCGGGGAGCAGGGAGGGGAGGCCTCGTATACGCTTACCTTGCGGGGAATCTAGTGTGGAGGCCTGGATCGAGGCAACCACCCACCACAACTCCCGACGAGTTTCGGGACTTGTCGAGAGCGGCCCAGCCCAGAGCCCCAGGAACCCGCTCCTGGCCAGGGTCAGACACTCCCACGGGCCACTCCCTCCCTTCCCCCTGCCCTCCCCCGCATCCCATCCATGGATGCATGCAGAGGCACCCCAGACCCGTCACATATCACACGCACAGCTTACCTACTTAGGCTGGACCTTGCATGCGGATCAGCCAGCTCAGGATTTAATCCAGGCGTGCAGACTGCGAAAGGCTACTTTGTACGAAGAGTCATCTTGTGGCCCCGGGTTAAGTTACTCCAACTTTCGACATGGAGGTATCGTATCTGACTTGTACCCACATGTCCCGCGGAAGTCCCCTGCCTCGGCAGGATCGGCAGTGCGAGATTGGGGCTCCAAGTCTCGAAGAGGGTCAAGTCAAGCATGGCAAGATGGCTTGGTTTTGTGCAAGGTTGATTAGATAGCGTACACATCTTTTTTTTTATCTCTCCAGTCTCGGCGGTCAATAGTAGAGTACAAAGTGGATATTTTGATCTGTATAAATGTGTGCCTGCACTGCACTGCACTGTCAAAAGGGAAAATGCGCCTCGCGCGCCCCAGCCGTGGCTTCATCAAACTTGAAATCTGAAATCTCGTAAAAAATTATCCACGCCCGTGGTCGTGCCCTATTCCTGTCCCCGGGCCCGGCCCCGACGGCGAAGCCCTCAATATCCTCAACTGCTCCTCAAGCCTCTTATTCTCCTCAACCAGATCCTCTAACCAGTCCGCCGTCTTGGTCAGGACCTCCCTCTTCGTCGACCGCGCACTGTTCTCTAACCCCGGCACGAGCCGGTACAGCTCCTCGTACATCTTATTCTGGTTCAGCCGCCGATTCCGCTCCGCGATGATGTGCAGGAGCCGTCGCCGCTTCTTGCCCGTGATTTTCTGGATCCCGCCCCGATTTAGCTCGGATAGGTCTGGTGCGGGTAGGTCATCGCGCTTGACGTGTGTTGGTGATGGCGAAGGGGATAGGGGTTGGGAATGGGAGTGTGATTGTGATTCTGGGAATGGTGTGCACTCGGACAGTGGTATCGGTGCGTGCGTCGCTTGAAGCTGCTGCGGTTGCGGCTGCGGGTGATGCGACAGGGGCACGAGCGACTTTGTATAGATATAGACCAATTCCTCATCAAGAGGCGGACTCGGCGGCGAATTCGGCAAGGGGCGGAACCCGTTTGGTCCAAAGGAGAGGTCGGATCCCCACATGAGATCGTCGCAGTTTCCACTGTCATCGCTGACAATAGGGTACTGGGTCGGGAGGCCGATATTTTCGGCTCCACGTGGTTCAAGCTGTGGTTGTTGTTGTTGTTGTTGTTGGTGTGGTTGCGGTTGCGGTTGCGGTTGCGGTTGCGGTGGTTGTAATTGGGGTGGCGGTGTGCTGTAAGGGGTCGGCACTGCTGTAGAGGCCGCTGTTGATGCTTGCTCTTCCACGCGGAGTAGGACGTCGCTGACGACGCCCTTGACAAAGTAGTCGTATTCGGATGTGACGTGTTGGAGCGAGGACATAAAGGTGGCTTGGGGGAAGTAGGGTGGGTAGTATGCGGCTGCTGGTGTCAGTCTGGGATTGAGTTGGCCGAGATGTGCATTACCAACCTGGATCTCCTCCGTCACCTTGACATAACATGTACGGCGATGTGATGTGATGCATCTCCTTCTCGTCAGGGCCTTGATACATGGGAAAAGCGGACGGTGTCCGAAAGTCTGATTCGAAGAGTGAAGCCATGATGACCGTTCTCTGAGAGTGCGGTCGAGGTAGAGGATGATGCAGAGTTGAACGAGTCTCGCCCATGGCACTGGAACTGGCGCAGCCCACGAGCTATATAAGTTTGACGTCAAAAGAAGCAAAATCAGACCAAGGAGGATTCAGTCTGAAACACTCATCGGCGTACACCTGGTCAGGCTGGTCGACATACCCAAAGTGGAAGTCAAGGCTCAAATTGTCCCAAGGTTGCCGGTAGTGCGCATCTGAGATCAACCCAGATAAGGGCAGGACCTAGCAGGGCTAATTTAACAGTTTCCACTCGTTCCTTTTTGCGGGGCAGCGACTGTTGAACTTGGATCTGGACCTGAGTCGTGGTCAATGAGGAGCTCCAGTACTAACAAGGATTGCTATGATCTGCAGCCAACAGAGACCGTCCTGCGACAGGGGACTCGGAGTCACCTGCCAGTTCGAGTGGGGTAGTTTGTTTAGTGAAGAGAAAGCCGGGTTGTTGTTGCTGCCAGGGGCTCAAATGGACATTGAATGAAGGTAAAACGGTGATACGATCAGCCAAATCAACCTCCAGCAAGTCGACACCAAAATGATCTCCGCAGATCCTTTATCCGGCATGTCAAACTTCAACCGCGCGCACAGGTTTCTATAACGGGCAAAATGACAATTTGGAATGGCATCATGAAGTCATGTTGGTTCTCGCACGGTCTTGTTTCTTCTTTTCGTCATGCAGTTCGTGTTTTGATTCGCGGTGATGTGCCAAAATTCGAGGGTCGACTCGGACATAACACAACCCTGGTCTAGCCAGAGCTCATTCAAAGCACAGCCTAAGAAAAACCGGCTTCTCTTGCGCGCCAATCAGGGCGTTGGTCATGGTGGGTACATGACCAAAGATGCAATTCAAGATGCTCCGGAACCCCTGTCAAGATCAGCCACCAACAGTCATCCAACGCTTTTGCCCGATTAGGCAAGTGTTGCGACAGAATACACTGTACAAGATGGACTCTCGACGAGGAGGGGAAGCGAGTGTAAGGCAGAGGCTCATTGAAGATCAAAACAGTCATCTCAAGCCGACAGTCGCGTGAAGAAGAGGTGACTAACAGAACCGCCGGCGGGGCGTGTTCAGGAGATCAGCCGCGAGGCAAAGTGGAAAGTAGTTAGGGCTGGGCTCCGGAGCTGGAAGTAGAGGCCGCAGGGCATCCGGCGCGACTTGCAGTGGATCTTGATCGCCGGGAGGGAAGAGCAAAAACGATGTCCATGTCGGATGCGTTCATCTCACGCTCCACTCGATCGGGTCGATGGCCAATTCTTGGACTCGATATACGGAGCAGCACCAGCGGCCACTTTCCGGCCCCCAAGTCGGGAAATTACTCCGGCCATGCCTAAACAATTCGATTATTGCGGACCCAGTCGTCGGAACCTGCCATGCCAGAATTTGAAATGACTCTTGTTCTGAAGTTTGTGATGTTCGTATCTTGCTGAAAATAAGACCGCGTGGTTGTTCCCCGGATGGTTCTTGGTTCAGGGGAGACAATGCATCACATATGCGCAGCACTCTCAGCTGAGCACAATGTCCAGACTCCATTCTTGACCGAGTATCTACTCCTTTCTTTCCAATCATCGCAGGATTCTGCAAAAGAAAGCATGAGTGGAGACTGTGAGCAAATTGTTTCATGAGGTTTTCGCCCGGCCCAGAGCAACAAAACGACTACAGGAACTTGGAAGAGTCCGCGAGACTTGAGTCGTTCAACGGTCCAAGACCGCAAGATCACCCCTTGTTGCTCTCCGCAAGCTAGGACGACAGAGGAAAAAGAAGCTTCGCACTGTCCTCCGGCTGGCAGATGCTTGGGCAAGCATTCTGCGTGACTTGGCCTCAGTGGGTTGCAGAAGGAAACCGGAAGGGAACCGCCAGCAATGTCATGCTCAAGGAATAGAAAGAGGCAGGCGCGACTCTTCAACCTCTTTCTCAGTAGCAGCCTCGTAGTGGTCGCTAAGAAAGACATCGGTCCATCTTTAAGTTGTAGTCTGTGTCGCCATTTTGGCGAAGTCACAGAATTTCTATCCGAGATATATATGGATGGCAAGGTTGTTGTGCATGATATATGCCTGTGGATTGAGGAGAATTTCTTCAGACCCAATCAAGTAAACCGCCTGAGGGCATCGACCAGGACCCGACTTGCTGCTTGATAAGGACATCAATTTTCTGCATAATTCCTGAACTATACTTCCACCAAGCTAGTCTGTTCAGCAGGACGAAGATGAACTCTCTAGCCATGTCTGGTCAGTTGCTTGTCCTGGTTATCTTAGTTGCCTTTAAGTGGGCTATGCCATATGGTACTCCCCTTTCAAGGACGCGGATCGTATAAGATCAAACTTTGTACTCTCTGGGGCTTGACATGTGCTCTGCAGATACGAACCTTGGATTTCTGCAACACAAACAGGACAAGTTGAGCCACATTTGAGGTCCTCAGGGTCCTGCCAAATGCCCAGACTCGCTGCCGTTAGTATGGTGGTGAAATGGCGGAGATACCAGCCAAAACCAATCTTACCCACTGTTTTCCTCACTATGCCAAGGCGGATGTATGTCATTTACAATCCGGCTGGTATTGAAAGGCTGCGTCACCAGATTCATCATTGGACAAAGGCATGGAGACCCCTGTCAGAATCATCCAATAAGACCACAATGACTGTCTGGAACAGGCAAAACGAAAACTTGGCGACCCACTGGATGCGCCGGCGTGTCCCTGTCCTGAGGCTGGCCTGAGGCGTCGACGCAGACACCGCCACGATTGCTCACAGTCTGCAATCATCACTCTGTCATCTCACCCCTCAACCCTGCTCTTGCTGCTGTTTTTCATCGCCTGGTGCGTTGTTTCATCTCGATCGCGGTGAGAACCTCGTCATGCGGCTTTTGGTGTACCTCTGCTGTCCCGAATTATCATGATATCGCCCTCCTGACTCTGACACTGGAGCGAATTCTGGGGGAGGGTCGAGGTCCGGATTGCCGTTCTCTAGCGGAGCATGCGACTGGAGAATGTCGGAGGCCCGGCAAAAGGATGTGCACAATGTCTGGCAACTTATATCTAGTATGTCGAGATTCTCATTTCTATCGACCGCTAACTCACAGATCTTTCTCCAAGACCGCTACTGGGCCGCCCGCCAGCCCGGTTCTTCTCAACATGACCGACCGACGAGTCCGACCGGATGGCGCCCCATCTCCCTCCGTCCCACCTATCTTTCCCTTATCGCCTGTATTATGCTCTTTCTCCTGGTAGTCCTCGAAGCCCTCCGACAATATAGCGACCGAAACGGCGGACTCGTCTTCTTTCAGGATACCGATGACGTTAGCAATTCGCAGTCTTTCTCCTACAACTATATCCCCGTCATCATCGCCCTCGTCCTTTCCACCCTTTGGTCCTTTATCGACTTTGATGTACTGCGTCTCGAACCGTATTTCCAGATCTCTCGCCCGGAAGGATGTCCTGCGACGGTGCTCTTCATCAACTACAACTTTGGCCAGAGCTTCATCACTCCCATAACCTCTGCCAAGAGGCAGCACTGGCTGGTACTGTCGGTCTCTCTGGTCACGCTTCTCATCCGCATATTTCACCCCGCGTTGCAAAGTGCCATGTTGGAACTCCGGGAGGTTACAATGTTCGCGGATGAGAGTATGAAAACTTGGTCAGAGTTGGTCAATCCGGCTGCCCAGGCGCGATGGTTTGCCGCTCAAGAGGATAGCGAGAGCAATAGCTTCGACGCGTATTTCACGGACAGTGTCAACCTACAACAGACTCGCTCGGGAAACTTCGCCGTCGCTCCGGTTCAGATTCCGCAAAACGACCGCCGCGAGACCACCGTCTGGTCGCTGAACCAAACCATCTACTGGACCCAGCTGGATTGTCACGACCTGTTTGTGGATGCCAACCTCTCTGTTTCCATCAACCAGACCGATCAGTGGTTAACTTGGGATGTTCGTGGATTGGAGTACTCCTGGCTGGGTGAGGAATGCACCTTGGACTTCTCATACGACAACGTGCTTTTCGAGAATAGTGATTTTCTGCAAGTTCGATATTGGGAACCCACATGGGAAGACGACCAATGGACCGCCGCTGATAAAAGCTTTACCGCCAGCGGATGCGACGCGATTGACCTTTATGGTGTGCTCTTATCCATCAATGCGACATCCTTTGGCTTGAACTCCATCAGCGCGCTGGGAAATGAATTCACCTCGTCGGCGACTCTGTTTGCCTGCAACATTGAATACTACCAGGCCGAAGCGGAGGTTACTATGCACGCAAACAGCTCAATTACCAGCACCACCCTGCACAACGACACAACCAGGGAGCTCACCCAGGAACAGTTCAACATTGACGCATTTCAAAGCTTCTTGTCGCATAGAGCTATGTACACCAGCGACATGCTCTTTATAACAACCAATGAGACGACCGGGGAGCGTACGTTGACCGAGTTGCCGGTGATCAGCCAGTATGTTGGGGAACTGGATGCTGTTTTGGTGCTCGAGACGTCCAAGACGATGAATTTGGATGAGTTTACCGCCAAAGTCATCAGAGGTGTCAAGCAGACGTTCATTCTTACCATGGGTCGATTATTCAATCCTGACATTTCACCCTCTACTGTCCCTGCTTTGCGGACGACACGGCAGGTTGCAATCGCAACAGTCTCGGTTGTTGTACGCTGCGCAGAAGCCATTCTAGGAATCGGCACCCTGCTCACCCTCATCATGCTCCGTCATTATCATATCCGACCCAACATTCTCCAAAGCGACCCCGGCTCCATCGGGGCCATGTGCAGTATGCTGACCGATGTGTTTGGCCCCAACAATATCCTTGCCCATCCTCGCTTTGACTTTCACCAGTTCTCGACCCGACAGCTCCGCCGCCTCCTGCGACACTGCCGGTTAAAATGGTTCCACAGTCCTCTTGGGAGCCGCCTCGAGATTGTGACGGCGGATGGCTCACCGGTGGTCCTGGACGAGCGGATGCGGACCCGAGCAGACCCCAGACCGCACTTCCTCATCATTCCGATCTTCATCATCGAATTCCTTCTCCTTATCGCCGTCATTGTTCTTATGAGCTTGGTCGTCTCCTCACTTGCCAAAGACGGCGGCTTTCAACACCTGAACCAGACGAGTTCGAGTTTTCTGCAAGTCGTTCTCTCGTTCCTCCCGTCCGTCGTGGCCTCGGCAGTGGCCGCCCTCTGTGTATCTATACACCGAAACCTTAGCGTCCTCGAACCATGGGTTCACCTGCAACGTGGCATGGCCAGCGTGAGCACGTCATTGACGATGAACTACTCTTGCCAGAACCCGTGGACAGTGTTACCAAAAGCAGCCAGAAACCGGCACGTCCTCCTACTTCTCGTTTCTTTTGCCTGCATCGCCAATACAGTTCTCACCGTTGTTGCTGGTGGTCTGTTTACACAGCAGCTGACCGACTCCGAGTCTGCAACCGATAAGCTATTTGCGAATTACAGTCATTCCGTGTTCCGACAAAACGACTTCGCGGCAGACTTTACCGAGTATGATCTGATTCAAACCAGCATCACCAGTGGGGTGCCGTTGCTCTCGTGGACGAGCACAAATACCTCTTTCGCTCCTATTGCTATTCACGACCCCGATCCAGACTCTTCATATAAAGCTACAACACTGGGAATTGGCGCCAATCTCGACTGCCGAGTGCTATCTATTCCCGACAACCTGCAAATCCTTGAAGACGGCCCGTACTGGACATACAGCCCCACCAATGCGCCGGACCAGGACTGCTGGGTCAAGATGACGCCGCCGCGAGACCCGACTGATAGATTTTCTTTATCAATAAATTTCTTTTCTCCGGCCGCGACGGACGAAACAGACATCTGTCAAACATCAACCGTCCTGGTTGTGGGTCGGTGGAACTACACCGCCGCGTCGGATATCACCAGCAACAACACCGTCGCCCTGCAATGTGAGCCAGTCCTCCAGATGAACAACTTTTCGATCCTCTTCGACCAAAGAGGCCAGATCCAGGACTATTATGTGATTCCTGATACTGAAATCACCGGTGGCACCATGTACAACAATGCGACCATCAGCCTTGGCCAGTTCAACAAGGTGTTTGCTGCTATACCCCAGAGCTTCTACGGCGAGGACTCTGTCAATTCGAGCTATACTGCATCGTACGACTGGGCAGGATTCCTTGTTTCCGTTCTCTACAAACGCGACGTGGCTCCGATTACTCACCTCGACGCAGATCGGTTGATGGATCTTTCACAGACTGTATACCAATGGGTATATGCGACATACTTTTCGCTCTGGCGCGAGATCTACCTTTTACCGCTGCACGATCCACCCGTTGCACTGGACGCTACAGTTATCTGGAGTGCGTGGCGAATGGAACCGTCCGAATCATCCCTTTTCATCGCAATGACAATCATCGCCCTCGACACCGTGATTGTCCTGATCGTTTTCGGTATGCGCCGCGGCCGATTCAAGGGACCCCGCATACCGCGCTCAATCGGCTCGGTAATCCCGTGGATCGCCAACAGTCGCATGATCGACGACTTTCGGGGGACGTACAGCTGGACGAACGCGCAGCGCCAGACGCATCTGGAGAGACTCGACAAGCGGTATTCGTTCCGGCTGTTTCTGCGAGAGGATAACCAGTGGCGGTTTGCGGTCGATGAGGAGCCGCGGATGGTGTCTGTAAAGGTGGAAAGTACGCCCCCTACCGAAGGAGGAGGGGGAGGAGGTGAAGCGGGGATGACGGCGATGAAGCCGCCGGAGGAGATAGAGCTGAGCGTTGTCGAGAATCGGGGCACGCCTCGCGAGACGCTGGTGGAACCACCACCACCACCAGAAGCAATGGAGGCAGTGGAGGCTGTGGAGGCCTTTGAAAGACATGAGAATCGTGAGCAGGACTCGCGAGCTACGTGATATGACATGACTGTATATATAGATATGTGCAAATAATTGGATAAGACTTGTCTACTTACGAGCCCACTTTACCTCTAATTCCCAATCAAGGAGTTCACCAGAACCCCTCCTTGCGCTGTCTCTGCAGTGGTCATCATGCATGGATCTTGACCGCCAGTTCGCAGGACCCGAAGGAAGCATTCCCTGCACGCGACAAGACATCCCACTGCACCGGGTTTCGATCCCGGTTTCGAGGAACGGAGACACGGCTCATTATCAAGAAACCAAGTCCAAGGAGCCTTTTCCACTAATATGTCTGCAGCAATCTCGACTGGTTATACTCCCACGCGGTCATCGTCCCACCGTACTTGACCTGCTCCCCGTCCCGCACCAGCTCCGGTATCGCCCCCACCAGCGCCTCCCGGTCCGGCTTGCCAAAGTACGCCACCGAGTAGCGACGCGGCACCTCGTGCGTGTGAAAAGTCCCGCCGTTGCTGCTCCCACCTGCAGCACCACCAGACCCAGACCCGGACCCAGACCCAGCACAAGAACCCCCCTTCATCTTCATCCCAACAGGCAGCGTCACGCGGTGATTCGCCGACCTGAGCCGATCATTCGTCCACCGCTGCAGACAGTCCCCAACATTCACAATGAGCTCCCTCCCTACTCTCCCCCTCTTACCCCCTCCATTACCATCACCAGAACCCGAACGCACCGTCGGCAAAACCGGAATATAAACCCCGCTCCGATCCTGATCCTCCACCTCGAGCCCCCCAACCCCATCCTGAAACAGCAACGTGACTGTCCCGAAATCCGTATGTGACGAGATGCGCATCATGCTCCCGTCCGCGAGGGCGCTGAGGTCCGCCGCGCACGTCGCGGGCGGGTAGTGGTTGAGCCGGAGCTCGGAGCTATTCCGGCTGCAGCGCGCTGTGAAGAAGGTGGGCGGGAGGGAGAAGGAGAGGGCGATTGCGGTTAGGAGGTGTAGGTGGAGGGTTTGGCACGACTCGTAGAAGCGTTCCATGAAGGGGCGGAAGTGCGGGAGGGTTGTTGGCGGTGGGAAGATGTTTGGGTAGAGCGGGTCGCATTGCGGGCCTTGGTCGAAGGATTCCTGTAACCCATACTTAGCTGAGCTGGTGGTTGAAAGGGGGAAGGGGGAGAGGGGTTTGAGGGGAGGACCTTGAGGTCAAAAACAGCCTTGCCCTGTCGGATAACCGAGAGCTTCTCCTGGCCAACGCAGCTCCAGCCTCGGTGCGGGTTCGCTTGCACGGGGTGCGCGGCTTGGAGTTTGTCTTCGAGTGGCAGGTCGAAGAATTTCTTGCTCTGCGCCATGAACATATTGTCCTGTAACGGTTGGAATGGACGACTCACCCACTCAAAAACCTCGTCGAGCGTCTCATCAGGGATACTATGGTTGCGGATCTTGACAAACCCCAACGTCGACAATGAGGCGTGTAATTTCTGGCAGAAAGCATCTTGCTGCGCCTGGCTGCCGTGTGCGAAGTCTGCGAAGTCGAGGACGGGGATGTCCATCTCTAACTGAGCTGGTCTGCTGGCTAGCTAGCGAGCGAAGAAGAAAAAGAAAAATTGACACAAAGTCAATCCGCAGGGCAAGGGTGAGTGGCTTGTCTTTATCTCAGAGAGCTAGCCTGCCCGCCGCTAGATGCATGACTAGACCGATAGAGATACGCAGCTAGAGATAGTCCGGCAGCGGCCCACCGGCGTTTAACAATCTGCGGTCTGCCCCTCGGGAGCCGAGACGTTGCGACTAAGACCAGACCGGATTGACATTGCGTTCCAGGAAGTCATGTCCCGAAGGATTGATTATTCTGGGTTGGCGAGGGAGCACTAATGCACGATTGTCGTACGATGGTGAATATTCCGTCTTTGGGATTCTGACCGCATTATCTGGGCACTCGGACTCGGGAGGAAAAGGTACTTGGTACATGCAGGAGAATGCCAAGTGCCGAGAATATCGACACCGACATATGGTTCGTGTTTCGCCGGCGAATGCTTGTGTCTAGGCGCTGCGTCCTGCGGCCACTGGCTAGTGCTTGTGGGCGTTTAGCCTGGGGGTTTGGGGGTGGCGAGATGGAGCCGTGGGCTTTATTTCAACTGGTTTCTTTTGCTTATCAAACGGCGTCTCACAAGGGGGTGCACCACCTTACATGGCTTCACTTTACCCTGATTCTCGAAAAACTCTCACGGACCATAGAAATCGGCCCACCTCTTATCTTGGGATGGTCATCCCTTAGCCAGAAGACTTTTGCTAATCCTAGTTCGAGCCTCCGGCTGTTCAAGTGCATATGTGGGCCCTCTAGTCTGTTCGAGACCTGTTATGCTTATCCAAAGGAACAGCTTGTACTATCACTAGGCATGCATAAGCTCCACACATTGTCCGTGTCAGCTTCCCTGTTCTCAAGCCCTGCTACCTTTTATCACGGTGGCGTAGTTAAACGCCCTTGGCCAACTCATGCTGCTCCTCTTGGGTTGCAGTCTGACTTCCTGAAGCCAAGTAGCAGTATACTCGGAGTAAGCCGAGAAAGCGAGACCCCAGGCAAGAGCTGTTGTTGGCTCTCAGGTTCTTCGTAAGTGGGAGAGCATACTGGGCAACTGTAACAAGTCCTGTTGATGATGGATCTAGCAGGCTTGTGTCGGGCAAAGTAATCCAAGCTCCCCGCCGTAAGCAGCATACATAGCAGGGTTCCTGTAGTCTCACGTCTAGCCCCATTGGCTTGGCTGGATCCGTGAGCCCAGAGTGAAGCCCCAGGTGTGGCTTTGCTCACAGCAGTAATCACCACGGCTCCTGGATGACCCGTAGCTTCTAGAATCAACTAATTAACACTGAATAGGCCATACATGGTCTTTTCTATGGGCTTATCGAATTGCTTAATACATCATTTGTTCTAACGGATCTTTCGAAGAGCGATGTCAATGCCGGATATCTATATCAACAGGCTAGGAGTAGAAACTACCCGGCGTTGGAGTCATTCCTCTCATTTTCCTTCTATAATGGTCTGTCGCATGCTTTCTTCCTGCTTCTATAGGCATTTTGGGGGGTGCGTGGGATCGTAGTTAGGTAACAGCCCTCTTCATAGTTTAACCCAAGTTATAGATAGGCTGTAGGAATTCTACTACTACTACTACTACTACTACTACTACTGTAGGGCCCCACTTATTGAGCCCACGATCATATCTTCTGGGACGAAATGAGTACTATTTTATTTGCTTATACACTTTCGGCATTCCTAGCCTCATGGAGCGCCTTTGCGCTCCTCACTGTCATAACCAGTCATTATTGACTCGTCTGTTCCGCATGCTTCCCCAAACCAAGTTTTTGTCTATTTGCCACAGCAATATGAATATCGGGCCGTCATGAGTCCGCTCGACTAGACTGACTAAATCGCTAACTTCTCTCCACGCTTAACAAAACATTATGTCCGAATAATGGATATTTCACAACTCTTGATTAGCACTAATGTCGAGCCTACAACGTCAAGCAACCATTGCGAGCCAGAGAGTCATACCATAAACTCACATAATAACACCAACCAGCAATGTCTTGCAACAGACTCCTTCTTATCTTGTACCCCTTAATCAGTGCCATTCTATCCTCTTCTCCTAAAACCACCAGGGCCATTAGGAGCAGGCACCTATACTAGCATATCCCTAGAACCAGCGGAATCAAGTGATCATTCTGTGAAATCTAGTTAGTAGAGTTAGATAGCGTGGCTAAATCTTCCTAGTGGGTAGCCGGGCTAATACTTGTTGCACCCGCCTTATGGAACTTCACGCGCGAAGAACAAGACCCCTTTTAGTCCAGCAGAGGATGCTACTATAATATATATTTTTAAAAACCAGCATGAGGGGCCGATCCTCTTAGAACTTCAATCGTAAGCTCTCGGGCCAGGTGGGCTCCTAGCGTCGGATTTGTAGCCTCGATGGTTCACAGACCTCGAGAGTCGGCTGAGCTGGCTCTCAGGCCATGGCTTGTGAACCAGTGTGGGACAGCGGTCCAAGCGGGACAACCGGTTGCAGCGTCCCATGATCTGTCTTGGCCCGCGATTCCAGGAGGCTTTTGGTCTCTAGATTTTAGGCCCACATGGAGCCAGGTCCAATGTCATTAACCTCTACCAGCTTCAAATCCACCTATACTACAGATCCCACGCTTGCGGCTCAATGGCCAGAGACCCTCCGAAACAAGTCTGATTGGAGGAAAGTCCTGCGTATAATGCCTAAGGCCATTGTTGTGGTAGTCTGGGATCTCCAACCTGTGGATGTTTGAATCACATGTCCATTCGCCCGTTGCTAGAGCAATCTTGGTGTTCAAAGACAAGAAAAAAAAGTTTCTGAGTAACCAATGTTCTCAGGCCTTGAGGTATAGTTCCGTAGTTTACTTGTTCCAAGAATTTACTGGTTGACTGAACGAGAATATATTTATACCACTGCACTGAATCCATAAATCCCCATAATTTCGGCAATAGGTTCGCCTGCAGGTGGTCACCTGAATGTCTTTGCTATAACTCTCGATCAATTCATTAAGAACTACCACTAATTATAGTAAGCAAAAGCTTACCCAAAGTGGGCTGTTCCTGCAGAAGCATCTCAAACACTCTATTATGCAGAAATAATCAGATGTGCTGAGTAGCGTAATAACACAATATTATGATTAAATTCTCGCACTGTCTAGTGCCCGCGCGGAGGGCAAAGTCAAGCAACCAAACAATATCCCTAATCTGATCTTGGCATATTGGAAAGCATGCAGGAGATGCAACATCTTGAAGAGGCAGATGTCACGTAGCTCCTATAGTTCATATTTTACCGCAAAAACATGAAGACGAGCATGGGTGAGAAACATTTTAGCGTAATCCGCCAGAGGATTATAGCTGCCTTGCGACCCCTCACATGGCCGTTGCTGAATCCGCCACACAAGGTAGTCCGCATATTGTTCCACCGTCTCTGTATTTCAAAAGATGCTTCCTTCTATAACGAGTACATGTGCCTGCGCCGCCTTTTCCCGTCCACCAGAAGTCAGACCGCGGGGTTGGAGTATCACCGGGAACTATAATAGAGCAGTCCCCAGTGTACAAGCACTGACAGACTAGATTAAATATATGCTTAACCGTGTCCTTGATTACGTGACATGGAAGTATTATGGGAGCAAACGAATACCTCTCTAGCCACAAGGGCATAGAGAGGGTATAGGTACCTAATTTATTTAACCTGTATTACCCGTCTTGGACTACCGGGACACTAGTAATCAGTAGTGCTTCACAGCGTTTACTCTTCAGCACTGGCCCCTCTTTCTTTCAAATATCCATCAATACTTCATTAGCACTTTGCCCATCATTTCGTGGACTCCTTGAGGTAGCTTTTGGAGGGTAGTAGTCAGCGTCTGCATGGCAGATAGCTAGCGCAGATATGTTGCGGGGATACACACGCGATCAGGTCGCTCCTTTCATTGGCCTTCTTAATACCAGCAAAGGCCATCTTGTTACCAGGCATGAACTTCTTTGGGTTCTCGAGATAGCCAAACTGGACAGAATATGTTAGCAACAGCACACATTAAGACTTTGCAAGAGTATACCAGAGTGTCCTTATTCCATGTAATGCCGGCCTTCTTGTTGGCATCACTATAGCCAAAGCCGGAAACTGAACCTGATGTGCGGCCGAATAAACCATGAAGATTGGGGCCTTGGCCGTTAGGGCCGCCTGCCTCAACAGTGTGACACTGCTTGCATCTTTTCTACAACAACATAAAGTTATAATCACAAGTCAGGACAACATGATAGAATGTTAGGATTTACGTACCTTGAAGATGTCGGCGCCCTTTCTAGCGTCACCTAGTAATATCCTAATGTCAACTGTTGTTTCACGATTTTGCCACTCTTAGTCCAGCTTCGCGCGTGTCGAAGTCATGAGGTGGGACAAAAGTGTTGATGTTTCTTTATTGTTTCTCAGACTGCGCTTGTAATGGAACACTTAAAGTGTAGATAACCAGATGTAACACGCAATGCCGAAATTTGGAACCGCTTGTATATAGTAATATGCAAGACTCCAACGGAATTTCCAGACTGATCAGGAATATCCTCAGCCATTGCGACCACAGTTTTCGGATTGACGTCTTTGGGGCAGGCCGCAGGCTAGCCCGAGCGTTGGAGAGCAGCAGCAATGAACAAAAGATTAAGCTTACCAGGAGTGAGAGCCATTGCATGCACAAGCAGAATATAGTTTGGACAATAATAGACGAATAAACAGATTTCTAAAAAGTCGGATTATACAGAAAGAGTATTGAGATGAGAGACTTGGGAAGAAAATGGAGCGAGGTGTGGTAGTACTCACCCTTTATTGTCTGTAGGATAATTGGAGGCTATATATTGCCGCGTTGCTTGATGGATAGTCCTCAATCAGCATGGACACGTATCCTTTCCACTACCAATCACCAGCTTAGTTTTTTATTTTGGGTAATTCTAAACACTATGTTAACCAACATAAGTTCCGCGTTGGCTTCAGCCAGCCTTCAACTACACCTAGCTCTAAATATAGGCACGCCCAGATGGCCGAAGCGCCGCCAGGAGGCTGGATGTGGATTGATTGGTCGGAGGTCTTCATCGCTAAATGAAGATGCATTGGGTGCGTGAACTCGGAAGCAGTAGGTAGCACCTTCAGCGCGGCCCTGGTTTCGTATTACGCATCTCTATTGGATGACACCTGATGCCCCGCTTCAGCGCTTCAGCACCCTGTCAGGCAGACCTTCAGCCTCAGAAGGCCAACAATCAAGTCTTGGAGATAAGATCAAGGAGGCAAGTCCGTCCCAGGAACAAGGACACCCCAGGAACAAGTCCATCCTAAATAAGTATATCTCAGGATCAAGATAGGGTATCTCCTACACCGCAAGCCACACGACCGATCTGGACTAAAGCCCGTAAAGGAGATCTGACCGGGGTTCTGAGCCCAAATCAGACATAGGCTTGTGGTCTGAACACCTACAAGATCAGAGGGGGCAGAGCAAAGGCCTAAGGTAGTAGGTCCAGACGCTGATGGCTTGGGTAGTAAGATCTAGTGCGTAGGCCGATTGACATAGCATCAGAAACGCCAGACCTTGCGCCCCCCGACCAGGCCGGTCGTCAGACCACCACAGACGGAGGACCGCCAACTGGCGTCTACGGCAGGTGCAAGACCCAGATGATCGTCTGCCCACCTTGTTACGGCCCGTCTGGCCTGCCGACCGCCCCAATGTTACTGAACCTTTCCAGCTCCATCACGTCACAATTCCACTTCGCGTGCGATCGACCCTATTATGTCTTCGTCCACCGCAAGCTCTCCCCCAAAATTCATAAAGATTTTAGACACGACGACGAGAACTTTCAATCAATGCCTCAAAAGCGAGACAAAATGGCACCGACTGTCCCAATCCTAAGGAGACCCCGCTTGGTCAATCGACATATCCTGAACAATGTCCGGACGATTGAGATGAGGGATACAGTCGGCGTTGAGCTCGTTGTGGATTGTATCTTGGATGAAAGCCTGCACCTGTTCGGCTGAAGCGATTTGGGATAACCAGCACTGTTTAATGATATTTCCGCATGGAAGGTCAGAAACATTAGGGAATTCCTTTCTCTTGAATAATTCTTCCACTTGATTACTAGGGATCTCTTCGTAGGGGCTGGCTCCTTGGAAAACCTCGTAAAGCGTTGACCCGAGTGCGAACAGATCCGTAGCAAACGTGGGAGGGTCTCTCCAATGCCGTGGGAGATAGAATCGAGTTCCCTCCCCAGAGGCTGGTTTCGACCCATCGAGTGAGGACCCCGAAAAGTCGATGATTTTAATGTTGAGCGTCGCGTCTAAGAGAAAATTCTGAGGTTTGATGTCGCAGTGGATTATATCATGGCTATGCAGAAGAGCGACGGCTTGCGCAATTTAGCCTGCCCATTTCAACTTGAGGTCCATTGAAATCGAGTTGTGAGCTTGAAGATATGTCTTTAGATCACCGTTGTGCATGTACTCGAGGACAAGGCCATCCCTAGAGTGGCCCAATATCCGTACCAGCCTTTCATGCGGACCAATGCGATAATATATAGTGGCTTCTTTAGCAATGTCGAGGATGTGGTTTTCCATTTCAGCATCAGGAAACGGCGACTTGAGGACGGTGCCATCGTCGAGGAGTTGGACGATCCCCGTTAGTCCACCAGAAATGAATTGTCCTTGAGCATCTCTGCTAAGGGTTTCGACCTTTCCGCCTCCACTTTTGTTTGGCTCGTTATCAACTCGAGGTGTCTATTGTATGCTGGTCAGCAAGGTGTTGCGGTGGAAAGGGGCACTCGGCACCTGGGATACCGCTCTAACATGGCGAAAAGTGGGCCAGTGGATCAGGCGTGACAAAGGCGAGATCAACGCATTCTCTGTCCAGTCATTTAAACTATAAAAACCCGGCAGGAATCGTCGCAGCGTCTGCGACAGGAGCAAAAAGGCCATTGGAAGGCGGCAGTTGTCATTGGCGACGACCGAGGAGCGAACTATCACGTGATTTACAGTTACTCCTGCCTTGGTCATCCAAATTGAATTGCCGAACTGAAGTATTGGTAAGGAAAGTTGAAGAGATTAAACAAAAAGACTTTCCTTAAACTATCCCAGTAAGAGTAAAGCTAATGGTAGGGATGGTGCTTGGTGCTTTAAAGAGGCTCGGGAAGGGAAAATGTTTTTATGGAGGTTGTTGCTGACCCTTCCCGCAGTAGTAGTAGCAGCAGTAGCGTGAGATTATGCCGTCAGCTTGATTTTAACTAACATTTGTGAGAAGAACCAGATTACTGGTCCTAGTAACTTGTAGTGTGCCTTCTTGGAAGCCCTCTCTTCCAATGTAATCTAGACCTTCAGATAACAGGAAAAGGTGGTGGACAAAGTGACCTTGACGGCGATCGCGGACATATTTATCAGGCACAGCAAGCATAGGACCCTTGGTGCGGGACTCCTCCATCGCCACGACACAGTCCAAGACGGGACTATGATATTTCACGAGGTTTCATCCCCTGAACCTGATATCTGTATCCCACAGGCTCTTCCGAGCATCGAGATGGCCAAGATCACAGCGAACTGGAGGTTCCTCAACCAAAACGGACTATTCTAGGCATATAAGCGATGCCAGCGGCGAGGCAACCCAGATCGATGCAGATTTCGCTTCAGACCTTGGCAAATTCTCAAGTCCCACAGTTGAGGGAAGCGGGTTTCAGTTATTCACGAATTTCGCAGACAGAGAAGACTTTGATGAGTTCACGCATCCTAGTGTACGTGGCACCGTCAGTATCTCTTTTAACAGAGTGCTGCAGCTCCAGGAGAGAACTTAGCCATAGCTAAAGATGCATGCATTTATATGTGTACAAATAATAAAGCTATCTAGCTAGGGAATTACTAGATAGAGCTAAATAACATGAAAGAGGCATGTGCGCTGGAACATTCTATGGAAGACAGAGTAATGAGCGGGGCTTCCAACGCCTTTTCGGCCCATCTTCAAATAAGAGACTGAGACGAATGAAGCTGTCATCACTGGATAGAGCTTCCATGTCAATGAACATGGCGTTGTTGAGTATAAAGGGAATAATGTCTGTGCCCTTATGAACTCTGGCAATCACGGTGTGTTTCAGGACTCGGAGCCCTATACAAGGCCTGTGTGGGCGAGGCAGGTCTTGACTATCTCTTAGTCGTTGGGCTCCCATGCCCAGTGCAGGGCGTTGCTGCCATAGGCTCTGTACAGATGGCGCGTCATAACGGTGTGAAGGTGTTCGCATGTTCTGGTGAGGGTGATGATGGTTCTTGGGGGCAGGACGTCTGCGATGGACAGGAGGATATCTAGGGGAAGAGATAGGAGAGACATATCAATAGTATGCAGTGAAATTTGGGCTAGGGGTTGGCTTGAAGTCTACAGCTTGAACGGCGGTCGACCCAACTTGTATGTAGATAGATGACTTTATATATGCACAACGCTCATACACGCCCTTCAAAGTGACCTAAAATTCAGGCGTTCTATCTACATCTACATAGCAAACAAAAAGAACCCGTCAAGCAATCTAGCATGCTCTTCCTTGTATATATAATCAATAGATCCACACATTAAACACATTAAACACGCACCGTCTCTCTATCTAGAACAACCCAATCCCATGCTTAGATACTTATCCGACGGCCCGTACTAAACAGGAAGCTCCTCTGCTTCATTTACTGGAGCGAGCCCTCTGCAATCTCCAGGTCGAGACTGTACAGAAACCATGCAAGAGTACGATGTATTTCCCAGGGGCGATTCTAGACTCTATTAGTATCATGGCTGAAGTCAATATGCTGGTCTGGTCATGCTATGTTTAGAAGATTTCTTTGTACTTTGGAAATATTGACCCTCTTCAGTGACACGTTGGTGTCTACCATCGGATGTTTGTGAAGCCAGAGAATCGTAATAAAGCTACCTATAAATCTTGAGATTTCTGGATAGAGTTCTCCGATATATCTTGATGAAGCTCACTGGGGTGGAAGAAACCACGAGGTACTGGAACCATCCTAGGTTGAAACTGAAATTATTAGAATACTCGAAAGTTATCCTTGCGCTTTACTTGTAAAGAAAAAAACCAGTTCTGTTCAATATATCAAGCGAACAACGCTGGCTCCTACGGCATTTAGCCTTGCGGCCTTGGAGCCTTGAGGCAGCAGCGACGGCCAAGGCAGCCAACACGGGCGGCTCCAAGCGCCAACAGGAGGCCCCGCCGCTGATTGGACCCTGGCCCCACGCTTTGTCTGGATCGCGTTTGCCCATAAATCCGTTTCTTCCGGCTTGAATTTGTGCCTGGAACTCTGATTTCCATCTCCTTTTCGCCGGCGACAAACAATCGCAATTGAAGTCGCAGCAATGAGCGGCGGAATCCAGTACTCGCACCTCAACGCCCGGGGCTCTGTGCTCTCGAGAGTCCACTACCAGAGCCAGAAGCCGCTGGGAATTGGTGGGTACAATTTGATTGATTTTCACACTCTCTCCCGCATTGATCGACGAGCCTGTTATTTCTAACAGTAACACAGTCGACCGTCCCATTGAGCCGCAAACCATAGCGCATTTCCTCACCTTTGCGCTCGGAGGCGCGGATCTCCCTAATGGCAAGAAGACATCCCTCGAGCTGCTCAAGGAGAGCGACTTGGAGCTGCTGCACTCGTCTCCAGAGACAGACGACGACCCGCGACCGATCATCGCGCGTGTCACAGGGCGCATCGGCTCATTCGAGGATAGCGGGCGGCTCTGCATGGTGGGGAAGAACATCCACGCCGTAAAGAGCCGCGCGTGGGCGGGTATCGTCCCTCTCTCGGAACAGCGATGGAAAGAGAAAGGGCTGGATAAGCCGGAGAACTTCGACATCGCAGCGCAGCATTTATCGTCAGTGATTGCTGCATTCGAGTACCTCAATACGCCCAAAGTCATGGAGAACATGCGCGACACATTCAACCTCATCTCTGCGCACTGGGGCGAGTTCGACAGCATGGTCCACGCACAGGATGCGTCCCGGCGCGGGGTTAGCACACGCAAACTCTGGACCGAGTTCATGGCCGCGCAATTCGAGATGATGACGGAGCGCGCGCACCGCTGGGTTCTCCTCCACGCGAACGCGCTGCGGCTCCCGCTACAGCAGCAGGTTCTAGCCCATCGACCGGAGAGTCTCCAGCAGTACGACCGTACGCAGTGGTGGATTACGGATCGGCTGCATATGCTCATGGAGCTTGTGTCGGTTGCCGATTTTACGATTCTCATGCCGATGGAAGGGTACGACGGGTATACGTCTGCACACGTACCATCCGAAATACCGGCCGCGCTGCGCTCGACGAAACTGGCGGAGCGCCGCGACGCGTATGGGAGGCGCTTAAAGGAGCTCTCGCGAAGAGCGCAGGCGGAGGCTGAAATTGAACGGATCCAGCAGGCGGCGGGAACCTATCGCACGGCGGACCCCACGTCGATTGCGCGGACCAGCGTTATGCAGATTGAGTGTCAGAATCGCGTGCGCCGTGAGGTGCGCGGGGAACCCGTCGAGCCGATTCCGAGAGAGCCGTGGATCGTGCAGGATCTTAGAAGGCTCGAGCGGCCGGATAACGAGCAGAAGGCGATTGGGTTTGTTATCTATCGTTTGACATATGGACAGAGTGAGGCGGAGTGGGCGGCTTTCCGGAAGAAGCTGGATGAGCATATGGCTGACTGGGGGAGGGGGCAGACCGGTTCCAGTGCTCTTAAGCCATTTCTGAGGCTGCATTGGCGAGATGGAAAGGAGCTGGGGATTGCTGAAGATGATATTACCGCAGCGAGAAAGTAAGCATTCTTTATCTATCCAGATCAGGTATCCACTAACCCTGGACACAGGCACTACGACGAGCACTACGAGGACCCCCTCCCAATAAACCTAGTCGACACCCCCGGAAAACGCGCCTTCCTCGCAATCGACTCTGCCAGCTACGCCTCCTACACCGGAAACACCTACACCGCAGCTACCGACCTCGTGCTACCAGGCGACCACACCGGCTTCGTCCTGACCGTCGACGGCAACTACAACGAGGAAAAAGGCGGCGCCCACTACCGACCGGACGAGAGCCCAGGGTACATGGGGCACATGCGGATGCTGGGCAGTCTAATCTGGGGCGATTTGTACGCAATGCTCTCGTCGCAGTCTGCTATCCTAGAAGATCTCTGGCCGCTGGCGACTGAGCACACGAATCAGGTCTATGTTGGGCCGACGGTTCCGTTGCAGATTAAGGGGTGGCGGATTCAGAATGGGATCCGGGGGATGCTTATGCGGACGGTGAGCGAGTATGCGAAGGCCAAGGCTGAGGGCCGCCCGTGGCCTTTATCCTCCGGGTCGACATCAACAACAGCTCCAGCTCCAGCTTCAGCTTCACCCCCAACACCAGTATCACAACCAACCCGCCCAGCGCAACCATCTAATCCGACCGCCCCACCCCCAGAAACAACGCCAGATCCAGCAAGAAACGCCTCTGCCCTCGAAAACGACATGCGCACCTTTATGCTCTTTGGATTCACGCGGTGGCTGCGCGACCGAGGGCAGCAGCGGGAGGCGATCATGGCGGAGGAATTGATGCGTGTTCCGGCAGGGCAGACGCCGGATCTGGATAATGTGCATCGGAGGATGGTTCTTGAGGGGGTTTTGGATGAGGATGATTTGCGGGATGCCGCGCGGCGGAGGGCCAATGGGGAGGATGGGGGTAGGAATAGGGATGGGAATGGGAGTTCCAATGGCAATGGCAATGGCAATGGAGACAGAAACGGAGATGGGAATGGGAATGGGAATACGCCCTTTGATGGGTGCCCGACGCAGTAATTTCTGATGTACATTTCTTGATTGCATCATTCTGTATAGCAGCAAAATTCACCTTGATACCCTAATACCCTCGCACATCATCCTGATAAGCACACGCTCAACAAAACGAAAAAAAAAAAAAAAACCCCCTCAGATCAATTCCCCTCCAACGCCCTCAACTTGTCCTGCAACGCTGCAAAATTCCTCTTCATGGCATTCTTATTGAACTCCTCCCCGGTAACCATCGGATACTTCTTCATCGGCCCCTGGATTTGTGCATCCTTACACGGCTGGTTGAAAAACGCAATGCTATACCGATCCCCAAAATAATCCCCCTCCTCCTCGGGCGCCTTCACACGATGAAACGTCGACTTGAAACGGTCGTCCGACCAGCTCATCAGCAAGTCGCCGATATTACAGACGATTTCTCCAGTCCGCGGTTCGACCTTCGTCCACTCGTCGCCGATGCCGAATTCCGTCACGACTTCGCGGCCGGGACAGATTTCCAGCCCGCTCTGTCCAGAGCGCTGGAAGAGGAGGGTGAGAAAGTCCCAGTCTGCGTGCGCCCCCGCGCGATGGTACGTTTTTCCGTCGGATTCCTGCGGTGGGGGGAGGGCGAAGTAGTGGAGGAGTCGCATGGTGGTCTGCGCATTGGCCCTGGAGACATCATGACACTCGACGAAGAACTCGTCGGCGAAGCCTAACCCACGCGCAAAGCAGCGCATCAGCATCTCCGAGACCCGCTGCACTTTGTGCATAAACCCCAAACTCTGCTCCCGAAACCCCTCGATGTAGCAGTCGTCCAACCAGACCTGCTCCATATTCTCGCCAAACTGCAGCTGGTAGCTCTCCTTTGTATCTGGGGCGCCGGTTGACGGCCGCACCTGCGAGTTCTTCTCCCAGCCGACGTTGTTGGGGTTCCAGGGGACGGTTGCTTTGATTTCGTCGGGGAGGGCGAAGAAGCGTTCGGACAGCGCGAACATGGATTCGATTTCTTCGATGGAAATCCCGTGGTTGGTTAGGGTGAAGAAGCCGACGTTTTCCGAGGCGGAGATGAGTTCGGCGGTGATGTCGTCGATGCGCGTGGAGAAGTCGTGCAGGGAGATTTGGGGGATTGGGCGAGAGGTGTAGCGCGTTCGAGTCATTTTGCTGGTTGATCTGTCTTTTCTCTTTCTTGCCTCTATAGTGTGGATTTAGAGCAGCGACTGAGTGCGTGAGTGTATTGTAGATGGGTATGTTTTATACGAAGCCTGCCGCTGCTTATCTCGTCGACCCCGCTCGGCCGTCACCGATAAAGAGCGACGTTGATAACGGCCGAAACCCCCCGATTGTTGCACAAACATCATCCCACATCTCTCAATCCAACTAAATCTCGGCCGATGAGTGCTGCAAGGAAACGACTGGCCTGTGTTGAGTGCACGCGGCGCAAGATCCGCTGCGACAAGGTGGTTCCATGTCGGAACTGCACTAGACGGTGAGTCCTCTTATCAAAGCAGAGGGTTAAAGTGTCGCAGATGAGATGCTGATAAGCCAGAGGAACAACCTGCACGCGCGTCAAAGAGACCAAGCATGAGTCTCTCGTCGAGCGACTACAAGCGCGCGTCCAGCAGCTCGAGGCGACGGTCCAGGATCTTAGCGAGCGGCGGTTATCCATCCCCCCAGACGATGAGATCGAGGTAGATGCCGACCCCGACTCGGAGATGGGCGATGCCGCAACGATCCTGGAGTTTCTTGCGTGGGGTCGACGCAAGAACCCGGATTATTGTGGTGATTTATCACCTGGCGATGTCCCGGCCGAGGTCGAGGACGAGGACGGCCGTGGACATGGTCTGGGTCTGGGTTTGGGGCCTGATAGAGCCTCGGCCGAGGCGTATCTTCGTCTTCTGTTACCGCGTCGACTGCTCCTCGAGCGACTGGTCTCCTTCCACTGCGAGCGCGTGCTATGGTACCACAATTCATTCGACGCAGAGAAATTCCATGATGAACTCCAGACCTTTTATCGCGTTGCACAGGGCCAACCGGGCCATCCAAGTGTTGACCCGCAATGGCTCGCCCTCCTCTTCTCCATCATCACCGGCGCCCTCGCCTGCGCGCCTCGCAACCTCGCCCAAACATGGGGGTTCCCATCATGGGAACAAACCACCCTCGCCCAGCGCTGGTTCAAAGCCGTGACGACATGCCTGCATATCGCCGACTACACAGCCGTGCACTCACCCTACGCCCTGCAGGCCATCGGCACCCTGACCATGTCCGCACACCTGCTGGGCTTCTCAAACAGTCTCTCCGTGCTCATTGCATCGGCAGCCCGAATCGGGCAGTGTCTGGGCCTGCAGCGCACGCGCGCACCAGCGGGCGCGTGGCGCCAACTCTGCATCCAGGATTGGTTCTCGATTCCCTTTTTCGAGAGCTATGTCATTTCGCGACCGAGTCGGGGCGATATTGGTGCGGATGAGACGAGGAATGATGAACCCACAAGGGGCGCGTACTCGCACTTCTTCTACAAGGTCGCGGCGCTGCTCTCCTCACTGCACGACGGGATGCAAAACGCGCATACGCTCTACACGCGCTACGAGCAGGTCCTCGAGCATGACCGGCAATTGAGGACGCTCGCTACGCAGGGCCTCCCGCGGTTTCTGCAGAATACGCCAATGCAACCGGATTGGCCGTGCTACGTCCCCTGGGCGCGCCGGTGTCTTGCGATAAGTCTGTCTCACAAGGTGATTATGATCCACCGCAAGTTTCTAGCGCTGAGCTTTACGAATCCGGTCTTTGGGCGGACGAGGCGGACGTGCGTTGCTGCTGCGCGGACGATTATCAAGGAGCAAAAGGGGGTTCGGGACGATGCGGGCGGCGGGCCCGTGTTGTGGATTCAGCAGGCTTTTGGGGTTACGGCTAGTGTATGTATATATTCTTTCCCCCCCCTCCAGCATTTTCTCAATTACACGACCTTGACTGATGGGAATAGATCATCCTCTGCCTCGATCTCTTCCACCGCCCTCGGACAGCCAGTGACACCGAAGCAGCGCACCACCGCCAACTAATCCACGACGGGCTAGAGATGCTCGCCGACGGACCCTCAAATATGATAGCGAAGCGAGGAGTCGGGTTGCTCGAGGCCCTGCTCGCCCGTGAACCGCGGCAAGCAACGGATCTCGATCTTGCGGGGATCATCCGCGGGGTATGTGAGCAGACGGCATCGACTGCTTCGCCGGGGACGACTGTGATAGGGAGGGATAGTGATAGTGCGGAGTGGCCACCGGGGGCCGAGTGGTCGACTATTAGGAGGGATGAGGTGGAGATGGAGGGAGATGGGTTTGCGGGGGGATTGGGCTTGGGAATCGAGATGGGGGTTGGGATGGAGGGTCACGGTGGGCGTGAAGAGAGGGAGACGTTGGAGGATATCCTGTCGCTTGCGGCGAGTTATATTTAGCTCTTTTGGGGATATTTCCGGTGTTGGTAGAAGAGATGGAGTGCTCTTCACTGTGTCAGGTACCATCCGGCCACTGTCTTCCGTTGAGCGTGGCCAATAGTGGTGCGTGTCCAGTACATTTGCAAGACACTATGTAAATAGTGGATTATCGCATGGAACTTGCAAGAAGGAACATCTATAAATCTAGGGTTTGTTGAAGAAGGCGTAAAGGGCCGCCAACAAGCTCCATAAGAAAGACTCGCTCGCGAATCTCTTCGACCACAACCAACATCATTCTTCTTAACGGCTACACTATTACAAGTTCAATTCATTTCCATTTGATTTGATCTCTTTATTCCTTGCTGCAGTAGTTGGCCAGAAGCACCTGAAGCGCGAATGACCATGTCTGTGGGGGAACCCCGCATTCCTCAGTTGGGTATGCAAGCAAAGCACGCCACAGATACATTGTACCACCCAGCACCCAGTCAGCGAACGGGATTATCGGCTGCTGGTACCTAGATTTCGGCTTTTGACCATTCAGCCTTCCTCGTGTCTGCAGGCCTAGTGCTTCACACACACAGGGCCAACTTGGAATTGGTCAGCTGCTTTAGTGCGAGCCACGTCAGACCCAGCCAGCCACAGCAACCTGCGGAGGAACAGCTGTCTCCTGTCCGATCCAAAGACATATAATGCGGCGTCGTCCATCCTGAAATGGTATACATCGGCTAACCTAGAATCACTGATCTCCTGGCCTGACAGCATAATGGCCACCGAAATATCCAACGCCTTCGACAAGTTCCAACAACCCGAGTATCCCCCGGATGAGGCTCTCGTGCGCCGCCGGGTGGAGTTGGTACCAGTAGACTCGCTTGCTACTGCAAATGCCGCTCACACGAGGTCCGTCGACTCGAGTCCCTTCCCCCCAGAGGATAAAAGATATAAATAAATGAAAGCAGCAACCGCGCAAAACTGACGCTAGAGCCACAGCACCCCCACACCCCACAAGACCCTAAGTACCTGGGGAAACGACCCCATCCAAGCCTCCGCCAACATCTGGAGCGGCTCCGCCGAATACGGCCGGGAGATGCAGCACGGGGACAGCGTCGTCATCACCGTGAACAGCATCTGGTCGGCAAAGGGCCACCGCGGCAAGGGCGACAACAACAGCTTCAACCTGTGGAACGCGCGCGGCGAGATCGCGCTGCATCTCTCCTTCCGGCGGCACGACCAGTCCATCCGGATCAACGCATGGGGGTCGAGCAGCGGGTGGGGCGACGAGCTGTGGGCGGCGTTCCCGGAGAACCTCGTTGACGAAAAGACGCCGCTGAACATCGGGGTCTCGTATTATTCGTCGGGGAGCTATGGGGTGCATTTTGGGGCGCTGGGGATGGGGGATGTGGAGGTTGACGCGTATGAGGCGCCGGATTCGTTTACGTATCGTGTTTCGGATACCAATGATCCGATGTTTGGGGAGAGTGTTGACACGGCCATGTATTACTGAGGGTGGTGGGACGTGGTATGGCTTTCATCTGAATCAACATCCGTATATCCATTCCCTTGGAGAGATAATTCACATCTGCTCTCGCAGGTCCAGTGCGTAAGCCCTCGGTTGTCCCGGACCAGCTATATCTACCTACCACCAGATGAGGGCGCCAAATCCTACTCGCTCACTCTGGAAGTACATCATCTAGCACCCGCGTGGTCCATTTGCGCCCAAGGCACGGAACGCGGTGTCATCTCCCTCTTATTGGACGAACGATTCAAGTTTGATTTGGTACACTCTATATGATTTCCTGTCCTATGTCCTCATGGCATCCTCACTCCAAATCCGTAGCAAGCGCAAACTCCCTCGTCGCCTCCAGATCCTGATTAAACTTGTCCAACTTGGTCTCAATCCGCTGGATACAATCCGGCCCCAATGGCAATCTCAAAACCTTCCCCTTTAACCCCCCGGCCTCCCCCGTCCCCGTCACAACCTCAAACACCCTCTGCACAGCTTTGTTCGGATCCCCCCTCTGCTTCCCCGCGGCAGCCTCAAACTTCTGCAACGTAACATCCACGACACCCCCAACATACGCCTTCGAAAGCGGGGTTTGTGTCCTCTGCACGGCGCTGAGGAAATTCGTCCGGAACGCGCCCGGTTCGACGATGAGGACCGTGATGTTGAAGGCCGCGACCTCGCGCGAGAGAGCCTCGGATAGCCCCTCCAGTGCGAATTTCGAGGCGGCGTAGAGGCCACAGGTCGGTTGGGCGTCCTGCCCGGCTATACTGCTCAGGTTGACGATTGTGCTGTTCCCGCGGGCGCGCAGCGTGGGGAGGAAGGCGCGGATGAGAGCGAGGGGCCCGAAGAAGTTTGTTTCCATTTGGAGGCGGACTTCCGAGTCTCTAATTGCGAGTTAGCCAGGTTCTTGGTTCACTGGTCGTAGATGGCCAGCCGAGCGTATCCATCCGCTGACACAATCTGACGTGGACGTCACTTACCGCATATCCTCGACGGCGCCCAGCAGCGAGTACCCCGCGTTGTTCACGAGGATGTCCACCCCGCCGTAGATGGCGTTTGCCTTTTCCACGACGCCATTGATTGTTTCTGTCTTTGTAACGTCCAGCTCGAGGACTTGACCGCCCTTGTTCTTGATCGCTGCGACGGCGTCGGCTGCTTTTGTGGCGTTTCGCACTGTTCCGATGACCTTGTGGCCGGCGGAGAGGGCGAGGAGGGCGAGGTCGAGGCCGAAGCCGGATGAGGCGCCCGTGATGAACCAGACTTGGGACATTTTGGTGGATTTGGTTGACGTAAGTGGGATGGTATGTCTTTGTGTCTTTTACTCCAATCTTTGGGGGCGAAAGGCGCTTTATACTCGTGGCAAGCTGGAGATAGCGGGCTTTAGTGGGGTCTAATTCCGTATACGCGCGTAAACGAGCCGATGGGGCGGCCGCACGGTCATCACGACTAAGCACTTTGTGGACTCGAAAAGTCAGCTCTGTGGTGGTCCACTTCAATCTAAGCGTTGTGACTCATTCCTAGCCGTCGGAAATCTGTCGATCAAAAGGTAGTCTCGAATCCGAGCATCGTCATAGCTTGGACGCCAGTTGCGCCCCCGGAAAAAGCTGCTTGTTGGAGAGGTCTATCAACTCCAAGGCAAGCATTACGGAATACTTTCGCAGGTGGGCAGTCGGTGATACATAGACCCCAGTATGTTTTGGTATAGCAAACAAAAACCAAAACGGCTTTGGATTTCGAATACATATACTCGTATGTAGGACACCGAATGCTGCCTAATCGGGTCTTATTGTTCTGTCGATCGCTGGCCTGCGAAAGTATGCGAGTGGGGGATCCCACCTTTTTTGCACACATGTTCTGTGTAAATTGTGAATCATATGAGTGGACTTGCTCACTAGATACCTATTAATCTAGGGTATTATCACACACCTACTAACTACTACTACACACCATCCTGCCAGGAGCGCAAGTTCACTAATACTTATAGATTTAACCGTAAATACTCGCGTTAGCTTCCCGTTCCTTCCATTTTCAGTAGCATATCCGTGTAGCGTATCAGTATATTCACTGCATTTATTGAACTTATAGATTCTCGCATCGCCTGTGCATGTCCTGTACAGCTTCCACCTAGAGATTGCAGATAGTCACTGCAGTGGACAAAGTAAAAGAACTTCCTGTTCTAATAGGACGAGCTGTTGGTTGTGTATTTAAACCCTGAGATGGGGTAGCTCTGATAGAGAGGTTAGTGGGGAATTATTATATACATGGATGAAGGATAAAGTAAGCTAGATTATTTGCCACATTGTCTCTTTTGCCAGTCACTTGGGGCATAAATGCTGAATTTCTTTGAGGAATGTGAATGGACCACCATACATATAGAGAGCAATGTATGTATAAATGCGCTCCTTCGCTACTAGAACTGCAAATTCCAAATCATCCCTTCCGCAACATCTACACCACAAAGATGTCTATCCTCACACATTCTCTCTCTGGAGCTTATCCTCCTCCTCATAGACAACCTCCCTTAAAGCAAGACCTCAACGTCCTCTCCCAAACTTGCAAACACTTCTACACGCTCCTAACGCCAACCCTATCCAAATCCCACGGCAGCTTAGCTGTGTACTGGGCATGCGAACACAACTCCCCAACCACAGTCAAGATCTGTCTCGCCCACACGGGGACGAAACACCTAAACATCCCAAACAGTGCCGATCCAGCTTACACTTTCACCTCCCGCTCGCCGTTCGGATCGCCACTCTGCATTGCAGCGTAATATAAACACTACGATGTCATGAAGGTCTTCTCAAGTTGGGAGCGCAGTACTTTATCAAGAAATAAGCATTGGATTCGGTCGGAAGTCCCCTCGACTCCAAGTGCAGCCAAGCTGTTCCACCGCCCTGTTCAGAATGTAGCTAAGCCCAGGTGAACTTCCGCGATGAGAACGGATGGACCCCACTCGCTCTCGTGCTCGAACACTCGGACTGGATATACCTCGTTTCCACACCGACAAAGAACCTAGATCTCATATCCCTTCTTCTAGCGCACAGCGCAAACGTCCACGCGGCGGAGGAGTATTGGCGAACACCGCTGATGAGCGCCGTTGAGGCGGGGAATGAGGCCGTTGCCCGGATGGTGCTTGAGGGTGGAGCGGATGCGAGGAGGCGGGATCGGGTTGGGATGACTGCGGAGGATTATGTATGGGTGGGCGACGACGAGGATTAGTTATTGGGAGGAGTGGAGTGGTTGTGGACCACCTCCAGGGTGAATAATTAAGATATAATTAGGATTATAGTATATCTAGATGAAGCAGTGGGAGGCAGCGAGGACGAGCATGTTGGAGTTGGTGAGGAGGTATAGGTAGGAAGGAGTAAAATCGATCCCTGTAGACAGTTACTATCAGATCTAAATTGGTCTGGAAAGACAACAGGTTCTACTTGGTCCCTTTCATTGCGCTCCCGTCACACGTCTGTCTGTAGTGACTGAGAAGAGAGCGGCCATACGCGATTGTTATGCCACTTGCAGAACGCGCATCAAGGCGGGTAATTTTTTTATTTGTCTTGACTGATATGATCAAACAGGCAAAGAAAGCAACAGTGACCGACAAGGACAAAGTCAATATGGAGGGTTCCAAAGTGTTGCATGCATGCAAATCCATATGATTCAGGCTTGGAATGCTTCTCGCAAGGAGATATCATATTGCTCCTTGTCCTTCACCCTTTGCTCAAAGAACCCAAACGTATCAAATGTCCAGTAAGGCATAGTGAAACGCCAAAAGGATGGGTCGTCATGTGTTGTGGCAAATCTCGGTTGAATATGGTCATAGAATATGCTGAACAATGGGGTGGGACTGGTTAGTACCAAGGCATAGCAGAACGTCCCTCTCTCCCATCCTGCTGCAGAATTGAGTGAGGATTAATTGGCACCTTGGTCTGAAGTTCCCCCTCTGCCAAAGCCGCCATAAACTCGGCGTGCAGATCCTTGTATTCATCAGCGTCGACTAGATCAATCGCCTGGCTGGTCAGCCAGTGTGGAGGATGAATCATCTCCACGGGATGGGAACATGCCCACTCCAGATCGATCAGACAGCTGATGTACCAATTACCATCGACAAAAATGTTGCTCTGGTTTAGATCGGTGAGGTTAAGAAAGAATGGTCCTCGAAGGAACTCTTGGCGGAAGAAACAAGACCAGACACTTTTCATAACCATCAGCGCAGATATCTGATACAAACGATCTTCAAAACCGGTGACTGCATTAGGCTGATGGGCGGAGCCGACTTTCATGTAAGACAATGATATTGTTTAGACAGCAGTCCACGGTTGTGCGTGTCACATTTCGCGGGATATTAACTGGAAGATGTTTATTCTCTAATTATTGGATTTCAAGAGTAAGAGGGCGGTTACTCAGGCTCAAATACCCATTTTTATCCAAGGTAAAGGAGCCAATCTTTGGCAGTGGAGTGCGAGCAAGAGTTAATATCATGCGCGAGAGACCATGAAAGAGGTTGCTGCGCAATTTGGGATCATGGCGCCCTTCCTCCCAAGTTTCAGTAAGCGGCTTGCCTCGCGATGGGTTGATATATTCAATCAAAAGATATGGCGTGCCCAACGCATGTTGACCTTTGAAAGGATGCTGAACGTATCGAGACGGGGTTGGGTAGCCTAGCACAGACAAGAGCCAACGACGCAGACGCTGAATGGTACCGTAAACATGGGCAGGCGGTCGAAAAGAGTGAACTAAGGCCGTGAGTAACAATACATACTCGACAATGCATGCATAGAGGACGTACAGCTTGGCCATTGGATAGTCCAAAGCCATAAAGCTGGGGAATGGGAACAGTTGGGCAGTTCTCTTGCAGCCATGCGTATGTGCCAGCTTCACATCGGACCTTCTCATCCGCATTCCCTTTGATACGGTAAAGGGAACCGAATCATTATTTGCCTAGCGGGATCTCCTTCTAGGCCAGCAACGTCGACTCGGATGCAAACATTGAAGCTCCCATGGATCCACTCCTCCACGTCCACAGCGTGGCATCTGTCGGTAGAAGCGAAGCCGAGAGGGTGGGCGGTGGTGGACTGGACCAGCTTTCTATTTCGGTACAGATGGGTAAAGAATTGTATTTTCTGATCTCTGTAGCCCAGGTCATGGAGTATGTTGGCATCCTTGTCCTTGGCTGCGGCGTAGGTGATTTCACCACGAAGCAAGCGACGGGGTTTCAGCGTGCTAGATGCATCGATGACACATCCGAGCCCAGCCCTTGGCTTCCTTTAAAGCTAAGTAAGTTGACGCTGGCTTAAGGATGTCTCGCATCGCTCGTTTAACTTGGTGGGAAACAAGGATGGCTGGGGCTCTCCGACCGGCGGTCCCCTTTTTTAGTCAAACACGCCAAACACGTCTAAACCTTGTTGCCAACCCTGGCGAACTACGATCAATAATTGTGAGCCGGGCCGTCGATCTATGGGGAGGATCTGAAGAAATTGAGAGGTCTGGCATTCTGAATAACTGCGGAAACAACACTTTTAAGTACAGGAAGCAACTAAACTAAATAAGGAAAGGGGCGCTACCTAATATTATTGCCCCAATCGCTGTATCTCGTGAGTCCTGAGGGGAATGTTCAGTGGAATGGTGAGAAGTATGCTTGTGCAAGGTCCGGAGCCAGGGGCTCCGGCCAACAACAATTAAAGGACCCCTGTGAGCGCTGTCGCTTTTGGTGGGAAAAAGAAAGTTGCATGGCCTGCGACCAGCTGACCAGTCAAATACCAGGTACGGCCGTATATGGCAGCAACCCATGCTATAACAAATGCACGCCAAAAGCTGGCTTCAATACCGGCCACATGACGGTTGCCCCTCTTTCATCCAACATCAGCTCAGCTGGAGCAGATACAGTGACCCCTACCCAATTTCAGGGTAGGGAGACCCGTCTTGAAGTTCAAAATGGCCTTGACGCATAGAGACTACACAGTCGCATGGATATGCGCGTTACCCATTGAGATGGCAGCCGCAAAGCTAATGTTGGAGACATTCCACCCTCGACTATCACAGCCGCAAACCGATCACAACGTCTACACACTCGGGAGCATCAGCGGCCACAACATCGTTATTGCCTGTCTGCCCTCCGGCGTTTATGGAATCACATCCGCTGCGATCGTCTTCGACCAGATGCTCTCGACGTTCCCTCAACTCCGCTTCGGACTTATGGTCGGCGTCGGGGGTGGTGTGCCCAGTCCCGGGAAGACTGATATTCGCCTGGGAGATGTTGTTGTTAGTATGCCGACATCGGGCTCCACTCTTGGAGGTGTCGTTCAGTATGATTATGGGAAAACACTGCATAATGGGTCCTTTCGGCAAACTGGATCGCTCAATAAACCCCCACGGTACTTGTTGACGGCGATATCGCAAATGCGTAGTGAGGATTTGATTGGGGACATTTCAAGTCGGATTGAGCAAACGATATCTGATGTACTTGCATCAAAAGAGCCGAAGGTCCGAGATCAGTTTTCGCGACCCGATGACGACTGGTTGTTCAAGTCTAGCTATCACCATCACCGCAGCGACGATGCGGACTGTTCAGCATGCGATCACTCGCAGTTGGTTTTTCGTGAGCCCCGAGGCTCTAAGAATCCAGTTTTCCACTACGGTCTCATTGCATCCGGTAATCAGGTCCTGAAAGACCCGGTAAGACGAGACGCCCTTGCACGAGAGATGGACATTCTATGTTTCGAAATGGAAGCTGCGGGCCTCGTGGATCAGTTATCTTGTCTTGTCATCCGAGGAATCTGCGACTACTGCGACTCCCATAAACACAAAAAGTGGCAAGGATACGCAGCGCTCACTGCGGCGGCGTACACGAAGGCGCTCCTTGATGTGGTCCCCTCCCAAAGTAGGAAAGAGCCAGCTTGCCAGGGGTGGGTGCCGCCTTCCCCCAGCAACCTCGAGCGCATTAAAGACATTCTGCAACCCTCCGTTCATCCCCTCGACACATTTCAAAATATTGGAAAGCGGCGTGTTCCAGGCACTGCAGACTGGGTTAGAAATGAGCCGCTGTTCCGGGCGTGGGCTGAAGGCAACGACAGCCCGGTGCTGTGGGTGTCCGGTACTCCAGGATGCGGCAAGAGCTTCATCGCACAGAACGTCATCGCTCACTTTCTCGAGCGTTTTCCTCAATGCGACGCCACTCGCCAGAACCGCACTTCAGTTGGATACTTCTTTTTCAGACACAATGATCCCGAGACACGCAAGTTCCACCGTGCATTGAGGGATATCGCTTTTCAGATTTACCAGAATGACCCTTCCTATCGAGATTATATCCATGCTCACTGCCATTCGGCTGACGATATCAAATCAATCCACGCTGCATGGAGAGTTCTGTTCATGGATAACTACTACAACTCCCTCACAAAAGGTGAGAGCAGCGTGGTTCTTGTCATCGACGGCGTGGATGAAGCTTTCGAAGATGACTGCCGGGAGTTTCTGAGGCTTGTCTCGGATGTCGTACACAGTGAGTAATTGAGACCTAGGCTACATCGGTGCGGAAAACAAACTAATCTCAGACATCAATTAGACCCCGCCAAGTGTCGCCTCAAGCTCTTGCTCCTCGGAAGACCAGATATATACGATGATCTGGTGGAAGCTTTCGAACAGCCTGTTCCTACCATCCACGTCAATGCCGACAAAAATACTGGGGATATCACAACCTACGTTAAAAGGAGCATCCGCAAGTCTCGGCAAATCAGTCGGATTCCGAAAACACAGCGCCTGACGATTGAGGAAGCCTTAATTACTAAGGCCGAGGGTATGTTTCTTTGGGTTGATCTAATGCTGACAGAGCTCAATGGGAAGACTAGAGCTGGTAGTATGCTGGAAAGCCTTCACAAAGCCCCGAAGGGCCTCGATGCGATGCTAAGACACGTTTTGGAGACATTTAGCAGCAGGCTTAATGAAGAGGAGGCAATTGACCTTAACATCATCCTGGCGTGGGTGGCGTGTGCAGATAGACCTTTGAGCTTGTGCGAGCTAGATGAGATACTGCATGTTGAGCTGGAAACTCACGATGATAGGTTGGCGCTGGAGGACGCTCTGCGTACACAATATGCCTCTCTCTTTGTGCTGAATCGGGAAGACGGTTTTACAACAGCAGATTTAGTCGCAGGGGCCAAGCTGGGCGTTGATCAACCTCGAAATGACGGGTCTACTGGAAACAGTGACTCTTCTAGCGAGGCGGATCCGGAGCCGGAGTTCAATTCCGAGCGAGATAGCACCAGGGTCGTCTTCTGCCATGCCTCAATCCGGGACTTTCTACGCAATTCTGACTATGGAAAGGTGTCTGCTGGGGATGGCTCAACACCTGTTGGCGTTGACATCGTCCAGGCGAGCTTGAACACCTTGAAGATATGTTTATTGGCGATAGCCCAGGGATCAGTGGGGTCATTTGTGCGGTACTACGCGCTGTACTACTGGGTTAGCCAGCTGAGACGTCTTTGCCAATATTTGGACAAAATTAATCGTCAGCAAAGACAAGAGATCATTCTTCTGCTTTGCACAATCTTGAGGAGTGTAAATCTGGAAATGTTTCAAACCTACGCTGCTCCGGATCCAGTTATCGAGTTTATTGACCGCGAGACGATGAGGTTGATCGTGTCACTTTTCGCTGATCAGGAATGTGTCAATACCATCGACGACACTGAGACCCGGGAGTGGATCCGCCTCTGCCTTGAGGAACCTGCTCAGGTGTTCGTCCCGCTAGGCCGTGAAGTCGCTGAAAAATGGCTCATCGATTCTGGGGATCCGGTTTCCTGCATGGAGACTGTTCTCGCGGTTATTGTTCTCCTTGGAGAGGACTCCCCTGAATTGACAGAACGTCCGTCTGCTGAAACCGTCCTAGAAGTGGCCAGATGGGCACAATACGAAGAAAACGCGCTCTGGCATCACCAGGTCGGGGCATGTCTCAGCTCCCTGGAGCATTACGATGCAGCTATTGAACACCTGACTGCTGCGCTTGCACTAGAGCCAACATGGCGAACCAAACTGGGTCTTGCTGAAGTGTACCGGAAACGCGATTGCTTAAACGATTCCCTTCGGTTATTTAGAGAGTGCGAGGCGGATTACGCACCGCCACTTACGACCCCTCGCACCGAAGACAAATTTGATGATCCCGAAGATGAGAAATCCCGCGACTTGGCTAAGCTCCGCGTGAGAATGGGCTTACTTTATATCCAGCTAGGGGACCACTCAAGTTCTACAAAATCGCTTATGGAATCGATCAGGCTTCGGGATCCTGTTCACACCTGCACCGCCGTGTTGCTTGTTATTCGTGTTCTCGTTTCATCGGAGTCCGCACGACATGAGAGTATAATGCAAGTGCTGAAGATGATTGACTGGGATCCGTGGTCCTATAATGAGCCCGTTCTCTTTGCGGTTCTCGAGGACAATTTTATCGAGTGGTATAATTGGGATAACACTCAGTTGCCGTTGGTATTTGCCGTCTCCGCAAAGCGCTGTGATGACCTGCAATGGCTGGAGTGCAAGTATCAGACCTTGATCGAAGGAAACAGTCACCAAACGGTCACCGCTATATGTTTGAAGGAGACGCTCGCTCACCTATATGACAGGTTCTTGGGTGAGGAATCTAAGGCCATTCTGATTTGGAAGAGTATCATAGCCCAACGCAGAGTTCCCGACTCAGAGTCGTACGAAACATTCTGCAGAGCGAGGAATCGTGCTGTTGCTGCCTACGGATACCGGCTCCTAACCAACTGTCTGCGAGAAACTGGGAACGCCCAATCTCTTCTCGTATTGGAGCTGGAGAAACTCTGCGACACCGAGATTCAATCTCCTTCGTGCAATCATGTTCTCTTCGATGGCCAGCCGGGCGTTTACATGGGCATATGGCATAGGTTAAAGGGACGAGAACAGGAGGCCAGGAATTACTTCAAGCCATACGTTCTCCAGGCAGTATCTTGGCGGCGGGATGCAGAGATTGGCGAACTTGTTATGCACGTAAAGCGCGTCCTCGGCCATCTCTTCGCCATGATCGGCGATGACGAAGACGCCATCACTCTCCTCCAACACGTTCATAGCCCCCTGGGCCTACGCGATGGCACATCGGCCACACCTGAGGAACGCATGGCATCCCCCTGGCCACTAGTTGTCGAAGACCGTGTCTGGTACTGCCATATCTGCCTCCGCTCGTGGGGGAACTTTGTCAACTGCAACGTCTGCCGCCGGTGCAGAGCAGATATCTGTGAAGAATGCATCGACAGTGTCAAACTGGGGAATCCGGACATTAGCTACGCTTGTGATGCCAGCCATGAATGGTTGAAGATTCCGGCCTCGCCTGGCGTTCCCGGGACATATCCGCTGAGTCGGGGAGGGAAAACCCTTTCGATTGAGGAGTATATGGAGGCTGTTGAGAGGGACTGGATGTGACTTGAATAGAGTGAGGCTTTTATTTTTCCTTCTTTCTCTTCTTCCCTCTTTTTGTCATTTTTGTGCCGTGATCAGAGGGTCATCTTACTCGACCGTTGTTTTTCAGCTCTTTACTATGTGGGATGGGGATCCGAACGCCGCAATCTACAAATTTCCCATGCCTTGTTCAAAGCCGCTCGCGGCTTTGGTATATACTGAGCGTTTGACCCGTCTAGGCTCCCGCAGCATTACACAGATATATGTCTCATGTAAGTGGCCTCGATGCCTTCACCTAAAACGGTTCAGATTTTCGTCGTTTACTCCCCAGGACACAAGCTCTAATCATGCTTCCAGATTATATCAACCCAGCAGCCTTAGCCCCCTCCGGATCATGAGGCACGACCTCAGTCTCCACACGCATATCATCCTCACCCAGCCGAGTAACTCCCACGCAAGTCCAAATAGGCTCGTGATCCGGCATGTACTTCTTGAAGCTCCGCACCATCGCATCAAGCGCCTCGTTGGTAATAGGCACATGGTACGAGTTCACTCTGAAGACCTGGGACCAGCCCTTCCCTCCAGCACCCTTGAGATTACGCTTAACGTTGGCAAAGGCCAAATCAATCTGGGCCTTGATTTCCTTTTCGAATTCGCCTGTCTTGGGTTCCCAGCCGCCTGTGAATCAACACTTAGCCGGGTCCGTTGCTGTGACTGTACGGTGGGTCTATGCTGTTATTCCTACCTTGCCCGGCGCATTCGATGCGGTCTCCAAGGCGCACGGCCTGGCTGAAGCGGAACTTGACGTGTTTCTCGTCGCCAATGTCCTTGTATGCGTAGTATTGGATGTGAGACATTCTGAGTGTATGAGGGAGTTGGAAATGGATGACAACAGTAACTTTTACGTCGATTAAACGTCTAACTGGTAGTTGACCAGACTGCCCAGGTGGACGTTATATACTTTAAGTTTAGGTGGAGAGTGGAATCTAAATTCTACCCCATACGTAATGCTGAGGACGCTTCGTACTCACACTGCAACATGTTCTTGAGCATAAAGTACGATGGGCGACTTCTCCTAGAACTAGTTCTCGTACGGGGAATATATGAAGCGACATGTTTAGTGCTTGCCCATCTCTAGCGTGACGATTACTCGGTGTGTCGAAGGCACTATAAAAGGAGTTACTTCCGATACATTCTTACTATAAACATTTCGAGGCGATTTAATAATAGATACGTTAGGGTCTCTCCTTGTGTTCGTAGAGAAAAGTCTGGGACTGGAAGCCTACGCCACACCAATGTATTACAGGGGAGTCGCAGTGGCATACAGCTAGTATTAAACGACTTGGCATTCTATCTTTGAGAGTGGGTTAGCACCAAACCTAGAGTCAGCGATCATACTAGTGACGGACGCGAGATAGGTCTCTGATGGCCCATCTTGAGCCCGCGTGGAGCTCTTTGTACAGAATGTTCCTGCTGCATTCTTACCCTCAAGCGTGGGTCTCAGGGCGATCTGGGACCATAGATCTAGTTTGCATTAGCTTTCCGCTTCGTGGCACTACGTAGTAGTCTCGTGCCTTTTCTGTTTCTTCTCGCTCAGTGCCTCTGCCGACTCCAGGAATCAGACCCCGTCGACAGCAAATACGTGTGGGCAGTTCAATGCTCCATCTCGACCTCGTATCTCTGTCCGCGCTCCTTCGGCGAGATTCTAGGCCCGGAGCGGCTGTCGTTCAGTGCGCTGCCACCTGCTGAGCAGACGGAGTAAGCAGTAAGCATCGTAATGGCAGGGCCATCTAACCAAACTGTTGACGGCCATTGGTAGGTGATGATATGTAACCTACAGTGACTGAATCGAGTCTGGTACTGTGAAAGTTATGAGCTACCAGGATGCGGCGAGAATGGCAGACACTTATAGGGATGAGTCGGAGAACGAAGAAAGCATAACCAATCAAATATCACACCTGTGATTGCGTTGATGATATAAAGGGCAGAGGAATAGCTGGGGCAAGAGGGAGTGGACTCTGCAGATGTAACCTATCATAGCAGGAAGTCATAGTAGGGCTACTTCATCTCAATAAGACGCCCCCTACATAAGCGAATATAGAGACACGTCGGCAACCCAAGGCTACCAATCAGCTGCCTGCTTCCTAGATAGCTTCGTCTCTGCTTGCTCCTACGAATCGACACACACGCATTATCGATTCCCACCATGTCTCCTTTCTCCTACGGCTTTCATACCGATACGATATCAACCAAACACTATATGTCGGTCGTCTCTTGAAATTTTCAAAGGCATGCAGGTATTATTGTTGTCATACTACCGGAGAATGTGACCCTGGGCGCTTCGACAGTCAATAGGAACCATGACGACACGTGGAGGGTTGGATTTATGCGACATCACCGACCAGCCTAGCAAACGCAGCGGAGAGAGGGTAACCGGCTCATTTCTGAATCTCCCGAACGGCTCGCAACTTCGCCCCCTCCCGCAGTCGTCGCAGGGAGATGTAGTCGCCAGCCTTTTCCGCGACCGAATAAGGCGTATCACTGCAAGAGTCCTTGAGATCAGGATCTGCGCCTGCCTCCATCAAAGGGTAAATAAGGTCGTGGTGCTCATGCAAGACAGCCACTAACAGTGGTGTCTGTCCTAGATCATCTTGTGCATTCACGTCCACCTGCCCTGTTCCGATCAGTGCCTGGACAATCTTCAGGTATCCCTTTTTACTTGCAAGTCGCAGGGGAGTTCGACCTGCACCGTCCGGATAATCGGGGTGGACACCTGTCGCTAGCAGATCTTGGACGGTCCTCAGGTCGTTGGTAAGAGAAGCATGGCGTAATCGTGCAATGGACCTGTGTTCCTCCGTTACACTTATCGAGTAACGCTTCTCAAGCATATCTAGAAAACTAATCTGCCTCGAAGACGCGGCAGCGAGCACAACCTGTTCAGTGACCGCGGCGCGCGTCTGATCAGGGTACTTTGACTGGAGATAACCAATAAGATCTTCGCCGTGTCGGGCGTTCTGTGTAGCAGCAGCGACGAGGACCGGCGTAATTACCGCTGGATCAAAGGGCCGGTCGAGAAACCAGGTGAGCATCGCTATTCCATTCACGTTTCGGGCGGCGGCCTCGAGGACAGCCCCAGTTATTTGCTGGTTGGAGGGCTTCAGGAGCTTGGAGAGGATGTTGGGGTTGGAATACCGGGCAGCAAAAACCAGGGTTTCCTCGCTAATTCGACCGTGTGGATTACCGTCGCTCAAGGCCAAGGTCGGGATGTCGTGCGGTCTAAAAAGCATGGCAGTTTGTAGTAGTTTATCGGTGATGGTGGACCGATCCACACATCGTTCAGAGAGAAGATCCAAGATCTTCGTCCCTCGTTCTTCGTTTCTTGCGGCGGTGTTGAGAAGGTCCTCAGTGATGTGAAAGGACTCTGGTTGATATTGTAAAAGAAGCAGGAGAAGGTCGAATCCTTGTGCTTCATTTGCAGCTGCTGCACAAAGTATATCCTCATTGAGAGGGATCTTATTCTCGGACTTTTTGAGGAGGTAGTCAAGGTAATCGAGTCCATTCACATCGTTGGTACAGGCAGCCTTGATCACTGCAGGTGTGACAACGAAATTGCCCAAGGTGCCGTTCAGCATATAGTTTGTTGCTGTACTCATATGACGATTCCCAGCAGCTGCTATCAAGCACGATTCCTCGAAATGGGCCGACAGGATTGACTCATGGTCAAGGAAGGCAAGGAGTGTTGATTTCCGATTATGGCGTGCTGCTGCCATGATGAAATACTTGGTGACCTGCAACTTGGCCGTGGGATACTTGGTCAAGAATGTGATAAGTTGTCCTGGTTCCCAAATCCGGCCCACAGCAATTAGGACATCCTCGGTGATTTCGATTCCGGGGCGTAACAAAACCACCAGCATCTCCGGGCTAGCATGCCAATTGGTCGCCGCTATTAGTAGTAGTCGCTCCGATACAGAGTACTCCCCGGTTGCTTTGTCCAACAACAGTCTGAATAGCTGATGGGACCCTTGGGATACGGCCGCCATGAGTAGGTCTCCGGTGACATTGAGATTTGATCCAAGCCTATCGCAAAAAAGAGACATGATGTCAAATCCGCAGTCGGAGTTACTGGTAGCAGCCAGAAGGGCAGCGTGTGTAATGGCGACTTCCTGACGTGCAAGTAGTTTTTTCATGACCGTGACACCGTTCCACGTGCTTCCCCGTGCGGCACATTCAATCAATTTCTCCGCGGTCTCAAAACCAGGCCGAGTCGCTTTGACGGGCGCATTTCCTGTGACATATAGGCTAGTATCACATTGATCGAAAAGAAATGGGATCGTTGTGTCGATGTTGAGCGGCTTAGCTAGAACGGCCCCAATCAACCTTTCAGTCAACTGGAACTGGCCTTGCACATGATGATCAAATAGGTACTGTAGTATTTGTTGATGTCGAACTTGAGCATGACAGGCGGCAATAATGATGTCCTCGGTCACGGGTACCGGCTCTTTGAATTGTGTCATTAACATCAAAACGAGGTCAAGGCCTTGGCTCATATTCCCACACGCGGCAATGACCATGGCCCCTGTAGGGGATAGAGAGTCTCCAGACTTGTTTATTAGCAGCTCGACGAGGTCGGTTCCATGTATTTCATTCTTGCATGCAGAAATAACGACGCTTTCGGTCACCGAAACAGGGTACCTTGATCTCTCCATGAGAAGCTTGATGAGCTCTCTACCGGGGGACAGGTTGTGGCAGGCAGCGACCATGATGTCTTCAGATACCACTATGTAGTCTCTATGACTTGCCAACAATCTCTCAGCCATGCGGAAGGCGTGATGCGGATTTGACACTGCAGACTTCATAACACTTGAGGTGACGTGAGAATGGTCCACACCCAAGTCTAGGAAAAACTCCAATAGTTCGGGTGCATATCCCTTGGTAGCAAGCTCTAGCACAGAGCTGGATATGCTTGCCCGGAACCGCTCGGGATCACAGGATTGTAACGGTCTTAGCAGCAGCACCGCGCGTTGCCCATCAACCGTCTCACTTTGAATCAAGGATGTGATGTCTCGAAGGAAAGCTGCAGATATCTTCAGGCGGGGACTGAAGGCTGAGACAAGAAGCGCCATAATATTCGCACCATCCTGGTTATTCGTTGCTGCAGCCATTAAGCTGTTTTCCGTGATTCGTGCTTCTTGTTCCTTCTGGCCCAACAGGCGTTCCAAGGACTTACTAGTGCCTTCCTGGATGGCGAACGAAAGTACACTGTGTGAAGTCGAGTCCCACTGTGTAGGCAACAGCTGATCAAGGCATCTTTGGGCATCGAACCGAACTGCCAGCTCTAGACACGTATTACCACATCTGGCTCGAAGCCCCTGATTAAGGACATGGTTCATTTCCCTTGATGGGAGAAGCTCAGCCAGATCAAAACAGCATGCTGTGAATACAGGAGAGATTGGTGCACTCCTACAGCATCTCAGTCGGTAATGCAATCGGTTGAAGGAGCCGAGCTGTGCCAGGGTCCTGCGCAATACCGCATGCCAAATGCGGAATGGTGGGCTCCCGCTATCATCGTACGCCATAAAGTACGAGAGTAATGCCTGGAGATTCCCACTAAGGCGCATGCAACCTGCGTTCTGGCAATGTACTGCCCAAAATGCATCTGCGTAGTCGTACAACGTTGAGAGCACGTCTCGGTCGGGCTCGGGATAGTTCCAACGAGAAAGGAAATTCCGGGTTTCGTCACCATCCGATCGCATGATTATACTCAATAGACAAACTTCGGCTGCTATGCCATGCGAGGCATTGGCACGGAGGCTAGCCTGGTTTTGGAGGAACTCTCGGACAGATAAGTGGGCGAATCTGAACGTGTTCAGAGTAATGTCGAATATAACGAGGTTGCAGCACAGGTCCAAGACCTGTTCCAATGAGAGTAGAGTCGTTGATGATCCAACCTGAGTCGACACTGCCGCAAGAAATTCGGCCTGATCGAGTCTTCGGCGCACGTAAAGTAACCACCTGAAAGCGCTCATTGCATATTGCCTGTCGGAATTCGCAGGATAGTGTTCAATTCTACTCATTATCTCCTGATATAGCTCCTCAAGCTGCGGTGGATTCTTTCCAATTCTCTCCCGAATCGCTTTGTCTGTTTTCAGCTGGCACAAAGCCTGCAGCTGTAGACTGGCCCAACGGAACCTAAAGGATGCCAGTGTTAAGAATAGGTTTGGATGGACAATAGGCGACATGAAATGGCTTACATCCCATTAGCATCTTCGCTGACCTTTGCTACTATGGCCTTTCTCATCTCGGTCCTGTTCGAGCTTGATCTCAGCAGCATTTTCCGAGCGATGAGTCTATCCGCTTCCGATCGCACAAAGTGAACGATATCTGCCGAGTTCTTGTCTGAGGAGAGCTCCAGATTCGGATAATCCTTTAACTGGTAGACAATGTCTTGATCGTCACGGCTGGAGACGAACAGTTTCACGAGAGTTGACGAATTATGTAAAACATTGGTGAACACGTCTAAGATATCTGCTCTGGTGTCAGGGTCGCATTCGTCGAGTGCGTCAATGATGATAGTAGCAACTGGGTGCAGTGCGAGTAGATCAATTATCAACGATTGACTCTCATCCAGGGTCAGACGCTCTGCTGCAAAGCCCTGAACCTCTTGCTCTTCGTACATTGCAATCGCCGGTGGCAGCAACGGGCCTGTTGGACTAGTGCGTGCCAGTTGACGAGCTATGCTAGCGATAACCTCGCTAGGGATGGATCGAGTCGGCTCAGCAGGATTTCGTGAGCAGTAGAAATAGACAGGAAGAGGCGATTGGCCGGTCTGGGAACTCTGCAGGGTGTCTTCGATAACAGCCGACCTGAGATGGTCAGCGTTTCTCCTCAATAGTATCAAACCATCACGTACACCAATTTACTCTTTCCAGATCCTGGAATACCATGTAGCCACAGGATAGATGAAGCGCTCTCATCCTTCCACTTCCTGTACACAGGATCAGCAAGCAACCAGGCTCCGGTGCCGGACAGAAAGTCCGATCGAGCCTGCTTGTGGTGCTTTTGGTATGGCTCAGCAGAGAGCCACTGCAGGATACTCGTTCGTTTAGATGCTGTACAAACAGCGTCAGAGTCAAGACAGTTAGTAGCGGTGTTGGCTTACCCTCGAGAGTGTCCTGTATCTGTTCGATTGTCCGGTCAATCCGCCTAAGTGGGGTGTCCATGTCGTTTAGGATTGTCTTCAACTCAAGGTGTTGTTCAAGTTGTTCTGCGACGTTAGGTCCTAGTAGGTCCCACCAGTAGTTGCCAAGACTTACTCTCGAGACCAACAATTGCCGCGCATCTATCAACCGTGATTTTGGAGCGGTTGGCAAAGATGTGCTCCAGGAGTTCACCATGCTCGTCAAACTCGTTGATCTAGAGTACCAACCGAAGGTATCTAACGAAATGCAAAGGTTCGACCTTTGGGCCTCCAGTCTAGGACTTTACCATACCGGACACAGTTCCCTCGATTATCGATTCCGCGACTCGCCGCCACTCTTCCAGTATGCTTTGGGGCTTCTGAACGATCTACTGGAGACTCTGTCAATAGGTAAGGAACACTCTGCCGGATCGTGCTAGGAAAAGTCACTGACAGTCTCCAGTTGCTGAACTTGCAGAGGAAGCTTCAGGGTTTGGTGAGGTGGATGATAATGTCTCAGTCAGCGATGTTGACTCCGAAGAAGAGGATCTTTCGGCATATCCATCCGAAGACCTCATTCAGGAATATCTCTGCAACATCGCGATAACAATAGATCGGCTGTACGCCTTGTCGTTCAAAATTCGCAACCCCACAGTCCGGACTGGTGTTTCCCCAGCTCTCTCCAACAAAGATCTCGACGACGACACTCGAATTCTCATTGAGGGCTTTAAACGATGGGACTTGGAGCATGTAATTGACCTTTTCCGGACATGGCGGCATGATATGAATAAGGAAGATCTGGAGAACCATTTCCTTGTTCGACGGCTAGCTTTAGCCAATACACACCGAAGGCAGCAGTTCAAATACTGGGAACGCCGTCGAGCAAAGTATGAGAGGTACCACCGAGCGGCGATGACAGGGCTCCGCCAGTCTGGGAAAGCACATTCGACTGGGATGACGAACTCTGAGCACGGTCTACTTTCAGAGCCGACCACCGCGACGGGTATAGGAGCTGCCATCCTTGCCGACTTTGACACCGAGTCGATGGGATCCAAGGCAAGTTATGCATTGAAAGGGGACGAAGTCGAGGAGAAGAACATCCTACCTGCGCCGCCAGTGATCGACCCGGAAATCAAAGAATTCGAATGTCCGTTTTGCTTCATCCTGTGCAGTCGCAGAACATTGCAGCCCGGCGTTTGGGAGTATGCCATATCCACCTCAACAGCGCCGGAGTACTCAGAAGTGCTAATACCAATATAGGAGGCATGTTATTAGAGACCTGCGACCGTATATCTGCACCTTTGAAGAGTGCAAAGAAGCCGACCAGCAATATGATACCCGCCCAGATTGGATTGGCCATGAGCTTACCAAGCACGGATGCCATCCCGAGAACCCCCGAAAGTGTCCGCTCTGTCTAAGAGAAGGCGTCAGCGCAGGCCACATAGCATCTCATCTGCAACGTACAGCCTCATTCGCACTTCCGCGCCTGCACAACGAGCCGAATGACACCGAGGCCGAATTCGATACCAGGATAGAAGTGGGGCAGTCAACTGATCGGGACTTTTCCACGAATAGTTCAGGCAACGATGAAGCCGCTGATGGCCAGAAGACTGTGCATCTCGTGATGCAGCGTCCCGGCGAGAGGACACGCTGGGTGGCTGTTTCACTGAGCCCAATGCATTCAGTACAGTCGCAAATTGCGAACGCTGCGAGATTATTTTTGGCCTTGGATGTTGAGACTGAATTCAAGTTCACCGACGAAGATAGAACAGAAATTCCACTAGCATATGACCGTCTCGACAACGGCAGGGTTATATACGTACGGCCACTCAATCATCCAGATCCCGCAGCCGGGGTGCCTGAAGATCAAGAGAGAGGGAGAACACTGCATAATGGCAACGTACCTCTGGGAAGACGAAACAGAACACCCGTGAAGGAGAGGGAGCCGGTAATAGCGAGATACAGCGCGCAAGGATCGAACAAGCCATGGGCTCAGGAATCTCAGCGCACACCCCCAAAGGACATTTCACAGCCGGGAAGGGAGCCGGGGCCCGTCTTCGTTATATCTCGTCAGTCACAAATTGGTCCCCCTGAACGCAAAGAAAGTATCTTTCGTCGCATAGGGCAACGTTTAGGGTTTCGCCGGAATCGGGAAGATACCTCGTCGTCCCGCATGTCCGATTTTAATGATCCCCTTTCCGGTGCAAGAAGTGAGTCGAGACGCACCAGTTCGCCACCTACCGAGGAGCATGGGAATATTACGAGTCAGCTCTCGAGAACGGTAGTACCTGGCCTTCCACGGAATCTGACCTTCAAGCGGCAGCAATCCGAGCTTCGACGTATGCCTCCTCCGATGAGTGCAGAGATCCGGCGTGCTGCGTCGGTAGACCGTCGGAGCTCAGCACAGCGCGGACATTTGCAAGGCTCTAGCTTCACTTCGAGAAGGTCCGATATCGATATCTTTCAGGAAAGGGAGGATGGTGGAGCGTCGGACTATAGTGCCTCGCAGGACTCTCGAGGGCCTGCGGTATTTCCATCTGGCTAATATTGGCCGTCGGACTGGACTAACCTTGTACTAGCTACCACCTTCACCAAGTATAATCATTAGAGGGTACGATAAAGCTTACTATTTCTAGCTCTTGCGGGCCGAGCCATTCAATGAGAAGTCATGAAGCCTTGGTTTTCATGCGGGACTGACAAGGTAATAGGAAGCCCAGACGAGAACGAAGAAAACTACGTGAGCGAACAGACGAATGAGAGCTATGCCAATCGCGAGAACGACATACTAACCCTGGAAACGCTGAAAAAGTCAACAAGGATGGGAACAAGACGATGAAGACTCTGTAACTGATGAAGGTGATAAGTTATGATAGTTGGGCTGAGGCTCGCGCAAGACAGCAAGGTTCCAACACCGTCCCATTGCAGAACACAGTGTCCAAGATTGAGAATACTTCCAGCTAAGGAAGGCGAGTAGCTATTGGCAATCCCCGCTTCACTTTGGATTAGCATAATTCAGTAATCATAGGTCTTCCCAATACTATGGCACGAAGGATGACGGGCGAGACGGAACCTCCTGTGGTCCGATATGGAGAAGCCAAAACGTATATAAAATTTACAGCTCTATACGGGACATGGTTGTCCTCAAAGCCTTTGGCAGTGCTCTTGGTACCAGCAAGTCCAAGTTCATTAATGTACAGGAGCATGGACTGATTAACCATTCCTTGTAGCGCGATTATCACCCATAAAAGCCGGTATCGAGGTTTACCCCTCCAAGCATGCTGTCATCTATATGAGCGACACCGTTCCAGAAGATACATCGAATGAGCCCCGTGTGGTCAAAGAGCCCCTTACTGTTAAGCCCAAGGGGCCAGATGCCACACTCGACCCGCGGTCAAGGCTAAATTTTGGAAAGATCTACACGGTCGAGCATGATGTGAAAGTGGCACCAGTTGGCATGTTATCGGAGGAGTTATTGGCCCGGTTCACAGCCTATACACAGAGAAGATCTATCTATTTAAGGGTGGAATAAACAGCTAAGGCATTGCCTGCTGCAGGACATAGGTGTCCACGTTGGTCATATTGCTGACCATTATATGCGAGCACTGCTACATACACGATGTCAGGGTATGACACTAGTTCCATACTTCAAAACTCGGGTGGCTGTGCTGTGCTGCCGATGGGAAAATACTGGTAAGACTACCCCATGTAGAAGGAGTTGCCACTATGGATTCTTGGATATGAAGGGGACTGCTGGCAGTTCGGAGACCCTGTCCTCGATGACCTGAACCCGCCCGGGCCCGGACAAAGGTTTCCTAGTTGGGCCAACAGGGCTAGCGCCGGATTCCAACAATGCCACCCCACCAGCTTTGCGGGGGCAATTATTGTCCAATCCAGACCGGGATGCCGGTCAGTTTGCCCTAAGCGTGAAAGAGGTAAGTTTGATCCGGACAATGGACGGAGACTGTACTCCTTTCCCAATCTGCCGGGTAGCAAAACCCCGGCCATGTGCATTTTACAGTATACCCCACGCCTGAAATATGAAGACATACAAAGCCTATTCCTGAGAAGGGGTCCAGAAAGACATATAAACCCCCGCCTCAACCCCTCCTCGTCTTTGAATCCAGAGAACCAACCTTTCTCATCTTCTCCTCTCACGTTCCCGTCCACATTCAATATCTCTCAATCTCAAAAATGCCCCCCAAGAAACTCGCCGTCGGCGCCGCCGGCCTCGGCCGCATGGGCAAACGCCACGCATTGAACTTCCTCAACCGTGCGCCCCGCGCAACCCTCGTGGCCGCGTTCTCGCCAGACCCCGAGGAAATATCCTGGGCAAAGCAGCACCTGGAGCCGCACGGCGTGACCCTATACACCCAGTACGAGGATATGATCGCACATCCCGGGTTGCAGGCTGTTGTTATCGGCACTGCGACGTCGGTTCATGCCGAGGAGGCTGTCAAGGCTATTGAACGCAATCTTCACGTGCTTTGTGAGAAGCCGTTGAGTATTAGTGTTGATATTGTATGTTTGCCCCTTTTCATTTTCCTCTTCGGGGGCCACTGGGGCTAATATTTGAATAGTGCAACGAAGTCGTCTCCGCCGCCCGCGCCCGCCCACACCTCAAGGTAATGTGCGGATTCTCCCGACGCTTCGACGAATCCTACAGAGCCGCCTACAAGAAGGTCGAAAACGGCCTCATCGGCCGCCCCTCCGTTCTGCGCAGCCAAACATGCGACAAGCACGACCCGTCGGGCTTCTACGTCGAATACGCCAGCTGGTCCGGCGGCGTCTTTGTCGACATGGCCGTGCACGACATCGACCTGACCCTATGGTTCTTCGGGTCCGACATCATCCCCAAGTCGATTTCGGCTTATGGTTTGACAGCCGTTACGCCTGATTTGAAGAAACATAATGATTTCGACAACGCCGTGGGGATCGTCGAGTTCTGGAACGGGAAGATCGCGTACTACTACTGCTCCCGGATGATGGCTCACGGGCAGGAAGACGTGACGGAGATCATCGGGACAGAGGGCAAACTCAGCGTGAACCTGAACCCCGCAGATAACCTGGTGAACTACTACCACGCCGGCGGAATCACGCGCGAAGTCCCGGCCACATACTGGGGCCGCTTCGAGCAGGCGTTTGTGCGGGAGACGCAGGAGTTTGTGGACGCGTGCTTGGACGACACGCCGCTGCCGATGAAGTTGGGGAATGCGGTCAAGGCGGTGCAGATTGGGGCGTGGTTGCAGGAGGCGCTGGTTTCGGGGAAGCAGCTCAAGTTTGATGAGACGGGGAGGAGGGTTGAGGCTTCCAAGATCTAGATGAGTGTATGAGAGATTGAATAAATGGTTTCTTTGTTGTTCTTCACTACCATCCCCATGATTGTTTCAACCGGTCCCTGGAGTTTCCCACGGGCCAGCCGAGGTCGTATTCTAGTTCATCGAGTAATCCGAGAAGGGCATGTTGCTCAGCTCGATTCTCAAAGTGTTCACCACAAACTACAATACCCAACAGCGCCGTCGTCAACGAAGGAGGGTTCTTCCGGTTATGCACAGCAATCCCACACAAGCGGAGCACGCACCCTCTCAACTCTTCACTTAGCGCACGCATAGCTGCCCGGTGTCCGAGCCCTAACCTCGGTATATTCGGATTATACACAGCCAGCAATATCCTTGCGAGCTCCACATGCTGCACACCCGCGATATGCAGATTCGTCAGATAGCACAGCTCCGGAAACACCTCGCCCTTGCTCTTATCCGGTTCTCGGAAGTAGATCGGTTCGAAGCTCGACGGGAGAAGATCGACCCATTTCTGCTCGAGAGATTTCAGATGCGCCCAGCGGTCTTTGGCCGACGTCCCGTCGACTTCGTGTGCTGGGGGTTGGTGGGAGTTTCCGTAGCAGAATTCTAGCACGTCCGCGCAGAATATAACCAGGCGCGCTGTCCAGAGCGCATCTTCGGCTGGTGCAAACGAGCGAAAGACGTCGCAGCGCGATAGAGACATGTTGAACGGGCGCTGCTTGAGGAAAGCCGAGTAGACCTCCTGCCGGAACGCAACCCAGAAAGCTGCCTGGCGGAGGTCTGCCATGTACCACCGTTTATTCTCAATCGAGGCTGTGTTGGGGAGCGAATTTGGCGAACTGTATGTTTCCGCCGCCATCTCCAAATCTGCACTCGCAACCGTACTGCCCGGTATGGATAGGCTCCGCCCAGGACTCAGAGGGACATTTGGGATCTGGGCCTCGATGAAGATGTTTATAACGCGCAGGAACAGTTCGCTGTCCCGCTCATCGTCTTGCAAGGGATAGTCAACCTCCTCATAGAATCGCAGAATAATGCCTGCCGCCAGCAGATCCTCGTTTCGGGTTTGCTCGGGGTTGGCGCCCAGCGTCAGCAAATCATGGATACATTTGTTATGGTAGTGTAGAGCCGTTTCATCTGTGAGATCATGCAGGATACGTCCATCATATTGTACGGCTCCGGATTCGGTTCTGTTCTTGGGGACTCGCGTTAGATGCCGCGCAGAGGCTGCCAGTATCGCGTTCATAAGTGGCGGGCAGCGTCGCGCGCGCTGTGGAACGACCATTTGGAAGTGGCGGTCGGGATCGCAAAAGTCGAGCCAGGTGCTTAGGTGGTCGATGTAGTATCGGAAGAGTAGGAATTCAAGGGTGTTGTGCGTGATTGACAGGGATCGTGGAGGTTTGACTAGACCAGCCATGACGGACCCGCTATTCGAGGGGCCTGACGTAGTACCCTCTGGGATGCGAGTATTGGGCGGGATATGCGGCCCATCTGCCTCTTCAACCTCGTGGGCTGTTTCCGGTCTCATCCAAGTGTCTGCAGTGAAGGCCGGCGGTTGTCCAGCGGGTGATGACAGGATTCCCATAGTCTCATGCGGCAGTCTCTCTGCGCAATGTGTGTCTTCTGAGCCAACCCCAGTTCCCGGAATGTCGAGAGCCGGTTCGGCATCGCGCCCATGCACCACCATCAACTCGGGCGTCTCGTCGATATACACCAATCTCCCTGCGACAGTTAGGTTAGCTAGATTTCCTAGTCGCTCGAGATTATTTACTCACTCGGAGTCACCCCCCTCTTTGCCGATCCGGAAAACGCCTCTCTACCAGCTGAACTCTGGCCTGCAATCTTCCCAGAGACATCACTAAACCGAATGCGACTTTTCGTCCTCGTGCATGCAACTTGATCCTTGCAGCAGCGCTCACAAGCGTCATCGCTCGACCTACTCGGCTCGCATCGTATGTGCTTCTTTGTGCAATCGAGGTGTCAGCAGCGAACCTTCAGGGCCGACCGGGCTTCCGAAGAGGAACTTATCTGCAGTGGTCGCAGGTAACGAGCCTGCGCTTGCGGGTTACATTTGGCGACGGGTTATCGAGTTCCGGTGGGTCAATGGTGTTGTGTATGCGTGGATTCATTTCAGACGAGTTGGAGGTGATGGGAGAGATTAGTGGAGGTCGGGAGAGAAATCGGAGAGAAGCCGAAGGCTCGGAGAGAGTGCGGGGTTTGCGGGGAATCTTTCCCCTCTGGTTCGGTGTATGAGGGAATCTAATGAGCCACAATATTATATTCGGTCTCTTATTTTGCTGGAGCTACTTCACGTCCCAACTCTCTCCAAAATCTCCGCGGACGTCGAGATCCATTCTTGTTCCAACGTATCGTCGAGATTGTGCCGATACACGTCTTCTAAATCTGCAGCGAAACATTCCTCTGCACTGAGAGCGTTCCACAATTGCAGATTCCCCGGCAACGGAAACTGCAAGTCCCGTGCTGAGAAGCCCCAGCGTGATGTGTCCCCTCTACCCGCATCGATGAGGCTGTCTATACCCTCGCTGCTCGATCCACTGAACGCCATGCACACTTTATACAGAGCCAGGTTGAACCGCTTAATCTCTTCGGTACTAACCCAAACATACGTAGGCGGTTCGTTCTTGTTGAAGCGCGCAAGGATATTCGGATAATAGAACATTCCCAGCTTTTTGCAACTTGTGACGAGTCGTTGGAGGAGGTCGGCATCGGCAGGAGCGAGAGAGGGTTTGAGGTCTGGCGGGAGTATCCCGCCCCCTCTCATCATCCCTACGGATATAATATGGAGCAGGATCGCTTGGTATGTTGGTATCGGCCATTTGCATGAAGGGGTCGCGTCTTCTGCTTCGGAACCGTCCCATTGGTCCTAGGGGCCTATTGTCAGCGAACCCGCCGAGTAAAGAACGGCACGAAAACTGGGACTACCGTTTGCTGCCGCAGAGCCGTGTCCAGGACTCGATGTAGATTAATTGCTTTTGATCGCTCCTCCTCCTCCCCACCCATCCACAACGCAATGACAACCATTGACTGAACGAGCAACGGCGTCTCGTACTCGATGAATGACGCCCGATGGATAAACGGCCAGTACGGGTGAAACAGCTCAAAGTACCTGCTCACAAAGCGATCTTCGATCTCCATGCGGCGTAATCTGGGTTGCGGAGGAGTCGAGCGTGACACTGTGGGCTGTGTGTCTGTCGCTGTACTGAGACCCATACCCGGCCGGACTGCTCGTTCCTCCTGGAGCGTACGACTAAGCGAACACTCGATTCCGCGCCGCTGGCAATTGGAACACGGTGGGCCTCCCTCGCACCGAATCTTCTGGTTCCGACAGTGCGTACATGCGTGTTTGATATGGGGGCCGGGGTCCGCTATGCCATGCACGGTCTGGATATGTCGTCGCAGCGTATCGCTATAATGCGAGCATTATGACTATGATCTTTACTGAAAAGCCGATCCAGGGGAAGGGAAGCGCTTACCTTCGACCGAATTCTCGAGCACACGTTGGACATTGTACGACCCGACGTCGCGTATGTTGCGCCTCGTGGCGGCTGAGGTGCTCCTTCCGCTGGTATTTTGCAGTGCACCCCGGAAATCGACAGTTGTATCCACTTGCTGACGCCATTTTGCTTGGCTGGGATTAGACTGCGAACCCAAGACCTCCTGTTGTGTGAGCAACCCCAATAGAAAAGTCAGGGAGCGTGGACTCTTCCAGTGAGGTTTCTTCGGTCCTCCCACTTTCAAGCTTAGTAAGAATGCGAAAGGGAGAGGATGTAAAGATCCACGGTTGGAGTTGGTTATGGACCCTCGGCGCGCCCACTCGGAGCGCCCACTCTTAGAAATCCGCATCAATAAGCCTTCCATTGGGCAACATTGCAGTATATCTACCTCTGTAGTTGCTCTGATTTTGAACCCATAATATGCTCCAGCTCCGTTGAACGACAACGATAAAATATACCAACTCCGTTCTCCCAGCCATGGCCCCCTCAATCCTCATCGCCAGCGCCACGGGCAACACCACAGAGACCCTCTCCCAGCTCCTGCAGGCCCCCGACTCCCCCTTCCACACCCACCGCATCCTCGCCCTCACCCGTTCACCAACCAGTCCCGTCGCCCAACACCTCGCCTCCCTCCCCTCCGTCTCCGTCATCGAGCAATCCTAGACCGAACTCACCCCCGCATGGCTCCAGCAGCACAACGTAGCCCGCGCCTTCATCGCCCCGCACAACAAACCCACCCACTTCGCCGATGAATCCACCTTCCACCTCGCCCTCCGCGACGCAGGCGTGGAATACGTCGTGCGGATCTCGACGACGGCCGCGCACGTGCGCCCCGATGCCATTGCGTACTACCCGCGCGCACTGGGCGATCGAGACACTGCTTGGCACAGACGAGTTCGGTGCCCTGCACTGGACGAGTCTGCAGCCGAATGTCTTCCGGAGCTTCTTCGCCGCTGCGACGCAGTTTATCCGCGAGTTTCGCGAGACGGGCGAGCTAGGCGTGTTGAGGCTCATGGCGGGCAGGGAGACGCCCGTGGGCGTTGTGGATGCCGATGAGGTGGGGGTTGTGGCAGCGCATCTGCTTGTCCAGGAAGATACCGCGAAGCACAAAATGCGGAAGTACGTCCTCAACGGGCCCGAGGCTATCACCGGGGAGGGCATCGTGCGGCTCGTCGAGGGTATCATCGGCGTGTCTGTCCCCGAGCAGAACGTCCGGTATCAGGAACACTCGTGGCTCGACGGGTTTCTGGAAGCGGAGTACATGGGCGCTGGGATCTCGCGCAATGTCGTCATGTCTACGAAGCGCGCGGCCGCGAAGGCGTGGGATGCGTCTATCCCGACTGTTCCGACGAGTCAGGAGGTAATGGAGATTGCGGCACCGAAGCGGACGCCAGAGCAGATGTTGAAGAGCTTGTTGGGGGGTTAGATGTGGGAGTTTAGTCGAGTGGTGGCTGTCTTCGAATGGGTAGCTGGCTGCGCAGGGCTACGTTTCTCAATGGTCATGCAGCCTTCGGTGTGTATGCTTTGTTGGGACTGGAATTGGAACGCATTGAGAGTTGATGGATGGAAAACTGCTCGCCAGTAGGATAGAAGAGTTCAAGAAAGAATGGAATTCCCCCAGGCGACCCTTCCCCTGCGTCTAGTATTTTCTTGGCCTCTTTTGCGGCTGTGCCGAGTCAAATGATTTTGGTGAGAAGTATGACGTACAAGCTCATGTGCTGCTCATCTTAGAACCCTCATAAGCCTTCATAAGCACGAAAGTATAATCCGAACTTGATAGGGTACGAACTATGCAATCTAGTTCTATTTTGCCACATAATAAAGTAGTCTATATGCCAAGTGAGGGGCCTCGAGAGGAACGAAAGGAAAGGAAAAAAGAAATTGAAAGGATTGAGTGAAGCGGAAAAATGGACAAGAAGAGAAAAATGAAAGAGCAAGCAGCAACTAGGAAGGGAGGGAACATGTGTAGATAGAAAGGAAGAAGAAAAAGAAAACCCAGGATTAGGGCAGGAAGGAACAAGATCAAATCAAACCAATGCAATCTATCTGATAAACCAACGTTGAGTCAAGACGGGGGAGACTTGACCTCCTCCACCCTCAAGCTCACCTCACCTTCAGCCTGAGATTAAGCAGTCTTCTCCTTCCTCCAGCTCTTCTTTGGCACGCGGGCCAGCCAATAAATCCCAATAGCAGCGACGATATTGAACGCAATAAACGCCCAGATAAGCCCGAAATTCCGCCAGGCCTCACTCCAATAACTCAGGACCGAAGCCAGGAAATCATCCGTTTTGGCCATGGCGCAGTACGCGCACTCGGCAGTGGCATTCGGGTTCTGGATTGCGCCGCCGAATTGCTCGACGAAGGGGTTCAGGTACTCGTAGCAGGTTTGACCAGAGGGGGGGTCCATGTTTAGGGTTTCGATGCTGTCGCAGACGACGTTTGTGCCGCTTATTGCTGTGGAGAGCATGCCGGAGACCATGTAGGTGAAGGGGGAGACGCGGTACATGAAGATCCAGAAGCCGGGCATGTTGTCGGGGGTTGCCACCACACTAGGTCGATTGGTTAGCATTCATTCACTGTGTGTAGAAAGGGGCTTCTTGTTTGGAAAAGTGTAGTACAAACTCACCCGCAGAACAGCAACAGGAGCGCAAAGACCAAGTTGGCGATATTTCCACCCGTCTCCGCACTATCAACACCAGCAATGACCATATGCGCAAAGGTCGACGTGAACCACAAAAAGACCAACAGGAATAGGAACATGAGAGCGCCCCTCTCATGCACGGCATCCGTAGGCTCCGCGTTCCTATATAAACCAACCGGATAATACCAACAGAAGAACATAAGCACAGCAACCAGGAAGTTCCACGGCAATTCCACGATGATATTGCTTGCCATGAATACACGCCACGAATACATTTTCGACGGCCGCTCGCGCACTTCATAGAGGGCGCGCTGTGTCACGAAGTTGGGCATGATCTGTTGGACCAGATTGCCGAAGATGGTCATGAGCATGAAAATACTAAACATTTGGTTCTGCAGGCCGTGCTGCGTGTTCTTGGCGTGGAAGAAGGAGAAGCCGTTGTACAAGGCTGTGAGAATCGAGAGGACGATCTTCGAATAGATGTATGAGGGAGTCCGCCAATACTGTGTGAAGACGCGGATAAGTGTTTCCTTTAACTGGATGGTGGTTGAAACGGCGAATTCCCTGTACTCGGCCGGGGACGCCTCCTGCTTGGGCTTGGTGGAAAGAGTCGATTTCAGCTCAGCCAAATGATCAAGCACCCCCTGTTTCTCGGGGCTGCTGTTCCAAACTGCCGGCCAGTCGACATCGCTATGCGAACCAGGGGCAGCGCCAATCACATCAAGCATCCATTCAGCCGGGTTCTCGCCATCTGTAATGGCATGGCCTCCGTTGCGCTCAAAATAGCTGGTCAGGATCGAAGAGTTTTCGCCCACTTCACCAAAGTACACTGTTCGGCCTCCTTTAGCCAGGAAGAGCAATCGGTCGAAGCGCTGGAAAAGCATCGCAGAGGGTTGATGGATTGTACACAAGATCGCTTGGCCGTGGTTTGTGAGTGTTTCAATGAGGTCCAGAATCGACCATGAAGTCTGAGAGTCCAGGCCGGATGTAGGCTCGTCAAGGAAGAGAAGTAGCTGGGGTCTAGCTACCAGCTCGACGCCGATTGTCAACCGCTTACGCTGTTCGACGTTGAGACCTGTCAAGTAACTTAGCTACTTCTTCTGCGAGAGCCGATTGCTGTCATATGAGCGGTGTGATAAATGGAATGTACTTACCAACACCCGGAACACCAACAACAGCATCAGCATAAGACTGCATGCCAAGCAAAACGAGAACCTCCTCGACATAATCCAATCGTTCCTGTCGGGTAAATTGTGCCGGCTGCCTCAGAAGGGCACTGAACTGCAACGCCTCTCGGACAGTCGAAGTAGGGAGATGCACATCTTGCTGCTGGACGTAACCGGTTTTTCGCTGAAACGAGTCGTCACGGGGGAGACCGTCGACAAGAACCTCGCCGGTAACCACGCCCATCGTTACTCGGGTCGCGAGAACGTCGAGTAGAGTCGTCTTTCCGGCTCCAGAAACACCCTGTTTGGGATATTAGTTGGTCTACCCATGAACAGCGGTGGTGAAGACATACCATTAGAGCAGTCGCTGTACCCGGTTTGACCCAGCCACAGACATGATCCAAGATCCGGCGGTGTTCACCTTTAATTGTAATATCATAGCACAGATCCTGCCACTGGAAGATGGCCGTCTGACGCTGAATCTCAGTACCACTGTTTTCTGCGGCGTTATCAGTGTGCGCTGGTGCAGCTCCACTGGCTTCATCGTCGTCGGTGATCTTGGGCTGATGGCCGCGTCGGAAAACAAGAACCTCGCCTTTAGAGCCAGCCTCGGTAATGAATTCGGTAGCGGTCAGGTACACGAACATGAAAAAGACCATGAACGCGATCATAATTCCCAGATTCCGCCAGAGATGAGAGTGGTAGTACTGATAGCTAGAAGCCAAGTACGCGTCACCATCGATGCTCATCTCACCAGGGCGAGCAGAGACAGCGTTGCAGATGGTATTTTGTGGGTTGACATCCTCATAGCCTGGGCCGGATGGAACGAAGGACACGCAGGTAAATTGGCGGTTGTGGAACTCGTTGACCATCAATGATTCGAAGCCGTATGCTATAGGGTTGACATAGTTCATCCAGCGGGACCATCCCAGCATGTCACGGGTTGGAATCACAAAACCAGTGTAAATCACCAGACCCAGGATGAGCAGGGCTGCGGGAACCAGCGCCTGCGACAACGAGCGTGATGCTGCTCCGAATGTACGGAAGACCATGGACATGGTCAGCGTTGTGACAAGCGAGAAGATCCAGTAGGTGAAAAACGCCCCCGGTTCCCTGCGCAAATGCGAGAGAAAGTAAATGGGCAGGTTGAACGTAAACGAGTTGATCAGTTTGTACGGCATGTCGGTAAGCATCGATGCGATTGCCTCTGCAAAGGGATGGTAGAATGCGTATCGCGACTGCTTCTCGACGATTGGCCGTTGAGCATACAGAGTGAGAATCTAACTCCAGTTAGCCTCAATCCGTATCTCACAGGATAAATAGAAGTTGGTGGGGGGGCGGGTGGCTGGTTGAGAGAGGAACTCACTTCAAGCGCACTGCTGAAAGCACTAAGCAGGACAGCATAGAAAAGCAACACACCGCGTCCGAAGAAACTGGAGGTGTCCTGGGGAAGATCATAGAATACACTGCCGATGATCAATGAGATGAAGAAGTTGCCGATTAGAGCAGTTGTCGTCAAGCTGGCATCGCCGCGAAGGCGTTGGAAGCCGCGGACCAGACATAGAGTAACCTGTTGATAGATCGAGAGAGTGTATGGGGATGCGGCTCGCCTAAGAAAAGGGAATTGACGTGAGCAATCTATTAAGACCACTTGAAGAGGGTAAGAAGGCTTACTGTTGCTTCGACTGCATCAAGCGACGGGCTTCCCCGAACTTTTCAAAGGATTCGCCACCGATGGGATACTCTTGGTCAAATGCGTCGATTTCCCGAAGCAGACGAGCGCACTCCGGGCTGTTTCTCCAGCGCTGGGCGAATTCCACAGGGGTGCGAGGGACCTTGTCTTCGTAGCCAGGCCGGACGCGACGTTCGCTTGGGCTGGTCAGCGATGTCAGGAAATCGGCGGTGGTTTGACGAGGCGGACAAAAGAAGCCCATGTCAGTGAAGAATTTCTGAGCTTCGCCGGTAGGCCCAAAGTAAATTTGATGGCCCTCGTAGAGGACCGTCACTTTGTCAAAGACCTTTGCCTGTTAGTTATAACCATCGTCAACAAGAGGAGTCTTCATACATCGTAAGCGTTCTGCGACGCCTGGTAGATAGCCACACAGGCAGAGGTCCCGGCGTATTTGCTCATGAGCGACAAGTTCTTGCAAAACTCGAGAGCGTTGGCACTGTCCAAACCTCGGGTGCTGTTATCCCAGCATTGCAATGGCGCGCCACTAAGAATCGCCTCTGCAATACTTACGCGCTTGCGCTCACCACCACTGACTCCACGAACATAGTCGTTGCCGACCCTTGTATTGAATGTATGGCGTAAGCCGAGCATCGTCATGACCACATCACGAAGATGGGCGGCGTAGTCCTGTCGGCTCAAGCCAGGGAAGCGCGTCTGGGGGGCTCGTGCTCGGGCAGCAAAGGTGAGGGTGTCTCCGACTGATAGCTGAGGGAAGTGGACGTCCGTTTCGGCGTTGTAGATGGCCTCTCCCCGGAAGCGTTTCTGCATGTCGTAGGCGGAGATTCCTGGAATTTCGTGGTCAGCGATCGGATCGGTTGCGGACGATTTGCTCATGTGGCTCACCCTGATAGTTTATGTACGCATCGTCGGACATGTGAATGCCATTCATCTCGCCCGCAATTGTCTTCAGAAACGTTGTGCAGCCACTATTATAGAGGATTAGCAAGGCCTTGTCGGGTACTTTCACATCATATCTCACCTGCCAGGTCGACCAAGAACGACCAGCATCTCACCACTGCGAACAAGACCGCTGAACTCATCCAAGATCTGCACTTTTTGCAAGCCAGTCTTGGTCAGCTTCCTCACCAGTCCAGCAACACCGAGAATGGCATTAAAGACGTCTTTCTGGTAGTCCGTCGCACTGCCGAAACCGTGTACACTGAGTTTCTTGAAGGCCACACCAGCCGTGCGTTCACGAAAGCGGTCCGGATCACCCCTCTGGGCTGCCAGCAAGGATCGGATCCAGTCCTTGACCTTGAACGAGGGACTGTCTGGATGCAGCGCCGACTCCTTGTTGTCTTCAAAGAACGGATTCGTAGCATTGCTGGTCGAAAAGTGCGTGGATCGACGCGTCAATTGGCGGGCCATTGTTTCAATCTCCTCCTCCATGTCGCTTCCTGTAAATTCTCCATCCTGGCCTTCCGTTTTGGTGACGCTAGACGCGGCCGTGTCCGTTTCGAAGCGATGAGCAGGCGCATGGTCCTTCTCCTCGAGGGGCGGGATACCCCCAAAGACCGACATTTTGACTGCGAGTCAAGAATAGATCCTGTTGAGACACGCAGAGAAATGGTCGGTCTAGGTCTGAAAAATAAACACGAGGGATCGTCTGCGCCAAATAAGAAAAAGCCTTGTTTCATATTCGGGGCTCGGTAGACGTGGATCCGTCTCAAAGAAAGAAACTCCATTTTGTCCGAGCTAGAATGATTAATCAGGAGTCGATCGTTGTCTGGGCTTATCACATCGCCGAGCCTGGGGGGAGGCATTCCGAGCTGGGAACCGCAACAGGGGAGTTGGATATCAAAAATACGATAACAGCTCGGGGATGTAATACTGTTCGGATCAGACACACTCCGGCGTATTGAAGTGGAGCCATCGAGCCAGCCGAGCCACTCCGATTCGACAGAAAATGGTATCGTACTCATGCCTCAGGCCTCAGCTATGGAGCCAGGCTCCGCTGACCAAGGTGGCGATGCGCTGGATCCTCGAGTAAGAGATACACCCCGGATACACAGGGTCCGGCGGGTATCAGGCTTGCTCATATCAGTTCGCTGGCCGCCTTCATCGCCGAACTTGCCAATCTGTCCCATTGCTCCGCCCAGACTGCAGACACCTCTCGAGTCTCGGCCCACGCAGTGCACACGATGGAGCCCCGAAAAACACGGGCCGGCGCCAAAGTTCGATCTCCCTGGCCGGATGCCCCCCGAGGCTTGCTAATCACGTTCCCTAGGCTTGTGTATCATGTCGACGGCGCAAGGTGCGCTGCCAGATCGATTCTGGCATGACCAAATGTCGCGCTTGTCATCGACGATCATCTGCATGCATTCCGAGCAACGTTCAGTCTCTATCGGAACAACAGTCGGCCCCTTTTCCCCAGCTCGAGTGTGAACCTGCGCCCTTTGGCCCGTTTCTCGACGTATCGGTATTCGACGGGCTACCAACCCCGGATCGTCCACCATCGCCCCAGCTGGCACAGGAGACGCAGTATGACGCTTCTCTGCCTCCGTTGATTAACCACTTCGACTCGCTTTTCAGAGCTCCAGAGACTGATGCGGACCCCTTCACTTCTCTATTGTGCTTCTCACTACCTGGATCGCTGATTAGTCGCCCTGGTACGTTGTTCTGTCAGCGTTCAAACATCCGGCTGCTCACCTCTTGAAAGATTCATCACCCTTTTCGATATTCTCGCCGGAGGGCAAACAATGGCTTCGCAGAGCCGTTGGGAATGGAGAATTCAACTCGGACATTCTCTCGCCCTCCATATTCGGCTCTGACAGCATTTTTGGCAAGAGCACCAGTCCCTCGCCGCTTCCACAACAGTTCATTCACCTCCCGCACAAGGACATCGCTCGCTCACTCCTCCGCACCTACTTTGAGACCTGCAACTCCTTCTGTCCGACATTCGAGGAACACGAATTCATGCTGTGCTTCGAACTCGAGTATCCGGTCGGACCTGATTCATCGGCGAAATGGGCCTGTCTAAATGCGACTCTCGCTCTTGCTTGTTTACTGGACCAGCAGTTTCACTCGAAAGCATGGCTGTTTTGGAAGAATGCGACACTTTCCTGGGAGTCGTTCATGACCCGCGCCCCCAGTCTGTCTTCGGCTCAGGCGCTTTTGACCATGGTAGGTTTCATCTCCATTATGGACTTTTTTCCACGCTTATTGCAAGTTAGACGCTGTACCTACTTGGGACGTTTCACTGCAACCCTTCGAGTAGCATGATTCCCATGGCGGTTCGCATTCTCAGCGGCATATCACCTCCGGAGGATCGCATGTCCCAACAGTTTCAATTTGTCCGGCTGGTAGCCCAAGGTTTGGATCTAGAGTATGTCCCACATTACACCAGCATTCCACCCTCGCGGTCTAACACTCCGCCGTTGCAGTCACGCAATACAAGCTGGAGTGCCACCCACTGAGCTGGGAGTAGTGGCTCACACAGTGACTCCGTTCAGTCCCGAACTCATTGGCGATCTCAACATGCCGTTTGACTGCTACCCGGCTTTCTGTCAACTATTGCAGTTGAAGGAAGACGTCTACCGCGAGCTCTACTCCATCTCCGCTCAGGATAAAGCTGACTACGAGGTGATCGCAACGGTAGGTCAGCTGGATGAGCAGCTCGAGCGTTGGAGAGATGATATACCGGAGGATTACCGTCCAGCTCATTCAAAATCCAAGGATGCCATCAGACATGGCTTCTGTGATACCGTACTCCATCTCCACCTCAGCTATCACAATTCCGTCTTGGTAATTCACCGTCGGTCAATGTCGTACGGCAAGCCGTTGATTGATTCCGGTTCACCACTGACTACTAGAACCCATTCTGCTTGGTCTTTGAACTCCCGTGCTTTAATGTCAACGCAGCTTTGCGCCGAGGCTGCCCGTGCGACGTTAAGGCTGGTCAAGTATATTCCGAAACATAATCCTTTGACTCGAGGGTAAGCCTCGTCTCAAGATTTCTAGCTCGAAAGCTAGCTTTTCGCTGACAGACGTACCTATAGGATGATGTTCAACTACGTCGTCTTCGCACTTAAACTCCTCGTCACCCTCACCGTTCGTGATCCACGCAGTCCGCGGGCCCGCGCAGATATTCTCTTGATGCGCAACCTGGAGGACGTGGTATCGTCTATACCTGCTGGCCACGACGAACGAAGTATCCAAAATTTAGTTGACTACTGTTCTCATTACCGAGACGTCGCCGAACGAGCGATCGATCGGGGCCTCTCCCGAAAGAGGCCTAGAGAACATGACAAACACTCCCGGGAGAAACCTGCAGCGCAATACGGTTTTTAGTGACATCCGACCTCTATAAATCGTGTGGCTAGGCCCAATGTGACGTCGACACTTGTTGTATTTCACCCAAAACCGCCTTCTCTCGCGTCAATGCAACTCCCGTCTGACAACAGAGCACAATGGCGCTACACTAGATAATTTAATACAGAACAGACTTGTACCGTCAGCTGCGCTGCATACAGTGTCCATTTCACCCTGGTGTCTGTCCTTGGTGTCGCAGTCTTCCCCGGGCCATCTCTTGGCCTACGCCTACTCATCACCTTACATTGGTGCTTCATTTACAACTCTTATCACAACTCCACTTCATCTCTTGTTTCCTTTCGGTACGCTGATACGATAATCTGACTTTCCAATCACGGGAAAAAGGACTAGACTTGGCTCATTGGTTCCGGCCACCGCACACTCAACGAAGCTGCTGCACATATACCCACGTCAGATAAGTAGAACTGTATTATCAATCGCAATTGTTAGATTTACTATCACTATCCATATTCCATTTCCCCTCCATCACTTCTCGTCCTCCATTAACGTCATGCTTGTCCTCCAGAACCCAGAAAAACAATGGATTTGTAATCGGCCCTCCGGCACGCCGAGCCCCGACCAGCGACCAGCGCAGGGGCTCGGTGGGGCACCCACACCAGAGCCCTGGGCTTCCTGGTTGGCCCAATCTCCATAAGCCAATTCCTCGATCTATAGACATTGGATGCTACATCATAAGCCATTTGAACTACTTCATTTCGTCTCGATAGAGAATTATTTCCGTGCTCTCGAACGGGATTTTGCACGTAAAACCGGCTTATTTCCGCCTCTGAGTGCAAATTCAGGGATTCTATTCGCTTCTTTCGACTGCAAGTGGGATATAATTGACGTATAGCATTATAAATCCTGTTTGAATGTGGGTTTTGCAGGCCTCTGTAGTGAAGCAATTGCTCCAGACCATGTCTTGGTCGAGACTCCATGGTAATCCCCTCTGCCTATCCAACTATATATAAACCCCGTAGCCACCCTCCCAACTCACACCACTTCATCAGTCTCAAATCTCTCGAACCCTCCATTTCAGGCCCAATAGTATTCCAACCCAAACCCAACCCAGTTCAATCAACCTCACCGAGCACATCTCGCGCAAGGGACAACCCAATTCAACTCAAAATGTCCCCCATCGCCCTAATCACCGGCTCAAACCAAGGCATCGGCCGCGCAACCGCCGAAGCCCTCGCCATAAACCACGGCTTCCACGTCCTCATCACCTCGCGCAACCTCGCCGCCGGCGAAGCCGTCGCATCCTCTCTCCGCGCCAAGGGCCACAAAGCCACAGCCATCCAACTAGACCTGACCTCTGAATCGAGCATCAAAGCCGCGGTGGCATTCGTCGAGCAGGAATTCGGGGCCCTCGATGTCCTCATAAACAACGCGGGCATCCTCATCGACGTGCAAAAGGATCTTAGTCCCTGGGAACTGTACACCCGGACATTCACGACGAACGTCGTCGGGCCCGGCGTCCTCACTGAGCTTCTGGTCCCCTTGCTCCGCAAAGCGCCCTCGGGCCTCCCGCGGATAATCTTCGTGACTTCCGCCATGGGTTCGCTGCACTACGCAACCGATAAATCCCTCCCCTGGTACGGCATCGACTACAAGGTCTACGACGCGAGCAAAGCGGCGGTGAATATGCTCATGCTGAATTTCGCGCGGGTGCTCGAGGAAGGTAATGGGAAGGGGAAGGTGAATGCGGTTTGTCCCGGGTATGTGAATACGAACCTGACGAGGTTTGATGAGAATGGGGTTAGTGTTGAGATGGGGGCTAGACGTGTTGTCGAAGTTGCGGTTGCCGGGGAGGAGGGGCCGAATAGGACGTTTTCGAATGCGAGTGGGGAGTTGCCTTGGTGATTTCCTTCTTGGTCTTGTATACACTTGAGCGGGGTGATGTATGTAGGGTGCTGGAAGGATATTTGGGAAAAGGCTGTGATAAAGGGTACCTGGCGGCGACCAAGGTGGGGGCGGGTTAGGTGTGGCGTGTTTCGAGGTTGCCTGTTGCAATTGCATCCTGTCAGCCTACTGATCTACTGAGCTTAGTTGGCATACATATATAAATGAAGAAACTGTCCTCCCCAGATTAGCTAGGTTTTCCTCTCCCGCCTTGTTGATATTGAGAGTACTATAAGAACGTAACCTGCGATATAAGAAACTGAGCCCTCCGTATCGTATCTCCCACGCCTGTTCGCGCCATTTCACAAGAAAACCACCTACTCTACTACGGAAGCTATCCCAGCACTCCCAACTTGAAACCAGCGCGCCAGAACAACCTTGAAGATGGCGCGGCAAGGGTGCGGACCGCGCAGAAGGCGCCAGCAGAACCCGCTCGAGATCGCAAATGGCCACCTCACTTCTGTTGCAAACCACCTGCGGCGCGCAGTGCGATATACCGGAGTGTATAAACTGTACGCGCCACCCGATGCCCCGGGCCTAGGCCCATGCCCTCTCATTCATCCAGGAAGCAAGCTTTCTACCCGCTTCATCGTCGAATAGACAAGCTGACTGGCGAATGTATATGACATCTGACATTCATCAATCCAGCTATTTCCGACAAGAATTACGATCCCGCCTCATGGCTCTCCCACCCGAAATCCGACTACTGATATACGAGTACGTCCTCGGCTACCGCACCATACACATCGAGCGTGGGGAAGACATTGGCTGGCACTATTTTGTATGCAGAGGTGAGAATAGAACTCATTCCGAGCTGGCGGTCGGCGAGATCTGGGCGGGACATAGAGGACATGGACATGGTGTCCCCGGCAGCGTCCCGGGCGAGGGCAATGCGAACAGCTGGAAAAGCACAATCCCAGCGTGCCGATTCGCATATCGGAGCAGCTTCGGCGCCGTGGTCAGGAACTGTAGCGCAACCCGTTGGTTCATCGAGGCCGAATCCGAGCAGGTCTCGCGCGAACTGTTATTGCATTTGGACCTGCTATCACTAAACAGGCTCGTTCATCACGAGGCCGCGCAGCTTGTGTACCGCACGACCATCTTCGCGTTCCGCGAGGTCGACGCGTTTCGCGAATTCGCCGATAAGGACGGGCAGTTGGCGAGTCGTGTGCAGAATCTCGTGCTCTACTTCGAGCCACGGGGCCGGCGGATGCATCTCTGGAATGAGTGGCTGCGTGAGCAGATATATTCTGGTTACGAGGACCCGGAGATATTGAGCGTCTTCTCCAGCGTCCAAAAGCTGCAGATTGTTGTGGGCGGGTCTAAGCCGTTGGATGAGCGGTGTCTATGGACTGTGTATGGATTATTCGCGCTGTGTAAGCTCGGCGTTCGAGAGGTCTCTGTTGATGTCAGTCTCTGTTCTGGGATTCACGATGGAACGAGGCGGTTTGCTCGCGCCTTGGAGGGGAAGCTGCGGCGATTGTGGGACGATGAGGCTGAGAGGGAGATGGGCGAGCTGGAGGTCGAGTATGCGAGCAGCCCAGTTGGGATGGTCAACGCTTTTATGGTGGAGGGGAGTCGCTGTATCTTTCCAGGTTAGATAGCCACGGCTGGTTTCGAGCGCAGAGTGATGTCAGTGAGTGTGTTTTGAGCGTGGGCTCGTGCAGAGACTGCTTGTGAACCTCTACGGCTTTTGTTGGAGGCCAATGTGGTAACGTGACTGAGGCTGCCTGGTATTAACACCTGCTTTTCCACGAGTGAATCTTTCTTTCTTCCTTCCATGCTCTTGGAATCGTCCTGTGGTCCTTTGAAGGTCTGTCTACTCACTCTTCAACATAAATTGGCCCTTTCTTTCAACCAGCCTATTATAGTGAACAGACGTTTCTTAGGCACCATTTCCTTTCATTTGGACTCGATGGCGATGCCAACACAGCACACCCAGGCCCTAGAGGTCGACGAGAATCAACGCACCCTGCCCACCTTCTGCCCCTATACAGGTTTGAGCTTGATCCCACTGCCGACTCCCAGCCCGCAGGCCCTCGCGGCAAGGGAAGATGAGGACAAACGGGATCTGTTTAAAGTGTACGTCTATCTACCTACCCACCAACCCACACCCCATCCCTCCACCTGCCCCTCCCAGCTGGAAAGCATTAATCCCATTCCACCAAGTCCTTCTTCCCCTCTTCTCCCCTTGGCACAACTCAACACACTGACACAGCTACTCTCCATCCAGCACCAACGGCAGCAGCCAGCCCTTCCACCTCCTCGACCTGCCCGCCGAGATTCGCCAGATGATCTACCGTTTCATCCTGGGCTACCGCACCCTCCACGTGCGTCAGCCCTCCAATAAGGAGGTCCAGCAGCGTCCTGACGAGGATTGGGTGCAAGGAAGACTTGACTGGGCGTATTTCGTCTGCAAATGCGGGCCTGCCGCGCACGGGACCCTATCCGAGTACGCCGTCGGGCAGATCTGGGCTGGCGATGCTGATGTCGATGACAGGCCTACTACTCCGGGAATGAAGCTGCGCAAGAAAGATGGATGGAGACGTGCAATCCCAGCGTGTGCCTTTAGGGACGACACCGACTGCGCCGCGATCGAAAAGGGAGATACAACCGTCATCCAGGAAAAACTCCACCTCGACATCCTCCGTGTCTCCAAACTGGTCCATGCCGAGGCCCGCGATGCCCTTTTTGCAACGAACATCTTCGCATTCTCACAGAGGCTTGCGCTCGCGGAGTGCACCATTCCCCATGAGCAATTCGGGCACGCACACCTGGCGCGTATCCGGAATGTGATCCTCTGTGTTCAGCCGCTTAAAATCGACATGTGCGTGCTGAATGGGTTTTTGCGCGATATCAACGATGGTATTGGGATCGATAACCTTACGGGCCTGCGGAAGCTGCAAATCGTCGTGAAGTGTGATACCAAGAAGGTCGATGAGACGAGGTACGACTGGACCGAGATGTGGCGCGTCACGGGTTTGCTTTCGTTTGCCAAAATCGACAAGCTCGAAGTTGCAGTGGATGTTCGGTCTGCGTATGACAGAAAGAACAGCACGCAGCGGGACAGAGCGGACAAGTATGCCAGAATGCTTGAGGGGAGGATTGCGCGTCCGTGGGATGTTGTCAAGCAGGAGGTTGAGGCGCTTTGGATGGCGTATGAGGAGAAGGCTCGGGATGCTGAGGCCTGGGCTGATGGTGTTCGTTTCCTTTGAGGTGTGCTTGGTCGATCCCTAGTTGTTGCTGTCTATCCATTGAGGTGGCGAGGGATTAGATACCGGTTTGCACGAGACGAATGCAGAAGCAGGGCGAGTGATGAGAACTGTAATCATAGGTAGAGCTTCGGCTATGGTCATGATAGACTAGATTCAGTAATGCGACTTTGGTTTCAATAATCTAAAATTGGTTCCCCTCGAATCTCTGCACCATTCCATCGCCATCGACCTCTGAATCGAAGGCCAATCCTCGCCTCACTCTTCGCCTTGCCCACCCCATACAACGAGGAAAGCCCGAGCCAAAACGCCCACTTGGAGTTCTGATCCCTTTCCAACTCAAGCCATTTCTCAATCCAGATACCTCAGCTTCACAATTACGAGTGCCATTCTAGATATTAACCTTCTCGTGACCCGGAGCTGCAAGTAACAGTGAGCTAGCTACGCCTGATGGCTTCGCGGGTCTCAAGGTGTCTCAAATCATCCGCCGCGTGCTAACTCTAGCAGTGTGTTTCACATTTGACGGCGTACTATTGTGGGTTTCCGAGACGACCAGCAGCATTACCTTAGTATCTTCGGTGCATAACTACGCATCAAACTTGGCCACAACGTTGAGGGTTGACCAAACCTACTCAACTAGGTTGACGAAAATCTCCCTGTTAGTTTGCGTGCCCATTCCAGGACACTTGGCTTCCTTCGAACTAACGCTTTCTGACACTGTCTCCAATTGATCAGCCAACCTTGCCATCATCTCGTCGCGAACGCTTCTTTGCCTGCGCCCTCGGCTACGATTCTAGTACCTACATATGCCCAGCGGACACCAGCTACAGGACAAGCGGTTTCCGCTACTTCGCGACTGATACGGATCCTGTTGATTAACCGTAAGACTGCCACCGAAGCCTTATTGTAAACGGCCAATGTGAGGCCACGATGACAATCCACCGAATCATGGCTAGAGACGCGCTGCGGACCAACGAGCTGGCCAGTGTCGAGGCAATGCTTTCGTGTCCGGCCCCAGGAGCTCGACTAGTCAGTTCAACACGAGCATGAGCGCAAGCACGAAGACCAGTGCTACCTCTAAAGACTACATGTTGCCCATAGTTCATGTACTTGAATCTACGGCTCCCTTGTCATGCCCCGTCTCGTGTCCCTGGCCCTGGAATCTAACCATTCGCGCTGTCGAAAAACATCTGGCTATTCGGTTTGCGTCGGTTCTAATTTTCAACAACACTCAAGGAGCTGTTTATATCGGGTCCTGGCAGGATTCATGGCATACCCCGATTGCTGCTACTCAGAAGCTTTGAAGACACGAAGACTGAGAATCTCCATTCCAATCAAAGAAAAATGATGCTTGGACCAGCGAGTCCACGTGTTATCCTCGTAAGGAAGTTGGGCTACCCTGAGGATGTGCTGCGTATGAAGCGCCATCTTCTAGAAGAGACGGTACTTTAATTCGATTCTTTCCATGAGGTGCGGATATTCTTAGTAGGAACCAGCGAAGGGCCGCTTGGTTGACCTCCACAAGACCTCTCTTTCCACTGAACTCCTTCTTTGAGCAAATATCCTCTTACCCGCAGTGGTTCATTTACGAAAGCAGTCCACTCGAACTGGGGCTCTCATGTGCGGCGTCGGCATAGTACAAGGAATGGCGGAATACGATTCCAAATACGCATCTGCAGAACTTGGTTGCATAGGAAAGACCGATTACAGATCCTGGCCTTGATAAACTTCAAATACTGGCGGCAAAATCAGCAAGTGTAGACAAGGATCGAAGTCAGATTCCGGCCGCAAGGGGAGGGTCTAACAATCCATCCAGCTCCTTCATCTGTTTCCGTCTCTGGTCAAGCCTCATACGCTGTCCTGTCCATTATTCCTTCTACACGTGAGACGAATCCAGTCTATCATTTCTTTCTTCGTCGCCGCTGCCCGGGACAACCTAACCGCTGAGATCAACTCCCAGGTGCGCGAGACACATGGTCGACGCAACGAGCCGGTTCGAGGAGCACCGAAACGCGGCGGCTGATTCCACGCGTGAGAAGATACGCAGGCAGCTAGACAGGAATCGAGCGGCGTTCATAACCCATCTCGTCGCGCTCTTATAGCATGAAGCGTCTCGTCACCATGTCGGACTGGAAGGCCCGTCCGGCAATCTCTCATGGGCCAGAGTCAGCGGGCGAGCTCGATGAGCTCCGGTAGCATACGTATAGTACCCAAATGCTAGTGATGATTGGAAAGGAGAGCCAAGAGCATGGCTAGGTATGATACTGGCGATGACTATGCGGGTCTAGTCCGGTCGCTTTACCCAGCGATCCAGGTAATGTGATCGAGGCCCCGCGGACGGCCGAGGCTGGATACTACTGAAGTGGAGGCGATTTCGAAAGATGGGGTATTGAGCGATGAAATCCGCGCTCTTGCGTTGATCTTGGACCTGCCCTCCGTCTTCTATGGACATTCGTACCATTTGTACATTCATTACCCTGTTTAGTACCTCCGTGATCTCGCCATGTCACCTCGCTGTCCGGGGTTCCGACATAGGCAGGGCCGAACTGGTGGTAAGGCGTCGCTCGCAAAGCTATCAGGAGATTGGGCGCTCTTCGACACGTGCTCAATAGGATGAGTTCGTGTTCACAAAGTGCATGTGCTGAAGAAATGACACTATTGCGCATTCGGCGACTACCGATTTCAATCCCTGGCGACACGGGACAAGCTGCATTTGTCTGTTTCGATGTGCATTTCTACCGACGAGTATGCTAATCCTGAATCTCACCCATCCGGCGCGTTCTTCACTGTGATCTAGGGGACAAGAGGTACACTCGCTGTAGTCTCTTGTACCGTACTCCAGCCTGACGCGCAGAGTAGATAGGGTATGTATTGCTACTTTCCCTGGATGTCATTGCATTCCCTGCACCGCATCTATACCCGTCCGGAGCCACCAATCAATCGGCCCCCAAACGCCAACCTGATTAATCTCCAACACGGCCCCATCGGAGACCCCGAGGCTATCTCCAAACAATTCCACGCCAACCGCAATCCGTGCAATGTCGCATCGCATGAAGCAGCTGAGCTGGTCGACCCCGCTGCTAACCGGTCACGATGTTTCGACGTCGAGTCGTCGACCATAGTACACCATAGGCCGAAGATGCCCAGACGATGTTCAGGTGCACAGCCTATGGCATCACGCCATGGCCACGGGTAGATTACCGTGCAGCGCCGATCCCGAAGGACAGAGTTGGAGAGCAGCGCTGGTTGGGGGCGAAAGGGCCGGCTGATGTAACATCGCGTTCGTGCAGAGGCTTGGCGGAAATGATCTGCAGGAGGAGGCAAGGCTGAAGAGGGCGTCGACTCGCTCCAGGGCGGAGCGGGCGCTTAATCGAGGGTTTTCAATATCGGGGATGTAACGACGGGCGGCGATGCGATGCAGACTAAGGTATGTCGAGTCTTATCGCGGGAGGTGCCGGGGGTAAAGCAGGGGGTATGCAGTAACGGCTGCTGTGAAACTTCGGGGGTTTCCTGCTTCAGTGCTGCGTCAGTTGTGACACGGTGGACTGCAGTGCAGGGCGCGAAATTGGGGCGGAAAAAGCAATGACGAGTCGGTTGTGTCGGTACAATTCAGGGTGGCGGTTCCTCCGATCGCCAATGCTATTGATAGCACGATCATCGCATCCTCTATTGTACGATCACAAAATGCCTGTCCACTGTCCAACACTTGTTCAGACCCTCGGACTCGTCGAGCAAGAGATTAACCAGGGGGAACCGGGGACCGCCGGACGACCTATAAAATTCGACTTGGAACAGGAAATGATCTGGGGTAAGAGGGGCGCCTCTACCAATCACATCGCAGAACCGACAGCTGAACAAATCCAGATCATTTCCTCATCCAGAATCTCTGCCCGAAGGACCGCGGATTCGGCGAATGATCTGCAATGGCGCGAGCGCTGGTGGGTTTACACGCGGCCGATCTGCTATCGGGGTCGCAGTGATCGGCGCCCGCGCAGCCAGGGGATGGCCTATCGAATGCCATTGTCGCACCTTTGTTGGGGCCAGCTGTAACGCCCTGAGACTTGAGTCGCAGCTCCATTGCTCCATTGCTCCATTGCGCCCCGTGGAGTCGCGATGGCGATGCTCTCTCAAAGGATATAAAGACAAAGATTCTCCTCTTTATCCTCTTCTCATCCGACCACAGCACAGCGCCTGCCACACCCTCCCATCTCCCCTCTCTCCCATCTCTTCCCACCAACTCAGTAAAGCCACCGCCACGATGAAGTACTCCATCGCCTTCATCTCCCTCCTCTCGGCCCTCCGCGCCTTCGCCGAAGAAGCCATTGTCGGCGGCGACGAAGCCTCCATCGAGGAATACCCCTATCAAATCCAGCTGCTCTCCAACGGCCGCCTCATCTGCGGCGGCAGCATCATCAGCAACCAGTACGTCGTCACAGCCGGCCACTGCACCGACGGCTCCTCCGCCAGCAGCCTCAGCATCCGCGCGGGGTCCTCTTCTTCCTCCGGCGGCGGCACCGTCGTCCGCGTCTCCTCGATCGCGCAGCATCCCGACTACGACGCCGCGACGACGAATAACGATATCTCCATCCTTACGCTCGCCGAGGACCTAACCTTTGGCCCGGGGATCCAAGCCGTCGACCTCCCCACCTCATCTGCCCTCCCAACAGCCAGAACAACCGCCATCGCGACGGGCTGGGGAGCCCTGCAGGAGGGCGGCAGCGTCTCCGAGACCCTGCAGTACGTCGAGGTCCCCATCGTCAGCAAGTCGCAGTGCGCGAGCGACTATCAGGGGTTCAACGAGATCACGGACAGCATGGTCTGTGCTGGGGAGAGCGGCAAGGATGCGTGCCAGGGGGACAGCGGTGGTCCGCTTGTTGCCGACGGTGTCCTTGTGGGGATTACCTCGTGGGGCAATGGCTGTGCGCGTCCGGGGTATCCTGGTGTTTACTCGAGCCCGGCGTATTTCCGGGATTTTATTGAGTCTGTTACTGGCATCTAGACGACCATGATGTAATGAGGGTTTGTAATGATGTGAGAGCATTGAGGGGGAGGATTGAGGTGATGTGGTTGTGGTTGTACATGGTGCATGATGCTGGTTATCATCTGTACATAACTCGATCTCAAGGTACATATATATATATTCAAAATGATCTCGACCACCACATTTCTCGTTCGTGATTCGTAGCTGGCCACTAGCCACTATGTCCCAATCATAAAACCGAGATCAAGCCATAAGCCAATCCCTCTCAAGCGCCTTCAGGCCCTGAATCCACCCTCTCCCTTTCCCTCCCGCATCCACATGCGCATCCCCATCCGCACCAGTATCCCTCACAGCCCACGACATCCTCATAACCCCCACCGCAGTGCGAATATACCCCCAGGGAATCAACGCCCAGAACTGCCTGAGCCTCTCAACCGCCCACTCGCGGTAAACTGGGTCATCCGTCTCGGCGCCCGCGATGAAGGTTGGCCAGCAGGTTGCTTTGAACAGCGGGTCGGAGACCCCGACGTGTGAGAGGTGGGATACTACTGTGTGCACGAGGGAGGAAGGGGAAGGGTCTCCGTTGAAGGTGTTTTCCCTGCGGGGGTTTGGTGGAAGGTCAGTGGGGTCGGTATTGTTAGCGGTCGAGGAGAATGATGACACGGGAGGAGGGAGTCCGTGGCCATCGACAGAGCGGAGAATGTAAATCTGCAACGCAGCCTGGTGCGCAAGCGCCGTGTGGATGCGACTTTGGCGTCGTTCTGCGGACGAACACTCGAGGCCCGCTGCCCAGGAAATCACGTCGAATGAGCTCACTTGCTCGATGAGGGATTGTGCAGTTGCGAGAATGGATAGATAGTCCGCTTCGGATACGAGCGGTCCTTGCTTCTGGAGGAGGGTGGTGACGGTATTCGACAGCTCGCAGGCCTGGAAGAGGATCTGCAGGAGCGGCGTTGGGAGGGAGAGGTAACTGTTTGTTTCGGCGCGGGTGACGGCGGCGATGATGGAGCCGGAGGTGCAGTTTTGGGCGGGGAGAAGGAATGGGTTTTCAAGGGTTGGTCTGGTGAGGAGGGTCGAGTTGAGGATGTAGTACCTACGCTCGCATTGTGTGATTAGTACTCGATAAACGCGCCGTAATGCGGTGTGACCAGAACAGGAACAATGGATGGAAACGACATACGTCAAACAATCCGACATGATCGAATCACGAATCGCTGCCAACGGAGATGGGGTTCGACTCCCCTGGAGGGACTGCAAACAGCCAATCAACCGAATCGCGCCCTGTACATGCGCTCTCCATTGGCACTCGCCGACATCAATGAGGTCAAAGGTGATGAAGAGGTGGATTACCGTTATGATAAGGTCCATGTCGACATCGGCCTCGCTTACATTATTGGTAGCGTTGGTGCGGATGCTTCCCAGAGCGTGCCGGAGGAGAACGATGGCCTTATGTTTCGCACATAGAGCGTCTACTACGCTTTGACCTAACGGGTTGGACATGCTGATACTCTGTCCCGGGCGCCATTGTGGCTGTCGTTGTCGCGGTGGTGGATGAAACGAGTCGAGGTCGAACGTGCCGTTGCTGCGCTGTTGCAGACATGATACGTGGATCGCCGCAGCCGCTACCATGGCATGCAGGAGGATCGGGTGGTCCCGCGCCACTGGGATCAAGGTGTAGAATGGGTTTCCTGTGGTGGTCGAGGATATCACCATATCTGAGCTGAGAGTGTTGGCGACTACGAGGGGTGTCAGCGTCAACAGTGTAGTATGTCAGGACAGGGAAAAGGAATTGGTTGCATACAGTGGGAGAGATACTGTCGAGATGTATACCCCATGTCTCCAAAGACAGGATCCACTAGAGATGCGTGAAGGTGTGTCGTTGCGACATGGTTCACAAGTTTTAGATCAGCAACAATATTCTGGCCCACGGGCTGAGTAGGAAACGTTTTCCCCATCATCTTCCCCCGACTCGCAACGCCTTGATTCCAGAGGAATAGCTTCCCATATCCCAAACATGCTTGCCCCGTCCGGATACACTTTGTACAAGCGGGAAAGCGGCGATCACATTTGAGCCGGCGTCGACGACAGTTGTGGCACGGCTTTTCGGCTTGTGCAGTGATGGCGCTATTCTGCATCGAGACTCGGAGAGTCAACCTGAGAATTTTCGAATCCGAAAAGGCCAAGATCAAAGGATGGATCAATCGATGATCTACAGAACAAGCGCACGGGTATCGATCAAGCCTTCCGACTGGGACTTCTGTGGGTACGGCCCGTGGTTCGGTCAGTGCTTGTTTCCAGCTGCGTTGATCAAAGCTCCATCAGCTTTATCGAATTCTTGGTGTAGACGAGGATATCTTGGAGCACAACGTCACGCCGCGGGAATTTGAAGCCTGAACGTGGAAGGGTCTGAGGCGAAGAAAGCTGGAACGTGCATGACGAGATGGCGGGGTTTGTCCGCAGAGCTAGAGGCTTGGCTGCTGCATGTGGTTTAGTGGCCATGGTCGGCGATTAGGGCTGGCACGTTGACGAGGGTCCAGTGGGGCGCTCATCGTCCATTTTTTTGGCGTATATAGACCTGGCGACGCAAGCCTCTGGAAAATTGGACACAGCGTCCTCGAGAATCCACCCATAAGGGCAGACGCATTCCAGTCACCCTGACGCTCTATGCCGCAGAATCTCGCTGATGCCAAACGTTGGGCAACATGCACGGCGACGCCAAGAGCGAGGATCTCGATGCCCAGACCGAACCCCAGGTTCCGCTCGATAAAGAGAGTATCGAGAGGCTTGGGCGCGAGCGTCCAGCTCTTTTTCCGAATCGCTGGGTCGAGCTGAGTTTCTGCTTCTCACTCCTCGCATCAGAGCTCCTCGCTGTACGGTATCCTCCTCCATTGCATTCGGTCTTGTCGCTGATGACGACAGGAATACTTCGTTAGCGGCTTCAACACCCTCCTCCCGCACCTGACAACATCCCTAAACATCCCCCGCGAATCCCAGACCTGGCCCGCAAGCGTCTTCTCCCTGGTAACAGGCGCATTCCTCCTCCCCGCCGCCCGCATCGCCGACATCCACGGTCCCCGCCTGGTTTTCAACGCCGGCCTAGTGTGGTTCCTCATCTGGTCTTTCATCGCAGGATGGAGTCAGAACTATAAGATGCTCATCGTGTGTCGCGCACTGCAGGGTCTGGGACCCTCGGCGTTCCTACCGGCAGGGATCATGCTCATCGGCTCGATATACCGGCCCGGACCGAGGAAGAATCTCGTGTTTAGTTTGTATGGAGCGTTCTCACCTATCGGGTTTTATTCGGGCATTTGTGTTTCCGGCTTGTCGGGCCATTTCCTCTCGTGGAGATGGTACTTTTGGATTGGGTGTGCGATTGCTCTTGTTGTTCTCGTCGTCTCCCTCGTGGGGATGTTGATGATTCGGCTGCCAACGGAGGAATCATCAATGCAGATGGATTGGTGGGGGTGTCTCACGATCGTCCCTGGTCTGCTTCTCGTCGTCTTTGCAATCACTGACGGCTCGCATGCGCCGGATGGCTGGAGGACGCCGTATATCCTCGTGACGTTCCTCGCGGGCATCGCACTGCTCTGCGCGGCGTTCTACGTCGAAGGCTGGGTTGCGACGTCGCCCTTGCTGCATTTCGATATCTTCAAGGTCAAGTATATGAGTCCGCTCTTTGTCGCGCTGAGCTTCTCGTATGGTGTTTTCGGGATATACCTGTTTTATGCCAGTTTCTAGTACGTGCCTTCCCTCGTTCCTCGTTCCCGGGATGGATAGATAACAACTGCAGCATCGAAGACATCTTCGGCAAAAACTCCCTAACAACCGCCCTCTACTTCGCCCCCATGGCCGCCGGCGGCCTAATCCTCGCAACGCTCGGCGGCTTCACCCTCCACCTCCTCCCGGGAAAACTCCTCCTCCTAATCTCTGGCGCGGGCTACCTCGCCTCGATGCTCCTTTTCGCTCTAATCCCCTCCCGCAACCCAAATTACTGGTCCTACATCTTCCCGGCAATGGTGGCCGCCACAATCGGGGTAGATATCGGGTACAGCGTGAGCAACATCTTCATCACGAACAACCTGCCCCAAAACCGGCAGGGCGCCGCGGGGGCGATGATCAACACGATTGTGTTTGTGGGGATTAGTTTCTTCCTGGGCGTGGCGGATCTGGTCGTGGCTGAGACGGAGCATTTGGGGGCCGAGAGGAGCTACAAGGCGGCGTTTTGGTTTGGGGTTGCATGTTCCGGTGTTGCGGTGCTTTTTCTGGTTTTTATTAAGGTGGGCAGGGCGAAGAGTGATCTCACTGTTGAGGAGAGGATTGAGATTCAGAGGTCGATGGCGACGGGGGATGTGGAGATATGACGTAGGGTAGGCTCGCGATAGCGTTCAATGTTGTTGGCAGCTCTCAGACTTGTTAACGTATCCGATTCGTTGTAGTAGCAGCCGTGGAAGGTAGAGATGGAGCCTGAACTGACAAAGCTTCAAGGATCACACAGGCACCCAGTTGTCTCTTGACAGACAAGGTGAAACGTAGTGTAGATTGACTGTGTGTGCGAAAGGCTTTTCTGGGCATAGGTCCCTGGTACGCTACGCATCTACCAGACACCTGGAACTCTGTGGAACACAGGATAGACCCCTCGATGCTCTCGGTCTCAGCGCACGCTAAAACCCGGGCTGGCCCTGTACACGGCATAAGTGCGGTTATAACCTCGGAAGAGTCGGCAAATACCGCACGGCGCGAGGAATTCATAGATAATGTACATACCCAGGGAAGGAGGGAAAGTGGCGGTCTCTCAGTTGTGCTGGGGATTTGGATTGGTTTCCAAATGCACAGAAGCTCCGGGTTGGTAATCGCTTCAATACCGTACTGTCAGGGACCAGGCATTCGTGAATGATACGGTGCAAGGGCCTTGAGAATTATTGCAGCGGAACTGTGTCTGAAGCTTCTAACTTGAGTTCTCGCACTGGAAGCTTTGGTACTGGCCGGGTTGAATTGAATAGATGCTTCGCGTCTGCGTTTGTTCGAGCAGCGTGTGGATCAATCGATGTTGCTGTGAAACAGAAGCAGAAGGACGCTTGATACTGCCATGTCAAGAACGATCGCAATCCCGGGCGCCTCGTATGCAGCAGAACAGCTGCAAGGGCCCAATCGGATGCAATCTGATCGCACATTTGGTACTCCAAAAGTGGAGAGAAAGCAACCCTTTAAACCATACAATTCCGGGCGGGAAAGGATGATCAGGCAGAGGTGGTCTCCGAGGCTCCGATGAGGGCCGGGCTGTCGCGAACATGGGTCCGCACCACCGTCTGATACGATAACATAGCCCCATATTTATCCGGCAGATACGGCAACGACATCTCTCTTTCCATTATTTGATCCATCTCAGGAGCATGTTCGTCGAATATGATGGGGTTCCGGACGGGGCAGCCGGACGGTATTTTCGCTCGTCGTCGGGGGTGTCAATTCGGAACCGCATTTCACTCGGAGAAAATCCGACAAGTCACTCGCGACTTGGGGGGATCTGTAAGGGTAGGGAAAGGCGGCGTAAATGTTTCAGAGTTTGCTGTACTACGATAATCAAGAGGAAGTGTCAGCGAAGAAGAAACCAAAGATGAGGCGGAGCAAGAGAGGTGCAACTCATTACGAGGCTAATCTTCTAGATTAGGACTGGTACCGCCAAAGGGAGAGCACCGATCCGAATTGCTCCTCTTGAGTGTCAGAAATCCATGTGCCCGTCGTGAAGTCCCAAGCGCAGCGCCGGGCTGGCGCACCGGCACCTGATTCGCATTATGAGTTCCGGCTCGACCATCCGCGCGCCGTCAGGTATAGCTTGCTGATACTGGTACCGATAGGTAGGGCACTTGGTATCGGTATTAGTGTACGCGAGTGTCGATCCGGGGCCTGCATAGGTTCCGGGGATATCTGCAGCTTAATATGTTGCCCTTCACCATCCTGTCACCTTGGCCCGCATTGCTGGCAGGATCCCAATGGGAAAAAAACATTATCAGCTAAGGACGCATCATTTGAAGAGTCTGATACAGTAGTATTCGAAATCAGATTTACCTTTACACTCTTAGGCATCCAGTTCCGAACCCTAGCTTAAAAGACGCTAATCCATATATAGTAATTGTGTCATTATCTCGGTTCTTAAAATGGGAACTGTATTTTAAATGACGCCCCAGGACTTCCCTCGATGTGATTTATACGAACTCCTATACGATTGATACTACTTATCAACCCTCTTCTCCCTAGCAACAAGAATTTTTATTTATGCACGATACTTCATGCTTGCAATATGACCCCAAGCCTTCTTTCCTCAAGGCTGCATCTTATCCGCATTATGATAGAGAGGCAGTCACTAACCATAACTTAAATCGCCTAAGAAGCTGGATGAAGCAAGTTCAAGATCTATTTCTCGTAAATCCTTCATTGGTTAGAAACTTGATAAAAATAAAGGACCCCAAGACATAGAAACAGATCCAACACGTAGTTTTGACTCCCTGGCATGCGAATAACAGCCGGGCTAATTAAATATTCCGTTTTCGATGAAGTCAGCTGAAGGGGGATTTGTCATAATGGTTGCATAAAAGTAGCTCTTGCTATGAAGAATCGACCTTAGAGAATATGACCTTATACCCGAGCATTCGGCATTTTTGAATTGGCGGACTACGGTACGAAAAGGCCCGTGGTAGATTACCAATCCTATCACCGCCATTTCTTAAGCACTAGCCTCATATTTGCTCATTTTTCGTAGTGAGTTAGGACAGAAATACTAGTGATGAAAACATGGGAATAAGTAGAAATGACAGGCAATCGGTACAATACACTGGCTACTAACTAATAGCACTTTTGTATGGGATAACGTACATCGTAGAATCTACTTACTCCATAAATTATCTCCTGGGAACACATCGACCATATTCACCTTCGATTGGCTTATCACACCAGCACCCTCCCTTACAGGCAAACTGTGAGGAACAGAGGTTTCCACAGTTCGAAGACTCGGAAGAGGTCTTCGAAGAGCTATCAATGTTGTCAATAAATGACTTCAATAGTAAATACGGAAAGAGCTATACCTTGAATATGAATTAATAGCTGGTCCCACTTTTAAAGACCCTGCAGAGCGCTCGACTGAGGGGATTTCTAACCCATACGCAATACAACAATTTGAGCAGAATCCGGCTTTCTCGCATGGAAGTAGGCCTCCAGATTGTTGCTCACACCAGGAATTGTAGTGGCACTCTTGGGCACTAACCAAAGTAAAAGGGAGAAAAAGGATACCAAGACTGAACTTCATATTATTTTGGTGACCGAGGGTGGTTTTTGTATTTAGTCTCTGGGAGGAATGTGAACTGACTACTGTGAAAATAGAATCTCTCTTTCTACCTAGAAGTACAGTCGACTATTTATCTTGAGCCCAAGGAGCCTTCTCATCTACTAATACATCATCTATTACGATTAATGACGCAGTTCTTTAACCCTAGGAGCTAGAAGAAAGCCGCAAATGGAGCCCCGTTTTCGGGTTGAGAATATCAGTTGCCATTTTTCGACCCAAAGAAACATACGAGAGAGCCCTATCTGTACCCTTTACATTTCAGCGTAATGTTGAAACTTGATTTGGACAGCTCTTCGCAAAGGTGGTATAGCTGAACCAGGGAAGTGTTTGCGGCGGAGGCGCTTAGTGTCGTCACCCAGATCGGTTGGAATCTTCGAGACCGGCCAGAATCTTCCATTTACCACGCTAATCCAATAGATATTAAGCTTTCAGCTAGATCTGGTGGTGTGAGCGGTGGGGCGACCATGGTGATCGACAAGGATGTCCCCGCTTTGATCTAATCTTTGCCCCCGAAACATGGTCGTCGCTCAGTCAACTGACACGGATGTTTTTGAGTCGTGTAGTAAGAGGTAAGCAGTTCTGCCCCCCTATCAAAGGAGGAATGTGGTGCAGAAACTCGGATTCAGGTCGACTGGTACAGGTCAGCTGGACATGGACCAAGTCGGGCTGGGAGAAAACGCCCTTGATCCAGAGTACTATATCATCTCTTGTCGTTGATTCATCTAATGCATCTAGAATGATGTACATTTTGCTTTGGACTGCGAGCATCTTGGAAATTTGGGTTAGAGGGGTTACTAACGCTTAGGGGCCAAACGATGAGCAAGCTCACAGACTACAACAAATATCGCACCACATGTACTATTTAACCTTTGACGAACGTCTGTTTCTGGCGCCGGTAGTTGACCCACAGGTATCTACATCCTATCATCCTGCTATGATCCGAGAATTTAATAATGGTAAATATTTGGTTAGGCGATCCTCGATGTTGGAACTGGTACGGGGATCTAGGCGATATATATAAACATTACCATATATATTGCGACGCTAATATATTATAGAGATGTTACTGATGTGTTCCTAGCTACTAGAGTTCCTAGGCTGGATCTTTTGCCTATTTAACCTATATTTGTCCCTCCGACCTGCTCGTTTGAGATAGATGACGTGACCATGCCATAGATGTATAATTCTAAATAATTTAATTTAATCTATGTCCGCGAGATGTTCGGCTTAATGCCTGATTAGGATGCGTTCTTCTATGTAAGCGGCGAGGACCTAGCAAGCAACGAGATGTCGGGCTATGAAGGATGTATAAAAGAGGAAGAAGGAGCTATATACTAATTAATTTAGAAATAAATTACTAGGGATTAGGAAGACTAGTAATTATAGAGGTCTTTTATATATATGTAAGAGATATGTGATAAGTTGGTTAGGTATAAAGTGTTACAGATAAAGCTATATAAGATGCGATCCGGGCGGATCAGACCGTAGGGTCTGATCACAGTGACCTTTTGGCCTAGTGGAAGGTAGCCAGCCCGGACGGTTATCCTTAACATAAAGTCACTATACCAATAATAAGATTTGTACAAGACTAAACCTTGCTCTATAAGGGGATTAAGATCCTATACTAATACATAAGTGAAAGGGAGGTAGTATGCTAGTGTTATAGTAGGAAGTTAATAATAAGACTTTTCTATACATGGATATTTTGTCGGGGCTGTTAGAGGTTATAGCTAATGGCCTAGATACTTAGGCTACTCTATAATAACTATATCCTCTTCTAGCGAGATTATCTATAATCTCTAAATAGCTTTAATTCTAGCGCTGGTTCATTATTTTAGGGTAATAATATTAGATTTAGATAAATATATTAAAATATTAATTTATAAGTAAAATTATCATGGTGGGTAGCTATACTAAGTTAGTTAAGTATATTTTAGTTAATAGTGGCTATATAAATAAAGAAAGTAAATAAAAAAGTATTTTCTTTCTTCTTCTTTATTCTTCCCCTCTATTTTTATTCTATAAGTACCTTTATTTCTTTAGCTTTATTTCTATTTATCTTCTC